GATAAACTCATACCAACAAGCAGACCAGAGTCCTTCTCATACAACGTTGGTACTGTCACAGAAGCAGCAGCATGTTGAACACAATACTCAATTTGAACAAGTAAGGCAAACAACCCAAAAGCAACAGCAGCAACATGCACAACAGCAGCAACAGGAACAACTTCAGCAGACCAGGTGGCAGGTTCAGAACGTCCAGCAACAAGTACATCCTCAAAATCAAGATCATGAACAGCTGCAAGTTCATAAGCAGATGCTATACACTCCAGCTCAAGTACATATTCAAACTCAACCAGGGCAGATTTCCCCGACGTCTAATACTACTAAGCTTAAAACAAAGACACGAAGCAAGTCTCAATCCCAAGTCTATCCTCGCCCTCATCATCAGGTACATACTCCGTCTCCATCTCAGGCACAAGCACAAGCACAAGCACAAGCACAAGCGCAAGCACAAGCGCAAGCGCAAGCTCAGGCTCAAGCTCAGGCTCAGGCTCAGGCTCAAGCTCAGGCTCAAGCTCAGGCTCAAGCACAAGCTCAAGCTCAGGCTCAAGCTCAGGCTCAAGCACAAGCTCAAGCTCAGGCTCAAGCTCAGGCTCAAGCACAAGCTCAAGCACAGGCTCAAGCTAAAGCTAAAGCACAAGCTCAAGCTCAAGCTCAAGCTCAGGCACAGCAGCAAGCTCAGGCTCAGGCTCAGGCTCAGGCTCAGGCACAGCAACAGGCACAGGCTCAGGCACAGGCTCAGGCACAGGCACAGGCACAGCAACAGGCTCAGGCCCGAGCCAAGTTTCAGGCTCAACAGCATGCTCAAGCTCAAGCTCAAGCTCAAGCTCAAGCTCAGGCTCAGGCTCAGGCTCAAGCTCAGGCTCAGGCTCAGGCTCAGGCACAGGCTCAGGCACAGGCTCAAGCACAGGCTCAGGCTCAAGTACAGGCTCAAGCTCAGGCACAGGCACAAGCTCAGGCACAAGCTCAGGCTCGCGCTCAGGCACAGCAGCAAGCTCAGGCTCAGGCTCAGGCTCAGGCTCAGGCTCAACAGCAAGCGCATGCCCAAGCTCAGGCTTACGCACAAGCTCAAGCTCAGGAGCATGCTCTGGCTCAACAACAAGCTCAGGATCAGGCACACACTCAAGCTCAAGGTCGCATTCAATCTCGATCACGAATTAATATCGACCCTCAAGGGCAACCTCATGTGGAACTTCAAGAAATATTCCATCCACGGTTCCAGGCAGATATGCAAGTCGAACCACATATGGAAGTTCAAGCACAACCTCATGTTGTTTCGCAGCAACATATATTAAACCGACACCATCATCTGGAAGAACACAAAGGACAGCCACGGCATATTCAGCAAGATGATCACAAACCAAGGAGTAGGCAACAAAGACAAAAAATGAATCAACAACAGTTTCAGTCACAGTTCCAACCACACTTACACCAACCTTCTCAATCACCTCATAATGCCCTACAGAGCCCTTCACAGACATTGCAACATGTAATGCAGCCAATGCAAAAACCTGTAATGTCACCTGTAATGTCAAATTTTCAAACACCTGTTGTAAACCATCAACAACAACAACAACAACAGGGAGTTTCTCATGCGATTCAACGTTCGAACATTCAGCAATCAATGAAACAGCAGCAGCAACAGCTAAATGTGAAACACTCAATTAAGCAGAATCGAGAGCAACATCACAATTTACAATCGATAAAGTCATCCAAGGGATCTTCAATGCAAAAATTGATGCAATCATCTCATTCTGAATCATCAGCTATTAATTCGAATTCATTGCAACAGCAGTTACCCTTAGCTCAATCAACTCAGCAGAAATCATTACAAGCTTCTTCTGAAATTGGTGGACGAATGTTAACGTCTGTTGGGCCGCCTCAAACGGGAGTTCATTTCATAAATTATCATGCCGAGGGGCGACACATTCAAGCTTCAATGTCTATGCACTCGGAGCAAGTTTTAGTTCAAACCGAAAACTTCCATAACGCACCATGGCAGTCTACACCCTTCCCTTCGACAAACACATCACACACACCGATTTCTAATGTTGCTATAGAAGGACATGGTCAACATCTTGGTTGGCAAAATTCTACTCCTACTACATCAATGGCACCCCCGTTTAATTCTGTTGGTGCTAATGCGTTTCCATCCCATTCACCCTCTTCATTTCAGACTGGCTCATATGATCCCGCAATAACTACGGGTTACGAGGTTATAAATCAACAAATATCACCCAATTCACCTTTACAAGTACCTGAACATTCCAAAAAAGATCCAAAGAAGAATGGAAAAGCGAAATTGGATTTCATTTTAAATTGACATTTTCTCGTTCTTTCTTTTCCTTTTACTATTTCTCTGTTTTTGTTTTTATTTTCCTTTTTCTTATTTCCCATTCTCTTGTACCCTTCCCCTTCATTTATTTTACTTCCTTTTCTTTTTCTTTTAAACAATAACGCTTCGTATTATTGATCTCTATAAAGGAAATGTAGCAATAGTATTGTACATTTTAAGAAACGCAGCTTTACTTCCATACACTCACACATATTCACTACACTCACACACTCCCACGCACACTCACACACTCACACTCACACTCACATATATATATATATATATATATACTTTATAATATCTTCTTCTTTTCAACAACAAACAACAAAAGAAAGAGTAACCCCGTTTTTAATTTTGTTTGATATTTTATTTTTCAAGCAAGAGAAGAATATAGAACTACCTTCTGTACAGATTTTTATAGATTTACATGGAAATAAAAGTCGCAGGATTTGAAACAAAACCTCTAAAATATTAGAAAATGGTTTTTTTTTGGGGGGGTTGAAGATAGATAGTAAACCATGAATGAAAAGAAGGAAAAGAAAAAAAGGGAAGGTTAAAAGATGTAGAAGGGAGAGGGAGGAAGAAAAGAGTTTTTTTTTGTTTAGTTCCAGCCAAAGCTGTTATTGTTGGAGGGAGCAGCACCCCAACCATCTCCAGCAGCAGGCATGCTATCTTCAACGCGCATGTTACCCATTGAGCTAGCGAGCTTATCAGCAGGAGCAGCTGGCTCAGGTTGGCCCCATCCACCAGCGGAAGGTGCAGGTGCGGCAGCAGCAGGGGGAGGGGTAGAAGCGGGAGCAGACTGGCCCCATCCACCAGCAGAGGGTGCAGGTGAGGCAGCAGCAGGCTCAGACTGACCCCATCCACCAGAAGAGGCGGCAGGTGCAGGTGCAGGTGTGGGTGCAGCAGGCTCAGATTGACCCCATCCACCGGAAGAGGCGGCAGGTGCGGCAGGTTCAGATTGACCCCATCCACCAGAGGAGGCGGCAGGTGCGGCAGGCTCAGACTGGCCCCATCCGGCAGTAGCAGCTCCAGTATCCCAGCTTGCGGTATCGAGAGCAGGTTCAGGCTCTTGGGCACCACCATAGGAAGGTGCGCCGTAAGAGTCACCAGCACCATAAGAATCACCACCATCGCCCTTGGGTGCGGAACACTTGAAGCAATCGGTTCTGCGAGCAAAGTTGGAAGCACCGCAACTAAATAGGAAGAGGAATTGAGTACTTTTGTACACCTTGCCTACGACCCAGATTCTATAATCTTTCACTCTACAAAATAATAATAAGAAACACAAAACTTACGAGCAATCCCAATCACCATCGCGTCTAGGGGGAGGACCGCGACGTTCACCACCACCTCCACCACCCATGCCTTCGGGACGCTCGGTACCACACTTGAAGCATTCGGTACGACGAGAGAAGTTGTTGGCACTGCAGCTAGGGCAATCCCATTCGCCATCACGACGTTCACCTCCGCCTCCGCCACCGTAGGAGTCACCACCGAGACCTTCAGGCTTAGCAGTGCTGCACTTGAAGCAGTCAGTGCGTCTAGAGAAGTTGTTTACACCGCAACCTGGGCAGTCCCAGTCGCCATCACGAGGAGTGTGCTTGGGTCTTTCACTTCCATAGTCACCAGTCTGTCCGGCACCATCCCAGGCACTGGGGGCACCACCTTCACCACCATTGGGAGCTTCACCGGGCATACGTCTCTCTTGGGGAATATATTCTTGGCCAGCATACGAAGGAACGGGGACATCTTCTTCGTCAAGATCCTCCTCCCATGTGTTGTCTTCAGTTACATACGAAGCAAGGAACTCGGGGATCTCTTGCTTGCACTCCTTGAGAAGCTTAGCAAGATCGTAAGCCAATGCGGAACTACGATCGTTATAGAAGGAAGTGGCCAAACCAGACTTTCCGACACGAGCAGTTCTATAATAATAATAATAATAATAATAATAATAATAATAAAGGCAAAGTGTGAGTACGCAACGCAGGTATAAAAAATCATCACCCTGATTTCCACTTTGAAAATGGTCGCATAATTTACCTGCCAATTCTGTGAATATATTCATCCATATCGTTGGGCATATCGAAGTTGATGACATGCATGACATTCTTGATATCAATACCACGGGCGGCAACAGCAGTGGCGACAAGGATAGGGCACTGACCACTCTTGAAAGCAAGAAGAGCATCTTCTCTCTCGATCTGGGTACGATCACCGTGGATGGAGGTCGAGGGGAAGCTGCGCTCATAAAGGTATTGATCCAAACTGTCAGCACTACGCTTTGTTTCAACAAAAATCAAAGTACGGCTAGGGGGCTGGGAGTTGAGAAGTTCACGGAGGGATTCACGCTTGTTTTCTTCTTCGACGTAGACAACATTCTGGGTGATGGAGCTTGTGGTACCACCGACACGACCAACCTTCAAGAAAAGATAGTCGGGTTTGAGGAAATCACGGGCAAGCTTACGGATGGCACGAGGGAAGGTAGCGGAGAACATGAGAGTCTGACGATCGACGTTACAACCCTTCTTCTCTACAATTGCACGAATGACGGACTCGAAACCCATGTCCAACATACGATCGGCTTCATCGAGAACCAAGTAACGGACACGACCAAGACCAATCTTTCCACGCTCAATGAAATCCATAAGTCTACCAGGGGCAGCGGCGAGGATATCGCAACCGCGCTCAAGCTGGCGGAGCTGGGAAAGACTGTCGGCACCACCGTAGACAGCACTGTTGAAATGTAAAGATATATAAGTGTTTATTCATTTTATTAAATAATAATAGTAATAATAATGTTTTGCTTACCAAGGTCTGAGCATACTTCTGTAGGTGAACTATAAATACAGATACAGATACATCAACAAATTAGATACTTTGTTATTTAAATTAGGCGATAGTACTGTGCTGTAAGTAGTACTGTTTCGACCTCATTGTAATACAAGGTTGAAACCCAAAACGACAAGATAAATCATAATCTTGTTTAATGAAAAGAAGAAAAAAAGATTTACCTTTCTGCATTCATCGAAGATCTGGGAGCACAACTCACGAGTAGGGGCCAAAATAAGAACCAAGGGCTCGGCCTTGAACTGGCGCTGCTCATAAGGGGCAGGGCGAGGTTGGGCCCACTCCTTACCGTGCTTGAATAGGTTACTGAGGGTAGGGATGAGGAAAGCAGCAGTCTTTCCGGAACCTATAATCAGTGATTGTAACAATAATAATAGTAAGAAAAACGTTCGACAAATGTTGTATGATCAATAATTCATTAGAAATAGGAAATTTTTATATTGCTTCATTGATCTATTGGTAAAAAGACAAGTGGCCTCATGAAAACTTACCAGTCTGGGCACAGGCCATGAGATCCTTGCCAGAGGTAACAATGGGGATGGAATAGGTCTATTAAAGATGGTAAAGGCAAACCGAGTTTAACTTATAGATTCATACTATTTGACCTTTTCTCTGTTTGCTTGATTGTTTGTAGATTATCCTCTTTATCATTTGCAAAGTATATAGTCACGTCACAAAAATGTGGCATCATATTACAAAACAACAACGATAACAACAATAGCAATAATAATCACTGTCCCAATTACAATTACAACTGATGTTGAGATTGCAGATAATGTGTGCTCTAACAGCATATGAACTGCTTGCAGATACGGCACTTTACACTCTCACTTTTAATATAAAAAACAAAATCGTGTATTTACCTGGACAGGAGTTGGCTTGGCATAACCCAACAATCTTACGTTGTCCTTCATGACAGGGTGAAGATCGGCTGCATCGAACTATATTTATCAACATAAAGACCAAATGACGCGTCATTATAATGAATAACTTGTTGATTTGAATTTTCTTTACACAAAAATAGAAATAAAAGGAAAATACTTACGGTAACGATAGGGCGGGGGGCCTCACCACGCTCAACGCGGATAGGGATAGATTCGTACTTGGAGAAATCAAGACTAGTCTGGTTTTCAGAGGCTTGCTCGAACAACTCACTTTCGAGCTTTTCGTCGCGTGGGGCTTCACCGTCTTTTCCTACGGCGTTTTCGTTGTACTCGTATCTGGCACGGTTGGAAGCCCAGTTGTATGATCTCTCAGGGCGCTCCATGCCTTCGGGCAGGACTGACTCAGTACGGGCAGGGCGAGGCGCAGCTTCATCAAAGTTAGTGTTTCCACCCTGGGATTCGCCAAACTGAGCGTCACCACCACCGAACTGGTTACTGAAATCTTCGTTGCCAAAGCTGTGCTGTTGTTGATCCCAAGACATTTTTCTTTTTCAAGACGAGATAGTCCAACTTTGTGAAATAGAAAGAAAGAGGAGAAACGCGACCCGAAAAAAATAAGGAAAAACTATATGAGACACAACGGCAGTACCCAATAACAAGTCGCGGAGACACAATATAAAGAAGTGTAGCACTAATGACATCGATTAACCAGTCACAAAAATGCATTAATAGCCACTTGGTCTTTTTTTTGTTTTTTTTTTTAATCTTTCTGTTTCAAATAAATTTATGGAATATTCATTGTTTGAAACATTAATATATTAAAAAAAAAGAATAATAAAAAAATAAGGAATAAATTAATTAATGAATTAATGAAAAAAATCTTAATTAATTTTTTTTGTTAACTTTTCAATGTTTGCCTAACCAGGGCAAAAGGTTTATTGGTAAATTTCAGTAATACAAGATGTGTAGTTGAAGGAAGTTGAGTGAGCGTAAATAGTTGGGTCGTGGATACAGCACCCTTTAGGTCTAAACACATACGCATATGATTGGCCGTTTCTGCCCGTCGAGCGATGATGTACTCAGTGACTTGGGGAACTAGAGGTACTGAAAAGTCCATCGCCGCATGAATCGCCTGAAGGGCGTCACACAACTCTCCGGCGTCAGGTCTATTTTCAGGTAAAGGTTCCAAGCACGCTTTACACAAGTCACCGAACCATTCTGGTACACCGGGCACAGGTTCGATGCGGTATATATGATCTGGAGGCTGGCGCCGATCCAAGAGAATGTCCGGTGAAGGGAATATTACTTTGCTTACTAACTGCCAAAATATCACTCCCAGGCTGTAGACGTCTGACTTTTTTGTGTAGATCCCCTGTCTCACTTCAGGAGCAATGTAAGGGGGTCGACCATACACAACTTTTGTTAGGGCAGTTACATATGAAGATTCATGAGCATGAGTGGCGAATCGGTAGTCGACCAAAAAGTAATCGCTATCAGTACAAATGATATTCCTTGGATGGACATTACGATGACAAGTCTCGGTTTTGTGCAGGTCCGCCAGATTCACCGCTAATCGGAGCATTGTGCCTGTGATGGTCTTGAGATCGAGATCGCCAAGTGGTAGTTGGTGCATGTGGTCTTCTAGATTCCCTCCGTTGCTAAGTTTCATCACCATCATCAGATCTCCTGTACTTTCACATACTGTCAGACCTTTGAATAGGAGAGGCAGATAGGCCCTGGATTGTACGGTTATCTAAATATTATATTTTCGCGTAAAATAATAATAGTACATAATCGTTTTTTGTTTTGTTTTATTGTTTTATCTTAATGTATTCGTGTAGTGCTTTATTACCTCGTTGAGTAGCTTATCGTCAACTACCTTTAGAGCGATTTGAGATGACTGAGAAACATAAGGAGGTGCCAACTGAGCAGCGTACACTGCAGAGAACCCCCCTGCACCGATGAACTGCATTGATGAAAACCACGACCACGGAAACCACTGCATAAAGGGATCTAATTCCTCGTGGAAGATCTGACAGACTGCCTTACGTGCTCTTGGGAGCGAGGCTTCGATGACAGCGTCCGCGGTGTACTGTTTACTGAGTACTTTGAAGGATAACTCCTGCCTCCACAAAGTATCCCAATGCTAATTGTTGGTTAAAATATGATGACTTGTTGAGCTTTGGAGTGGGGATAAAAGGATGGTTTACTTACAAGATGGTTATCAAATATCAGGGCATTATTCGTGTAAAGTTGTGTGATCTCGGCGTACAATGAACTCAGGGCATTTGATAGATTGCCATCTTCTTTGTTGGGAGGTATAAGTGCTTTGAGTCCAAACTCGGACGAATATTGCCTAACAAGGATTGCTATGGCCTGTTGAGTCTGGTGTTTGATTGCATCTCCTAATTGCCGTGTGTAAAGCTGCTCGAGTTCTTGATCATCCATAAAGATATATATATATATATGAATATATATATCTATATATCTATAAAAATTAAATAATAAAAGAAAGCAAGATAGGGGTCGGAGAGAAAGGAAGAGAGAAAGAAGATAGCAGGATAAGTGTTCAAGTTTGTGTAAGCTATATTGATTCATTGTAACTATTCATCTGATTGGTTATTTAATTGAATTAGTGTTAAGCAATTGCTTACAAGATTAGACTGTCCCAGTCGCCTCCGTCTATGGTTGTACCTTTTTGGCCATATGGCGCCATCACTGAACACTTACTTTCGACCAGGTTTCCCTTTTGTCTTTATTGCTATTCTCTTTACTTGCTCTTCTACAAATAGTCTACAAAATAGACTTGGCTTTAGTCATTTCACTCACTCACACATATATATATAAATAGCCTTTAACAAAAATAATTAATAGAGTAACAAAGACTGGAAGCCAAAATAATAATGATAATAACACTAAGGTTGTGTAAACTATAGTTGCCAAGAAGTCAAATGAATCTGACACAATAACCCCTTTGCAAAGACAACAAGTTTTGGCTGATTCTTTATTAATTTTACTGGATTTCGTTTCAGAGTTTATTAATATATATATAAATATTTAATATGAATAGGAACACAATAGATAATCTCAAAATGCTTTAATCTTAAAACACAGTGTGAGAAGGTTATAAACCTTGGCTCAAAAAATATAAGCGTAGATAAGACCGCACATTGTCTAACAAAAAAGCTTGGCTTGGCTTTTTATTATTATTATTTATTGCCGAAATCATTAACATTAAAAACAAGAGGTCTGGATAACCCTTATTCGTATATTGATAAATAAGGACAAGTAGAAATCGATGTAAATACAAAGATGCATGCATATTCAATTATTATCAAAAAAAAATTTGGTTTTTTTTTATTGAGAATTGATGTTAATTTGATTTGACTTTTATGATTGTTCTTGACATTCATGAATCAATTGAAAGAGGGGTAAGCTATATAATGGTAAACATATATAAAAGGATGTTTAGAATGAATGGAAGTATTTTTAAAAGAAAAAAAAGTAAAGAGGGCATTGTAACCTGTTGCCGCTGTTGCTCAAAGAAGAGAGTTCTTCTGGTAGGAGAACTAGGGCGTTGTGGTCAATGATCAATCTACTAGTCCTATTTTGTGAATTTTGACCTTTTTTTTGACTTTTTTTTTGTGTGTGGGATAAAATTGCGAATGTTTTTTTCATGAAAATGATAGAATTGATATTTTTCAATCAAGTGCTTGGGTATCCAGACCCATGTCAATAGCACGTTGCTTGAGATAAATGTACATTTTGTACTGAAGGTCGAGGAGTGGAGATACATGTTGGGTGGGCTGGGTAGTCATGTCAGAAAGATAGGATTGGACTCCAACCACAAGGTTGAGTAAGGAATCATTTTGATAATCAGGGTTAGGGTTGTTGTAGGCTGTGTCGTAGGTCATAGTCTCGTCCTCTTGATCATAGTATTCTTGATCACTGTATTCTTGTTCTTCTTCTTGGGAGTACATGGTGTTGTCGGTTGGCTGGTCAGCATAACCCTGGTTATAGTTGTAGCTATAGTAGTCATAGCCATCCTCGACATTGTAGTAGTCGCTAGAGAACTTCTCTGCGACAGCTCGGTCATACTCCCCAAAGTAAGCTTGTTCAGCTGCCAAGGCCTCTCTCATCTCCACACTGTACTCTTGGTCATTATCAAAGGAAGGGGATTGACAGAGAGAATTCATTGGAAATATACAAGGGTGTAAAAGGGGTTATGTGAATGGGAATGGGGATGTGTGTGTGTGTGGGATAGAGAGGTAGGGCAAAGATGAAGAGAAACAAGCTTGAAGAACAAAGAATATACAAAGAGTTAGAGACAAATAGACAAAAGGATTGGAGAAAGATATTTGAAGGAAAGTAGACGTAGTTTGATAGGGCAAGAGAAAGAAGAGAGGAGACCGGGGAACAAATGAACGCTGGCCGTGGTCAGACATCTTATAGTCAGTAATCGCATGGTGCCACAAATCCAACCCACGTTTTTCTCTTACCAGAATCAATGAGGAGTTCATTTTCTGGCTTATTTTTTTTTGCTCCCATCAATGCTGTCAGTTTGGTTACTCTCAATAGTCTACAAAGGCATGACTGTGACCTATACTTCTTTTAACTAATTTGTATATATAACTAACATTTCTTTGTGATTCCTACACTATCAAACAAAAAAAAGGGCACTATATTTATATCCATTCGGAGACAGACCGGAGAAATTGTTTTCAAATTTAGAATCATTGAACCTTTAATCAAAATTTTACTTTGTATTGTTTTTCAAACAGACAGAATAACACAGTCTGTTACTTTATATGAACAAGGGGAAAAGAGCTATACAACAGAGGAGGAGAAAGGAGACGGTTCGAGAGCTTATTTAATACATATTCTTGTGGGAGTTGTCAGGAAAGTCATCGAGGTTTCTAAGCGGGATGTGTTTGTTACCGCGCTTTAGGCGGGAGGCATAGGAGCTCACTACAGATGCGAAATAGATCTACAGAAAGATCACATTCAAATAATATAAGATTTTATTATTATTATTAATTAATTAATTATGATTTCTTGTGTTTATCGGCTTCTTTAGCTATCATTTTCGATGTTCCTTTTTTATTATTATTATTTGGGATCAATTATATGCGGCTTACCTGGATAATGTTTCCCATAACTACTGCGATACCACTGACAATTAATATTGTCTTGAGATCGTTTGAGCAAGCGTTCTGTAGCACAGTGGCAACCTCAGATCCTGAAGGGACCTTGACGATGGAGTATATGTCTGAATCGGGTTTACTGACATAATTGGCACACTCATCCTGCCACGAATCTCTATTGACGAGCAGTAATACCCAGCCAGCCACTGAAACAACCAAAATCAAAATTGCCATGATCCAATAAAGCACTCTAAAAACAGCTGTCATTGCACGATTTTGCTAAAAATACAAATATAATTTTGCAGTCGAATCAATAAATGCTTAACTCCCTGACTACTGAATATATATAAGAAAAATACTTACACTAATGCTTCCAAACACACCCAGTATAGAGCTGATTGAATATACAGAAACCACAGCCACGGAAGTCCAAAAAATAGGCGTTAGGAAATTGAGGCTGTCTGGATGTTTGGCAAACATATCTAGATAAAGCCACACCCAGTCAGTATAAGAAAAAAAAACAAGATATTATAAAATAAAATAAAATAGTTTAGCCCCTTCAAAAAAAACATATATATATATATATAAAAGGCTATCTTATAATGATAGTAATATTAAGAATATTGAAACAAGCCTTATTTCTTGGGTGTATTTATTGTTCTCAGCCATCATTGCTTTTATTACTATCATTATTTTGCTTACCACTACGACGTATCAAAAGGTATACTAAAGAACTAATGTAGAATGCCTATTAAAATTTAATTATTAATATTATTAGTATTATTAGTTAATATCTACGTATGTATATATGTACATATAAAACATATTAAATCTTACAGAAGACACAATGGCAATGACCATTACACCTGCACTGTTAACAAGGAAGTTTAAATTGTGAGTTCAGGTACAATACAACAATAAGATCAACAGACGAATGACATGACGGTTGCACACCTACCGAAGCGGGATGCAACAACAGCAGGATTTACTTGAGCCCATGAGTATGTATGTAGTGCGTGGTAGTAAAACAAAGAGAGGTTTTATAAACGCTTGTGTTTCTAGATTTTTGATAGATTCCTAAAGGAAAGAAGAATCGAAGAGAGAAAAGGACATGTTTGACTCTATTTTTATTCTCTGGCTAAACTGTATCAGGCTTTCTCTGATTCTTGCTCTTTAGACGCTTTTGGATGACAAGTTTTCCGCGCACAGAGAGCGGAACAAAAAAAGGCTTCAGAATGGTCACATCCTGTGTAGATGCGCATACGTGTAACCATATCAGCCCAAGTTCTATTTATATATCACAGACTTGGCCATAAAGTACGTTCTCTCTCTCTCTCTCTGTGCGTGTGCGTACGTGTGTTATGACCAACCAAAAAAATCAAGCCAAGAAAATAATAATAAATAAAGAACAACAATAGACATTTAAGCCAAAAAAAAACCGTACCACAATATCACAACCAAGACATGCCATAGAGCAGTTCAATGCCTGCACAAAAGTTCAAGTAGATTCTTTTTAAATACCTTGACCACCAACATTATAATTAGATTTGTCTTGTATTAGATCGGCTTAACCTGAATAGATTATTTATAAATAATTAATAATACCGTTGGTGTGGACAGACTAAAGGTTCAAAAAAGAGAGCAAAAAAAAAAGAGCAAAAGTTGAGGTCATATTATTGGACTAGAGCCTTAATTAATTTTGCCCTTTTTTTGCCCTTTTCTGAACTTTTAGTCTATCCACACCAACTATATAATCTATCAGCAATCTTACGAGGGCGACGTTTTCTGGTGGGGCACGACGTTTTTATCCGACCGGACTAATGAATTGTGATTACATGCCCAGGTCCTGATGTCTCTCTCTAATCCTTCAAGGCAAAATGACGTGTCCTGAAAAATAATATATTCATTGTACACATTAGCTTACTACTTTGTCCCCACACTTTGTGTGTTCATCAATCTTTCTCCAGGCACCTGCCTCTCATTCTTTTAAGAGTTACAGTCTGTATTTGGGCAACTGAATAACGAAAAGTGTTTCATACGAAAAACAAGTCCTCTATATTCAACTAATAGTCGTTTGTGTCCTAAATTTAGACTTGACAATAAAGAAATAATAATTCATCCCAAACACACTATATCAATAGCCAGCTATGCAGAAGATCATAAGGAGTTTTTGCCATTAGAGTGCGACGCAATCTTGTTGGATATCTTACTGTTTATTAGCCTTCTTACGCATATCATATCATATCATATCTTTCTCTCACTTACGTATTCCCAGAGTTCGACGGCACCAGCCAGTAAGTAGCTCCCACCCACACACCATTTTATTTTTATTGTATTTTTTCAAATCACAACAGAGAATCTTGATACGAATATTCTGTATCCTTAAGGACCAGATATAAATATTCTATGACGGAAAAAAGGCACAATTTGTGTTCCAGTAGAATCAAAATGTCGTATCCCACCAGAAAATGCAGTGTCCACAAGGAAACATCGTGTCCCTACAATTAATGGTCCCCTGCTCATCACTTTAGTTCATAAAATGAAGATCCCTGAAGAAAAGCTGTTTAATACTGATATATGTTTTATCTATAATAAAAACAGCTCTAACTATCTGTTTTTACTTGTTTTTTCTCGTAGACTATTTGAAAAATACGCGTCCGGAGCAATATGATATTACACAATACGATTTGGTCATTTGTAAAAAGAATCTGACAACAAAAAGTGTAGCCCACACGTATCTTTCAAACGACATAACCACTTTACTCTCAAGCAACCCTAAAAAAAGAGAGAAAATAGGGTACTGGCCGCTCTAAAGATTGACCTTAAGGTAAGAGACTACATTTTCATTTTTAAAATCCAATATAAGGTTCCGGACAGTGTTTATGTATAGAATGCTCGCAGAAACACACTGAAATTAAGCTTTTGGGACGATTTAGCCCAAATCATCGAAAAGAATCACCTCAAAAAGCATGAGTTTCAGGTAACTTATCAATTACATAACCATAAGTGACCACAACACCAATAATCATTTAATATCTTTAGGCTGAAATGAACAAGATTAGCTAAGAGATAATCCGCGGCACCTCAAGAAAGATCACAGAGAGCATATATCACTATATGCTCAAATAAAGCTATAATCAGATCAAGTTAAATAACCAATTGCACTATCTAGAAGAAAGACTCTCATAGCCAAAGTCTCTGCCAGTATCTAAAGGCAAATACATCTATGTTTCTTTTATAGTCTCCTAAGGAAGACGACAAGATCTGCTTCAAAGGATCAAAGCTGAGCATAGGAACACTCATAGAGACAAAAGCTGTAGACTATCAGCAAAAATATTTGGTCGGGTCAAAAGTCAATGAACAATGTAAATGACTAGAAATCCTTGTATCACGACTATAGAGAGAAATACAAAACAGTTAATGAAGATTTAGATCTAGTAGTTCTCATGTATTAGAATTTTTTTTTTTGTATTGAAATTGGGATATTGCTCAAAAAGTATAATGTAATTTTCTCTTTTCATACTCAATCAGAGACTTACAATAAATCTGAGCCTTTCATTGGCTCCATATAAAAGAAAATAAAATAAAAATGTCTTCTCTCTCGGAATATCACAATTTTGGACGCTTCAAACGCAAATAATTCGCAGCAACCAATAATATATTATTTAATCGTAAGAGTAGCTTATTTTTTAAAGAGGCGATGTACATATAAAGGTGCCGCTTTATTTTGTTACCAAGATGCTTATTTGTCTTCCACACCAAATTAGTCTGTAAAACTTCTTTCTTTCTCTTACTATTTTTTTTTCAATTAGTTTTCTTTGAAAAATAAAACTTCTCCCCTTCCTTCCTTCCTTCCTTCCTCTCATTAATCTCCATACATTCATTTATCTCCCAAGGAGCATCGCTTCCACTTACTGTCATTTCACCACCCTCCCAGACAACTATATTCATTCATTGGACTTATAATAACCAAAAGAAACATACACTCACCTAACAATACACCCAAAAAAAATCAATAACATAACATGTACTCTACTCGCAAATCCAAGTTACTCAGTCTATCCTTTGTAACAGCATTGGTTAGCGCCTGGTCTTGGACGCCTGTTATGGCACAAGGTTATGATGGTAAGTATCCTCTTTCTTATTCTTTATATTATTTCTATCATTTCTACTCATTCAAATTATGGAGTTGAATTCTGGTCTGGTTACGCGATTAAACATAATGAAAAAAAATGAATCCAAGGACCAATGTGTGTATATATATATATATATATATATAATGAGTTTACTTCTTGAGTCAATTGAACCGTTAATATCTTGGCTATAAATATCATTCAATTCAATACACGTGTCATCACACCTTGTTTATTATAATATATAAAGTATTGCACTCAACTCAGCAACCGACAGAGCGATCTTCACTAGTATTATATTTAATCAGCTCCACCAACAAAAGCAATAATCTCGACAAAAACACATATGCACACACGCAAAAATACCCACAGACATATACTTTATTTTTATAATTATTACCATTTTTATTTAAATTTTTCTTAAATCTTAATATTCTTGGGATACTTTTATTGAGGTTGTACCTGAATAATGGATTTCTTTATATATAATATATATATATATAATATAGTATATAGTATATATTGGTCAGGGCTCTACTTCTGTATTAGCAGTATAAAGAACGATCTTTTCAACTATATATTTATATTTATATGATTCGAGAGGAAGAAGGAATAACCACACGTGTTACATTCATTCTTGGCAAAATAATGGTCTAGGTACTGATTTGTACCCATAATAGATTACGACTATGAATCCACAGATACCACCACTACCTCTGACGACTCAACCAATGGATCCACCACTGATTGGAATGATAGCTCTTCGGTCGATACTACTACAGACACAACCACCTCTCCAGACACTTCTTATTCAACTGGCACCACTGTCGAAACCGGGACCACTGACACTAATGACACTACTGGTACTACTGATGTCACTGGCACAACCGACACATCCGGTCAAGGTAATGTGGACGGCACGGGTGCTAATGGTTCTGATGAGACCTACGGTGATAATTCGGGTGATAATTCTGACGATTCCAATGAAGACTCCTCTTATGAAGATTCTTCCGATGGATCCAACGCTGGAATCTCCGGTGATGACAACGCTAACCCAACTGAAACCGAACAACTTGGTGATGATGGTACCCCAGTTGCGTCTGCCACTGCCGACGATGGAAGTCTCGCTGCTACACCTACAGAGACGATCGATGAAACCTTCTCAACCCCCACACCTGATGACTTGCTCACTCCAACAACTACTGATGATTTGCTCACTCAAACCACTACTGACGCTTTTCTTACTCCCACTACGACTGATGCCTTGTTATCTCCCACTTCTGAAATCGTTGCTGATCCTACCTCTATCGATTCTCTCATCTCCGCCTCACCTACCACATCGCCTACCGCCACTACTTCCGCTATCGCTGATAGCTCATCTGGTCTCTCTAGCACCAACAAAGCCATTATTGGTGGTGTTGTAGGTGGCGTTGGTGGAATTGTCTTGCTGGGTGCTATCGTCTTTATTGCTTTGCGTCGTTCTAAGCGTTCTCGTCGTCAATCTGACCTTGAAGTCTTCCAGCCCCGAAACGACAATTACGAAGTGCCCTTTGCTTCAGGCGAGAAGCACGAGTGGGATGGTGGATCACAGTCATCTCCTAGTATGGCTCAGCACCATCAGCCTTACGGAATGAGTGCAGTTTCTCTCCATCCCCAGCAATATTAGAGATAATAGCCGAGCGGTTCTCTTTTTATATTAAAAAATAGCAAACTTATTAGATCTCTTTCATTATCCTTTTCTCTTTCTTTTTACTCCCTCATCATTTTTGTATTTAATATAAATATATACACATATCTTTTATCTTTTCTTCTTCTTCTACCACAACTACTTTAACGCTCAAACCGAGCTCCAATATTTAAGAAGAAGAAGAAAAAAGGGCTTTCTTTATCTGTAACAAATGTAAATGTGGACTCACGCCATGAAAAAAAACATTGGCCAGTTTTGTGTCACATCTTAATTGCACCCTGTACGACTATTTGAGGAACAAGTATTTGTTTGACCGTACCACTTGCTTTCCAACGTGGCTTTGTGTAGTTAAGTACCAACATAGGGTTTGAAAAAGAAAGAAAGGGAAAAATACCTCTTTTGTACATAGAGATTGCTCATCAATGGATGAGAACAAATCCGGACTGGACCATTGGAGCCTTTCTTGGTTATTACCCTAAGCCCAAAAATAATAACAACAATCTATGTGCCCTTACCACGGGGCTGGATTCCAAAACATGCCCTGAAATAACAGTAATAAAAGAATATATATATTCTGAGAGTAACGCTTTTGTACAAGCGTTATGCTATAATGAATTTAAACCAAGCTTATATCCAGTCTATATGTCTCGTTCCGTTTCATTTTACCCTTGATTTACTAGAAGAAAAAGACAATATTCGGTCTAATATTCTTTTTAAACAAGTGTGTTAGCAAACTGATAGAATAACAAATCTTTCTTCCCTTTTGTTTTAGTAATATCAGGCTTATTTAATAGTCTTCTAGACTTTATTCAAAAGTAAGTAAATACAAATATATCGAATATCAATATGGTTAGTATTGTTTTAATACAAAGGCGCATATAGAATCTTTGTATTTTTTATTAAAAAAAATACAATTGTGTTATGCTCTTCGGTAAATCTTATTAAGCAGTATATATGGCATACTTTCTTTTGTGTTTTCAATAGCCTCCAATTGGTGTCGGACTCGACTCTCTGAAATGTTAGACAAACTATTGAACTCGAGTTTTGTTGACAGTGACAGGTGCAAAGAACGAGAATGTATGCATATTAAATTGAATATTTCCCAATTATCTGCCGTTCAAAGTCAAAAGTACTAAGAAAATATATATTCCTCTAGAGACTTCAATATATCCGACTCGTTACTTTACGTACAGGATTATTTTCTATATATTTTATTTGCTTTATGTATGTATATATCTACTCTTGTGGAGGCATATTTTTCCGTCCTCGTAATTAAAGCCTCTAGAATAAATTTGGATATAAATATATTATGTAATTAATGAACAAGTACTACAATGAAACAGTAAATATGTTTCATTTGGTTTATTATAATGTTCTTTTAAAGACAGTATATGTTTAACAAGTCGAGATTTTTAAGATAAGAACTTCTTGTAAATACAATCAATTGTTGTAATTATCAATATATATATATACTTAATGAGACAAATCCATTCCGTCTTTATCGTGGGTTATTTCACCAGAGATTTTAAGTGTACTAGCTTCCAAAGTATCCAGGTTAACAAGTACAATCTGTCCAGTCTTTTGGAAAGATGGTACCAAAATAACACGCACTTTCTGACCATCATGTCCTAATAGTCCCGCATAGGGTAAATTACAAGATATTCATGACACATATCCACATACTATCATATTCTTATTATTATTTTACCTTGGATATCGCTAGTCTCAAACTCTGGCTGATTTCCAATAAAATAAACATGTGGACACTCTTTTACTAGAAAGGAATCTTCACCTGCAAGAGGATAGCACCCTATCATAGAAATAAACGATAATGGTATATCTGAGCCTCCTTTTCTTTTTTCTGGACTATTTTAAAGCTTACACAGTGTATCGGGTGCTGTTGGTGCGATGTGTTGCCAGAACAAAGTAAGCTCTGCCATTTTCAATCGGTTCTCATCATTAGAGTATCGATAGATGTCATCCACATTCTGGCCTGATGTACCCAAAAAGCTAATAAAGAGAAATCCAACAAAGACGTCAATAATTTAAATACTAATACCAATGTAACATATTCATATTTACTTTACACCATCGATATCACAGCAATATGGATTTGTGACAGTGTTGAATGTGGAATGCATTTTGGCTTTACTAAACATGAATGGATGAATCGGTTTTTGTGGTAAGTGAACTGCAGTTGGATCATTAGGTCCAGGCATCAGATCAATTTCGAGTGAAGAGCTGACATCGTCCAGAAAATCGTCGAGTATATCAATAGCCGATGAATTATAACGAGTTGCTTCGTATCCGTATTTTTGCTAAATAAATATTCAACGTATACATTAATAACCTTAATGATTATACCAAATTTCTTCGTACATATATATACATACACCTTTTTCTCCACTCTCGACTGCCTTTGCTTTACCAACTGAATTTCCTGCAATTATCAACCGAGTAATACACGCACTAGATTGTTGGTTCTATAGATACATATTGTTTAGCAACTATATATATATATATATATAAACAAGGCAAATTATCCTTTACCTCTACACTTCCTAGTTCACCAGAAAGAAATTCAGACAGCAGCTGGGTGTTCAACCCAAGAGCAGCCTCACTATCAATACTAAGGCCAGATAATATGGCGACATATTTATGACCTGTGCATTATAATTAATCGCTTGCTCTGTATTCGAATATCATCTTGATAAATATGCGACACTCACCAGGTTTAGTTTGGGCTTTCAAGGGCCTTTGGGGAGAAAGTCCGGGAAGACAGGCATCAAAGATCTCAAATGCACCGGATGGTGTTTCTTTTCCTAACACAGCAATAACAGCACCTAACATCCAAGAAATAATTAAATATCGATAAATTATTTACTTAATAGATATACTCTACAAAAAAAACAAGTATTATATCTTACCCGACACAAGATGTTCCTTCTTGAGATGCTGGCCCGTAAGTTCTACTCGACCAGACTCATCTTCCAACGCAATAACATCATTCTCAGATCGATATTTTTCAGGTACAGAAGGATCAATAAGAGAGCTCTAAAACACATAGACACACACGCGCACGCACATACACAGCCATTTCATTTAAGTCAAACAAGTAAATAGACAAACAAAGCAAATAGGCAAACAGACAAAAAAAAAGTATAAGAATATTGAAATGTTTTTTTTTCTTATTCTTTTCAATGGAGCAATATACACATCTGGCTTCAATGCGTTGTAATACATCGAGGCTTGAGCACTCGGGAGAGAAAAATAAAGTAAAAAAGTATATGAATACCTCTTCATTTAGGTCGCGAAGAACATTAGGCTTTGTTGACATTTCCATATAAATTGTGCCAATTATATAACACAGCTCTCCTGCAAGTACTTCTAATGCCTTTGGTACATAGACAGGCTTTTCTGCTCATTATAGTATCAACACCACATATATATGTATGTATTTTGATTTACACGTTTATAGTGCCATTGAATTTCAATGGGAAAGAATGCTCAACTGACCTGGTAGGTATCCCCATCTTTCCTTGGCCTTTTCTACCAAAATAGGCCGTAATTGGACTAAGCGTGGGTAATACATTTCTGCATATTGTCGGTTAAATGATCTGTGATCGATCTCGTAACCTTTTGAAATCTCGGCTGGCTTATCAAATGTAGAAAGCTTTCGTTGTAATGTATCGCCAGAAGCGTTACTAGCATGTTGAAAAACAAGATAAATAAAGAAGAGCTATATTGATGCAGAAATCTAAAAAAACATACGCCATTGATGTAGATGAGTTTGCCATGTGGATCTGTATGATTCATCGGATCTGCGACGCGATCATTATGTTTATAAACCTTGTCACGCGTATGTACCAGTTGGACGCGTTTGTGACGTCGAAGTAATGTGGGGAAAGAGGGAAGTTAAGAGATGTAGAGAGGGGGGAGAGGGGAGGGGGGGGGGCCAGGACGAGAATTAAAGAAAAAGAACAATGCCAAGCCCTTTAATCAACCCCTTCCTAAATAAGTTTGGGCATTATTCTTCATTGAAACTTTTCTTTTTTCTTTTTTCTTCTCTTTTTATACACTATTATTGTATTCATTCTCTGCTGAGAACATGAGAGTGTGTTGTTGTTCCTCACTTGAAACATGTCAGCGATCGCTTATGCGGGCTGTGAATGCATCCCCTGTTGTCTTACTCATCCTGATCTTCGGATGGTGTTACTGGGCTTATATATTTCGGTTGTGCTGGAGCTTGATTGCTGATAGGCGCATTGCTCAAGGTGGATTGTCGTTACGAATCCATGTGCATATATACATTAATAATAAACACACAATGAACACCCCACTCACTTTTGCTTTCATTTTTGCTTTCACTGTCCTGGTTTCTATTTGATAACTGGATTAATTGACTCTATTTTTTTTTCTCGTAGGTATTCTCTATATTATCTTCTTTCAGCCTATCTATATACTATGTATTTGGAGTTTCTGGAAGATTACCCGAACCTCTCCCGGATATTCTAACGATGTAAATATCCAAGTCTTATCTTGTGTTGTCTCGTCTTGTTCATAGAGAGAGAAAAAGAAGGAATAAAGTAAAATAAAGTAAAGTAAAGGGCTAACACTATTGTGTATCTATATACATATTCAATTAAATAGAATAGCAAACGATATGATGATAGGGATGAGGAGAGTCCAGAGGATATTTATGATGCAAATGAAGATATGCAACTGTTGAATCATCAGATGGATGATGAAGAGGGAGAAAGAGATAAAGCAGGGGAACCTTCGGTGGCAATTCTTAATGTGGAAGCCTCAGAATCAACTACCAGTCTAAACCGTACATTGACTTCCAAACGAACTCCAGTATACAGAACGACTGGTATACCTATAACTGTAAAGAGATGTGGCGAAACTAGATTTTGCAAGAAATGCCAACTACATAAATTTGACCGAAGCCATCATTGCAGGATATGCAAGCGGTAAACGCATTTATATAATACTTGTAAATAGTATAAGACTCCAACTACTATAAAAAAAGGCGATAGGCATGCTGACCATTCGGTAATATTATTAGATGTGTCCTTAAAATGGATCAGTAAGTATCTTGTTCAAGAAATGAAAAGATATCAAGGCTGTAATTTTTAGTAACTAGTGAATGTATAATTACCAACCAACTCCTTACCTTTTGATCAGTCACTGTCCTTGGTAAGTCAAGGCAATAAAGAAACGTATCACCTTGGCTAAGATTAACCACATAATATCTTCTGCAGGGTGAATAATTGTGTAGGGTTTCGAAACTATAAATTCTTTTACAATTTCTTGGTCTACGCATCTCTTCTATGTATCTTTATCTTTAGCACGACCCTTCCACCGACCATCCGAATACTCAATCAACCTTTGGTAAGCAAATTTATATAAAAATTAGTGTTTTTTTTCTGGTGTTGTGGTTAGCAAAATTATATCAACTTAATTGTGCTCTCTTTGATATTCTAGAGTATATTTGGGCTTGATTTCAATTGGATCCTTTTATTATTTGTGTCTGTAATTTTTGGAATCTTCCTTATTCCATTCACTCTCTTCCACACACGCCAACTCTTCAAGAACAGAACAACAATCGAATTCTATGAAAAAGCAAATTTCAGACTCGGGCGAAACAGAGGTCGACATGATGTGATGCGTAGCAGATATTTTAACCCTTGGGATCTTGGAACCAGGTATAATCAGCTCTACAAAAATAATTCTATCCTACTTGAGTTTCTCTAACAGTAATTATACCTCAAAGAGGAAACATTGAGCAAGTATTAGGGTCTAACTGGATGGCATTCCTTTTGCCTATTGGACAACCGTACGTTATTACATGTTGTTACTATTATAATTATTTTAAGAGAAAGAGAAACAGAAAATAAGTATTTAAATTAGCACCTAAGCTTGGTTCTCTAAACAATTTAGTAACAAAAAAAAATAGGAAAGGAAATGGACATCAATTCCCAATTAACAAATACGCATACGATACATTGGATACTGAGGGAGATGATGATTTCTAGACCGGGTTAGTTGGAGCAAACTACTATTTTTTTCTATCTTATCGATTGCGCATATAAGAACTCAAAACCTTGAACGAAAATAATAATAATAATAATAATAATAATACGCCCTACGATATTTATGAGTTTATTCCCGTGTTCAATCCTATTTTGTGAATAAATAGATGTAGATTTTATATAGTTTGTTAATATTAATACAGCTACAGGTAGACTATATCTGTTTTAAAAGCAAAAGTCAGCATGGGTATGGTTTTTAATGTATGCTTCTGTCTAGTGTATATTCTAAAAGAAAAAGTTGGTATAGTCAAATGAATGCTATACTGTATTATTGGTATTATTGGTATTTTTATTATTAATTTGTACAGCGAACCGCATATTCAATACGTCTCTTTTCCCTGGCAATTTCAAATATAGTTGTATATGCTGATATATTTTCAGTTCCACCTTTATAGTTTCTTTAAAATGACAAACCCAGCTGTTTACATGTGCAGTTGTAGATCTTTGCCGGGGATATGGCAGAACAAGGGTAAAAATGAAAACAAACGGAGCAATAAAGTAATTACGCGTAGTTTTGGCTTAGCTGACGGGTCCTTTATTTAACATACTTCTTAATATTAATTGTAATTATAATAAAACGTTGCAATGTGTCAATATCAATCCATCAGATATTATTATTGTTCCAAGCCCTAAATCTCTTTTGTAGTACATGCTTGGTAATCAGAAACTCGATTTCGGCTATGTATTTATGAAAGCTTTCTGTATGCTAATCAAGATTGGGTATATTAGGAATAGATATTGCTCGACACTATACATATTTATTTATGTATATATTTATAATTGCATAAGGCTCCAAGAACCAACACACGCAAAAGCACAAGCACAAAGCAATAACTACTTTTTCTCACTTATAAATATTTAATCAAACATTACACTACAAGAAAATAATATGGTAAAAGAACAGTAAATTGAAACATAAAAAGGAGTGGACCAAAGTTTTACCAAAATACCACCAAAACCTATTCCCAAGAACCTAATAAAATAAAAAAGTATACCTTTAAAACGTTTCAGGTACTTTTATTATTGTTAACTTATGAAAGTTAAATTTATAGTCCATACAAAGCTTTTAGTATATTATATAATAACATAAGTCATACCAAAGATGATATTTAAAAGGTGTATTATTATGTTTTGGTTGTTTTTGGAGGTACTTTGTCCAGATATTACACTACAATTTGCTTCGCACATCTTTCAATCTATACAATTAGACCATCTTCAACAATACCTCCTTTAAAAAAATTGTTTTATTCGATACACTCTGGCTGTCATATTTATAGTGTGGACTCACCCGTTTAACTTTAGTCAAGTATACTCTTAATGAATATATTATGTAAAACCAATGATATTATAATAATAATGTTGACTCAAGATAAATTGAATATAAATATGTTTGATGTTTTTCAATGTTCTATTTGTGTGTCTGTGTTTGTGTAACTAGGTTATTATTTTCTCTACCATCTAATGACTGGTTCAGGAGGAAATGTCTCTTTGTGGTTGTGATTAAATATAGCATTCCATAATGGTTGGAGTTGTTCGGGAAGCTTCCATGGGTTCTCTGGATGAAGCCATAATCGTAATAAATGACGCCTTAAAACATATATATATATACAAAAAAACCATATGAGTTTTTCTAACCACAAAACAATCGTTTTTGGATAAAGTTATTATTTTTTGACAGCATACCGATTAACCGTACTGTCTATAAACCCTTCTCTAGCGTGAAATATTGATAGATTTGATATGTATTGAATATCCCCTTTCTTAAACTCGATATCCAAATGGTTTTTTTCTGAAATGTAGTGGAGAGCATCCAGTGCCTCTGCTTGTGCTTCGGTAATTGGAGGAATACTTTCACTTCTAGGCTTACACCCAAACCCTGTGAATTTACGACGAGCATATTGAATAATCAAGTGGTTATCTTCGTAGTAAAGAAGAGGTCGTTTATAGCACATGTGTTCGTTAATATCACTAAGACTTTATTGTGAGTTGGATTTTTCTTTTTCTTTTTCTTAAGCAATTCTTTATTTATTTATCTATTTTACTTCGCCTACTGAAAATAATTACCTCTGAAATGTCCATGGTTCGGACAGTGTATGGATAAGATCAGGTCTTGTTGATGCCAACTTGTTGTAAACTGTCCAACTTGAAGCGATCTTTGATTTTCCACCTAATTCGGCCACTCCGATGGCAAAAAGGGAAATGATATCTCCAGCATCTGTGTGATAAACTTGGTGGTCATTGGTGTATGATGGAGCAAGAATTGTATCGATGCCTCTTTCTGGAGCCATGTCTTTAATATGATCTGTGCCAAAGTTTATTAGGATTCTCGTCTTGGATATCTTTCCTTTTTTTCGGTATTGTACCTACACAATACATGTGCACCTTGTAGACCTCTTCTACCAACATAAGAAGATATTCCTGCATAAGCAATTATTTGCTGGTGGCGCGTATACTTTTCTGGGTCCAGGCCACGGAGGATCAAGAATCCACGGCCATCAACCACATCTTCGTGGATCAATTTCTTGATTGTTGGTCCAAGAAAACACAGGGGGAAAGTATCCTGATTGATATCAAACAGAGGCCTTTTGGTTTTTTCGAATGCTAGTATTGCTATATGTATCTCTTGTAGTTCATCTTTGGACATTGTGTAGATCCATTGGCCTTCTTTGCCTTCATAATCACTTCCTGTCCAAACCTTTGGACCATATAGCCTTTTTGGGAACTTTGCTGGTAAATCGGTCGGCAGAATTTCTTTTTCCAAACGATGGGCAGTTCTTGCCTTCCATTTTTTGTAGTTTGGAAGATATGTGATGTCTGGCTGGCTGTTGTTCTTTAGCTGAACTGTTGGCATAATATAAACGGAGTAATATATATAAAAATATGGTTTTTAATTGAGATGACTAGGTTTAGCTTTCTTTTTTCTCCTAGTAACTTTTTTTAAGAAAAGCACGCACACACAAGGCAAATTAAATATCAAAATGCGTATAGAATCATAAAGAATAGAATAAATTATATAGAAAGCAATACGTCTGGCGTGACAAAATTTGTAATGTGGATTTGATGTGTATTATATCTATTGTTGTATGAGGAGGACAAAAAGAATAATACTCGAATGATGTTGAGGCTTTTTTTTTATATAACAGATCACCTACAGATGTTCTGTCTCTTCTGCTTTCCTATATCTGTCTTTGGTCTTTCTTTATCTCTGTTCGATTACACAGCATCTCAAGAAGACCGTATATTACACGAACCAACCAGAGTTAAACCTTTTGCCTATTCAGAACAAGTAAACTGAGCACATATTGCCCCACATTAAAAATTAGATTGTATACTACCATGCTATGTACCCAGACTTTGATCCCAGTTCAAATTAAGGCAAAGTGCCCTCACAGTATCAACCAATAATCAAAAACAGAAAAAAAATTAAGGAAAATATCTTTGAGGTTGGAAGATAATATTTTAGTCGAATGCAACTAGATAATTATCTCTTTAGAGTATCTTTTTGACATTGATCAGTACAACCACACTTTGTAACACTGGTTCAATAAGCTTTGCTTCTTCCTTTTTCTAAGTTATACAATTATTGTACTCTGTCGTATTGTTCTTTTGAATAACCTTTTTTTGTTTGTTTCAAGTATATAATAAGAATATATTTCTCAATAATTGAATATTTTATCCTAGGATTTTTCTATATGACTCAATAGATTGGTCAAGCTTAAAGGGTTTGGCTTCTACTAATAGTTTGTTTATTTTAAAGGAAGAAAGAAAGAAAGAAATATTTAAGCAAGACTGGATAGGATAAAGAGAGCCCTGGAGTGTACATATTGAAAAATATATATCGCATTCTATACAAGGTCTTTTGTTAATAAATTAAGTGCTTGAATAACCATTGTACATTTATATTGATTGGTAAGTTTCTCCTTATTTCTTTTACCATCAGAGTATTTGTGAAGAATGGGGTATTCAATTATTACTTTCGAACAAAATTGGGAGATCAATTTGAGAATAATACTATTTGCCTATGGCCACTCTTCTCAAGGTATTCAATAGTCACTTATTGTATTATTAAATAGTAAAGTTGCCACACCATAGATACAATTACTTAGTTGCTATATATCTATATATCTATCTATATGTACATTTTAATTATGCTCAAAAGACTGTACAACTTATTTCTTTTTCTTTTTTTTTTTTCAACCAGCTTAATTAAACCATACTTGACTATTGAATATACACCAGTTTATGTAGTCACTTGGTAAAACAATAGAACAAGGGTGCAAAACCATGAGATTCTTTTCTTAAGTTCAAATAACAGCAACAACAACAAATAGCAAAGTAACTGTATATTGATTTTATGCTATTCTATTTTATTTTTTATATTATTTTATATTTAAATATATATTTAATATATATTTAATATATATTTAATTTTTTTTATTTTTTTATTTCTCATTCCTTATATTATCTTTTTTTTTTTACGAATGCAGCCTTTTGTATCTCGGATCGCTTTACAGACTCGTCGTACCTTTTCAGCATCGACCATTAGTTTGGCTGCACGCGGCTCATTCAAGGATGCTCTTCCTCATCCACCAACAAATATTGTCAACAAGGCCATTGCTGCTGAATCTAATCCAGACGCCATTCCTGGTTCGACATTAGCTTCATTCAACAATATGTTTGCACGCGGCCCAAACGTTGGCCCAGAGGTCATTACAAAGTTTGGCTTTGTCCTGTCTAATAATGCAAAGGTCGAAGAACCAATGATCTTACTAAATGGTTCTGCATTCTTGTGGAGAGTACCTCAAGAAACAGATGTATTACCAATGCAAAACTGGGATCTTGACGTTTTCAAGATCTTTGAGGTAGTTACACCTAAACCAGGTATATATAAATATATATATATATATATGTGTGTGTGTGTGTGTTTATGGGCAGCCAAATAAATTCAATTGCTGTTGTTGGGCTGGTTTGGTTTGGTGTGTAGAATTGATTATGTTTGGAACTGGCAAGCACTTTGCACCCATGCCAGCCAAGGTTCGACAATACTTTTATAAGCTTGGTATTCAGGTGGATGTTATGAACACAGTAAGTTACAATTATAACAATCATAATAGATCTGTGTACTCATCTTTGTATATCTATATCTTGGAACAAACAAACAAAAAACCCCCCGATTGCCTTTAGAAAAACGCTGCAGCAACATATAATGTATTAGCAGAAGAAGGAAGACGTGTGGCAGCTGCTTTGTTGCCCCTTGGCCGACGCGATCAGAAATGATAGTAAATAATGATAATGATAATAATAATAATATTTTGTAATTTGTGATTTTTGACATTTGTATGATATAGCTGTGTGTACTAGCACTAGTACTAGTACAGTTCTATTTGGCTTTCTATTATTCAGAGTATATACATAATTCCTACTCTTCTGTTTCTGATGTTGTCGTTAAGATGACAAGGATGAGGATGAGGATGAGGATGAGGATAAGGATGATGATTATGGTTTTGATAATAATTATGGAGATTCGATAATCTGTTGTGGAACAGACATTCGCTTGTCTTTATTTTGGCGGTTCTTCTTTTCTCGCTTTCGTTTGGTCAACACACCTTGGATCAGCATCCTTACGAACCTCTCCTCGTCGATTATTTTCAGATGCTCATCCAGCTGTTTCTGGCCTAGTCTATAGATAAACTCTTGAAGGTTCCATGCAGAGAGAATAAAGAGATGCCGAGTGCTCATGTGGTTTGCTTTTAGCTGGGTAGAGATCGATTGGCGTACCTACAATGGAAAATAAGATTATTACAACAGCCAACCATGATTATGGTTATGATTATGATTATGATTAAGATCATTATTATTTTTGCTTCCATAAAAAGAAAAAAAAACATAAAAAGGAGGGTGGAAAACACTTGCTTCATTGGTAAGTTCGCCTACTGCTTTAGCCCATGCACGTCCTTCTTCTTGACCCTCTTTTCTATCTCGGCGCATCTTTGAGTCTACTGCCTGTATACTATAATTAAATAACCAAGATAAAAACAAAAATAAAAATATAAAAAAGAATATAGATTTATGTATGTTGTACACAAGTGATTCTTACCTGATCAGCCTTGTTACGCACAAAAAGCACAGGAACGCGCCACTCTCTTGCCTTTTTGGCAATGATTAGATCTGTTTCTTGTAGTCTAGAGCAACAATAAATATATATTTGCAGAGAAATAAAAGCAAGTTAAATGATTGTACACTGATATTTCCTTTTAATGCATTAATGATGTAGTAGCTTGGTCTAGACTTACCTTTCGGCAGTTACGATTATTAAAGAGTCGAACGCACATAAAAAATTGTCTTCGAAATATGTTTCTGCTGGATGATGCATTGTACCTGCGCCTGGCATATCCCACAGCACCATGGTCCGTAGATCCGGATGCCGATAACCTGCTGGTCTCATAGTAGATTCTGTCTCGCCTGTATGTGCAGCAAGTATATGGCTATCATGATATCCCAAGATTCCATTCACAAGTGAGCTCTTTGAAACAAACAAATAAGAAAATAGAATTGAGTTGAGTTGAATAAAATATTTAATTATATTTTTTGAATATATATATTTATATATTTATACAATTACCTTGCCTGTACCTGCGACTCCAACTATGGCAACGTTGTAAAAATGATCTGAATTGAGTCCAATCCTCAATTTGGCTTGTTCTTTGAGTTCTGGAGGGATCGGAAGTGGTTCTAATGGACCTTGACTGAATACACTTTGAAAAACACCCCAACAAGCTAGAAAAGGTGCCAATGGCCCTTTTGAATTATTTTTTTTAAAAAAAAATATTTTAATTCAATTCAATTCAATTCAATTCAATTCAACTTTCTTGGCTTACATCCAATAACACCAAGGATTCCCCCAATAGCACCATCCATGACCTTGACTCCTGTTAATTCTTCCTCTGTAAATGTGTAGGCATTTAGAAGAGGAAAGGCTACAATGACCATCGGAACAGCCAAGGTAGATATGGTTGCTTTTGTGAATCGACTTGATAGGTCGGTGTGTTCGTACAGGACGTTTGATTTATCTGAAAATGTTTTCGAGGCTGCTTGTCCCATTTCAACAACAGAAGTTATGTATAAAGACAATTATTGATCAAGTTAATTTAAAGAAAAGGTAAAAGAAGAAACTGCTGTGTATTTTATTTTTTTATATAAAAGTTAATAAAAAAAAAGAATTATAATAACAAGCTCTTTTTTTTATACCTCTCATGGGACGAACTCTTATATATTTATATTATTTGAGGTCACGGCACATGATCGACTGATGGCTGTAGAGTCATTCATGTGGAGTTTTGACGGTATGGATGTGTGTATGGGTAGGTATAGTATATTGTCTTGTGAAGTATCTAAAATATTACATACGAAAGAAATGTGCCTCCTTTTTTTTCTTATTCTTTCTTTTTGCACATGTCAATTAAAAACCTTGGCTCTTGATCAAAGAAGAAAAAAAAAGGGCTAATGACTGTTTATATTTTTGTCAATCAAAATTACACTTTATGTGGTTAGTTTTTGAGAAAGAACTTCTTTGACTACTAAACAACAATTACTTTGCTGTTACCAAGACAACCACTCAGCAACAACAAAAATAAAAACAATATTAATATTAATATTAATCAGAAAGTAAATGAAAAGCCGATTTTCTTGTAAGAAGCTGGTCATGTTCGGATTGATCACAGGTGTGTCGGTCGGCCTGTTGTGCGAAATCAAATCACAAACAAAAACAAAAAAACCAAAAAAAAAAAAAACTATCTCCAATAGAAATTACCTAATATCGATTGATCATCTCTATTTTACACATTAACAAAAGAAGACAGGCCAGACCAGTTGATATTATTCTTGCTCCTACGCTTGCTCTTATTATTATTATTATTACACTTTGGGAAAGCGTCATTATGATGGCTTGATATTATGAACATTATTATTTTGTGAGGAAATAAAATAAAATAAAAAAGAAGAAATGGATTTGCAATACACTGCGCGCTTTGTGTGTTTGTGAGTCTGTATGTATATTTGGCAATGCTAGTTTAACGGAATTCAAAGCTGTCTAGGCAATGCTGATTGACATTCTCCAAAGTCAATGCTTGGAACCTATTAAAAATTAGATAGATAGATATATAAAAAATAAAGATAAGCATACACAATTTAATACAGTCCAACCCGATAAACTACTTGAAAAAAATAGTGTAATGTAATAATTACCGTTCAATGTTTAAGTGATAAAAGTAAAATCCGGTGATCTTGTCAGTGGAACGTTGGTAAGCAATGTAATAAAAACCAGCAAAACTTGCTCCATCGATATTATTGATGTGATGGTTTGGTACCAGAAATCTTTCTTTCCATCGCATGTAGACCATATCGTTATCAATAGGATCATACACAAAGTCTTCCTTGTTAAAGCAGTCAATTAATGGCTTGAATGGCTCGAATAGTTCCTACCAAAAATGAATTGAATTGAATAAATTATTATTATTTCTATATTTATTTATTTGTGCTATTTCATTTCATTTCTTTCTTACCCAGTGTTGGCGGTCAATGTCTTGAACTGCATGCCATTTGCGAGTAAGGAAAGAATATTTTGGTCCAATAATCTCTCCTTCAAAATAAGTCTAATAAATTATATTCATATGAGCGAGTGTGTGAGTGAGTGTGTGTGTGTATGTATACAAATTTCACAAAGTAAGGTTACTTACAGTAAGTTCTGATAGTTCTGACGTAAGACCTTTGATGTACAAATAACCACACAATAAACTCTCCTTGATGTTCACTTGCTACACTCATATATAATAAATAATAATAATAATAATAAAAAGTTTATACAAATGCATAATAAATATATAATATTTCTTCTTTGCTCTTTTGTTTCTTTTGTACCTTTAGTTCAACCAAAACTTCATACTCATTATCTCCACATTTCTGTTTGCCTTTGAATCTAGATCCACTATAAAGAGATCCTAATTGTGAATTGGGGATTCTGCGATCTGAAATATCCACCCAAGGATCGTCTTCTTTTCGATAGACAAATAGCGGAGAATGGCATTTTGGAGATTTGATGGTCTGTGGTTTTTTTGTGTGCTCACAAGTTTTGGAGATCTTTTGACATTGAGCGCATGATGTGTGAATGGAGGGTTTTGTCATTTCCCAAAAAGATAAAGTGTCTGCTGAGATTGGCATAGTTATATAAGTGCTTGAGTATTTGGGTATTTGAATGCTTTGTGTTAGTGTGTGTGTATGAGAGAAAAGATAAAAGTAGAAAATAAAGAAGGGTGAGGAAGAGGGGGGAAAACTATGTATGTCTTTAGAAAGTAAGAAAGTAAAAGGATTTGCTGAAGGGGGAGGGGGCTGTTGTTATTGCTGGAAGAAATGCTCAAGATAGATTTTTGTGTGTGTTAGTGAGTAAAGAATACACAGTGAGCTAAAGACAAATGAAAAAGAAGAAGAAGAGTAAGGATGAAAGATAATAGAAAACAGAAAACAGAAATAATGATAATATTAGCAATAAGAGAGAGAGAGAAAATGGAAACAAAGAGGGAGGGGGGAAGAATTAATAATAATTTTGGTCTGATTCTTTGTTTAATTTAGTGTATTGCGTGTGCATTGACCCTCTTTTTCAAATTGACATTCTTTAAGCCAAAGGTCAAAAGACTACGTACAATTTTTATTTTATTTATGTCACACCACAATATTTTGTTGGCTTGTAAATTCAAGCTTATATAAATACATAATATATATTTGTGTTTCTGTTTGCGTTTGTGTGTGAAAATAAAGAAAAAATAAAAAGACTTGCATTAATCAATAACCAAGAAGAAGATAATACACTTCTTTACTACAAAAGATACTATTTTATTTTATTTTTGGTGGTAATATTTCTTGGAGTAAGATATCAGTATATCGTATTATGGCATCTTATGTAATGACATATTGAAGATTGTTAATTTCAGGCACAATAATTTAATATCTTCTAAGCTATCCATTTTACATTTGTGCTTGTAGGTTCCAGCTTTTCGGACACCTTGTAAAAAAATTTCTCTTTCAAATTTAATATATAAATACATAATGATTAAAAAGAATTAAAGAAAAAGAAGAAGTATTAATGTCACTATCTGTTAGAAACAAGTTTTTTTTTTGTCTTTTATACATTCAAACTATATTATCATTACCATTACCATTATCATCATTACATTCTACTTTGCTCTGCTCTGCTCTGCTCTGCTCTGCCTTATTTTGTCTCTATTAAACCCTAGTAATTTTAACTATTTTTTATCTTTTTCGTCTTCTTCTTCTAGTGTACATTCACACGATATTTTATGCGGCTTATTCAAAAACTGCGCACAAATATTCCAAAAAGAACCTGTAATTTCGAGTATCCAGCTTTTTCGTACCACTAACTAACATTTATATTCAAGTCAACAATACCAATTCACATTCACACTCAAACTCGAACTCGAACTCGAGCTCAAAATTACACAGAAAGTCAATAGGACTTTTTAGTCCCCAGTTTGAACCCACCACCAAAATGAATAAATGAGAGAGATTCTTATTATAAATAATTACAAAATAAATGTTACCTCTGGGCACAAACACAAATACAGAATAATTAATTACTGTAATGAATACATTGTTTAACCAATTGTTTTTTTTTCTACTCATCCAACAAAAATAATAATAATAAATATTTCTTGTATTTCCTGTATTTCTATTATGCTGTGTTTGAGTTGGGTTATATGTAAGCTTATTTTATAATACAAGAAAAAGGGCATTTACAATACTCTGAAATAATGATCTTCTTTTAATAATATCAATTCTTGTCTTATTTGACTTTATTTCTTAATAGCTTTAATAGCTTTAATAGCAATAGTAATAAACAAACAATTAAACAAGTAGAAAAGATGTACTGGTACAGGTATACATAGATATTTATATTTATATTGGTTAAAAGAGAATACAATACAGAAAATATTTAAAGAAGAAGAAGAAGAAAACATATAATATAATATACAACACACTTTTGAGGGTTCCTTTTTTATATATATATATATGGTTGGTGAATTAATTGTCTATCCTCCCTATGTGTGTGTGTATGTATGTGTTTTGTGTGTCGGTATGTTTTTCTTTCTTTCTTTCATCTTATTTAGGACCTAAATCTATGCCATAAAGTAGGCAGCAAGACCTGTCAAAACAAGGCCAAAGGCACTAATGGTAGTGGAAGAAGCTCCAGAGTCATGGGTAGTAGAACCACTGGCAGAAGCAGCGTTGACTAGGTCATCCTTGGAAACAACACCGGCAGAGCCAGCAGCACCAGCAGCAACGGTAGGGTTAGCATGGGCAGCCGATACAGGGACGCTTGATGGGTGAGCAGCAGAGACGGCAGCAGCAGCAGATCCAGAGGCAACTGCGCCAGAAACAGTGGAGTTTGCAACAGGGGCAGTAGTGTTGGTTACCGCGCCAGATCCTTCCTTGTAAAATGAGACGCTGCTGCACTGGCCAACGCTGGTAACGTCATAAGCTTTCTGGAGGACAGGCAAGACACGGAGAGCAATGTTGACTGTGCTTTCGTACAGATCGTGCTCAAGAGACACACCACCGACAGCAGATGTTGGGGCAGCTGCGGCCCACTTGGCAACCTCGGCATCAATTGTCTCGACCTTAAAGTTGGCATTTCCTTCGGCAGCCCAGTCATTGGTGTCAAAGTTCCAGATGACGGCAGTAAAGCCAAGAGCCTTTGCGATGTCACGGACACGGTTGTCGATGTCGCCATAGGGAGGTCTGAAATACTTTGGCGAGACACCGATGACTTCCTTGATGACCTGCTCGTTCCACTTGAGCTCGGCTACGATCTGCTCGTTGGTCAGACTGGTCATGTAGCTGTGGGACCAGGTGTGCATGGCAATGTCGTGGCCGGCCTTGTAGGCACGCAAGACATGCTGAGGGTACTTGTTGACCTGGCCACCGACCATGAAGAACGTAGCCTTGGTGCCGGTCTTGTCAAGTTCGTCGTAAAGAGCAGGACTGAATTCAGATGGTCCGTCGTCGTATGTAATACCCCACTGACCCTTTGGGCAGAAAGAAATATCATCGGGACCAAGGCAGCCGGTGAATGTCCAGTCGCAGTAAGGATCACCCTGTTCCTGAGGCTGGGGGCCTGATAATTATAATAATAGTTAATAAATTGTTGAATTGTTGAATTTCTGATTTGTGGAATTTATATATATTTCACAATTAAAGATAATAGTGATAGATCTACTGTAATTATTTACCAAGTCCAGCAGAGACATCATAAACAGGAGCCTTTGTAATGGTTACACCGTTGAGCAATGCGAGCCACTCTGGTTTAGCAGTGGGAATAGATCCTACTGCAGGATAGGTCTCTTTGAATGTAAAGGTGGATTGAGCATTGGCGAATGAGAGAGCGACGGCAGCGAGAACAAAGAGCTTAGGGAGCATTTTTCTTTTAGGATAGATTATGATGAAGCTAATGCTAAGAAACAAAAAAAAAGGTGTTGTGAGGGTGGTGACGAAAGAAGAAAAAGAAGAGAGAGAGAAAAAAAAAAGGGAAAAGGAGGAGGATAGAGATATGAAGGATAGTAGAATGGAAGGATAGAAAATTTGTAGAATCGACACTGGAGGTGGGCTTTTTATACATCTTTGAAATTATTTCCCTTTTTTTTGTGGTTTCTCTTTATTCTATTATTATGATTATTATCGTTAATTGAAGGTACGGGTTGGACATCTATTTTTGCAAGGTGGTTGTGCTACAGTGAAGTTCCTGGAATACGAAAGTGTATCGGACTGGTGTGTGACAAATAGGCTTTAAAGTTCGACCATTGGCTTCTTCGTGGCGTGGTCTATGTCCTGTTTTTAGCCTCCTTTCACCCAATACCCCCCAAAAATAGACCTATTATATATATATAAAATATTTTTTTACGACTTTTGTATATTCGGGTTGGCCGGAATTCATGGAATGAAATTTTTGGTTTTTTACATGAGGGTAAGATCGTTAATTAGACATATATGCGCGCTTAATTCACTATCTATATAAACTACACAGGCTACATAAGCTCTGTACATGTGTATATTTATAGTAACACTTTTAAACAACAATAAGTAATAGTTTTCTTTTGATTCCAAAAAAAAAATACATGTCTATTTTTTGAATTTACAAGCACAATAAAAAAAAGAGGCTTTATTAAAAAAGTAGTGTTAGTGGTAGTAGTAGTCATGGTAACAGTAATATTTTTTAGGACTTTGGTAACTATGTCGTAACAACAACAACAACAAAAAGGTTAATTGGCTCAGTAAAGAATCATATATGCTTTTTTTTTTAAAAAAAAGCCACATAGTGTGGAGATTCTTCAATTAAAGAAGAAGAAAAAGAAACCGGAATTATCTGATTTAAGATCAAAGGAAATGGCTTAGTAAGTATTAGTTGCCATGGCAGTTTGATTACCTTTTTTTTTTTTTACTTTGTTGTATTTTATTCTTTGGCTGTCATTATTATTTTCAGCCTCGCTCTCTATCACTATCACTATCACTATCTCTCTTTATGTACATTTTATATATATATATCTAAGCAACTAATCAGATCAGTAAGAAGCCAGCTATTTTCTTTGCCCTTTTTTTTTTGCAAGCCTCGCTTTCTAATCTTCTAATCTCTGATCTCTGATCTCTGATTTCTAATTTACCCAACCTTCCTTTACTTCTTGTAATTTGCACGCTTACATATTATATATATATATATATTATTAATATATAAGTGCATGTTATTATTTCACTATTTATTTTTATTTATTTTCCTCTAGTGCCCTTGCACTAAAAGAATTGTTCGGTCTTCTTTACTGTACTTTACTGTACTGTACTGTACCGTACTTTTACTTTACAAAAATAAAATTATGTTGAGCGGCTTTTTTTTAAAAAAAATAATAATATCTTATTCCTATTTCTGTCTCGTGGGCGTAGGCCATTTATAGTTCAAGATATTTTTTATATGTATAGATATATTATTATTATTATTTGAGATGTTTTGCCACAGAATATCAAGAAGCCTTTGCTTAATCATATATTTATTAGGATTTTTTTTTTGGCTCTCAGCCGCGGTCTCGAGGTAATTTCTATATTATATATGTATATACTGTGAATTATGGTATTAGTGTTGGTGATGGTGTTGTTGGTGTTAGTGTTGCTGTTGCTGTTGCTGTTGCTGTTGCTGTTGCTATTTCAATTCACAAGCTACATTAATAGCAATATGAATGGTAATAGCATTGATGATAATAATAATATTAATATTCAATTTGGTCTACTGTTACTATTCTCCTTTGTCAACAGAATTATTTTTACTATAAAAAAAATATTCTTATTATTCTTATTATTTTACATCTGCACAATAATTTGGCTGTCAATTTTACACTGCCTCTAACTAGATCTAGTTATCTTTGGGTCTATTCTTATTTATCTTATTTATCTGAGGATCGTTTAGTAATCAGCATTCGATTTGAAGTTTGTTTCTATAATATATATATATATATATTTATTTCTTGCCCACACGTGGTAAAAGAGATGGAGAGGGAGCCAAGGGAGCATTGTCGGTATCACTTTCCCTTATACATATTATAGTGTTCTATAAAGAAACTCCCCCTTGACAAAAAGGTATAAAGGCTTGATTGTTGTCTTGACATAATTGAATTTTCAAAATAGCCTAAATGATAATATTAGGGTGATCTATAAAGAATAAATAAAAATCGCCTTTTGTTTATAGGACAGCTATTATTATTATGATGATAATCTCTCTTTGTGTGTGTGTGTGTAATTTTACTTTTTTTTTGATGTATACAACAAAGCACAGCACAGCACAGCACAGTACAATACAGTACAATACAGCACATCATAGGTATATATGTATATATTATTATTGTGTTTTTTTTTCAATGTTCGATCAACCACAAATAGCAATAAGAATAACGAAAGAAATAATAAAAGTAACACCAATGGAAAGAGTGGAGTATTAAGGATGCAAATCATTTAAAATTCTATTTTTTTATTATTATTTCTACGTTTATTTTGCTTTATCAAGATATCAACCCTGTGTGCTTGTACTTGTACTTGTACTTGTGTTTATTGATTAGTGTGATTATCTGCCATCTATTATTCGAGGTAATTAAACGTGTTATGGAAAATATTGATTATTTACAAGTTGCAGAAATGAACAGGCCTATAACCACCTTTACATTCTCTTTTTTCAACAACAACAAAAATATAGAAGGAAATGAGGAATTATCTTGGGTGTGCTGTACTGTGCTGTGCTGTTAGGTGATGTGCTGTGTTGTGATGCTACTATGCAGTGATGTTATTGTACCGTGATTTGGTGTATTTTACAGGGCTGGGAAAATACTGCAGTAGATCCTTTGTTGTTGTGATTGTGATTGTAGTGAAAATAAATAAATAAAAGAAACACGAAAATCAAAAGCAAGATCTTTGTTTTTTTTTTCAAGTGCGCAGAAAGTGTTTATGAGATTTACAACAAATACAACCAGAAATAACATCAAAATACTAATACTAACAATAATAATAATAGAAGAAGAAGAAGAGTATTTCAATTAGGTATTGGTTCTGTATGTACATTGAGCTTCACACGAATAAAAGTTGAAATGAAAATGAAAATATAAGGCAATAGATAATTGTATGCATATATTCATTCCACAAGGATTTTCAATTCTTTTTTTTTTTTTTAATAATCTACACTTTTTGACTAAAGATCCCCCCCTCTCTCTCTCTCTCTTTGTGGGTGTAGATGTAGTACAGTACAATACAATACAATACATGTGTAAAGTGTTTTTTTCTTCTTTTGGTTTCATCTTTGTGTATATATATATATGTTTTTACAATATGTATATGTAAATCTCCAATTCATTTCACCCTTTCTCTTTACTCTCTATCAATCAATATTCATGCTATTTTGTGCGTAGGTGCGCATTTATGCACACAGCAAAACAAAAAATCAAAAGCAAATTAAAGTAAAACCAGGCAAAATTATAATATAATATAATATAATATAATATAATACAGTATAAAATAGTATAAAATAAGATTCTTTCAACTAGTCCTAAACAAATTGACTAATAGTGTTCGAGATTGTTGGAATGCAAACTCAACTTCTTGTGGGTGTCTAAATGCGCCTAAAGAGGTCACAGGCGCATTTGCAGTTGTTGGAGTAGTGGCAGTAACTGGTGAGGTTGGATTTGTGCTGTATGAGCCCCCACCATTGTTGTTATTACTAATGTTATTGTTACTATTACTATTAGCTCCACCATTATTATTAATGCCATTGCCAGCACCAGTACTGCCACCATTTACACTGCCATTATTCCCAGTACCGTTATTTCCTCCATTTCCTCCTCCAGCTACTATACTTCCTGTATTTCCTGTAATTCCACCTACACCACTATTACCATTTCCACTGCCACCAGCAGCAGCAGCACCACCACCACCACCAGTACCAGCAGCACCAATACTGTTTCCATTTCCATTTCCATTTCCGTTTCCACTTCCGTTTCCGTTTCCGTTTCCGTTTCCGTTGATTCCGGTTCCATAGATGGCTGCTTGACTAGGCAAAAGAAATTCTACATTTCTCATTCCTCCACCAAACACATTTTCATCTGTCTGGACCCGCTTCCCACTCCGGGAGTTCTCTATCAGAAACCCTTTGACACATTTCATCGTGACCTCGCCACGTTTGTGGAGCCAGTTTGGCGGTTGGTGGGCCTGGTTGTGGTGGTGTTCGAATTGTTCGAAAAAGTATTCGGGCTGTTCGAGATACCGATCAGGAAGTAACAAGAGAGGAATAGATAAGGATGAGATATCAAAGCGTGTAACGAGTCTTAGGATGTTGCGCAGACCGGTGATCAGATTATGTCTGCTGGATAGATCCGTAGAAGGAATGGCTTTGAATTATAGTATAGGATAGTATAGGATAGGATAGGATAGAAAGTTTATCAAATCAAAATTTAAAACATACAAGAAAAATATACACACACGCACACACACACAAAAAAAAAATTAAAAAATAAAATAAAATTGAATTAATGAATTAATAATGATTACAACATAACGTACAAAATGTACAAACAGATAAATAAATAGATAAAATAATAACAATAAAAAAAAAATTCTTGGCTTTACACTTACCATCACTATCTATTACCAAATGGAACACGGTCTGGGTCAATGGAAGGTTCGAATGACGTGTGATAAAGAAACAGCCTTCTTGGAGATGATCCGGGTACTTGTTAAAATCAGCCTCGATTGTAGACAATTGTGATTCGATATTAGGAAAATGGAATTCAGTTGAATGCTGGCAACGTTCAAACAAAGCTACATTGTGTGTGTGTGTACATATATAAAATTAGATTAATAGGCAATAGACTACAGCAGCAACAACAAAAAGAAAAAGAAAAAGAAATAATAGTAAACCTTTGTTACTGCCTTTGCCTGTCTTGTAGTTTCGCCAGCCAATGTTATCATCTAAAGAGGCTTGTTTGAGCTCACTCAGCTCAACCAAAACAATCATGGCGTTGAGATGGGTAGAATAGAGGTTAGTGGCTGTCTGTGCTCTGTACGCCATCTCCCGTGGCCCGTCATAAGGTAATGGATTCAAAATATCTGAAGCTAAATCAGCCACCAGTAGCCTGAGATTATGGGTTGACTTAATTTGGGCAGTTCCCAGTGTAATCGTAAATGACTCCACCAGTTGCTGGGAATTGTGAAAACCAGAAGCCGATGATTCTTGAGAAAATCGAGGGTCACTATTTAATTATTATTATTATTTTATGTATAGATAATATTAGATTATGAGTGCAACACACATACATATATATATATATATTGGTTTTTACCTTTCATCATTTTCAATTCCCAAATTCTCCATTGCCTTTCCTAACCAGCCACCCAACTTGCGTACTGAACTGAGATTTGTGTTTTCCATGGCTTGTTTCTGTTGTTGAAGAAACGAAATCGGATTCCAAGCTTTATTACTACTAGTAGTAGTAGAAGTGTTTGCATTACTGCTGTTATTTGTATTGTTTTTGTTGCCCGACAGGTGCAAAAATGCCGGGGCAGTAGCTATTTTTTGAGTCGAATGGCGTCGATTGCTAGCAAGTCCACTGCCGTTATTAGCACCCGCGGCGGTTGTTGGGGTCGATGGCATCTCATTCCATGAACTATTACGTGAGTGGGCGGGTGAAGATGCATTGGACAACATTGGTCTTTGAAGTGGGGTTTGTGGTAAGAAAGGTAAATTCTGCTGCTGCTGTTGTTGCTGAAGCTGTAGGTGCTGCTGCTGCTGCTGCAACTGGAGCTGTAGCTGGAGTTGCTGGTGGGGTAATAATGGTGATGGATAACTCAGTGATGCAGACCGTCTGAATTGTGGTCCACTGACACTTTGGGATTGTGATCGGTGTGCAAGTTGGGGTGTGGGTTGCAGTGGATTTGCTTGAATTGCAGCAGCAGCAGCAGCAGCAGCAGCCGTCACCTTTTGTGGGTTCTCGAGCAACATTGCGATTGCTTGCTCCATGTTCTGGTGGCACAGTGACAATGCGGTTTCTGCCATTTCCTTTGGAAATCCCATTTCTTGAATGTCACTAACCATCTTTTGAAACAGCGCCTTTTCCTTTGACTCGGCTTGAGATAATGAAGCAGTACGGAGCATACTGACCTGTTGCTGTTGTTGATATTGGTTTTGGTTTTGGTATTGATATTGGTCGATTACTGAAGGTGAACCAGGCATATTAGAGTAGTGATGAGATGAACTGCCGATACTAGCAGATGAACTTTGTCTACGTCTATTGTATTCTATTGTATCAATAATTGCCGGTGATTGTACTGATTGTTGGTGCAATAATAGTGGTTCGGCTGTGTATTGTGACACTAGATGTGATGTGGCGGTTGTGTTAGCAACAGCGGGGGCGGGGGCGGGAGAGGCAATATTTCCAGTGCCAGTACCAGTACCAGTACCAGTACCAGGACCAGGACCAGTGCCGGTGCCGGTGCCGGTAGTGGTAGTGGTAGTGGCGGAGGCGGGGGTAAGGATGGCGGCGGGAGTAGTGTTGTTGTTGGTGTTGGTAGTATTTGTGGTGGTGTTGGTTGATCCAATTGTGGATTTTCCGGTGAGTTGACTGCTTGCCGAACTGTTGGGGATATCTTTATTTTTGGAATTATTGGCCCACTGTGGAATCCGACCCGCAGCAGCAGCGATGATTTCTTTGCCGTCCAATTTCTTTTCAGCCATTGCCAGGGTATCTTCTGGCTTGAGATTATTTTCGTCTGTGAGAGAGGCCAATCGGAGCTGGTACTCGCGGTAGAGTTCGATGACAAAATCTCGATATTCCTGACGCTGAGTCTGTTGGGTCTGAAGTAAATCGGAGGCCCATGTGGCCTGCAAAACTTCCATTTCTTCTGTATGTCTTGCAAATAAAGATGACAAATGATTATGTTGTTGCTGTTGATTATGGTTATGATTAATATGGTGGGTCATGTTTGAAGGAGAGAAACTAGGATCAATATCTCGTGAATGTATGGCCTGCAATGCGACCAGTTCTTGTTCAAAGGCTGTGAAATGTGCTTGGATAGATAGACCGTAGTTTTGTTCTAGTTCCAAAAGGGTATTGAATATTGCAGAGATTGGGCAATGGACCAATGTGTGATAGGCACGCGGGAAGATATCCTTTAGATTTTATTATTATTATTATTATTATTATTATTCATATAAATAAATAAATGAAGATAAAAAAAAAAGATGTACTTCTTCTGGTTTGGTATGATATTGAAGTGTATTGGCTTGATAATCTTCAATAAAGCCATTGCGTAGATTCTTGGTTGGATTGTCAGCTTTTGTTGTCAGTTCAAAGTCTAGTTTTGCCTGCTGGTTCATTGCAGCCAGGACAGTCGAGAGAATAGGAGTGGCGAGGTAGGGTTGTGTAGAGTTTGTTTTGATGAAGTGAGCGACTGCATCATTGATGTTGTCTCCTTTGTTGATTGTAATCTTTAATGGGCTTGGTTGATTTTGTAGTTTTAGGGTTGCAGTAAAAGTATTCAGGGCATGAGTGTAATGCATCTTTTTATTTTTTATTTTTTATTATTATTTTCTTATGTCTATTAAGATATACACATATGAATTATAATCAAAATATTAGATATTAAATATTTATATATATATATATATATATATATAAATATATAAAATAAGAAAAATCAAATAAAGAAAAGGTACGCGCTTTGTGTGTGTGTGTGTGTACATAGAGGATGATAATTAATTAACAATTAATAATGAATTATCATTGGCTATGTATTATAATTTTATGTACAGTGTGTATAATGTGAGTGTCTAGAGCATGTGTTTTATTTTTTATTATTATTTTATATTGATTTTCCTAGTTAAAGTTCTAGACACAATTACGACCCCATTATCGATTTTTTTTTTTTTTTACTTCTTTATCTTTCTATTTTTGTTAATAAGGGTTGATGATGTTTCAATAATAATAATAATAATATATATATATATATAATTTATTTTTGGTTTATTCCGAGACTATTATATTTTATACATTTTCGTTAGATAAAATAAAAAAGTAGTAGTATTGATTTTTACCATACAACTGGATCATGGAGTGTGGATAATGGTAGTACAGATGTTTGAAATAAATAAATAAACTAAAAAAAGCACAAGTGCATTTACAAATTTTCTTTTATCTACGCCAAAATCCAATATAAATGCATTACTATTATTATTATTGCCAAGGTTTTGAACCCTATACGAATGATAGCAATTTTACTCTTGTACATATATGTAATGGGAGTTTTATTGATTGATATCTTCATATCTTTATGTTAACCTGTCTTGTGAATATTATAATTGTTTAAATGGAATAAAAAACCAAAAAGGCAAGATCGTTGTTGTCAATTACAAAAAATCAAAAAAAGGATTATGTGTAATGTGTGTAATGTATGTAATGTGTGTAATGTGTGTAATGTGTGTAATGCGTGTGTGTGTGTAAATGAACAGGGTTTCTTGTTCTGTTTCTTTTATGGAACCATCATTCGAGAGTTAACCTTAAATAGATAAACTAAACCAAAAGATACATAATATTTATAATAAGCCATATAAATAAAATAAATAGATAAATAAATATATTTTAATATTCCAAAAAAAGCAAAGAGTAGAAATGAGTTATTTTGTTATGTGAATGTTAAAATAAAAAAAAAAAAGGTCTTTAGAGGTAAAGCTCGGGGGGTATAAAATTGTACACCAGTAAAAGAGAGAAAAAAAAAAAACCTTCTTTTTCGTATTTTATTTTGACAATTAAGGTCTGCATCTCTCCGACTTAAAAAATAAAATATATTGTATAAAAAGGCTTCTTTGTTTCCTTGTTCTTCTTCTTCTTGTTCTTGTTCTTCTTTCATTCTTTATTTCTTGTTTATATATTTTTCATATTAATTTTCTATTGGTCTTTCATTCTTCTTCTTATTATTCTTATTGGTCGTGTGTACATACAAAATATAAAAATATATAAATATAAAAATGCAGGCACTCAATTCACCTATTCAACTCTTGGTCTGTACAAACACGGCACAATTATCAGAGCTGGCAGCAATTGCAGTACCTCTTTTGTGGAGTGGTCCAAACGCGTCGAATATTAGTCCCGAACATCATTCTATATTCGTCATGTTCTGTTTCAATCTCTTAAAAGCAACCCAGCTATCAAGCTCATGTTTAATCCTCGCCCTCCACTACCTCGACCGATTTAGATATTCGGTCCTAAAATCATCATCGACGTCAAATTGTGAAGCCGAACTATTAACAGCCGCATTAATGCTGGCCAACAAATCCCTCGACGACAACGCATACAACAATCACACCTGGTCAACCGTGTCAAAGATTCCGGTCCGCAAATTAAATCAGGTCGAACGAGATCTATTGGTCGCCTTGGATTACAAGATCAACCCGACCCCTCGCCAATTCTACACATGGGCCACCCAATGTCAGTATCTCTTCAACCTCACTGCCAAAGCACAAACTCTCAGAAAATCAAACACGCCCACCAGACGTCAAACATCCACCCCAAAACTAGTGGTTCTAACCCCTTTTTACACTCAACAATCATTTCCAGTCAAGCGGTCAGCTGAAGATGCCGATTTAGAACTATCAGAGTACAACAAACGTCGATCATCTCACCATGCACACCAACATCAATCTCAATCTCAATATCAACCTCAAACACAATCACAATCACAGTCTCAAGTACAAGTACAACCTCAAATAGTACATCTTCAACCACAGCCACAACCACTCCCACTCCCACTCCCACAACCACAAATAATACATCATTTAGCACAACCTCAACACTATAATCCTGGATACCAAGTCTACCCTCCTACTATGGCTTGGACACCTGAAGCAATCATGGTCTCGACTTCGTTGAACATGTGCCGACCAATCCTCAGCTGGACCTCAGCTTCCCGCAATGTTCCCTTTGTACCGCTGTACACCAATGTATTATACCCAACCACATCCACATCAGCAGCAACTATCAACACCATGCCTTGAACCAAACTTATTTTTTTTTTAAAAAAAATTTTTCTTTGCTTTTTCTGTCAATGTGTTTTGTAACCCGCACACATAAAGTAACATTACATTACATTACATAAATAATAATAATAATAATAATAATGTATATTTTAGAATACACATGCTTTTCTTTTTAGTTTCTTTTTCTTTTTTATATATAGTTTTTAGCTTCAAGTTCTTCTTTTACTTGGCTGGCTTTGTAAGTAATGTATATTGTAAATATCTTTAATAAATAAATAAATAAATATTTAATATATAAAATGTATGTAGTGTAAAGAAGAAGAAATAAATGAATAAAAAACAAGGGCTTAGAATGTGTATAAGAGATACAACATACATGCAAAAAAAAATATTTTATCTATTACTTGAGACTGAATGTGAAATATACACAAGAAAAAAAGATACGAATAATTTATTATTAAACTTTATACCCTTTTTATTGACTTTTCCTCGCTTCTGTCTGTCTTTCTTTATATTTTTTTTTGTAAGACATTTACTGTAGTGTAACCTTGCACTCTAGTACGACAATGGAAGCCAAAGTATAAAAATATATATATATTCTTTGTTCTTCACTAAAGAACAAATAGGAGAATGGCATGATTTTTATAGATACATATGCATTCTATACATATAATATTATTATTTTTGTCTAGTAGTAGTAGTAGTAGTAGTAGTAGTAGTAGTAGTAGTAGTAGTAGTAGTAGTAGGACAGCAATCAAATTCACCTTACAAATCTGTACAAATCTGTACAAATCTGTACAAAACTGTACTAATTAGTACAAATCTAACTTCTACCAACTCAGTAACCACAGAAACTAACGTAAAGGTAACGTAAACCATAAACATTAACATACATAAAACATAAAACATAAAATAAAAAAAGGGGATTATACTAAAAAAGCAATAAAAGCTGAGCATCTTTTTTTAGTTAAATATATAGATTTTATAATATGTTGCAGCAAAAAGAACAACAATTATAAGCGTTGAGAACGAAAGCATAAAGAAAGAAATCAAGGACTTGTAACTTGTATTTTACATTTAACATTAATGTGCGTCTTATATAAATAAATGACATTTGAATATTAAATAAAAATAATGATCCTTTCGATCTCCACTCCCCCCACACACACACATCCACACGCCCACACCCACGCCCACATACATACATACATACATACATACATATATACATAGACAAATATATAACATGGCACACGGCACTTATAGCACTAAAAGTACACACGCACAAACCCTCTTTTTCCATTCAATTTTACCATTTTACCATTTTATCTCTTTTTCCTTTGCACTTAAAATATCGTTATTTTTCACTCTCCCTTTCCTCCTCCAAGAAATGTTAAACAAGGAAATAAATTTACACACAAAAAATAATAATTATTTCTCCATCATTATCATCGGCATCGATATCGCCATCGACCATTTTTATTATTGCTATTGCTGTTGCTACCAAATTTTGGATAGATTGGCAATATAAATAATATAAATAAAGAATTCTAGGTTGTTGAATACACATCACTACCACCAATAATCACATACCATATAAATTAAATAATACTTCTTTAACATTTATTTATTCAAAAGAGAATATACAAAGAAACCTCTCTCTCTTTTTCATACAAGCAAACAAATAAAATCCATTAAACAGACAAAAAATAGATAAGAAACGCAAGGGAAATTGTGTGTGTGTGTGTTTTTTTTTAAAAAAAATAAAAATAAAATAAAAGCAGAAACAATAATAATAAACATTACTCCATTACACATTTCCATCAAACAGCATCTCAATAGCTGCATTCACATTTCCTCCAGCTGCTTGCAACGCACGTATGTTCTTTGCTGCATCCCAGAATCCCATCTCATTAAGCTGCTGTAGTTGTACTTGATATCTTTCCTCAGGTGAACGATTATCAGCAGCCAATCCACCACCACCACCATTACCACCAAATCCACCAAATCTAGCTCCTGCTCCTGCCCCAGCCCCAGCTCCACCCATAAACAATGAAGCCATTTGTTGTTGAATCTGTGGATCGATAGCAGGACCATTACCAAACCCAGCAAATGGATTAGGCACACTCTGTTGCTGTTGCTGCTGCTGTTGAGGTCCACCTGCTCCTCCCATTCCTTGGAAAGCTGTGGCCATTGTGGCCATTTGTCGAATCATGTCAGGATTAGACACCATCTGTCTGAATTCAGGAGACTGCATCATATTACGCACTTCGGGTCCCATGTTCGAAAGCTGTGGGTTGGTCGCAATAATGGAATCAAGCACGGCTGGGTTCTGGAGAACGGTCGACATATACTGTGCAAACATTGGATTCTGAAGCATTTGATTCATCATGTTGGGATCCGGAGCACCAAAGCTGTTTCCCATGCCTCCAGCACCGAAGCCTGACCCAAACATACTAAAAGGGTTTGCTGCTGCTCCATCTGCACCAGGTTGAGGAGACCCACCACCGAATCCACCACCGAATGCTGCAAATGGATTGGCCATTCCAGACCCAATCCCACCAGGAACTGCATTAGGGGCCGTTTGACCAAAGATAGAACCTACAGGAGGAGGAGGAGGCGAAGAAGAAGAATTTGTTGTGGAGTTTGCTGTGTTTGATGATGTGTTTGTTGCGGATTGTGTTGAAGAGTTTTGGTTTGCTGCACCAGAAGGTGAAGATGAGTTTGCTACCAGAGAAATACAAAGGTAAAATAAATAAGTTTTTCTTTTACGTATATATATATATATATATATATATTCATTATACTTACTTGTCTTTGGTTGGGCTCCTTTAACCATGTGAACTGTGTTTCCATCTGCAATCTTGTAGGTCTCAAGTGTGGTGTCGTCTTTGAGAACGCGACCAGAATAGATAAGACGTTGTCTTTCGACAGGAACCTCTGTCTTTTCTTCGATTGCCTTTTTCAATTCTTCGACTGTTTTGGTAGTGTCGATGGCAATGACAAACTTGCCATCACTGGAAGTCTTTACATTGATGTTGATAGTAGACATTTGATAAGTTGAAAATTATAACAAAAAATAAAAGTATGTAGTATATTAAATATAAGATTTGATATATATATAAAAATAAAATAAAGAAAGAAAGAGCTACTACAACTGTTGCTTGTTACTTGTTAGTATTATTATTATTATTATAGTATCTTTTAAGAAAAAGAAAAAAAAAGTATATATATATATATATAAAGGATATACTATTACGTGTATAGTAGTATAATAGTAATATTAATGGTAATAGTAATATTAAAAGACTATATAAATCAAGCCTAATAAACTTCTCGCTCTTTCCATCCCTTCTTTTCCCTTGGTGACGTGTCAATCTATATATGGAACAATTAACTTTGACCCGTGTCACTACAGCTTTTAGTAATATAATTAGCAAACAGTCTGTAAGAAGAGCAAAGTATATAAATGTGTGTTATATTAAGAAGATTATAAATATAAGAACAAATAAATAAAAAAAGGTACGTTTTTGAACAAATAAATAAATAATAAAAAAAGGTACAAAATTCAAAAGTCTGTTCTTTTGTGTTTATAATACAATTATACATAGCATATTATGTTTTATACTCAAGTTTTGGGCCGACTGGTCAAAGTCAAAAGAGCCCAGCTACCCAAAATAAAAAATATATATATAAAATAAATATTTTGTTTATTTATTTATAATAGAGTTTTAACTACTTGGGCTTTACAATCATTACAATTCAATAATAGCCGTCAGATATACCAGCTGGTTTGCCCTTTCTTTCTTTCCTTCTTTTCTTGCATACATATCCATTATTTTTATGCTTTAAAATAAAGAAAATCAAGTGCAGACTGGATCATTATCTTACCTCCTTATCTTTGTTATCTTTATTGTCTGCTTATTCATAATAAACTGACCAGCTATATAACTCTGCTGCAGATATAACTATGAAAATACTAACTCGTATCTAGAGTACTTTCTTTTAGCTTCTTAGTTCATCTCCTCTATATACCACCTATCTTCTAAGACAAAAAAATCTGACCTGACAGCAAGGTAAAACAGAAAATGAATTCGTTCATCTCATTTAAAGCAACACTTCTCAGGTATACATGTTGAATGCAAAAAAAAACAAACACTTTTTCAGTACTAGTGCAGTTAGGAACAATAGACATCTTACAGAATTATCTTTGTGTATACATATCATTCGTATGTCTAGAATAAGAAACTGGGAAGCTTAAGCCGGAGTGTCTAGACAGACAGGCAATAGGAGGAATAATAACGACAGTAGTAACTTTTCTGGAACTCACTGGAAAATGTTATATATATGTGTGTGTGTGTATATATAAGTGGCGAGAAAAAAAAAGCACATATACTACTAGAGAATGTTGGTAACCATAAAGCATTTATTACACTTCTTTTTTTTAAAAAAAAATCGAAGTTTTAGTATTATTGTTTCAATGTAATATGCACTACAAAAATGTACATGTATTATAGTGCCCGAAAGACATCTATATTATTTTTCTTTATCCAACTCCTCGAGCTCAAATACGCTCAATTTGACAGTGATACCTCCAATTTGAAATATCGTTTGCAATGTTCTTACTATGGTATATACCCTACAATCAAGTGAAGTATATATTCCACAACCAAACACCGGTTTCTTCTTGCTAATGAGCCTGACAAGTTAATAATCCACGGAACTGTTACATGCCAGGCACACATACACTACACACGTTATAGTACAAACCGACCATCACACAATAGTGATTTGAATAGTGACTGATATGAAACAATATTATTTGACTCTCCTTAATAATAATAATAACACTCTTACATCTAATATATATATATAGCTAAATTAACATGATGCGGGAAGAAGCTAAAATAACTATTGCGTCAGGACCTTCCAAAAGGTAACCGTTTCAATTATTGATTTGATATTTGGAAAATTGGGCGATAAGTTTATGAGTCCGGAATATTACATTGATACCATTATGTCAACTGAATTGTATCAAGTATAGGCTTAGACACGTATAGGAGAAATAAGTTGACATATTACGGTGTTTTTTTTTTTAGATATAAATAAATCTGAAAGGTAACAAGCTCATTAGAAAGATGTTCTATTGTGGGTAGAGGAACTTCCAAACCCATTTTTTCTTTCTTTATTTCTTTCTTTCAAGCACGAACCTAGATGGTAAGATTGATTAGGACTTGACAAAATGAAGGTTCTGGCTTAAGATTAAGACAAGGCCAAATTTGGCTAATGACACGTAGTACAACATACTCGCATAGTCTTCAATTGTACCACACTCTGTGCGGCTTGAAGGATTAGGGATTTATTTTAGTTGGTCCTATAGACCTCAAGCAAATGATCAGAACTTGGAAAAGACCACAGTTGTTGTGGATTTTGTGGCTGTAAGTTGGGCACATATGCTGCTGATGGTTAGAACAAACGTATGGAATTAAAAAGAACTTGTAAAAAAAAAGAGGGACAATTTGTTTCTTTTGTATCAATATTACTTGATAAGTTATCCAAAGATACTGGGGCGTATATTACAAAGAGACAAGGGATTTCTTGGATTTCTGTGTAATCTTAACCTTTCATATTTCTATTACTCTCTGTCTCTCTTTAGCTCAAGTGTCTCATGGTTCGTTTCAATTTTTCTGTTATATAAGAATCTATTGGAATTCAAATCAGCGCCACTTATCTTGTATGAAACAAGGTACCGAGCAAAGAATCTCTGTGCACACACACACACACATATATATATATTTGGTTCTATTTTATGAAAGTGTCTCTTAATGTAAAAGAGAGCAACTTGCTAGCCGGAGATTAATAGATAAAAAGATTGACCAAGCTCAGCCATTTATTTTTATCATTGGATTAAACTCAATATTTAGCTTCACTTACTACAAGCCTTAACATACAAGCACAGTTAGTATAAGGAGGAAGGTGAATAGAATGGAATGAAAGAGGAGGAATATCCTTCAATTTAGTAATAAATTAAAGGAAAGGAAATGTAAAAGATGAGGGATAAAGGTAAACCAACTCAATACATTAAAAGAGAAATTGGCTCTAATTTTCTTTTAATTATTATTTTAGTGCTATGAAATCAATACACAAAAGCTCTATGCCTTTTATATATTGCCACTTGGTCTTTGATTTTTTTTATTTTATTTTTTCAATCTCATTGGGGATCTTTGCTCTTTTTGTCATTAAAAATTAAAAATCAAAGCCAAGATCAAGTGAAACCTATTATATGTGTATAAAAATATAATAATTTACTCAGCCTTCATTCTCTCTCTTTCTTTTTTTGGCTTTTTTTTTTATTATTATCATTAAACAAATTATCTTGAGCTAATCTATATATTAAAAAGATAATAATTCTTATTATTTTGAGTATTTCAAATAAAGTACCTGCTTTCATTTAGGTCTTTACATTTCTTTACTCACACAACCAAGAAGTATGCGTAAAGATATGTGCCTTTGTTTTACTCTTCTTTTTTTTTTTTTAAAAAAAAAAAAAGAAAGACGAGACCTTTCTGGGATAAACCCGCCCGGAGTCCTAAAAAAAAAGGAAGGAAGACCAAACGTTTACTAGGCAAATCCCACTTTAAGTGTAACTTATATTATTATTTTTTGAAATTTTAATGACGTTCCTGTTTTTTACCTTCTTCCTCTTCTCATCATGGAACGTCTACCCAAAAAACGCACTTTAATCATTGGTGTGGCCATATTCTTCTGTCTCTCTCTGGGAGCGGTTCTTATGAGATCCGAGAAGGTTAATGCCGGCTACCTATCACCAGAATCAGATGAGTCCCTGTCTGTGGACAGTATCATTGGAGCCGAAGAAGCCTGGAGACCCAAGGCATTTGATCCCCCAAGTGATGCAGTAGCAAAAGCAGTAGCAGCAAACGTCAAAAAGTCAAAATCAAACAATGTTCTCCTCACAGCAGTAGCAAACAACGGAATGGCCGATTATACACTCAACTGGATTGAATCCCTTAAACGATGCAAGTTGGATGACAAGTATCTCGTATTCGCAATTGACCAGGCTCTGGTCGATACGATGACAAAGAATGGCTATGGTGATCATGTAATCATGATTCCTGAGGACTGGTTCCATCAGAAACTTGATGACAAGTTTGCCAAATGGCAAGATAAGAGTTATACACCAATCACCCATTCCAAGACACTTGTGGTCGAGCGTCTTTTGTATATGGACATCACTGTCTGGTTCTCGGATGTTGACATCGTATTCATGTCTCCAGAAATCTACAACTATCTGATCTTTAAGCTTTCTTCCCGAAAGACGACCGAAGCCCTCTATAGTCAGGAAACCGAACAGCATATCATCAATTCTGGCTTCTATGTGATGCGTCCCACAGACCTCAACAAGAAGGTCTTGCACGACTCAATCGTCATCCAGGATCACCGTCCTGATGTTACCCAACAGGGGGCCATCAATATGGTGCTGGATGAGATCAACCTTAGCTATCACTCTAGCCCTATTGCACTCTTGGATCTGGCCTTGTTCCCTCAGGGTCGTCTTTATTTTGAGAGAAATATACCGGTCAAGTATGGATTTCAGCCCATGATTGTCCATGCCAACTACCGTATTGGAGAAGAAAAGAAGAAGTCCCTCCAGGATGCCAAGTTGTGGTATATTGATTAAAGTGTATATATAAATATATTACTACTCTCCGTCAATTATTATAGAATTAAATACCGATACTATCAGCAACCCTGTCTTTCTATCTATACACATATACACACAATAAAGATAAGATAAGATAAGATGAGTAATGAATGAATGAAAGAAAGAAAGAGTGAAATGAATGGAGAAATGGACTGGCTTGTAAAAAAAAATAAAGAAACTCCTGTGCGCTCGGGGTGGATTCTGGCGATACTGATCTGCTAGCATATAAAAAAGAAGAGAAAAGGCGATGGAAAGAGACAAAGAGATAGAGAGTATATATATATATAAGTACGGGTACGAGTGTGAATATCGAACATTAGACTAGGTCTACTGCAGGAGTTAGGAGGATCTTTGTTTTTTTTTTTGGTTTTTTTTTTTTTGGTTTTGCTCGAGGAGGAATATAAATGGGCCAAACATAAAAAAGTTCTAGGTCAGTGCCACAAATGCAGTCATTAGGGAAATGCAATGAAATACATTAGATTTGGGTTAAACTGAATTAAATCGAATCGAATCAAATCGAACCGATGGAATCGATGGAATCAAGCGAGCAGGCAACTAAGCAGGCAAGCAAGCAAGAAGGTAAAGGGGTGATGAGAAAAAGGGAATTATTACACTACAGCAGACCAACTGTCCGTAGATTGTTCTTCATAATAATATCGTTAATTGCTGACATGACAAACTTGATTTGTTGTGTATCTGTTGCACATGTAAAATGGGTATAAAGCTGCTTTGTTTTGGATTGATTTAGGTGCACAAATTGGTTGAGGATGTAGTCTGAGGCTGGCTCAAACTGATTTGGCCCTAGAAGACAATAATGTTTATTAGTTGTCCTTTTATATATATATATATATTTATTTATTTATTTCTATCTTTCTTCGTCTTTATCTTATTCTTCTTTCTCTTAATTTTCCTTTAATTTTTTTATTTTTATTTCAAGGCTTACCATCGTAGTCTGGAAACTTCTCTTTCAAAGGATGCTTCAAGAGCTTCTCTCGAAAAATGTCAATCTTGTTTAAAAACAAGATAATGGATGTCTTTATAAACCATTTTGAGTTACAGATAGAATTAAACAAGGTCAAGCCTTCGTCCATTCGGTTCTACAGGAAACAGGGTTACGATCAATCCTAACCAAAGAACTATTCTTGTATGCTTTACCACTGTTTCATCTTCAATCAAAACTTGGTCATATTCAGAAAGTGCGACCATGAATATAATCGATGTTACGTTTTCGAAGCAATGGATCCACTTTTTTCGTTCGGAGCGCTGGCCTCCCACATCGAACATGCGATAGGTAAAGGTGCCGATGACAAAGGTGGTTTCTGTTATACCGGTTGTTTTTATACGAGTTCGTAGTACGTCTTGGTCAGTTGGTATATAGTTGCTTTCACCAATGCGATCAATTGAATCAAAGTAACTTGAAACACCAAAAAAAAATGAGATGCACGTTTTTGGAAAATAGTTGGCAGTCATGTAGAGACTTACTATTTGGCAGAGTCGTTCAATTGGTATTCTCGGCTTACTTCGAACACACTCTGAAGGTTACTGTCTTTCCAAAGGATTCTTATAGCCGTGGTTACTTCTGTAGGTAGTTCTTCGTAGGTAACGCAGGATGGTAATTCTAGTATGACGGCTGCATAACTCCAGCTGTCCGCATTCTTTAGCCAAACTCCTCTTCCTTTCATTGCCTTCAAGATGACCTGCATCGAATGTACAGTGTTGGAAAAAATGATTTCTTTGAATGCCTGCCGTTCGTCTGGAGTGTATCCACCGTCGTGAATAAGTTTCATCTGTTTGAGAATCGTGGACTTTCCAGACTCGCCAGCGCCTGTCGATAGAATAATAAACTAATTAACGGCCAATCTTTATATATATATATATATATATATATATTGTTGTTGTTGTTGTTGTTGTTGTTGCTGTTGCTGTTGTTGTTGTTGCTGGGATAAACGTACCCAATAGTAGCATTTTTACTTGCTGACTCATATTCTGCTTATCTTGCCTTAGTTGGCTTTCGATTTCCTGGTTACGAGCTTTACCCTCGTGGACCTCATTAGATTGACAGCACCCCATGTCACGTAGCTATATAGCAAACGATACAGAACCAAAATTGTGGTCTTCTGTTTCTTTTTGGAACACTCTTCTTAACCCTTTCAAGAAAGAAAGAGAGGAATAAAGAAAGTACAAAAAAAAGACAAAATAAAGGTAAATATAACGAAAAGAGAGAAAATCTTTTCTATATCTTTTTTTTTATGGGCAGGTTTAATATAAGTAGTATTTAATCTCTTTGGCTATGCTCCCCATCCCTCCCCAGTAACACCCCAGACCTCCCAAGTGTTTTCTCGATCATGCTTAATAGAATCCAAGGCAAACATTGCATTCCCCTTTTTTTGTATGTACTATATACTGTACTGTACTGTACTGTACTGTATACATGTATGTATGTATGTATGTATGTATGTGTGTGTATACTGTATGGTTATTTTGAGGAAGAATATATATATATATAAAATCAACGATTGTCCTTACATTTGACATGCTTTTGCAACACAAACAAGCAACGCATTCTGTACAACCACAACTACAACCAGAACCACAAACATATACACACAAAACTTTAAACTATAATAATAATAATAATATATAACAAACAAATATAGATGATCATTTCTTTTGACTTTCAATAATAACCTATTAGGGCTTGACAGTTTCTTTAAGAACACACACACACACGCACATACATACATAAACATAAACATAAACATAAACACTCATAAATACATAGAGATTGATAGAGAGATAGAGAGACTAGAAGAATAAGAGTAAGAAGACTAAGAAGACTAGGAATAAGAAGGTCGTCATCATAGGTGCATATCTAAAAGAAAGAAAGAAAGAAAGATATATATAAAAGGGAAAATAAAGAAAATACACGGATAAATATTGTGGGATCTTTATGATTCTTTTTAACAATTACTTGGCCTTACAAGCAGTAATGAATGAACCAAATAATACACCCACCCACCCACACACACACACACACATATATATATATATGTGTGTGTGTATGTATGTATGTATGTGTATGTATATATATTTATGCTGTTAGTTTTCAATAAAACAGAAGAACTGACACAGGAGACTCCTGCGTAAAAAAAAGAAAAGAAATTGCACTGCTTTTATTTTTTTTATATATACTTTTTCTCTCTCTCTAGAAATCAGAAGACATGAGGTACAATAGGTGATAAAAAGGATAAATAAGTCCTTGAGTGATAAACAGTAGCTGGTAGGGGTAAAGAAGTGCGCCGAAACTAATTTCCTTTTTTCTTGGGTTGTCCTAAAGGTTTGTCTTATATTTTTTATTCTGCTTATATTGAGAGAGAGAGTGTGTGTGGGTATGAGAGAAATTCTAATAGGCAATATATTTTTTTCTGTCAATTGTCAATAGTATTGTCATTATTATCATCATCAAAAGAACTTGGTTACTACCACAAACAAACAAGCAAAAGAAGAAGAAGAAGATTGTATTATTGAATGGTATTTTGATCTCAGAAATATATTATATTTTAACTATCTAGAAAGTATATTCCAATCAATCGAATGCATTGTACTGTTTGTTGATAAAGAGTACAATACATACGGGGAAAGTAAATACAATGTACTTGTAGCCCCCCCTTCACCTTCTTCTTCCTCTTTACCTCTATCTTCTTCTTCTTTTCAGGAGAATATATAGATATGTATGAGTCTGATCGAGTATTAATTAACTATAATACTTTTAGCTATATTTGTATTGGTAAATGTACATATATATAAACATTAACAGGCTCAATTGATCTGACAATCAACAAATCTTCAAAACAATTTATATAATAAAGCCTTATCCAACCAACAGTATGTCGTATGGCTTTGTCTACGATTACAGAATTGGTTAATGCGGTAACAGTAAAATACAATACATAAGCACCTCATCTTACCCCCCAAAGATAGAAAGAGAGAGAGAGAGAAAGCAATTGTATTAATTGCCCACATAATCCAAGTAACCCAAAAAAAATGAGCCTTGAAGCAATGATCTGCAGTTTGCATGCTTCATTAATATCATCGTTATTGACATTTATATATTTATTTTCACAACAAAGAGTCATAGCAACTCGCAGCCCAGGTCTAGTAATGGCTCCTGGGATCTAGTATCGGCTGCATTCTTTAAACTTCTATATAGTTTTTTTTTAAAAAAAACCAGAAACGCATCTATAAACGCAACTCGTGCATTTCCAGATAAAATCAGCTTTCAATATGTGCAAATTATATATATAAATAAAAAATAATTGAGCTCATAATGTTATATTTCTTGGTTTTTTCTTTCTTTATTTATTTAAATAATTAAAAAGGGAGGGAGTTGAGGAGTTTACTGACCATAGAATATCTTTATGGTTTCTTCTTTTAACCTATTCCACTACGAAGTACTGACGGACGACTTATTTTTAATTTATTTTTTTTTGCTTACCAGATATTAAAAGAAGGAAGGAAAGGAATTGGATCTAGAGTCTAAAACAAAAGAAGCCCAGGTTCTACGATCGCTCTTATGACCGTTTTGATTGATCCAAATATTCTTTTATTTATTCAGGAATCAACTACAACCAAATCAGTTAACTCATTCATTAAACACATTTGTCTGTGCTGGCGTGCGAGTATCGGCCAACGACACAGACAGAAATACTTTTTTTTTGCATTTTCGATCATAGTAATAGCAATCGATTATTTATATTATATGTATCTGTATTAGATTTTTCTAATGATGAGATCTATAACCTATCTATTATTATTATATAGATATTTCCTGTTAGTGTGCATAATTTGCGAATAGTTGCATTTTTATGTGGCAATAATTAATCGAAAATATCACGGATTCTGGGTTTCTTACGCAACTTTCTCTTGTAGCATGTGCGTTTTACTTGACATTTTTTACGATTATCCAAACGCATGGCGCGTCATGTTGACGCAAAGTGTATCTGTCTGCAGTCAGAATTAAGTATCCGCGTTGAGAGAGGATTAACAAAAATAATAATAATAATGATAATAATAAAAGCCTTTTTTTTGTAAATACCCATGACGAGTTATTTCGTCAGATACAATATATATATATATATATATACACTGTATATATTGTATTTCTGTTTTCTACTGCTATTATGTGGTTGAGCTACAGAATTGGCCACCACATATATATATACACACACATACACAAAAGAGTAAGGGATGGGATATAGAGGAGTTCTTTAGAAGTTCTTTTTTTTCCCTTCTCGATCTGTATTTTTCAGACTAAGCCGCCAATTTTAAGGTCAGACCAGCCCAACAAAAAAAAGCGTAAGAATAAGAATGGATCTTGCTTACAATAATAATATTATTTATTTGGATCAAAGTACATCAAAAGGCTAATATCTGATTGTATTTACTGTAGTATTTCTCCTGAGTTTTACCAAATGATAAAGACATTAACTGTATATATATATATGTATACATGTAGTATTATTACAAAGAGAGAGATAGAGAGAGAGGATGAAAAGGAAATTTTTGGGGATAATATGAAATTATAGAGGTTTTTTTAAGAAAAAAAAAGAAGCAATTGCTTCAATTGACTTCTTGAATGCGTTAGCGCACATATATTGGTAAATCACATGCGGCCTAAGATGTGAGGAGCTAATTGAGCAGAGTATATGTTCAATCTGCATATACACAATGGATCATGTTTTACATCAAAATGGTGGATCTTTTTTTTTAACAAAAGAAAGCAGAAAATGACTATATTGAAATCTTGAAAAGGCACTGTTATTATTATACTTTATAAAGAGCTCATATAGATATATTTATTAACAAGCTATATAATGAACAAAAGAAGACATATATAGCCTATGCTTAACATAAATTACAGTTGAGCTTAATTATGATTAATAGTGTTGCATTCATAATCATATATCAGAACAAGTATTTTTTTTTTAAATAAAATAAAATGGAATAATATTTATAGTCCATTATTCTGTACTGATTTTCTGTATAGTATACTTACATTCACTATGTAATTCAAGTCGATTTATAATGATTTAACGGAAGCCAATTCCTTTGAAAGTTCAATTTTATATGTGTATGTGTATCACTTTTATATTTCCTTGCTTAAAATTAAAAAAAAAAAACTAAGGTTAGAGTACAGCTTGAAAGGAAGGAAAAAAGAAAAAGGAAGGGATGAGATAAAATTGGGAGTAATCAAGGAGATGAGTATGTTTGTTATTTTCTTTTTCAAACGCTTGGTAAAAGAAAAAGAAAGAGGGTACTTGCTCCCTTCATTTAATTGAAATAAGATTCCTTTATTTATTTCCTTGAATAGATTCATAAATGAATTGATAAAGAAGTATTATATCTTAAGCCTCTTTCCAAAAAATGGTAGGGATTTATTACTATTATTTATTTCATTTTATGAAAAAGAAACTTTAAATACTACCTTATATTAATTTTTTTTTTTTAAAAAAAAAAAGATTTATTATTTTGAATAGAAAAGTAAACAAGGTGGTGCAATGTGGCTAGATACTCTCCAAAAGCCTTTTACAGAAAGTATATATTTTGCTATAGATACACGACAAACTTTTATGTATATGTATACGTATATACCTTATTATTATATTATTAGGTTATCTCTGAATAGAATGTCTTATTCTGTACTATCCTTCATTGCTAAGGGGAGAGAGAAAACCTCCTTGGCGGTATATGAATAATGTTTTTTTTTAAAAAAAAAAATTGAGTGTAGAATTTGTGTGTAGCGTAATGTAGTGTAGTATAGTGTAGTGTAGTGTAGTGTGTTTACCTCACTTGGTTTATTTTAGTTTGTCTTGGTTTGATTGTTTATTGATCAAGATCCTGCGAGAGCTCTAGTGACTTAACCATGATTACCTAAAGAGGTGTCAAAAGTAAAGTGCTTACTAAGCATTGATTAAACCAGATTACTTGCAAATAATCCGACCAAATTACAACTTCATCCACATTGCTAATCCAGAAACAAAAGAATCTCATATAATAGTGCAAAATATGGACGTTTTTTCTTCTAAAAAAAGAAATTGAGCAAATAAAATATGCATATTGCTCTATAGGTTTAATAATACAATACTATTATTGTTAAATCAGGATTTTGTTTAATCAATTGCAAAATGGCAATCGCATTGTCTTACTTTCACGTCATGTCCAAGCTATGACGCAATACTGGATTTGCCTTTTTCCCTTTAAACCATATCAGACAAAGAAACCTATTGGAATCTAATACTATTAAGATATTATGTCTAACTTCTTCTTCTTCTTTTTTCACTACTACTGCTATTGCTGCTTGTTACATGAATTGATTAGATGATTAATTAATTAAATGAATTTAAGAGAGATGTGTTTCTGCCTATGAATATCTGGTAATATATATATCTCTATACCTTGAGTTCAAAAGAGAACGGGCAAGATCAAATGTTTTCTTACTTTAACATTTGGAAAAGAAGATCGTTATTTTCACCCTGTCAAAGCTTTGTTACCAAACTTTGAAATACATATAGTACATAAAAAGTAAAGGCGGGCTATCTGCATCTTGCCCGCTCAACTTCCGCTCGACTCCTTGCAAACTAAAGGACATCTTTCAATCTGCACTTGGCCCTGTTGTTACACATCTTCCGTTGCTTTTTAACATTTAAACATATTGCTAATAAAACAAAAGGCGTTGGTTGTTTAATTAGATACATTTGTTCAAGAGCATGTCTTTAACAATGATGATGTGTTAAAATAGATAACAATATATTGTTATTCTTAACATATATATGTAAAGCTATAACAAGTTATCATGAAAAGGTCCATTATAATCATATACCTGCTTTTGAAGATGCGAACAGTGCATAATATATCAATAAGCCTAGACTCATTTTAATACACATATTCTCCTATTTGCTCTTTAACAATATATATATATATAATATAAAGGACTATTTGTTGGTACTATTCCTAATTGAGTCAATACTTAGCTTTTACAGCCTATGCGTCAGAAATTTGTCTTGACTTGTTGAGAGTAGTACCACAGTGAGATTGAATAAAGACCCTTGGTCCAGTCCAGTCCGACTATTAACAGCACTAGTAGCAAAATACCTGTTTTTTTTTTTTTTTAAAAAAAAAAAAAGATTTTATGAATATGAATTCATATCTACACGAGTTCAATTTGGGATTAGATGCGTAAAATTAAAAAGTATTTGATCATAGACAGTACACTTATAAACCATATGTTTTTTTTTAAAAAAAAAATCAGTAATTTTACGCATTGTTCCATACTGATTGTTTGGTTTTTTTTGTAATAATTTTCTTATGTATTCTCTATATCATTAAGATAAAAGGAAAGTAAAGAGATCATAATTTAAATCAAAGATTTGAAATTTAATCTTGTACTTCTTTGCTCATTTTCTATTATTACTTATTATAAGAGCAAACCAACATACAACCGATTATCTGGTTTTGATATCCAAAGCTTGGGTTGAAAATAATAGCCATATTGAAATAATCGTAGGCCGACGGGCCACACAATTAAGCTTTTATTTTAATAAAACTGGCTTAGATTATGGGAATCATTTGGTAAATGATGTCATGTAACAAAGTACAGTAAATAGCCTTGGGCTGTCAGCGTATGTGCGTATGTGTGTGTGTGTGTGTATATATATTTTAAAAATAAAAAATTTTAAAAAACAAAATGAGAGAAAGAAAAATATATATAAAGCACAATATTTTAGATGAATTTTGGATTATAATTATCAACCTTTTCTTTCACAAACACAAACACACAATATCCAAAACAAAAAATGCCTTCCATGACTAACAACACTACTGCTGCTACATCCAAAGTTCGCATGAGCTCTTTCAACCAGCCAAGAAGCGATCGCTCAGGTGTCTCCAGAGAAGAACTTTTGAAAATGGCCAAAGCCGAGTACTCCCGCCAATTGACCAGATACACTGAAAAACAGTTGAGAAGACGCATCTCTACCGAACACAGATCCCACAGCCATTGTTCCCAGCCAGCAACTGAACAACGTAGCGCTGCCTGTTAAGAAAAAGAAGAACAAGAACAAGATGATATAGTGATATATATATATACATATGTATTACTAGCTTTCTCATATGTCGTAATTTTTATTCTTTATCCTTGTCTTTTTTTTTTCCTTTTTTTACTGTATACCCTTTTCTTTATTCTTTACTTGTAAATACCAACTCTAGTTCTTTATTCTTGTACATTCCTCAAGGGCTAGTTTCTATAAGATAAAGAAGAGGATAGTGATAACAATAATAAAAATAAAAAAACAAGTGCAAAAATTGTACAAAATCTACAAACAAAGTATGCTTCTTTATGGTCATTAAGAGAGAAAAAAAGAGGGAGATAAAGGAACAAGTGTAAACATAAATTAAATAGACGCGTGTGTTTTGTTTTGAAAAGTGTACATATTAATACATGTGCTTCACTTATATAACTTGTCTTAATAATATTTGTTGATACTGATATGATCACATACAATTCAAAATATATACTTACCAGCTAAAACAAGTATGCAAATATATATCAATACAGTACAGAAACAAAAGACCCTTTTTAATCAATTCACTTGGTTGCTTCAAATTCAAATTAACTGACGCGTTGAGGTTATGAGCATATTTGCGAGGGTGTGAGTTTCCCATCGAGTTACTATAAGAAATACCTTTCTTTTTTAGCATGGAAAAATTTTATCAAATGTATATTCATATGATATTAACAAAATATAGTCTGATATTTCCTTTTCTCTCTCTCTCTCTCTTTTTTTTTAGACTCATAAAATATTTTTTATATATGCATTTATACGTATATAATAAAGAAATGTACCTAAACTTTTGAGCATCTTATTCAATAAGAACGAATCATTTGGTTGCTCTTTATTTCGTGTATATTCTCCTACTAACATGTTCTTATGGCTTCTAAAGCTTCGATTAACTAAAATAAAAAAAGAAAGACTTTATTTTAGCAGCCTGTGTACTGTGTAAAAATATTTTAGAGCGACCAAATGACGACAAATAAGAGAAGGGTATCAATAGACCACTTACAAAAGGGAGAATATCCCCTTATAACGGACTAAATCTAGCCTCTTCTCGATATTATAGCTTATTCTATTATACAATAAACATACCAATCAATTGGTCAATTGAACATATATAAATATATAATTAAATTCTGTAAGATAGACAATAGATTAAGATACGTCATATTTCAATGTAATTATCATTATTTTATATTATATTATATTTTAACTCAAATCCACATATATATGCAAAAACATACACTTACACTACTAACGTCACTTACTAGCCTGGTTTAGCTTAATACATAGACAGAGTTTATCATTCAAGTAAAGACAACAAGGCGATTTGTTTATCGTATAGTCTGATCGCACGCATGCCGTATGCTTCGGTCTCTTTCTCCTGCTTTCTAATCACCTGTTCCAACTATCAAATATCTACAAGAGACCATTCTGAAAATAGAGTAATCTTTATCATGTTTTTTGAACTGTAAGAAAATAAACCTACACTAGCATTATGTGGCTGATTTATGAATACTATATATAAATTCGTGCATGTGTGTTTTTTTCTTTAAGTAATCATAAGCTTATAATAAAATATAGAGTATCTGTTTTATTAATGGTTTCCTACTCTATTTAGTGATTAGTTTATTTTATTTTACTTTACTTTATAAAAAAAATACTATAGTAGATATTTCTATATCATAGAATACTATTGATAATAAAATATTACCAAAGGATTACACCACACTGGTCTTCTGACAGAATTTACAATGATTTCAAACTCTTGTCTTTTTTTTTTGTTAATAAGAATAAAGAAAACACCAATCATCTCAGCTGTAAATAATTCACTAACGTTAAATCTCTTTCCAATGAAATTTACGTTATATATATGTTTGACTAAAGTAGATGTTTTCTGCCCAAGAACTCGGTAAGCTTATCGGTGATATATAATATATATTGCGACAAAGAATATACTATAACTCTCTTTATATATATTTTATGTGTATGTGTGTGCCACAAAAGATTGGGTGAGATAACAAAAGGTTTGACAGTAGAGCTGTAAGAAGGGGATTGAATAATAACAACACTAATAAAAACAAATACTCTCACACACTTACATTGAAACTTACATTTTACGCCAACATTCACACTCACACTCGCAACTGGGGCACATACATCAAATGAGCTAAAAAAGAAAAGAAAAGAAAAATCACCCAACTTGCAAAATAAATCAATACAAGACAATCATCAGAAAACATTTACGTCAATCGAGACTTCCTTATTTTTGTTTTTTTGCTTGTGTAAGATATTCAGTCAGATCGATCTTGGTCTCTGGTATTCTAGATTGTGAAAAATATAATCTAACAGAAAATAAGGTAGAACCATAAATTGTGCATTTGTTTCGCAAGTTTCTTTTACTGGTAAGATTAGATTTTTCATATGTTGAATTTAAATATATATATATATAATTTCAAGGTACCAAGTAGATATGTTTCACTACCCAAAAGAAAAAGACAGAAATTCAGGACACAGTTCTTTATTGATTCATTAATTATTGCTAAAATAATGACAGGTTATTTGACATAAGATTTTCTTGGTACAAAGAATACTGACATATAGTTATTTGTATGTATCTCACTGGTTTATTTTTAAGTAATTTCTACTATTATAACTTAAAACTTAATACTCTGTAATATTACTACACAAGAAAATAGCTAGAGTAATTTTTTAGCTATAATAATCTGATAGGATTCTTCTATCTTTCTTGTACTCGGTGGATTATGAAATTAGCATAATTTCTCTCAAAATAACCCAATGAAAACATGTATGCACCAAAAAGAAATTCATGCTATTTTGGGCAAGAGAATAATCGGGTTAGTTTACCAAACTCTCCCCACTTGTGGATGTAATGGCGGAGCCAAGGTGGGTAGGCAGCTTAGAGTACTCGTGCTGTACACTATAAAAAAGTCATTATTTATTCTCAGATCACATCCATACACTACGCTTTAAAATTCCGATTGATCTACTAAAACTCTAATTACATTATATCGCAGCACCTAAAAAATTGAGAAATATTTATGAAGCCATTGCGGCTCTGTCAAACAGCGGTTTTACCTCAAGACATACATAAGAATTATATTTGTATATTTTATGACATTTTGATTGTATCGGACCACAAATTGTGGCCTTGTTCCAGGCGTGGAATAATCATATCTGGTCCCTAAGGATACAAAATATTCGTATCAATATTTTCTTTTGTGCTTTAAAAAAAACAAGGTTGTTTGGAATTACTTACCAGTCGGTGCTTTTAGACTTTGGTAATATGAGTAGGTAAAAGAAATACAATGGCATGATACGCATAAGAAGGCTAATAAATAGTGAAATATCCAACAACCTGGGGGATTAGAGAAGCACACCGTGCCCAGACAAGTAGTCGCAACTAATTAGTCCGGTTAGATAGAAACTTTGCCCTCGTAAGACTGCTGAATATTGTATGCTGTGTGCATAGAGAAACAGAAGCTTCGCAAGCCACATGAACCACTGGTGTGGTAAGCAAGTAGATTTTCTGTGCTACACAACCTAATTTATGAGTTTATATTTTATATTTTTTATATGTATATCTGATCGTTTATCAAACATCCGAGTACTTGGACTTTCTGTACACAGGCTTGAATTTTATCTATTTATTATATCATCTGTATGTTGTAGCCCTAGACATGGCAGCTTTTATTTTTTTCTATTAAGATTTTGGAGAGGGAAATATTAAAGAACCAATAGATAATAGAGAAGAGTAAGGTATTTCTTTCTTTCTTTCTTGCTCATATTCTATCATTGTATTTGTTCTCTGCTCTTTATTCTTTGTATAACTTTATTGTCTAGTTTGGATCGTACAGAGCACAAGAGTAATTAAGAGCTCTATACATATACAGATACTCCACCTAAGATCCGCAAAAACTGCATTCTCAACTGCACCTAGACAGAAAAAAAGTATTCTCTTATTTATATGTATATACTATGTTTTATGGAAGAAAAATAATAATATTCGTTTGGTAAGTAAGAATTCAATCACAATAAATAGCAAATAAAAAGAAATCACAGGCTTTTCTACAGTCTATGCCGTACAAAAGTCTAATAAAAGAAATATAATTGCTATTTATATAAAGCATACCAAGCCTCGGTATTCATCCTATAACCTTTTACGTTATATTTTGTTTTCTTGGTAGCTATTACTTGGAATGTCAATCAAATTCTCAAAATTTAATCTTTATTCAACCTCGAAAAAGAAAGCACCCAATAGTTCTATACTCCTTCTAAAGCCGAACTTTCTTCTTCTTCTTCTTAAATCTAGTATATATATATATATGTATGTATTCATGTATTACCAAATATACTGTGGTCATATTCGTGATTTTAATTATTTGTAAAGTAAGTCTTTAGTTGTACAATACTACGTACATTTTTAGCTTTATTGAGATCATCCATGTTACTACCAATGAAATTCAATGCGAACGTGCGTGTGTGTGTGTGTGTGTGCCTGTGGCTAATCATGTATATAAAATTACATTACATTAAAGTACATTTAAATACACATACACACACGTCTCTTTTGCAGCAAGCTCTATTTATTTGTACTTTACACATCTATTTCTTGACACAAAATTAATAATTGGATTGAATTAAAAGCTACATTGATAATGTGTATATAAGAAATGTAAGTATAATACCATTGAATGCTAGAAAGCAAGAGAATATTGCAGATTGATAATTTGGTAATTCTTTATTAGATTTCTCGGATCTGTACCATGTTTCATCGATTACATTTTTTTCTTTATGTAGATCATCCCGAAAAATTATATTTCCAATAAGTTGTACAATATCTAGTTTAAGCCATTACATTAAACCATGCTTTCTCTATCCTTCACACACGCACATGTATATAAATATATATCTTGTATCGTGCACTAGACACATGATTTAAATCACAATATTCACGCAGTCTCTTTATAATATTTACTCATATGTGACTAAGTATTACACTACCTGTATTCACAGATCAAATCTAGGCTTACCGACAAATTCTATCTATATATCTAGTTTTATTTTGGCTTTGATTTTAATTGAATAATAAAAATATTTTTCTCTCTTTTTGTATAGACCCTCTTTATCTGATACTTCTTTAATTTTCTCTCTCTCTTTATCTAAATTTTGTGAGCTTTCAAGTATGGCTTCTGTTCATCTAATGAACAAACGTCACATAGTCGTCCGTGCTTTATTATTCTTTTTCCTTTTCTTGTTTACACCTGTGGAGTCAAGCTACCTTATACCATCAAAGTACATTAAACTAGTAAACAACAGATATGCAACTGCCAGTTTTGTGCGTAACAATGCTTTGTACACCTATGGAGGAGAGTCATCGCTATTCAACACCTCTAGTTTCTTTACTTCCATGTCACTATCCCCAAAAGACAAAAGCTTGATAATCGAAACCGTACCACAGTCTAAGCCAGGTCCATCCTGTAGCTACTCTGCCGCCGTTCTCTTGGATGACAACCAGACTGTAATTTTGTTTGTCGGACAGGCTTTTAACTTATCTGCAAACAGTAGCATGCCAATCTATACCTACAGCTTCTTGGACCCAAATCCGATGTGGAAAGAAATCAAGCCGGTCGGTAATGCATTGTGGCCTGATATACGGATTGGTTTTAGTGCCACTCTGGCCCCCAATGGAAAGATCTATGTGTTTGGCGGTGTACGCATAGACACAATCTCACCAGCAATGCCGTTCTTTTCCTTTGATCCCAGGACACACCAAATAGAAATACCTAGCTCCCCTGGAGACGTGCAATTATATGGTCACACAGGAACAATGCTTCCGTAAGAATATATTGTATTTTACTTTAACTGGGGGTGTTTTTATTCAACTATATATATATAGGTCTGGGGAGCTTGTGCTTTCTATTGGATATCGTAGGACTACTTCTACAGTCGAAGGATACTTTCTAGGAAACCAATTTGTTATTGTCTATAACACCAACAACGACACATGGGCAAAGATCAGGCTTACCTCAGAGACTGATGAATTACGGATGGAGGGAAATTCTGTACTTGGTAAGTCCTTGGCCTTTACAACAACAAGACGTTCTCGAACATATAATAGTCTCACATACATATATATATATGTGTGTGTGTGTGTATGTCTTTATCATATATAATTACTCAATTATGGTCATTTTAATTCTTATCCAGGTCCTGATCAAAAGACAATATTTACATTTGGAGGTAAATGATATATATATATATATATAAAGAGCCTTTAGCATGTATTGTCCGATAGAATATAATAATGTTTTACTTACATACATACTTCTTTTTTTTCGGTAAAATAAATAAAAAGGTTCTGGATATTCCGGTTCACCAAACATGACAATTTTCAATACCATTGTTTTATTGGACACATCCACTTGGACAACCTCATTGGCATCTACTAGAGGAGCACTTCCTGTTCCACGTTCCTTGTGTTCTTTAGGATTTATAGCTGATGATCTTTTAATGATCTCATATGGTAAGAAATGTATATATATATATATATATATATCATATTAGTCTTGTTATTTTAGATCATTTATATATCTTTACTCAAAATCATCTCGTACCTTCTTTTTTTTTAGGAATTGTATTTGGAATTACTAGTGATATTGTTAATGTCCTTCAAATCGAAACAAAAAAGACTAAGGATTATCTATGGCTGATAGATTCATCAGACATCATCAATTATATACACCCAGATGACCAAGACCGCTTTGGATTGAGTGGTCGTGCTATTGCAGGAATTGTAGTTGGTGTCTTGGCATTTGTCATTATTGTTACTCTTTTGTTCAAAAGACCTAGGAAATTTGTGTCTACTGTTCTGTTAATTTCTACTAGGCGTACTTTATGGAACAAAAGGTAAGCACAAATATATGTATATAACTTTATTTTACTCGACATGATCCACACTATTAACTATCGCTTACCAATTATTATATTACTATATAGATTAGGTGAACCTATTTGGACTGAATTGTGTAGACTTGGATGCCGAGTCATTCTACTTTTAATTTTTGCACTATTCATGGTTTATTTGATCTGGCAAGTTATGACAAGCGGGATATCAACCATCGAGATCCATGAATATTCTTCTATTGTTCAATCCCCTGGTAAGTCTTTCTTGATATTATATAAACATAATAATTACCCTTTTACTTTTACTATAATTTATTAATTATTTTATTTATTAATTAAAAATAAAACATATCAATAATAGATATACGGATATGTCTTGATGGATGGGATGGAAGTGACACATTTGATATTTATAATATTCGTTACAGTTGTATAACTGACAGTGGCTATATATGTGATGAGTATGTAACGCTCCTAGATATGGAGATCCATCAGCCTCGCTTCTCGTACGAGGGATCAGCCAAGGTGTGCATCTTGTTCTCTCCACCAGAAGAATTTGGACTTTCCCCTACCCGTGATGGAGACAGCAAAGGAACGAGATTTGCGATATCCTTGGTTACCCAGATAAATTTCACAAGCGGGTTCTATGCTACGGTCTATCCACCCAAGATGAATCCCAACAATGTTCTCTATAACATCACTACCACTAATAATCAAACCCAACTCTTGACCGAAGATGCGATAAATGAATGGATAATCAATGATTCTGGAACCGTGCGGGACTCGAACACTTATTTTATACCTGCTGGTGTGTCGAGTACGGTCGAGTACCAGATTCAGGATCATCAGTATCTGCAGCCCGCCGGATGGAACAATGTCGGCTTTTTGCCCCTTTTGAACCACACTCCTGAGGTTGTGATTAAGTATGGCGAAGGCAATTCAGATAGATTGCTGGACATCGCGGGGTACACGGTCTTGGCAACCCTGGAGGTCTTTCCGAGCCAGTTTGCTAAAGTGGTCCTGGAAGAAAAAAGAATCTATACACTTCTGGACGCACTCGGTACACTTGGTGGTTTCTTCAGTCTTGGCGCAGCGGCTCAAATCTGGCTGTTTGGGTTCCGCCCTAGCTCTCCGTGGGGTATAGTCCATCGCTGGTCTGTAGGCTCCATGAGGCGGTCTATCAAACGGAATTTGCGGACACAGTTTGATTCGCTAAATACCAGTGTTCCGTTGGCCACTCCTGTCATTCCTCGGTTCACTGCTTTTAGTCTAGGAAAGGATGTAAATGAGGATGAATATGAATATGAATATAAATATCAAGAGAAGGAAGAGGAGCTTCGGGCATCAAAAGAAGCTCAGGTACCCTTTATCGAAAATTCAGGTGCAAGTGATGGCGGAAACCAAAATTACCGTATGGAACATATGGAAAGAAGAGTCCAACTTTTGGAAAAATTATTTAAATCGTACTATGTTGACGATGAAATCTTTACGGAACTTGATCTTGCTATCAAGCAAGACAACCTCGAAAAATATCCAAAGACAGCCGGCGGTGACAGCGGTAACAAAAATGGCACTGGTGGTGGTAATGGTAGTGGTAGTGGTAATGAACATCTTAATGAAACGTTCAAAGGCGGCTATGAAAACTAAAACTAAAACTAAAAGTATAAATATAAATATAAATATAAATATAAATATAAATATATATGTATATTTCTTATTAAAGCTTATTTTACTTAATAAAGATATAATGTTGTTGTTTTTTTTACTTCTTCTTTTAAGGTTTTTCTTTCTCTTTTCTCTTTAGAATATAATAAAATAAAATTCCAAGAATCTTGGTTGTTAAGTTGAAAAAAAAAAAGCATGTATATAGATAGATTGATCTACTATGTAAATTTTGATTATTTCCACTGAGTTTCGAGTATTTGGGTTTGTGTATATAATTTTATAATACTTTTTTTTTTTAAAAAAATCTCCATGACAACACTAACAAAGAAAAATTGAAACAAAGTGTATTTCTCAATTTGCCTTTTTTTTTTACATATATATATGATTTTTTAGGTTTTGATGAAAAATCAAGGTACTTTTTGTTTTGTTATTTTTCTCAAACAAAATTATTTATTATTATCTGTATAAAAGATAAAATATGTTTATGATATTTATTGATTCATTATTTCTTTCATGTTTTGTTCAGTTTATATGCTTTCATTTTTTTTTAACTTTATTTTTTTGTATGGGTATTATTTTAACCAATCAGAAAAAGAGATATATATATATATAAATATACAAAGAATTGTATTTAATCTGTTGCTAGACTGGGATTAAATAATTTACCGCATGTGGGGATCGCACGGTGCTTTTTCATTTTGTGTGTGTGTCTGTTGTTTGGAAATCAGCCTGTGGATCCAAACACAGGCAGGTAAGGAATTCAATACAGGGTTATTTCTCCAATTCTTATTTATTTATTTTTGTTTAGTTTGATGTGTGCATTGTCTAATAAGACAAAATCTTATAACACAAAGCATAAAATTTTCAAATCTTATATAAATAAATAAATTACCCACAGTGGAAAGACTGTAAAAACTGAAATATTTGAACCTTCATAGGATGTGGAGTGACAAGAATCACACACTTATTCCCAGTTTTACTTTTTTTTTCTTGATGTGAAAGTAGTTGAGGTTGAATGTTCCCATTAATTCGGGTTAAAATACGACAGGAGGGGAAGGGGGATTTTTTTTTCCCTTTCTTCTTTTGGTTTACATGTGTTCAACTTGGACATCTTTATTTTTTTAAAAAAAAATTACGCTTGGAAAACTACAGATATACTGTATTTTATTTTATTGTAAAGCATAACATTCAAGACGTATACGGCTTGGAAATATGGAGCGAAAGCGAGAGCGAAAAAGAATCCAAGTACTATGGATTTTTTTTTCTTTTTTTTTAATGTTACAATATATTAAGCTTAATTTTCTTTCTTTTTTTAAAAAAAAAATTAGATTTAATACAAATTTACGTTATACGTTGTATTATGAGCCAAGATCTCATTTTCTTTTCTTTTATAAACAAAAGATAGTAATAGTAAATTTTGAAGCGTAAATCATTCTAAAGGATTCAAATCTACCATTATTACCATTATTACGACTATTATCATTTTGGGATCAAAATTCACCAAATAAATAAAATAAAAATAAAATTATTACTGATCTACGTTGAGAAGATTTTGGTTTAAAAATGGGATAAAAAAAAACAAAAAACAAAAAACAAAAAACAAAAAACAAAGGATAAGAAGAAGGTTTGGATAATATTATGGATATTACTTTGGGTGAGCTTGTGAAGCTGAACGGTAATAGTAAACTGAACTGAACTGAACTGGACTAAGCGGTATTTTTTTTTGACCCTAAAGAATAATAAGGATAATTATATGGCACAAGCTCATATACACACGCTCCATCTCTCCATATACATATAAACATCATCTTTTCTTTCTCTCTCTCTCTCCACATACACAAAAACCCTGATTAGAGGTCATATGCTCTTGAGAGAAGAATGAAGGGTCAAGTTATTGTCACACAGTTGAGAGGCAGTTGTCTTTATTTGAATTCAATAGTAGTAGATACATCATGCTTATTGTCCAGTTTGTTATTGGGACTTGTAGAAAATAAAAGTATATTAAATCAGCTCAATGTAATATAAAATAATTTGTAGATGTGCTTGTGTGTGTGTGTGTGGGGGGGGGGGGGGGGGGGGGGGGGGGGGGGGATTGGTAAGGTGGCCAGATGGTGAGCGTATGTGTGGGCGTATGTGTGTGGGTGTGGGTGAGTAGTGTAACCGGGAAATCTACATCAAAGGACAGACTGAATTATACTTGCCTTCTCTGTCCGGCTGTCTGTATATATTTGTGTATAAAGACTGTTGGGTTGTAATGGGTTTGATTAGTTTGGATTGGTTTGGGTTTGGTGAGAGTCAGAATGTAATTTGTAATGGTAGCACTTTGTTCTTTCTTTTTTTGGTTGGTGTAAGTTAACTGATGACCACAAATTATTATTTTTTAAGCTTTTCTTCTTCTTTTATTTTTGAGGCAGAGTGTTGAATGTATCATTATTAATATGAATTATTATCAATATTATTTTCACAATATAATTTAATGATCTTTAGTAACAAGAGGAACCATTTTTTGCTTCGAATAATTTGTTTGATAATAATACAAAAATAAAACTCAACTGCTCACAAATCTCATAGTATTTTAGAGCCAAGAAGTATAAATAATACATGTCTTTACGAATAAAAAATAAGACATTCAAAAGGGATTTCCCCAAAGACAGCTCACTTTTGCTGAATTAATAATTGTGTGTACAAAAAATAAATAAATACAAAAAAAAAAAAAAAAAACGCATTAATCTCTATGGTATTAAAAAAGGCAATTGTAGGTTTTCCAGTTAAAAAAATAAAAATAAATGTCCAATTGACTATTTTATTGGATCCCTCATCCTCCCCCACCTCAGATGATATTCCCTTCCCTCCCGCCGGGAAGATTTGCTGTTACACCTTTGTGAACCTAACACACGTACATTTGATTGGCCGTCTTTTACTATTATACGTTTTAAAATCCCCCACATACTTTTCCCTTCAAAAGATTTGACCGAGAAAGAAAAAACCAACCCAAAGCAAAGCAAAAATAAAAAGAAAAATTACCCCACCAAGCTAAAGATATATACACACCCACACACACACAGAAAGAGAGAGAGGGAGAGAGTCAGTGAAAGGGAGATAACGATGTTTTAATATTATATTATATTTGTATATGTATGTAACCAATCCGGAGAAAATTGTAGAATGCTTTGGTTGGTTCATAATAGATTTCTATTACTATAGTTATTCCCAAGTTATTTTTACATAGAATTGGAGTCAAGAAGGACCAAGAACCAAGAACCAAGAAATCACATTATTATTACTATACTCCTATACTACCATGACTATCACTTTTGATGTTAATCTTTTACTATCTATTTTGCTGGGACATAGCAAGACACATTGCTCTGTACCAAAAACAATATACAGAATGTGGAATAAAGCCTTTTCTTGTTTCTTTGTTTCTTTTCACTTCATTTTCTTTCATAAATTGCTTTAATGTGGAGGATTGTGATATAATTTGATTTTTTTTTTGCTTGTGTTATTTTTGGTGTGAATATTAATAATAGTGAAAAAGTGGAGGTATTTTTTTATTTTTACTATTTTCTCATTTTGGTTACGGGACTGGGCGGAATGAAATAGGCACCCAAAAAAGAAATGGTATGTACAAAGAAGTTGTATTACAGGGTCACCAAATAACCCTCATATACCACTGGGTGAATTATATTATAAGTGTTTGTCGTCCTTCTTTCTTTTCTTCCCTTGGGAATAGCATTTCTTTTTTTGGTATATTGTATGAAAAGGGTCGCTGGCTTCCCGCAAATGATAATTAACTGGAAATAAAAATATATAGTATATAATGATATAGTATAGTATACTAAAGGAGTCATTTGGGTGGAGATAAACTGTTACTAAGGATATTCAATTATCATTGGTTGCAAGCCAAGGGTTCACATTGACAGCTTCATTAAGGGCCGGATTATCGAAGCTGACCTTCCTTTCTGCCTACTCTCCTGTCTTTTAATACCCAATACTGGAGTTAAATAAGACAAAAGGAATCAGCCGTTTTACATGTAACCTTGGATATTTTTATCCCGCGGAGTGACTATCTTTTTATTACCATTATTGTCTTTTATTTTATTTTATTTCTTAATGGTGCTGCTGCTACTGTTAGTTGACATCGAGTAGTCTGACTAGTCTGACTAGCCTGCCTATATATCTCTGCTTGTATGTATAGACTACTGGTGGCTATTGAATAAGAGCTATAATTCAGAAAGCTAATTTGTTTCTCTGTGGTTGTACATTTTCAAGTTCACTTGGTAGCGCTTACAAAAGTTCAATAAAGATTGATACATAAAAATTGCAAGAAAATCTATTCAAAGTACACATGCATATGTAAAGATCATACATTTACTATTTAATTAATACGCTGTTAATGACAGTAATAATGTCTTTTTAATAAAATCACATCATGGTCTTTGCTTTTAAAATTGCTCAATGTCAATATTCGTCAATTATTTTATTTTATGTTATTAAAAGTACTTCATTTTTTCTTATTGTTGTTCTTGCGATTCTGTACAGTTTATAGAGGACCAGACTTCTTGTACTTTATGAATTCAATATGACGTGGGTTAGATAGAGACTAAAACAGACGTCTTTAGGTCTCCGAGTATGGTGGGTGTAACACTAGAGTTGGAATAAGGGACTGGGGACCCTGAGCTAAATGGCCTGACCAGAAAAAATATCTGTTGCCTTGAATTATTATTATTTTTTATTCCAAGAAAACCAAAAAAAAAAGGGGGAGACAAATCACCTACCGCTATTTACTGTGTTTCACCGCTTCCCTCAAATTTTCTCATGAAAGAGGAAAATGGATTTCAAGTGTTACGAATCAATAAACGAGCTCAAATGCTCAAGATAAAAACATGTGTAAATGACATGTTGTGAAATGAAATGAAATAGAAATAGGAATAGTAGTATATGCACACACAGCGATACATGCGTGCATGCTTACACCCTTCCATGTATGCATGTACGCAAGCAGAAGAGCCATTCAGCCACTTGGCTATAATTATATCATTGTCTGCTTGAATGTAGCTCAATACATGCAGCCGTCTCTAATAATAGACAGCCAAGAGTATATCATATATCTCTTTACTTTTTTTTTATAGATTTTGTACAAACCAATTGATGTTTTCTTTATTATTATTATTTGATTTGATCTGCTCTTCTCTGTTATATTTTGTTGTGATTTGATTTGATTTGATTTAATTTGGCTTTATTTGATTGGGCTGGACGGGACTGAACTGGATTGGATTACACAGTGCACAGTACACAGTACACAACAAACGACAAACGACAAACTGCAAACGACAGACTACAATCTACAAACTATGCACAATACACAATGCACTACTATAGATATTAAAACAAATGTGTAGAAAACAAGTGGGCAAATAAAACATTATGTTATTTGGTCGGCGCCAGGAGGATTCGGGAAGGAAGAATGGATCAACTTTGGTTTGTCTAGGTAACCATGGGGAGACCCAATGGTTGGATGACTGGAGGTTACCTAGTTTTTTTTTTCTTTTCTTTCTTTTTTTGCCCGTGGGGTAATGATGAATAAAAATGCTAAAGCGCGGGGAAGAAAGGTTAAGACGGGAAAGGTAATTCTCTTGTGTATTCTTTTGTTTTTTCTATTGGGTTGACGCTGTAAGTAAAATAGAATTCACTGCTTCCAATTGGCTCTGGGACAAGTTTCCTTTTTCTCTCTCTCTCTCTCTCTCTTTGTCTTTGCTTTGTCCAAGGTTTTCTCTCTCGCTCATATTTCTTTTGGTTGGTTGGTCCTACCCTATTAGTAACGTAGCAACCAAGAAGAAAAAGGAGAAGAAATCATATAGTATTGAACAGGCGAATGGGGCCAAGCAAGAGTAAATAACCTTTTCAAAAACATTGTTTAAATTTATTACTTACAACAACAGCAAGAGTAAAAAAAAAAACAATAAAAAAAAAACACTTCTTTGAAAAATAAAAATTCCTCCCCGCCTTTTACTTTTTTTCTTTTTCTTCTTTTGGCTGGTGGTGCTGTTTTGCTGAGTTGCAAGTTCGCGTGTACTCCTCTGGTTCTGTGCGGGTGAAAATGGGGTTTGGGCGATGGATCTTGTACAACATGAGTTGTAACCGGTTAGAGGATAGTACAGTCCAACCCTTGATATTATTATTATATTATATTTTATTTTATTTTTTTAAAAAAAAGAAAAAAAATCGAATTGGTATATAAAGAGGCACCTTTTCGACATCTCTTCTAATTTTTTTTCATCCTCATTAACTCATTACCTCTTCACACTTCTTTTTCCCCTTCTTATCTTCTTTCTCACATATCTTCAAATCATAAGAAATAGTGATGGGTAACTTAGCACATTCGTGGCAGGTCTATGCAGTCTGCTTCTTTGCCGCCATCGGTGGTTTCTGTTTCGGTTACGATACCGGTATCATTTCTGGTGTCTTGACCATGAAGCACTTCATCAACCTCATGACTGACGGTACTCAAATCGAACTCACTTCTCTCCAAACCGGTACCATTACTGGTCTTCTTCTTGCTGGTTGTTTCGTTGGTGCTCTCGTTGCCAGTAAGTCTTGTTCTACAAATTATATATTACTCAACTTTTAAAACCCATCAATCTGACCTAAATCTCTACCTCTCTGCTTCCTTCTTTGAATAGGTCCCTCTGCTGAATACTTCAGTCGTAAGCGCTCTATCATTCTCGGTTCTTGCATTTTCATGGTCGGTGCTGGTATCCAGTGCGGTACTCGCGGCTATGCCATGATGATTGTTGGTCGTGCTATTGCCGGTATCGGAATTGGTATGCTTTCCATGCTTATCCCTCTGTACCAGGTATGACACAAACTAGTTTAATGGATATTTATATAGCAATATAAGCCAAAACGTAATCTAACTCTTTAAATGACTATTTTTTTGTGACAATCCTTTTAGTCTGAGCTTGCTCCCAAGGAAATTCGTGGTCGTCTCATCTCTCTCCAGCAGTTCATGATTACCACCGGTTTGATGGTTGCCTTCTGGGTCAACGTCGGTGGTGATAAGATCGACTCTGATGCTTCCTTCCGTATTCCTCTCGGTATCCAGATCGCCCCCGCCTTGATTCTTGCCCTCGGTGCCAGTTTCCTCCCTTACTCCCCTCGCTGGCTCGTCAGCAAGAACCGCAACGAAGAGGCCTTGACCGTCTTGGCCAACCTCCACGCCAACGGTGACAAGACCAGCCCTTACGTTGTTCAGGAATACGAAGACATTGTCCACCAGATCGAGTATGAGCGTTCCGTTGCCGTCACTAGCTACCTCGAGCTCTTGAAGCCCGGACTCCGTCGTCGTCTCATTTTGGGTATCTTGATCCAGGTCTTCCAGCAGTTCACCGGTATCAACTCTATCATGTACTACGCTCCCAAGATCTTCCAGCAGGCCGGTATTGACGGCAACTCTGCCTCTCTCATTGCCTCCGGTGTCAACGGTGTCCTTAACATGCTTGCTACTATTCCCGCTATCGTTTACCTCGACAGACTCGGTCGTCGTATGACTTTGATCTCTGGTGCTTTGCTTATGGGTACTTGCATGTTGTTGGCTGGTATTGTTATGGGTGCCTGTGGTGAAGTCAACCCTGACCCCGCTCACCCCGGAAGTGGAGACAAGGTTGTCGACATGTCTGGTAACAAGGCTGCCTCTTACTTCTGTATTGTCATGATCTACTTCTTCGTCGCCGGTTTCGCTTACTCCTGGGGTCCCGTCGGATGGGTCTACCCCGCCGAGATCTTCCCTGTCAGCGTCCGTTCCAAGGGTAACTCCATCGCCACCGCTGCTAACTGGCTCATGAACTTCGTCATTTCCGAGATTGTCCCTGTCATGCTTTCCAAGATTACCTGGGGTACTTACATCTTCTTCGGCTGCTGCTGCGGTGTCATGAGTGTCTGTGTCTACATCTTCTTCCCTGAGACCAAGGGTCGCTCCCTCGAGGAGATGGACAGTGTCTTCACCGGTAGCGTCTTCGCTTTCCGTGCCCAGGCTGCTCCTAACATCGGTACCGTTGAGATCAACGCCACCGAGAAGGTTGAATCCAAGGAAGAGTTTTAAAAAAAAAGTTAAACAAAAAATGTGTAGCTATTTCATTTCTTGTTTAGCACTCTTAATATTCCCTTCTTATTTTTTTTCACCACCTTCCTCACTTCCCTAACTCTTCCTCTTTTTAACTATCTACCTTAATATTTCAGCCAGGCTGCTGTATAACTTATCTTAATCAACTCCTCTTATCCCTCTTTAGTGACTTATTCTTATTATCTATAATTCCTATTTGTTAGGCTTATTAGCCAACAGATTTCTCTCTCTCTCTCCCACACACACATCTTACGATTTAGTTCCCATTCGTAATTTCAATTACTATTTTTTCTTTACCTTAATATTTAAAAATAATAATAAATATATATTTATCTCTCTAAAATATCTTACAAATCAAGTGTGATTATTTTATTGTTGTTGAGTTTTTCCTTTTCTTTTTCTAATTAATTCCCAAGCCAAGCCAAGCCAAGCCAAGCTATACTAAGCTATAAAAGAAAACAAGTCAAAGATTAATATATATGATCTGTTTAAATTGAGGTAAAAACACATGGCTTTTTTTTTTTAAAAAAAAAAAAGCTACAAAAGTGTCAAAATAACTTCTTTATTTTTTTTCTCTTCTTTCCTATACAATGGTAAATTTTTTCAATATAATTAAAAAGGCAGGCTAGGATCATGTGCTGCTATTCCAGCCTTTTCTTTCTTCCTTCCAATAATACAGCTATAGAAAAATTACTCACTAATTTCACTTTGCTTCACTCACATTTTTTTTTAAAATAAAATTAAAATTAAAATTAAAAAAAAAAATAGCACTTTCAAAATTCAAATTGTGCAAATATCTCAAAATGTAGACTGCCACATGCCCTTTTTTTTGCCCAAAGTGAGTAAGCTCTCTATAAACTATCATATACATATACATATATATGCTATTTGTTTATAATTAGAGTAAATGTACAGAGTTATTGAGTATAATTATATGATATAGCTGTTGGTATTTTTCTTTCTTTCTCAAAGAAAATGACTTTATGTAACTTCTCTAAAGATGTACAATATTTGAATTCAGAAAGTGTACCAGTCATTTTATTTGGAGAGTAAATTGAAGTAAAGTAAATTGAGTGGAGGGTAAATACAATCTAGATTTTATCAAACCAATGAAAGAGTTATATACCGTATATACCATATATACTTTAGAAAACTTGTACAAAACAAGAATGAGAACCAATTGCTTTCAAGAAACCCCTCTTTTTTTTACTGAGATAATGATAATACTATAACATAATTTAACAGAGAGAGAGAGAGAAGATAAAATAGTATTACGGGAAAAAGGGGTGATTCAGAGGGCGATTTTGAAAAATGTTTATGATATTTTTTTTTAAAACAAAAAAGTGCTCATAGGTCTCAGAGAATGAACCTTTGTGTAAAATGACTTTTTCTGGCTCTTGTGTATAATTGATATCTATACATTTACAAGCAAGCTGTCTTTCTAACTAGTTTTCTTATTTTCTCTCTCTCTCTCAATTGGTTGGTTGCCAAGACATTACTTTAAACAATAAAAAGAGAAACTTGTTTGTAATGTTCTTTAATAAAGACAGGCACGTATACATACATTATATTGGCTTATATTTCTTCTTCTCTTGTTTGATAATCATAAAGTAAAAGTGATATATATATATATATATAAAATACAGCTGTGAGATTCTAAGCTTGTATTCTATATATGTGTGTGTATGTGTACGTGTATTTTTAGTTTGAGTTTAATTGACTTGAACCTAATTGACTTGACTTGACTTGAGTTGAGTTGGTTCGAGTCGAATTGACTTGCAGTGGACCGGGCATCATTTAGTTTTAGAGACCCTGGGGATCCCTTTCCCAAAATTCAAAACTTAAATAGTCAAAATAATCAAAGACAGAGCTTTGTAACTTAACTTGAATGAATATATAGAATATATATATATATATATTTATGTAAAAGATCTTTAGATATTATATACAGCTATACTATATTTTTCAAGCTTAATGAGTAATTAATAGTGAGCGAATTACTATAAAATCTTTATATCTATATGATGACAAGGATTGACAAGATCCGCACGAATGTATATATTTGGTCTCTGTTTTTTTTTTGCTACTTTGCTGTGGTGCTACAAATCCACACTGTACACGGTACATTGTACACTCTGATCATAGATGATCCAAAATAATTAATCCATCAATCCATCAATTTCATCAACCAATTAATAAACAAACAAATTTTTTTTTATTTTTATGGTACCTGGAATACATCTGGAAAGCATTGGATTTTCTCTTTACATACAAAAAAATTCAAATCCATTATTCCGTAAGCTGCACCAAGCGGGAAAAAAATTAGTAATAATAGCAGTAGCCATTATAATAAGAAGAACTTCAATGCACAAGCTTTCTTCTTTTAAGAAATATTCTTTCTATATTAGAAACTCTTCCCACACAAGTTTAAAGGGAGAAAGAGGGAGAATGGAAGAGGGAAAAGGAAAAGAGAAGGATGGAATACAAAGCTTGAGAAAGCGGTAAAGCGGTAAGGGTAAATACAAATGTAAAAAATAATAATAAAAATCTAGAATAAATTGCTACACAGTCTGTTGTGTATATATATATATATATATATATATATATATATATATCTGTGAGTGGGTAAGTGGGTAAGTGGGTGGAGTATACGGTGCCAAAGATATTATTATTCTTAATATTGAAGATTTTGGATTTGGTTTTCATTTTCCCTTTTATTATTATTTGCAATGTTGAAGTATTCCTTTTTTTGGCTCGAAACACTCGATAGCCAAATAGTTAAAGAAGACATATTTGATCAAGTCAGGTCAGGACAGATCAGATCAGATCTATAAGGTGATGTGTCCAAACAATCAATATGTGTATATAATGGGATATATGGACTGTGATAATCAAGGTTTGATGTTTGATTTATTAGATGATAAACCCGAACACCGCCGACTAACCCATATTTCTTCTTTGATCAAAATTGACATGTGTAGTCTTATGGCTAGGTAAGAATATCACATTCTACACGTCTATTATTCTGTTTCTTTCTTTCTTCCTTTGGTACAATTCAAAACCGACAAATCCTTTTTACAGCACACATGTATTCAAAGAAGAATAGATCGATAAAAATCTCCTGCTCTTCTATACCAAGCATATACAGATTTCATTCAAATCCATTCAATTCTAGAGCTCAAGGCCTCTTCTATATAATGACATCAATATATATTATATACAGTAAAAAAAAGGACCTTTTTTTCTTGTGATACATTAACTGCAGAGATAATTCCCAAGGTACCCTTGTAGATTATTGCATACACAAATATACAGCTACACTGTTATTATTGGTTGTACACCAGTAAATATGCTTCTCTTGGTACTTTTTGACTTGGCATACACACACGCACACATTATACTATATTATTTGTTCTGCTGCTGTTGAGGACGATGTTTTTTTTTTGTTATTAGTTTATTGAATAAGTGCCTAATTCAATTACATTTTATATCTTTCTCTCTCTGTAGATTTACTGTTGATTGTAATAATACTTTTACCTGTCAAATGTCAAATAAGATAAGAACAACAAGTAAATTAAATGACCCTTGTTAAAAGTATTCTTTGTAAGCATATAAATAAAGAAGAAGAAAATATCTACATTCGATCTTACTCTACATCTTGGACATAATATTTACCCCTCTTTACCCTTTCATCCCCACTTCTTCCTCGCCTCCCCCCCTCTTATTTATTTATTTATTTTGGTTATTTGTCTTATTAACCCTCAATCCTTCTTCTCCCCTTTCTTTGTTCTTGTTCATATATATATATTGAGTTCTTTATTAGTATTAAAGATGTAAGATGTAAGATGTAAAATGTAAGAACGATCGGATCTAAAATGTGCTCACAGTGCACGATTAAATCGGTCTGCACATCATTACAAATACAGACACATATACATATAATCATAAGAAAAAAAGAAGAAGGAAAGACATAGATAGCGTTTTGGCACTAATAATGCATAGTAGATCTTGCCAATAAAGAAATGAAAATGAAAATTGTTGAGTGTAGCCTTTCTCTTTCTCTCTCTTTGACTGGTTAAATTTGTCACTAGATAGACAGTTCAATTTGGTTTTATTATCAAAATAACTACCTAATACAAAGAGCACCATTACCATTAATAAAATTTAATTATTTCTAAGAGGAAGAATAAACATCATACTATCTCTTTTTTGTATTAGGCTTTGTATATTTTTCAAAACCTTTGTCTGTGCATGTATAATTTATGTACATATATATTATTTTGTACTTTTGATGCACACCTCTTTTATTTTTTATAATTTTTGTAAACACATAAATGTTTGGTCAAATACGCATACAGCTACAGCTACAGCTACAGCTACAGCTACTTTCATCTCAGAATTCAAGAATAAATATGCGTTTCTGTATATTATTCTCAAGAATTCTACAAAACTTGGAAACATACTGAAGAAATTATTGCTGTTGAAGTAAATAAATAAACAAGACTATTAGGAGAAAAAAAGTATACAAGGTGCACAATACCAAAAAAAAACGCACAAATTTGTGTATCTGCCAAGCTTGAAATCTATAAGAACATCCACAGCGGTTGTGTCTAACTAAAAGTTTTAGCTGGAATTTTTTTTCGATAGTATTTAACAGATTCCTAAATTTAACGTTTGACTAAAATATTCAGGTAGTAAAAAGGTGTGTGACTTCAGGTTTAGACAAACCGCTGTGGATGCTCTTATTGGCTATAGAAACATATACAGAGAATTAAATGCTGTGATTTCCTACAGTGATATATAGCCAGACTTGAAGCTCATTATTTCTCTTTAACACACCACAGCACATTAAAACACAGAGTAGCATAGCATAGCATAATACAGAACAGTCTAAATATCTGTGTACACTTTTGTGAAAGGCCGATTTCACAAGTTTGCTAGAACAAATAAACTTCTATTCTGTAGAAACAAGATTACAGAAATAATAATAATAATAATAATAATAATAATAATAGTAATTATTTATTATCTATCTTCATACTGTTTAATTATGATTCCCTTTGCTTCAGATACATAGAAGATCATCATTAGCAATAATAATATTTTCTATTTTATTTTACTTTATTTTGTAGAAGAAAATGAGTGTAATTATGAAAGGATCTGTGGCATACAAGAATATGAAAAGTCTTGAATCTCGTAATATACACAGACTCCCAAGAAAAAGGAACAATTCTTTTGTACTCTCTTGTGAAGCCTTCCTTTCTATATTTCTTTTTGGTACTTTAAAAAAGAAGAGTTTGGAGAACTAGGAAAATATTTGAAAATAGATCATCAAGATGTTCTTTTAAAACCATTGGCTATCCAAGAAAGAGTCTTTGTACTCATAATTCTTTATTTGGATCTGTACCGACAGACTATGTAAAAATAATCAAATTTACCTACCTGTTTGTCTGTCTGCCAACTGTAGTAATTTTCTTTTATGATATTCTTATGAATTTTATGAGCCAAACCAAGTTCTTGTTTGTAATTCCAAAAAGAATGGATTTGGAAATAAGCTTTGGGACAAGGGTACTAAGCAGGGTCCCTCTCTCTCTTGAGCTGTAAAGTCATGCAAATGTGGCACAGGCACAAAACTCAGTAAGAAATATGATTTTTTAATAAAGACTTTCTTGATTTCCTAGACATCATATCTTTCTCTTTATTCCTATTCTATGGTTTAATATTGTATGTATATTTAATATCATCAATTTACAGAAAGAAAAAAAAATGTTAATCTTGACTTTCCTTGCTCACCGGGGAGTTGAATATCTTTGGTTTGGATCACCTTTTTTTCTTTTTTAGTACCTTCAAAATAAAATGAGACACAATTGACACATTTTGTATTGCCATTTTAAACCAAAAGAACAATAATAATACAAATAAAAATACAAATACAAATATATATATGGATATATTTGAATGAGTGAACAAATGAATATTTTGATATTTTTGAATCTTGGTCATGGTCATGGTCATGGTTATTGTTGATCTAGTGGCGTAACAGCTTAAAAAGGATCCCTTATTCCTGTTTTTCTTTCTTTCTTTCTTTCTTTTTCTTTTAGTTTAGTACATGAAAATCCCTCCCTTCCTTTTATTTCATCGTTTCTCTCATGTATTATATTATACAAGTGCTAGTGCTAGGGATTTTGTAGATGTTAATGTTAATGTTGATGATGGTGTCAAAATACAAAAATACTCAATATATATATATATATATATAAAATGATACTTTTTTTTTTGTTTTACATATTTTAGCTTCAAATCGTTTTGATTCTATACATTTGTAAAGTAGACGTACAGGATATCAATGTACTACACAAGCAGCACCTAAAATATTGTTCACGCCCCAAAATAGAAAGAATAAGATAAATGTACACTGAGAAGGAATAAATCTTGTACGGCCCTCTTCCTTTATTCCAAGCCTTTTATATATATATATATAAAGAATTTTGTGTACTCGAGGAAAGGTTGTGACTAGTTTCCAAACAAGTCAAAATTCCTACATATGGTTCTTTTTTTTTTGTTATTGTTGAATACAAGGCAAGGCAAGGCAGGACAGGCCAAGACAGGCCAAGAAAATAAGATAGAATATTATAAGAAATATATATATTCTTTTCCAATATTTGACGTCTAACCAATTATTATCCATTTTGCCGTAAAAAGTGTACGCCAAGAATCTAAAAAGAGGGTTTCACTCAATTTACGCGCTCTTAGTAAAGGAGTAAGATCTGTATATATTGAATAACCATTTGAAGTAAAAATTCTATTCTTGTGCAATCATATTATAAAAATATTAGATAATATAAAATAACATTTACAAAATGAACATCTTTAATTATATATTATTTTATATATATATATCAACGTAATAGTATAATATTGTTCAAAAAGGGGGAAATTTTTTTTATCGCAGTCTTGAATATATCAAAATAAAAAAGCATTTTCTATCTCGAATTAGTAGATTGACACGTTACCCTATACTCATTTACATGTGTGTGTATAATGTATCTATATCTATATATGCTTAGTGTACCAGGGTTCATGTGCGTGCGTGTGGCTAAACCTGTATATTGACTTTAAAGTTTTGCTTGAGAGTAAAAAGGAAAGAGTAAAGAATGAAAGAAGAAAGGAAGGAAGAAAAGGAAAGGAAAGGAAAGGAAAGGAAAATGAAATAGTTAAAGAAGTATTTATTTTATTTTATTTTATTTCTCATCGGAAAACTTCTCTCTCTCTCTATATATATATATCTTCTTTTTATATTGTATGTGCACCCGCACACACATAAACTCTCACTTGCCCACAAACACAGACACACAGACGTATAAATACATACATATATAAAATCCACATCTTTGGTTGAGTATATATATATATATATTACCTGGTTGGTTACTGAGAGGGGGTTTTTTCTTTTGACTGGCGGAGATCGCGTTTAAAGTAGGACATTGGATTCTAGAAAGGCAAATATACACGCACCTTTACCAAAATCTAGCAAGCTTGTGCCCGTGTGCATTGTCATGTTTTTTTTTTGTCGATCTCGATTGCTGCTCATATTCATATTCCTATTCTTCTCTTTATTTATTATATATCTACATGTATAAAATAAAAAAATAATGCCTATCGAAACTAGGCAAAAAAAGGCAAGGAAGCTTTTAGGTAAAACCAAAAATAAAAAAAAACATATTCAAAATAGTTCTAGGTATATATATTTTTTCATGTGCTTTATAGACATCATGTACAACGAGTATTGACACCATGTCGATCATCATTAATAGGGTGCGCTATATATTATTTATTCAAAATATATACATTGCGGGTAGGTTTGTGTTGTATCGGGAATTACTACTGTAATTATATGTATATATAGGAACCTGAGCATAGTCCGAGTACTGGGTACCCTTGATTCTGTCTTTTTTGTGGAGTGTGAATTCTATAAAAAGATTGACAGGGCCTTTTGTATTTCTTTTATATTCATCAGCTTTATACAAGGTGTGGTCCACTCTTTAATCGAAATATATATATATATATATATATGATTTCGATAGAATATTTCTAATGCAGATTCTCAACTTTCTATTCAAAATTAAATTGTATATGAAGCTATAGTCAACACACAAAGCTTTAATTAGCTTGAAGTGTCCAGAATCCATGTAGTTTATTTCCAACCCAATATCAATAAGATCATTTCAATTAAGGACAGGCACACAGACTAACTGACCTAAATAAGGGCAATTAATAATATACTATGAGAGAGGAAGAGAGTATCTAGGTATATACATGCATATATATATATATATATATATATATATATATATATACAATACTTGGTTATCAATGAAAGCGCGTTAAAAAGTACTTTTATATCCGAGTATTTATTTTCAAAAATATAATATGTCAGGGTTATAATTGTATATATGTACATCTACATACATACATATATACATATTCATATACATATATTTATACATGCATATAGCTGTATATGTATACAAAAAATGTAGCTATGGTGTTCTCTTTGACCCTTCTTTTTGTTCTTGTTTTTTTTCTTTTTGTTCTTTTAGGTTATAACATAAAATAATGTCATTTTATAAAATGTCATTTTCCCTTTTGTGTCCACGCGCTTATAGGCTTGTATAACTAAAACTGACCAGGTATATCTGGGTTTATTGTTCTCAGCATAAGAAGCCATAAACGTGTCATTCTCTTGTATATAATTTGTTATATAAGTGGTTATTTCGATCGATATTATATATATATATGATGTAGATATAAATGTGAAATGTGGGTATTTATATATATATATATATATATATATGCATACATATAATGTTTGTGTGTGTAATACATTTTTATAGTTTCTAGAGTCCTTGCGACTTTCCTTTTGTAGAATATACTTCCTTTGTGTAGCGTGTAAATGATATATGGTAGGCTATTTGTTAAATTAGATTATCCGACCTGCTCACGGGCATTTGTAAGTACCTATTGGATTTATGTTGATATCCAGAAAAGAAAGAAATGTAAAACACCTTTTTGTGAAGATCGTGAAAATCTATGTAAAATTCGATATTCAAAAGAGAAAATAAATAAATAAATTATGGTATATGAATCTTCAATACAGAGATGCGCAGAAATATATATTGACACTGAATCTCAATTGTGCGGATTTAAAGATGTATATGGAACGGTTCAATCGGAAAGCCCAATATGTACATAGGTGTAAATCAGTCAGTAAAAAATAAAGAAAATATATATGTTGCTAAATGTGATTTTTACATAAATAGATAGCCAACAGAATTAGTCTTGTGATTCTTTGATACCAAAAATGTTTACAAAATCAACCTATGATAAAGGAACAAGTCAAAGGATAGGTTCAGGCGAGTAGGATAATAAAGGCAGTAAGGGGGTGGAAGATAGATCTATATATTCTCTTATTATTATCTTGTACATTTTCGGGTGTTTCTTCATTTGTCCATCTAAAAGAAAAAAAAGTAGAAGTAGATCAAATTGGTCAAAAATGGTTATTCCTGTATGTATGTGTCTTTATTCTTGCTTTTGGAATTTTGATACATAAGCTTATATTATATTATATTATATTATATATATAAAACTGTCATACTGTGGCACTAAAACACCTCCTAGAATTTTATTTTATTTTATTTTATATGCTATTCTACTATAATAATAAAAAGCAGACCTATTTAAAACTCATTTTTTATTTTTTATTTTTTTTTTAAACAATATATATATATATAAAAAAAGCCCTGCCAATTTATTTACCCTTTTGATTGATTGATTTTTTATTTATTTATTTATTTATTATATATATAATTATTATTTTCCTACCTTTTAAAAATTCCTCTTTTTTTTTTTTTTTTACTTCTTCTTCTTCTTTGTCTTTTATATACATATATTTTCTCTACCTTTTGTTTTTCTATTCAAGAAGAAGTAGAGAAACAAAAAATATTATTGACACCCAAAAATAATAATAATAAAAAACTGTATAGAGTCAATTAAATACCCTTTTCTCTATACTCTCATACTACTTGCATACTACTTGAAACTTGCGTTGAAACAGTCCTGACATTTCAACCAACGATTAATTCTTTTACCACAACCATTCAACCATAAACAACAACAACGACGATATTCGATATTCGATAATAAACAATGGGAAATTGTGCCAGCAGCAGTAATACGGACAGTAAACCTAGTCAAGCAAGCCTTGGAGCAGCAAAGACACGAATGATCGACAAACAGATAAAAGCCGACGAGAAACGGATGAAGAGCGAAGTCAAACTCTTACTTTTAGGTAAGATTTTTTGTGGCTCATAAGAAATTCTTTATATACACAATATACATATATGTATATTATATTTATATGTATCTCAAAAATAAAATAAACTTTATATATATATATATATATATATATATTGTATATTTTGTGTAGGTGCAGGAGAGTCTGGAAAGTCAACTGTACTCAAACAGATGAGGCTTATCCATGCAGCCGGCTTCGATGGTTGCGAGAGAGAAAACTTTAGAGTAATTGCGTTTTCAAATATCGCATCTACTGTCCAGACCCTTTTTGAAGCGACCGAACACCTCAACATTAGTTTAGAAGATGAATCATTAAGGGTAAATATATATATATATATACATATTGGGTTAAACTGATATCATTATTGACGTCCTTTGTTTCCTTATTGTGTTTAGGAATACCTGCCAATGTTCAGCGAAGAAACTCCAATTATCCTAGGCCAGCCCTATAACCAAAAGTTCCTTGATCCATTAAAACGCATCTGGGCAGATGCTGGCATTCAGAGTGCCATTGAACGTGGAAATACATTTGCCTTGCATGATAATGTGACCTAGTAAGTATCAATGACTAGTTTCTTTGTTTACTTGTTTATATCACAGTGTAGCACATCAGAAGCATAATTATAAGCATAAGCATAAGCACAAGTACAAGTACAAGCATGACATGCAAAGAAAAACCAACAACAACAATGCGCTATAAAATCATACTAGAAATATATACTTTATAGATTATAGAATGATAATAGTAATATAAAAAACAAAAACAAGAAAAGGCCATGCTTTGACATTAAAGGCTTTGTGGGGCTATATACATATATACATATATACATATATATAATGTACCTTGATTGTTCGATCTCGATTTAAATCATCCTAGCTTTTTTGGGCAACTCGATAGATTGTGGGCATCAAACTATATACCAAGCGACCAAGACATTCTCCGCTGTCGTGCAAAAACTACCGGCATTGTGGAAACAATCTTCCACATTGGTCCTCTTACATATCGGATGTTCGATGTTGGAGGTCAACGAAGTGAACGAAAGAAATGGTACGTTACATTCAACCCATAATCATAATATATACATTTATATACTAGCTTATAATCACAATTGTCATCACACACACACAAAAGACATTTTCACTTTATTGATATCATTGTTTGGTCCAAATAGGATACACTGCTTTGAAAATGTCACAGCAATTTTGTTCGTCGTAGCCATCAGTGGATACGATCAATGTCTGGTAGAAGACAGAAACTCAGTAAGTAATTTATTTATTTAAAAAAAAAAAGAAAAGCATTGATTGATCTTAACCCGTCTATGAAAACCCATCGTCTTCTAATGATCCCTTTATTAATCTTATTTTATTATGTGTATTATTGTTTTTCTTTCTATCTTTCTCATTTCTCCTGGACCTCCTTAGAATCAGGTAAGATATCATGCTTTGAACCACAGGAAGAAAAGGAAGAAAAGACCCTTTTATGTATATTTATACTATACATATTCCTTTAATGTGATGATTATGTACTCATTGTGCTTAATTGGTTGTAATCATTAGATGCAAGAAGCTCTCATGTTGTTTGACACCATTTGTAACTCCCCATGGTTCGTGAGCACATCCATGATCCTGTTTCTCAACAAGATTGATATCTTTCAAAGCAAGATCAATACTTCGCCAGTATCAGAGTGGTTCCCAGACTATAAAGGTAAAGCTTTACAAATATATATATATTTATTTAATTTAATTTAATTTAATTAACAATCATATATATATACTTCTTTTTTTTATTTTTTTTATAGGTTCAAATGTAGACGTTGATCAGGCAAAATCCTATTTCAGCAAACGGTTCTTGAGACTGAATCGCAGTGCATCAAAAAAAGTATATGTACATTATACAGACGCAACAGACACACAACTACTAGAGCACGTCATGTTGGCAGTTTCAGACATCATCCTCAACGAGAACCTCGATACTCTCATGCTTTAAACAAACCAAGAAAAATATCAACATCATCATCAACAACAACATTAACATCAACAACTGGTCTCGTCACTCATTAACCACATCATTTCTCCCCCTCACCCCCCCTCTATCTCTCTCCCTCACTCCCCTTGGTCTTTCTCTCTATCTATCTCTCTATCCCCCACCCTCTCCTTTCCCCTCCTCTTTTCTACCTATTTTCCTCACTCATTTTCTGTTTTCTTTTTTTTTTTGCTTTCTTTTTTGCACACTATTTCACTATTTCCACCATTCCACCACCACACACAAACTCTCACACTGTCTAAAATGCATTTACATTGGAATTATCCTTTCTTTTATTATTATTATTATTTCTTTACATTATTACTTTCTTGAAGAAGTACCAATATCAATACCAATAACTATATCAGTAGTAGCAGTAGTAGCAGTAGCAGAAACAGTTGTACAAGAAAAAAAAGAAAGAATGAATGAAGAAGAAGCGTGCTATTCCTCTCATTCTCTTTCTATTCTATTCTTCTCTTCTCTTTCTTTACTTCTTTAGTTCTCATCTCATCTCTTTCATCTTTCATCCATTTGTTGTGGAAATCCAAAAAACAACAACAACCAATAATAATAATTATAACAATTATAATAATCATAATCATAATATTAATAATAAAACTACTTACACACACAGACACGCACACCCACACAGACACACATGTACACAGACACACATGTACACAGACAAAAAAAGAGAGAGACACGTGCAAGACATATTTATATTTATTGTTTTAATGTTGATTTTATTCACAAAAGATTCGAATACTAGAGGCCAATAAACCCATTCCAGATTGAGTTTCGAGATCACAAATGGGATCCTTGCCATACCCATAGTGAACATATATCTCACGGCTCTCGATAGCCTTTATAGCTTGACTAGAGATGTACAACCTTACATTGGGTCCTTCCACCAATGCCTTGATTATCGAATATACCCGATTACCCTCAGAATCTCTCAGGCTGAATCCATTAACCGCCAAATTCACATCCAACCTCTTGTTTCCATTACCATTAATATGATTATTAGCATTAGTATTACTATTAGTATCAGTATCAATATCAATATCAGCAGCAGAAGCAGAAGCAGAAGCAGTATTTTTCCACTTTAGATCATGTGGCACAAATGAAACCAGAATCGATGGACGGCTGGGAAAGGTGCCCTGGACTAAAGATGGTGGCAATGATTGTGGTAATGACGGTGGCAATGTTATTGATTGGAATCTGGCCTCAGATAGGCGCGGGCTAGCTGATTGTCCATCCTTTCTGGTTTTCAGGATGATCGCAGAGGCAGCGAGTGCAAGGCGGTGTCCCACTCGTGCCAGGCCTTTTGCCGAAAGGTGGACAGGATCATCCATTTCACAGTCGATGCTGGAAACAACATCGATGGTCGGATCAACCTCCATCCCCGCCCCCTCCCCCACCATCGCCATCGCCATCGCCATCGTCTCTACCTCCGCCGCCGTCGCTGTTACTGTTACGGTTGCTCTTGCCTCATTCGTCAACGACAATAATAAGTTGTGCTGATCATCCCGCACACTCCCCCAACCCTGGATCGAATTTGTTCCGTCATCCCAGAGGTGGCGGCCGATTTGAACAACCACAAACGGAAGTTGATCTCCGAGGTCATCCTTGCAGGTCTTGATCAAGTTCTTGGTGGCGTCGTAGAACCCGTCCGCCAATTCGTGTGTGACTGCATTGGATTCGCCCTGGTACCACAGTACTCCCGCCACAGAATTCCTAATGCTAATGCTAATGCTACTACTACTACTACTATCACTACCAATACCATTTACATTTCCATATCCGTTTGATTTGATTCTTCCAATCATAGCTCCATAGAGTGTGTCCTGTTCAGGATCTTTGGCCGATCGAGTCCAGTCCTGGATCGTCACTCCTCCGTGGGCACTTGCAATCAACCCTACCGGAACACCATTCATCTCGGCCTGGTACTTGGCGGCAAACGCCAGACCCAGTGAGGCACCCCTCACGCTGGGTTTTGTCGGATCGCGCACGGTTGGGTCGGGTAAAGTGTGGTGGACCCGTCGAGGCGAAAGAGCCAGCCGGTGGGTCGGCTCACTGGCCAGTGTCCATTTCTCGTCCGAGCCAAACAGATGCACTCTGGCCAGAGGTCTGGTCACCAGAGATTCACCACTGACGGGATCCAAGATGTAACCGTAGCCTCGCATATTGCTCTGGCCCGCCATGACCCAGACATCACCAACCATCACTTGAATCGCATTACCGACAGTGTAAGGACCACCAACCCCGAGTGTTTGTGGAGCTTGGCCTGGTAGGTGGATAGTCGCGGTGTTGTTGCCGTCTCTTTGGAGAACCTGGTAACTGGTAACTGATGTGTAGACATGAGATGAGCTACTCATTCTGGGTACCAAAATAAATAAATAAATAAATAAATAACGGCAGTTGTAAACAATAGAGGATTATTTTACATATAATATTTTTTTTTCTCTCTCTCTCTCTCCCTCTCTCTCTTTGTGTGTGTGTGTGTGTAATAGGCGTGCTTCAGTTTATTCTGACCTGTTAATTGTCCGTTTCATATCCAACTCTCTTTTCTTCTCTCTCCTTTTAAAATATTACCCAAAAAATGAGGACTTTTATCTCGCACGCATACAATATATTATTTTTTGTTGGTGTTGCTAGAAAACAGGTATCCTTTAATAGATAGACTACTAACCACATTGTCATATACATATACATATACGTAGATTTTTATACAAATTTAGAGCAAAACTGACCAAAATAGAAGAAGAAGAATAAAGTACTGAGATGATTCGTTAGAGCAACTCTTTCAAAGGTCAGATATTCCATTAAAACCAACGATTCATTGAAAACAGCATTATATTACAGACCAACCTTTGATTTGTGTACACATTAGATCAAGTATATTATATGTGCCTGTATGAAGCTTTTCATTTTATTAGAACCTTCAAATGATAAGATATTACATAGAAAAATAAAATATTTATGCAGCACGAGAATCTTCTTTTTACATTGGTACACTATATCCCTCCCAAGCATACTCCAATCGACAAATCTTGCTTGCAAAATCTTAAGAAATCCGCAAAGGCCAAATGTAAACAATGTAATTAAACATCTCTCAAGGTACTATTCGTTATCATCAAATTACTTCTTACTGGGGGAATCTAAGGTGCTCTATTTTTTCAAATAAGCTCAAGTAAAATAGGTTTTCAAAAAATAAAATAAAAGGCTAGAGTTTGAGTACTTTTAAAACTTAAGAGCGTCTATGGTGTCTATGGCTTTCAGAGGTGCTCTGAGTTGCCCTACTTATTAAAATGATTAATGAGATAGTTATTCTTATAAGGCGCTCGATGGTCTTTAAACCCCATCTATAACGAACATAAGCTACCATATTCTAACTACTCAAAAGACAGACAGACAATAAACTATTGGTTAGGTGCTTATTGGAAGAAGAAAGAAGAAAGGCATTCATTTTCATACAAAAATAATAATAGTAATAATAATTTTTTTTATTGATATCAAATTCTAAGAAAAAAAAAATGAAAATTAGCATCTTGATGTATTTAACAAAACTTGTATATAAAGATAAAAACTTACTTTAAATAAGGGCATTTGCCCATTTGGTGTACTGTGTCATAGATAGGTCAACTATATTACACGGGACCTTGACGTGCAATACAGACAAGAGCTGCTAGCATACCACGGAACCTTGACGTGAATATACTAGCCTAGACTGCCACTAGAGGAAGTGACGCCCCTGCGCTATGACACAGTACTTGCCACACCTTCCATCCCAGTAATGACAACTGTACATTATGGAACCTTTGCATGTCATAAAGGAAAAATTAAAAGAAGCAATAATAATAAAAAGAGAGATTACAAGATTAGACATTGGTGCATTTCCAAAAAAAAAAAAAAGAACCTGCATATAAATATAAAACTTACTTCAGGTAATGAACTTTAGAATTTACCGTATCGTATCATAACAAGGTCAACTACATCTCACGGAATCTTGACATGAAATGCAGACAAGAGCTGCTAGTACACCACGGAACCTTGACGTGCATGCACTGGCCTAGATTGCCTCTTAGAAGTCTTAATGCCTCTCAGCTATGACACGACGCGTTACTTTTGTATACATTTAAAAAATTAACAGTAAATTTGATTAGTTACGCGCATTACATGTCTTGTTTTAAAAATACAAACCATTAGCCAATGTAAATGTCCATCAGAAAGTTATTGTAAGGCTATTACAATCAACACCTCACTATTATATCAGCACAAGGGCCTGTTGGCTGACGCAAGCATGAATGATGTAATCAGTCATGTGCAATATGAGTTTTGAAGTGATGGCTTCATTAGTCTAGGCACATAAAAATGATTAAAAAAAAAAGAAAAAGAAAAAGAATCGTGATGAGTAGGTTCCTCAACCACTCCACTCTACAGCACCTCACCTCACCTCACCTTCATAACCCATTATTCAGTCTAATAATAAATCACTGTCTTATTTTTTACTATAATGTCACGTTTGCCATACGGCGTATTATACAGAATCCTCGACCCAATCAGTACAGTGATATTAGGGATACTTTTACCTTAAAGCTTATCGAGAGCATAAAATCGATATAGAATTATCAAAGTGAACTCAGTCAATAAAAAATAAATTATTTATTTTTTGTCTGTCATTAACTTATATTGAATCAAGGTACCTTTTATAACGACTAGAAATATATTTAAAGCTGCAATTGCTAACATATTTGTGAGAGATAAAAGGTGTTTATGGCACGCTTTCAATGGATCAAGTAAAAGAGTAATCTACTGGTGTAGTTGTTGTGTTGTAATACCTTTTGGAGAAAAAAAAAAGATATTGCATAGTAGAAAGAGAAAAAGGGAGGGACTTGTAAGCAATTTTGGGTTGAAAACAAACTTGAAAAATATAAGTGGTAAGTAAATTGCTACAAGTCCATGCCTCTCTCACTCACTCTACTAAGATCTATTAAGATCGGCTTAAAAACTGCTGTGATTACAACAACAACAACAATAGTAACAAGAAAAACGACATCTTAACTATTTGCTAGTGCACTTTAGTAATAAAGCTGTAGTGTCTATTTTTAAAACAAATGATGGGATTTGAACTTTTTCTGTTGAATTTGGAATTGATAAAACCAAAATTGTATATCATTAAAGAAGTGACCATCTGTCGGTTTCTCTCTCACCAAGAATGTCACCAACAATGATGTCATTCAAGAGTTTATCAAGCATCTTGGCAAGATAAAGGTAAAATATGAAGAAATGATATTGACGCTATATAACTGCAACAAGTAAACAAGCCATTTGAGCGAACCCATGCCTTATTTGAATTGATATCTCGTATTTTCTCGCTTTGAGAACTCATACCGGCAGGTTATATATATATATATATAGTTATTCAAATAAAATTTCAGTAGACTCAGAGTACAATAAGCATCAATGTTGGTGATCTGGCATTTTTTCTTAAAAAACTCTTTATCAAAAAATAAAATAGAAAAAAAATGCGTGCACTGGGGTGTTTGGGACAAAATCCACCAGTCGAGCTCCCTCGTATTTCCCTATAGTGATTATCTCACACAGAGGTTGCTTTCCACAACTAATTTATAAGAGTAATAGCATATAGATATATTCTTTTGGTGTTGTAAATGTGGCTATGAGGAAAATCTGAAAATGTAGAGAGAAGAAAAAAAAATAGTCGGTGAAATTAAATGTAAAAGCACCTGTAGATAAGCTTCCTGTTCCCAGGCAAAACCAACAGAATTTACATCATATACAATTTGCCAGTGGTACAATGGATAATTTTTTTTTAGAAATGAAGGAGCTCTTTACATTTTTTATGGATTATGCTTATATATATATATATATTCACATTTTCTTGGTCCAGTGGTCTATTAATAATTAAGAAATGATATTATTTTATTTCGTGTTCTTCTTTATCGAATAGTCTTGGTTTTTTGTGAAATCCAAGTTAAAACGGTGTACTTTAAAGAAGTAAGAAAAGAAAAGATCAAATTGATTTGTGTAACATTTTTCTTTCATAAAAATATGTTATTTCCGAGGACTAGTTCAGATTGAGTCTTAACAAGCAAGGGAAGACAAGGGAAGGCAAGATGAAGGAATGATCTGAGACTGAACTATTTTATGTGTATATTAAAGTATAGTATATAACGCCTAGATCCAAGTTTTCTCTCAGGGCGAACCCATTTAACCGGGGTGCAATAAGATGTAATACATATAAAGTTATATAGTTTATTCAGGAAACCTTTCTTTTTCCTTTAAACCAGGCTTTAATTAAACTGACTGGCTCTTGGACAAATGTCATGGATACTTCTTTATCACGTCTTTTCTATATTTATGTCTTTAAGCTTTTCTTGAGTGTACCCAATGTAAGTCACTTACTACTACTACTAGTAGTAGTAGTAGTAGTAGTGATAATAGTATATACTTCTTAGCCATGTGGGAAGTCGGGAGATTTATTAGTCTAAAATATATAGTTTTCTTCTTTCTTTTCTTTGGACGCAATCTCGGAAAGAATATAAGTATGAAATAGTGTGTATTTGGGTTTTGGTTTAGCGTAAAAAAATAAAATAAAATAAAAATCTATTGGCCTTGTTCACCGAGATGTCTTTATGAGCGCAAAATGAAGTGTATATATATAATGTATATTTATTGTCATTATTATTGCCATTATATTATATTATATTATATTATATCATATATTACATTTTATATAATTAGATAATGGAATAAGGTAGAATAAGGTAAAATAAAAGTAAAAGTAAAAGAAAGTAATAGATCGAGAATAGTTCTTCTTCTTCTTATATATATGTGTGTGAAAGATAAATTCAGATCCTTCAGAACACCAAATAAAAGAATAATAATAAGAAAAATAAAAATATAGACTAAGCTAAACTAGACTAAACGAAAAGGACCATTTGTTGGGAATAATTTATAGATAAATAAAAAGAGAAACAAATTAGAACAAGGCAGCAGCAATGGCAACCGAAACAGCACCAAGTCCAAGAGCAGGCAAGACACGAGCACCAGCACTCTCACTGTTGGGGGTTTCGGTGGCAGCAGCACTGACTGAGCTGGCAGCAGAACTGGCAGAAGAGGCAATACTGGCAGCATCTGAGCTCTTAGCTCCCTCAATGGAAGACACGGCAGTAGCAGATGAATCAGAAATGGACGACAGAGCAGAGGTTACAGATTCGGCAGCAGCAGCAGAGACAGACGAAGCAGAGGGTGCAGCAGAAGTGGCAGCCGAAGAAGCAGCAGAGACTACAGAGGGGTTGCTGTTCTGTCCGGGCCACTTGGTATCGATGCAGTTGTTGTAGCAGGTAGTGTCTCCATTGCAGGCATTGATACATTCACCAGTAGAGTTAACTAGATAATGTTATCAGACTTTAGTTTGATGTTGCTTTAGATTAATGATAGAGTTACTTACCACAGTTGCTAAGACAGTTTCCATCACTAGGCTCGCAATCACAGCCATCAGCCATAACTCGGGAAACCTGGGTGGCAAGGGCAAGGGCAGCGACGAGAACAAATGTGAACTTCATGTTTATGATGATGATTTTTGGGTTAAAGAGCAAGAATTAAGAAAGTAAGAAAGTAAGAAAGAAAGATGATGATGATAATTATTTTCTTCTTTGGATGCCTGGATCGATGTCTTTATATATGGGTCCATATTTGAGGTAAACTAAGGTGATACACTGTGTACAGGTCAGAGATGTCAAAGGGAAACTGTGCGTTGGAGTTGCGTCATTAAGCGGAGTGAAGCACTCAATTTTTTTTTTTCCTTTTTCTTCTTTCTATGTGTCTTTGGCTTTGTTTCTATCTATCACTATATCTGCCTTTACGTGTGTATGTATGTATGACATATGACAGATATACTCCTTATACAAACGCGTAATATCTGAGCAGCCAACAAGTAAAATACTCTATTGTCAAATATTCACTATTTATTTTTCTTTACACACATGAATTGTGGCTGGTTATGCTCATTAAAAAAAAGTTATTGTTATATTAATTCAATACATATTCAATTGTCACTATTACTATTGCTGTACTTCTTCTTCTTCCTCTTCCTTATGAATGTAAAACATATATTCATTTTTTTTTTGTTTCAATAATAGTAATTATGAGTCTACGTCACTTGTAGGAATAAAAAAAAAAGAGAGAGAGAAACCAAGCCAAACCAAATCAAGTACAAATAAAATCAAAGAAATAATGACTAGATTTTGTATGTATTTCTGTATAAATCTACAATTCTTGTATTATAAAATAAATTATCTAAATATATTTATTTATTTATTCTGTTATTTAAAGCGGATTTTGATGTGTCTGGCAGCACAGACCCAAAAAGAAAAGTCTTGGAAAAACTCATTTGTTGAATTGAATTCCAGTGACAGACAGAAAGGGGAAAGTGAGGGGGAATGATGCAGGTTTAAAAGGATATTTTAGGTCTAGCTTCATTACTGTGTACTGAATAAAACTTATCGTCCCATAAAATACATTCATAAATATATAAATATATTCTGAAATGAGGCACTAAATGACTACATTTTTCTTTAGGGATGTTTTATACAGAGGTAGTCGAATATGGTGTACAATTTTGTTGATATTATGTAAAGAAATGATAACAAAATATAGATAGATATTTGTTTCTGTTAAAGAAGTAACTAAAATGTATGTATCTATTATAAAGAACAATGAACCCTATTATTCGTGTTCAAATCGTCATTTATGAAATGTGTCTATGTGTGTGCCATGCAATGCAATGCCATGCAACGCAACGCAACGCAACGGCTTAAAGTGAATTACAGACGTGTCACCAGATCATCAAACTCTAGAAGTACATCACATCACATCACATCACATCTATCCATTTAGCCAGTCAACCAGTCAAACATATACAGTAAATAGAAAAAAGAAGCTGAATTTACCTATTAAATACATTATACAAGGAGTCCAATACTGACGAGTAGTAAGAATACTATATGTCTCTGTCTGTTTATTTTAGCTATCTATATAAAGATCTATTGGGAATCTTGTACTTTTCGGCAAGTGGGTTCCGTATTTCGGGCCTGACAACAGCTAATTAAAATGATTAAAAAATATTATTTGGCTATTATTAATTGACTACATCTATATATGAATACTGTAGTCAATTGATAAGCCACAAAGACATTTACAGCAACAATTCTATTATGTTGAAGAAAAAAAGATTGACAGGAATAGCAACAAATTAACGAATGTTGCTAGGGTAGGATAAGATCAGATTGGATTGGTTGGGATTGGTTGGGTTGGTTAGAACTTGTAATGTTTACCATATATTCAACAATGAAATACCAAAAAAGAAAAGAAAAGATACAAACACAAATTATATATGTGTGCGCACATACTAGTTAGATCGGCAGTTCCTTTAAGATTGATTCAGTCGGTCGTCCTTTTTCTCTCTCTCTCTCTATTATATTTATCTTGATCTCAAGGATCGTCAATGGGGTCTCGGGACTAAAAACGCCAATGTAGGATTGTAATTTTTTTTCTTATTAATTTTTTTTTTTATTATTTGTATGTGCGTAGATGTAACACAGGGTGTTTGAGTTAACCCAAGATTATTGATAGATTTTATGCATTTATATATTCTTTATGCTTATTCTTTATGGTTATTACTTGGTATCCAAAGTAAATAATGAAAAATAATAAAGAAAGATCTCAGAAATAGATATATCCTTGGCATGGGTATCAAGTGCAAGTATAACTTGTATAATATTGTACACAGAAATCATTTAAGACCAATAATAATAAAATAATAATAATAGGCAAGGGGGGGGGGTATAGACCCTAAAATAATAATAATAATAATAATAGTCATAAAAGAAGGGGGTGGAAGAGGAGGAAGATTCAAGATCATATTTGGCTTACTTATTTCTATTATATGGTACAAGCACCCAATACACAGTACACAATAATAACGATGGTGATTTGACATTTTGAATGCTTCAAGGTTAAGGAGCAAGGATTTTATATCATTATAAAATAATTACTTATTAGTATATCAATGCTTATTCCATGTGGTTTATTTGGTGTGTACAATGAAAGAATATTTTTTTTTCTATTAATGTCTTGGGATTCTAAAGACTAGGGTTAAAGACTAGGAATAGTAATCCGATAACATAATTCTCATGATTACTATTATATTTATATAAAAGGGGATATCATGTATACTGCCTTTGATCTCTACTACTATATATACATACAAAAGCAGCCAAAGAAAATAATGAAAGAAAAGGGCATATCTAATCAAGCAAGAATACCAACAAGACTACGCATTTGCTTTGCTTTATTCTATCCTATTTGCGCCTTTGAGACCAGTTATTGGTTAGAGGATCACTTACTTTGAATACTTGCACAGAAAAAAAAAAGATATACAGACAAACAGACAAACAGACACCTGCGTCTAACATTTATGGTCAACATATCAAAAACATATAGTAAATTCAGTATTGTGTCTGGATTTCAACAGGTTGTTCAACATTCATCATAAAGACAAAGAAATTATATTTTATATACATAAATATTTCTTAATTTTTCTTTCTTTTTTGTGCTTTAAATAATAAATAAATAAAGTAGCCAAAAATAGGAGAATAATAATAATAATAAATAAAAAAAATTTAAAAAAAAATTGATATAAAAAAGGATCTTTGGTTTCTTCATTTTATAGAATATTTCTTATTCAAAAATAAAATAAAATAAAAGTACAACACTGTAATATCTATATATCAATTGATCAACCAATCAACCAACCTACCCACTTACTTACCGATCACTCATTCATTTGTTCAAATCAAATCAAATCAGAGTCAGTCTGTCAGTCAATCGATCCATCGATCAATAAATCATTAACAACGCAAAATCCATTCTACAATATATATATATATATATATATATGTACTTATTACCTAATTAATTAATAAGAAATATACCTACCAAAAAAATCATAAACAAACTTGATGAATATAATCGATCTTTTAATCAAACCGTCCACGTCAGACACCAATCTATCTTACCCAGGGCTAAAGGCTCCTATCCATGATGACAATCTTATGGCTGTCTGGGAATCAGTTCTAGACCAGTATGGCTTTCGTCTCAAACCAACCTCGGAGCGCAACACCCTCACAGACGCCATCCTGACTCCAACCAGCGCACCAGTCTCAAGTTTCCTTCCAGACACCCCAGTCCATATTAAGGTCATTGGCCGGCACATGAATGGTTCCTTCCGCTGTCACATTGGCACCGGAAAAGCATCTCGTCCCATCCGCTCCACCGAACTGTGCCGCCAGATGCGTCTATTGGCAGTCTTCTTTAGAGCAGAGAATAGTAAGAGCCAATTGGTCTCCCCAGACTTCATATTCTTCCCAACCTGGCTCCTCCATCTTTTCCGGTACACCCAGCACGGCTCGACTCCAGGCCGAACTGATGTCAGATTTCTCGAGAATGCCGGTCTGGCCAAAGAAGACCACATCTACCGTCTCAACCATGTCCTCAACACCCTTTTTCGCTTCAACCTGCACAACTTTGATGGCCAGAAAATGCAGCGGGCCGTAGAACTCGCAAATTACCTGTTTGATACGGCCGGACTAGACCCAAGCTCGCTACCCAGACCCTACTTTCCTGGCGAGGACCTTGGCAAGCGAGAGCAACCTGGTCTGTACCCAACTCTTGTACTCCTCTTGCACACCCCGCGGCCATCAAAAACAAAACCCTTTTGCCACAACTGCAACACCAAACCAGCCTCACGCCGCAAACTCTGTGTGGCTTGCTACAGATACCAGCTCAAGCACGGCGAGGCACGGCCCCTCAGACTCATTGTTGCCAACCGACCCGGACCCCGTCTCAGTGACCTGGCTGATGCAACATTAGCAGCAGCCTTAACCTCAGTCGATACTCTAGCCACAGCTGACCACGGAATGCCTTTGATGTGCCCCAGCAATGTACCAAGGACCATGATTGCCCCCATACCAAGGTCTCAGAAGAGCTGCGCAAACTGCGGTGTCCATGAGACTCATCAGTGGTACCGCAATCTCTGCGGCGCAGGTCATTGGTGCGAAACTTGTAAGAGCTACTACCTCAGACACACCAAGGTGCGCCCCCCAGAGCTGTTTGTCAAGGCTGCCAAGCGCAAGGTTGATGTCCGCACCCTCGTAAACTGGTCCTCCTGGGCCGCAGAAGATGACACTGACGACACTGCAGCCATAACAACAAAAAGTCGTCTGTCAACACCAATCACCCGCCGATCTTCAGATTCCACGGTTTCTACAGTCGGATCCTGGACACCATCCGGATGCCGTCCGCATCTCTATCATGCTCGGTACAGCTGCAGTGCTTCTTCTGTCTATGAAAGTTCGTCCTCGAGTCACAACAGTCCTGATGCCAGTCTGGTGTCATCCCCCACCACACCACCGTCTGTTTCGCCTTCTTTTTTTTCACACTCAAAACACCGGACATCAATCTCATCCACCCAATCTTCTACACTTGCGCCGCAGACCTATGGCTCGCCCTATGGGGTCTTTTATCAGCCTTGGTCTTTAGACGGCTGAGTAAACACATTATACATTTACTTTTATATATCTATATATAAAGAAAAGGATTGTGCTCCTCACAAAAAACACTATTCCAAAAAATAATAATTATAATATTAAGAATAGCAGTAATAGCAGTAATAGCAGCAAAAAAAATTCTCATTTCATACTATACTTCTTTTACTTTTCTTACTACATCCCCCCCCCAACTTTCAGTCGCCTTTTCTTTATTGGTTTCATTATTGCTTTCTTTATTATACTTTTATTTCATTCATTATTTTTTATTTATTTATTTTCTATTTCTTTCAACAGATTATTTTTTCAGCATAATCAATGCATTACCTCTTCTTCTTCTTCTTCTTCTTCTTCTTCTTTAATATACATACATATATACACTATACATACATTCATAAATGCATTCATACATACATTCATACATTAATACATACATTAGAAAGAAAGAAAGACAGAAAGATATATAATAGCAACACTTGTAATCCCCCTTTTTTTTTTCTTCTTCAAAAATCAATAGTTCATAATTTCATTATTATTATTATTTCGTTTCATTTCACTTGAATATGCTTAATCCAACATTCTTCTTTAAACCTTATGGCCATGCTCATCATTTACTTCTTATTATTATTATTATTCTTCTTCTTTCTATTATTCATTTTATATTTTGTATGTCTGAAATTCTTGTCTTATTTCTATATTTTTAAAATCCATTTATTTGTTTGTTTGTTTGTCTCTTTTATATATATATATATATAAATCAAAATATATCTATCTATCTATCTATCTATATTTTTATATCAATGTATTCGTTTATGTAAGAATAATAACAATAAAAGTAAAAAATTGTAAAAATATATGTATGTATGTATGTGTACCATGACTCCAAAAATTATATAATATATAATCGATCTGCAATTTTCAATCTTAAAAATATTTATATACATTTGGTAGTTCATCTGTAACCATGCGTCAAAAAATTATAATCATAATAAAATAAATATAAACCTGTCAAAGTTTGAGGGGATAATATGGTAATAGCGAGAGCAATATAAGGAACAGGGCAGGAGAACAGGAAGGAGGAGGGGGGGTGAAGGGTATTCAATTTTGAATTGAAACAAAAGAGAAAATAAATAAATATAATCTCTAGGGAAATGGTCAATGCATATATATAAAATGTCTCTATTTATCGTTAAGCATTTAATAAATAAATAAAAAAAGGAGAGTTAATTTATTTAGTTATTTATCTTTTTTGTAATATATACATACATTTAATGCGATCGTAATAGAAATTTTCATGTAAATCATAAATTTACCCAAAATCCATCGATCATTTTTATGCCAAATGTTTTAGGCGCCCACAAATCATGCTGTTAAAAATCATTCAATTTTTTTTCTTTTACTTTATTAATACATAAATACTAGCTAACAGTAACAAGCATTGTAATGACAGTAATAGCAGTAATAACAGTAATAGGAGATCTGTAATTTTTTTTGGGGGTTAAAGAAAATATATATTAATACTTACACACACAAACACACACACACAAACACACGCACACATTCATACAGGTGTGTACAAGACATATTGTACTCTTGAAAGAAGTAGTAACAGTAGCAGCAGCAGTAGTAGTAGAAGAAAAAGCAAGAAGAAGAAGAAGAAGAAAAGAGAGGGAACCCAGTTATTTGGAATCTGACTTTATCATGATGCTTATAAACATAATACACAAAGATGGGGTTTTGTTACAACAGGTATCCAGAACCCAAGACTTTGGAGTCTTTGGCTTTCAAAATGATCAGAAATAAGTCCTCCTGAAGATCAAAATAAACAAATAAAACCATAACATGGAAAATAATGTGTATGGCCAATCTATATTCGATTCAACTCCTCTTTCATCAGCGTCATCATTGATATATAGATACATTTTGTATAAATGTTTGTTTTATTTATTTATTAATTCAGTTAGTTAGTTAACGACCAATTATCTATAATAGAATGACAGGAACAAAGTTTCAAATTATCATAATTCTAATTCATACCTTTTTTTTTTATTAGTATTTAAAAGATGTGGACATATCAATTAATGCATTGATATTGACATTTGGTTTATTCAGTCAACAATACATTAGTTTTTATATATTCGCTTTATTTTGATAGCAGATCCCAGCAGAATGTATTCATTCTCATTAGATAAATTAGCCTCACAACCTAATATATGAATAAACCCAAGGATCAATCAGCCATTAAACCAACCAACCAACTCAAGAAACAAAGAGAGAGAGAAAAAAGGGAATCTCAAGTATCCGAAATACGCCTTCTATCCCTCATTCTCCTCCTGTTTTTTTTTTGCTATTATTATTATTATTTGATCACCACCAAGAAACAGAAGCCAAATCAAAAACTGGCTTAAGCATGGTTTTTTCTTCTTCTTTTATGATCCACATAATAACGAATAATGAATATTGTCATGAGGTTGTGCATAGACACTCCTAGGGTAGCAGCCATACAACGATCATGAGAATTATTCTGTTGCAAGTCAATCTACACAAAGAATAAAATAAAGAAATAAAGATAAAGATAGATAGATATATAGATAGATAGACTACTTTACAAAACAAAGAAACTACAATATATATATATATATATATATATTCAAGATTGTTACTGGGACTAGAATAAAAAAAAAATTAGATCAAAATTACCATATATATAATGCATCGATTAGACAAGTTTGTTCTAATGTAATGTAATCTAATGTAATGAATAACTCTCTTTCTTTTCTTTAGTTTATAATTGTACTGCTGTCATTAGATATAGCCTTGTGATGTACATGTGGTTTAAACAACAAGAAATTACCGGGTGTTTGATTTGGCCCAGAAGAATCAAAGCATCAAAGCATCAAACCAAACCCTCCCTCTCCCTTACATACATTGGAATGTTTGTCATACGCCTTGAGCAAGTTACTTTCTTGTTTTGTCCTTTATTTATATTGATAGACAAACAAGTGATTATATCAGATCTTTGCTTTTCTATGTATGTATTTATTTTGGTGATGGTATCTTTTCAGAGTATTGTCGACTTGTTGACTGTAAAAGAATCATTATGTATCTTGATCATAAGTATATCGGATAGCAGGAATACCAATTTCATTTATGAAAGGACCCTGTCCAAATCTGTTTTAAATCAAATCAAATATATAAAACTCAAGGTTCTGTGGTTGTGATCCTTTAGAAATTGATTGCAACATTATTTCTGTTCCTCATCCCTCAAACTTCCTACTCTCCCCCTAGCCCCCCTCTCTCCTTGTACCATCCAACTCTCTTTCAATGTCCCAACTTTTTGGGTATATCCGGCCATACAGCCCTTCTTTCTTTTCTCTTTGGACTAATATCAAAATCTGAGAATGCTATTGCCAATACTGTTGTCTGCTTTGGACCTGCCAAAATAATAATAATAATAATAAAGACACTATATCTTTTGCAATTCATAATTGATTTCTGTTTCTAATACATTTGCTTCTCTTAAATTATCCTACATATATATACATACGGTGGAGGGAGGTTGTCAACCTGGGATCTTCTTGTGTTGCCGGATAAGAATACCGGTTCTGCATTTGATGATTGAATAAGAAACTTTCTGTAAATCAAGATAAAATCAAATATACATAAAAAGGAAATACAGGTGAGACAGAAAGAGAGAAAGGGGAAAAGTGTCAAGCAGGCTATCGTTGTTTTGAAGCAATAGACTTTAGAATGATATTCATCCATTTGTTATTTAATGTATTGATTTTATTGGAATAACAAAGCAAAAACATGTCTTTTCTTCTTGGTGAACGTTTTAATGCTTTAAAGAAGTGTATATCTTTTATTGCTAGAAATTTGTTTTCAATGTCTGTCTATTGTGAGTGTGAGTGTCAGAGTCATTAATCAATCTTATATATATTACAAGTTAGAAGAAAGAAAGGAACATTGCCACAAACAAGTTTTTAAGGTTATTTACTATATTGTTGTCGATGGTGCTGTTTCTTGATATACTTCTCTTGAATGAGGTTAGGATGAAAGAAACAATCTATATACACACACACGCACACACACACATATATATATATATATATATACAATATTTGAAAATTTGGACTTGATTCAAACAAAATAACCTTTTATTGATCTACATTGTAATGCATGTCCATCTAGTTCAAAATCTTGTTGATTAATTGATTGCTAGTAAGTAATGTCTGCAGATGTTTTGAATGTCCAATATATATATTGCAATTTTGTTTCTTATTATTATCATTATTTGAATAAAAGCTCATTGTGTTTTGATTGGTAAATCATGTCTTTATACAAGATTAATGTCAATGGCAATCTTCAAGCTTGAATTAGTTGACAAGTTTGATGTATGATCGTTTGAGATCTTTTTATTTTATTATTTTCGAGAATCGTAAAGATGTTGATTGTAATTAACATGATGTAAAAATTAAATATAAAAGAACAACAATTCAAAGGGGAAGAATAATAATAATAGACAATTAATGGTCGATCATTTTTGTCCCGTTTTTCTTTGATACATTGGATATTTATATATCTAATAGCATATTTGCTAGGCTGCGACATCTGATTTCAAGTCAGGGTTTTCTATCTCTTTTAAGCAACATCCCTTTGCTTTCTTTCTTTTTTTTTTTGGATTTTGGTTTGGTTTGGTTTGGTTTGGTTTGGTTAGGAGTAGTTGGTGTAAAGAGTCTTGTCACCATGTCTGTGTTGTCCTTCTGTGTCTCTCATATTCCCCCTTATTTCTTCCTCCTTTCTTCTCCTTTCTTTTCTTTTCTTTCTTTCAAGTATATTACCTCCCCTTTACCCTACACTACCCTACCCTACCCTACCCTCATTCGTTTCCTAATTGCTTTTTTTTTCTAATTCATTTCCTCTCATTACCATGTTGCGTACCATGGTAAATGTAGTATGATGACGCCACCTCCCTTTTTTTTTCCTTTTTTCCTTTTTATCATTATCATTATTCCTTTCTATTAGCATTGTCATTGTGCAGACTCATTCTAATGAGGTAACTAATACATATACAATATAAATTCCTAATCTCCCCTAAAAATAATAATATTCGGTTAAAGCATTTCTTCTGCCTGCCTGTCTATCTCCGTTCCCCTATAATATACTGTGATGTGATGTACTGTGATGTACTGTACTGTATGACACTGTATTATACTTTAGGATACTCTATATTATTGTTACTATTTATTCTTGGAGAGATTGATAGATAAAGAGAGAGATAGAGAGGGTGAGCTAGACAAGAAGCTATATATATATATAATGTATTTCATGCTTGACTTTTAATTATTTTCATTAAGAAACAAGAAATTTCTTTAATATATCCAAGGTCAATGCTCCCTACAAAAGAAGCAAAGAAGCAAAGAAAGGATCTAATTCTAAAGCACACGACGCCTATTTTTAGATGAAAGATATATAACAATTATACTAGTAGCTGCTAAAGATCATATCATTGTCTTTGTTTCTTTGGTATATTTCTTGTGAGAATAATGAATGGTTGACGCATATGAACAGACAGCAGAATATTTTTCAATTGTTTTAAGATTCTGTGTAATTCTTCTTCCTTTAATATACATTATATAATACATAATGGATATTTGGCTCTGTGGTAGTACACATATATGCTTTTTTTTAAAAATATATATATTTATACTCTTATTATTTGAAGTGCGATTCAAGTGACTGAACTGAATATCAGTTTACATATTTGAATTTATTATACATATTATCTTTGGGGTAAAATGGCTAAAGAAGGGTGTTTGAATTTGAATTGGTTGACTTGAAAGTAAGGAAAAACTAACAAGGATAAAACCAGCACTAATACTGATAATGGAAATATAGATATATAGAGAGGGGAAGGTAAGGAAGAATAGCCGATAATTAACAAGATAAGAATAAGAATAAGAATAAGAACCTACTTGACTTTACCTCACATCGCCTTACTTTGCTTTGCTTTACTTTGCTTTGCTTTACCCCACCTACTTGGTTATGTTAAATAAATAAATATTTATTTATTTATTTGAATTTCCTGCCTTTTATTCGTGACATTGGATTGATAAGAAGGGCGGCATCCAAACAAGGGAAAACAAAAGAAGGGGACCCTTAAGAAAAGAAAAAAAAAAGTATAAATATATGTTGTTTGAAATACCGCCACAATTATCTTGACCAGTGTATAGAAAATAAATAAGAATCTAGTCTAATTCTATTAAATCTTACATTGATATAATGATAGATTTACACTATGCCTTGTTTTTAATTTTTATTATATGTATTTAATAATAATAATAAAACACATAGGTCGTAACTATGGTAGTTCTTTACAGAATTAACCGATTCAAATTGTAGCAAGTTGAAATTTAGTCAACAAATACACATGAATACAAATACCTGAATTTACATACATAGATACATACATGTACATTACATATAAAGGAAATAGGGTTCCTTTTTGTATTTCTTAAGGGACAAAAGGAAACAAGGGACTCTTCCTTTATTCCTATTTTCCTCTGACTTGGTTTGAGTTCTTATATAAACTACTGTTGGTTTATTCAATGGTTTTCTTTTTTTCTTTTTCATCTTCATCTTCACCTTCTTCTTTACCTTTCTTTATATCCACCTACTTTTAATTCTTTTCTTAAAGAATAAAAATAAATAAATAAACAAACTTATATTATGAAGTTGACTATTTCTGCTCTTGTATTAGCCATTGCTGTCTCTGCTGTAGCTGCCTGTGATTGTAAAGCTGATGATCACACCTGTCTCAGCAAATGTGGTAAAGTACAATTGGAATAACAAAAATAGCAATAATATAGATTTACTCTCCACTAATAAAGCTCAACTTTTTTTTTATTTTATTTTATTATTAATATATAAATAGTTACGGATGCAAATAGCTGTATCACAGGTTGCAGAGATGACCAATGCTACCGTAATTGCGTTAACAATAAATGGTAAGTGCTACACATATACATGTACATGTACATGCATATATGTAAATATGCGATCTGCAACAAGAATCAGAAAAAATGAAAGAAAGAAAAATAACCAAAATATATATACATATATATATGTAAAAATCAAATCAAACACAGGCCAGCACCTTCAGGTTACCTTCACAGCGATGTCCTGACTGCCCCTGCCGCAACTACAGTCGCAGATGTTCATCCTGCCTTCCCGGGTGTCACTTCAAGTGGTACGACACTGAGAAATAATAATAAATATAAAAGCAGACAAGCAAACAAATCAGAAAATATTATCACTAATTATATAATTAGATATATATTATATTAATAATTGATAATCATAATACTAAATATTTTATTCTTTAAACAAATGTCATAAAGTGTTAGATTACTAACATACTAATCATGACTTTATTATGATGTAGCCGCACCAACTGCTTCCCAGGTCTCTGCTGCCAAGCCAAGTTTACCAGCTTCTGGCAAAAATGGAACCAGCAATGGCGGATCTCTCAATCACGTCCAATGGCCTCTCCTGGTCAGTGCATTAATGACAGCCGGCGTCTGGGCCGTAAGTCATTAAAAACCAAAACACCAACAACAACAACAAAAAAAAATACAAAACGCAAAAAGGGTCTCCAGAAAGACAAACTAAAGAGAGGATTAAAAAGAAAGGAGGAGGATATATTATCCGTTTTGTTCTATTAAAATATATATATATATATATATATATATATATATAATAATAATAATAAGACCATTTGAGTGGAATTTACCCTCATTTAGACCTTATTTATTTATTACCACTACTACTACTACTACTACTACTACTACTATTATTACTTATTATTATTTTACACTATTTATTTTATTTTATTCTTATTTTATTATTACTACTATTACTACTATTATTTTTACTATTTATATTTTACTTAGTTTATGTTATTTTAAAGAGCAAAAAAAAAATCCAATTCAATTCAATCAATCAAACCTGATTTAAGAAAAAATCAATTCCCACCTCTTTCTCTCCCTCTCCCTCTCTCTTTTTGGTTATTTTTATTATCAATTCTTATTAGCTTTTGCTTTTTAGCTGACTGTAGTTTTATTTATATTTATTCATTTGAGCTAATCTTTTTATTTTATTTTATTTACTTATCTTTTTTCCCTTTATTCAATAACAAATAAAAAAAATAATGGACATACTATCAGCCAACCTTACACCAATCGCGTCCAATGGTTTATAAAATGATTTATTCTAGTCCCATCCAACACGACAAATTATATACATACAAATGTACATATATAAAAAAATGACTTTGATAATCAAATCCCCGCCAAATATACACACACATTTACATACCAAAAACATTACGCACTATACGCTACAGACAGACACACACACATATGCAGGTACACACACACACACACACATATTTGTGTATATATAGAGAGAGAAAGGGAGATAAAGTCCAAATTGAGTTTTTTTCAAATTTTTTTTTGATCTTAATAGGAAAAAGGATTGAAAATTCTTTACATATATATTTTTTTAAATAAAAAAGATCTTCCTCTTTTTTTTTTCTATATATATTAATATAATTATATATATATATATTACTACTATTCTTATTTTATTTCTTATACCTTTTGCACTTTTGCCTTTTTGCTTTCTCGCCTTTTTGCCTGCTAAAATATTTAAAATACACAGTAAAAGCAAACTCACATCAATCTAGGCCAGGAATATATAATATATATTCCTATATATATATATATATATATATACAAAAGACACACAGACACATAGAAATATTCAAGTAAATAAATATATATATTATTTTTACAATGGAGTCCTACCTGTCCAACATAGACACCTACCTCCAACAACAACAACAGCAACAAGAAGCTGCCGAAAACTCTAACTTTCACCAACAAACCTGGTCAGCCCAACCAGACTCCTTTACGTCCTTTCTCCAACAACCGCACTTCCCCTCGGCTGCAGCCTACCCAACACCTACATCAGGACTAGGACCAGGTCAAGGACAAGGACAAGGGCCTGCTCCTGCATCTGCACCTGTGCCTGCACTCGACAGCAATGGCCAACCAATCAAAATACGCAAGAAGCCCGGACGCAAGCCAAACCCTGCCTCGCCTGCCCTTCGCAAGGCCCAAAACAGAGCAGCCCAGCGAGCATTCCGAGAACGCAAAGAACGGCATCTGCGTGATCTCGAAAACACAATCAGGACCCTGAGAGAACTACGCCAGGCTAATCTAAAACAACACCGCCAAACAAAAAAAGAACTCGATGCAACAAAGGCCGAGAACTGGTATCTCAAAGGTGTCGTTCTTACTCTCCAATTCATCTGTCTCCATAACAACATCAAGATCCCAACTCACTCGCCTTATCTGACCGAAGAAGCCCTCGAAGACATTGCCAAGACTGCCCCTCATGCCATCGAAGCCTATGTGAATGCATACACTCACAACAACCAGCAACTCAAACCAACAATGGCATCCCACTTTGCAAACACAATTCACGACGAAGACGAAGACGAAGACGAAGGTCATGATGTCCTCGAAAATCCAATGTCCCACGACAGTAATCAATACGCAAACGACGATAGCGAAACAACCACCGGAGAAAACCAGTATGACCAGCCGACTGACAACCGTAGCATGTCTGCCAGAGCTGCCAGCGAAGAAGCAACAAACATAGCCTGTCGCATGGCGTCACCTTCAGCCTGGTCTAACACAAGTGAAGCCGATGACAACCACCGACGTGAGCCATCAATGTCAACCGACTACTCAAGCGTAAAATTAGAACAGCTCGAAGACCAAGTCAACTGGCAGGATCGGAGCATCCAAAACGATAATGATGATGATAATCACAATCACAACAACAGTAACAATCCATTCCAACCACATCCCTCTAGTCTGAGTGCTATTCAACGCATTCGTCTTCAATTGAGAGTCCAGTCAAGTCTGACAGCAATTGGCAATTCAGCTGCCCGCCTCCAGCCCACAATACTCCAACTGGCCATTCCTCACGATCCTCGAATCGATCTCTTGCCCACACCTCACATGCGAGACCGAATGATCATATTTAGGGACATTATGGACTATGACAGATGCTTCGCAATGCTGTTGAATGGAGCTGTGCATCACGGTGGAGATCCCACAATGAGTGAAAGCTGGGAGCTGCCACCAGAGTTCTTTAGCGAGTTTTGGTATTTGTGTATCAATTATGATATCAAGGTGACAAACAACTGGCGCCGTGTCAAGGGTCTACCAGACATTGCAGCCGGGCCCAAAGAGGATGAGATTATGGACATGGGCCTCAGCATGGCGAATACTCAGGGTGGTGGTATTGGAAGTGGTGGATGGTCTGATCAAATGATGGCTCAAATGACAAGCGAAATGCCTAGTTTGCTTCCAGTAGGAAACATACCGCAATCTTATGCACGCTATGTACAGCCACAACATCAACAACAACAACAACAACAACAACAACAATTTGAAATATTTGACCAATTGATGCAGTCTCCATCAGGTAAATACCTACACATATACAATTATCATTTTCTTGAGCATATCTCTTATCTATTGGCTGTTGTTATATATATACTTATTTATTTATTTACTTATTTTACTTTTAAAGCAAACATGGGGTCAATGTCAGGTAATCGATGAATGAGAGAAGGAAAGAAAGAAAGAGAAAGAACAAGCGAATGAACGAATGAACGAATGAATGGACAAACAAACAACCGAACGAATGAACGAAAGCGAAAGAAAGTGTATATGTATGTATATGTATGTGTGAATAAGAAAATAGCACAAAAAAAAAGAACAATTAGTGAGAGCATAATATATATGTAAAACACACATACACACATACATACATAGATACATACATACATATATACACAAGCAAAATTATATTATGTGAATAGTTCGGCCACTACCTACTTTAATCCCTTCATTCACCCATTCATTCAGTTACTCATTCAATCATTCACTCACTTACTCACTCACTCACTCATTCATTCACTCATTTATTCATTCCATTCCACCTTATTCTTTTATTTTATTCTTCCCCTGCCAACCTCTTTTCATATTGTAAACTTTGTAAATATGCTAGACATTCTCTCTATGTATCCAAATAACAAAACAAATACATACATCTACAAAAACACATACAAAACTTTCACATTCTTTTGTTTTGTTTTTTGTTTTAATATATATATATATATATTATGCCAATTCTACACTGCCTTTGACAGCTAAATTTCCTTCATGATTTACAACCCACAACTCATAAATTTTGGGATCTGAAGCTGATTCACGACCACAGAGAGTCAAGGGTTGGTTGACATACAAGGGAAGCAGACATTTGTATCGAAACAACCGGAACTTTGGCTTTTGATCCAAGGATTGAATGTGGGACGTCAATAGACCCATCATAAGAGTACTGCTGAGTGGTCCATGAACTAGACAGGCAGGATGATGTTCCTGAGTCGTAGCATATGTATGATCAAAGTGGATCATGTGTGAGTTGAAGGTGAGTGCTGAATACCGAAACAAGAGGATAGACGAAGGTGTCATTGTTCTAGAAAAACTAGGTTTCTTATTAGCTAACAAAAGAAAAGAAAAAAAAATGCCCATCCCAACAAATACATGCGTAAGTAAAGTACACCCACACCTGTAATACACATTTTTCTATATGTTTAAATCTTACATCGAATGCTACGTGTTGGGCCTGAGGAAATACTTTGATCTGTAAGGTACACCAATGACCTTTCTTCTTTCATAGACCATCCCTGATTATTAGAAATATTCTTTCCAAGATGCACAAACACAGATTCTCCCACACGCCCTTGCTGCCGGTACTCTGCCTTGTCCAGGGTTGTGGCCATGGTTACCTGTTGGCCTGCCCTGAGTGGATTTTCTGTATTCCACACCAAGGTTGCTCCGGCCCACATGCGCTGAACAAACGGAGGTGGGGGAAAGAAGTCGGTTTCATAACCATCCAAAGCAAGGTCATCTTCAGGTGTACGCGGAGGAAAATAGACGTGATGCCAGGTGGGAGGAATCTCGGTGTCAGAGGCAGGAAGAACGGCATGACGATAGGGTACGGTTTGGTCGTTTAGTGTGTTGGCCAACAGATTCAAAGGAGAGGCGATCAGAGTGTCGTGAGTGAGGATCTTTTTGGACTCCATCTCTGTCCGCCATCTATCTAAAACCGACCCATTTGAAGATGTCAACCAACGTACAATTGGAACCTAGATTGAAATTAATGAATCTTTTTTTAAAAAAATAAAATAAAGAAAAAGCTTATTTTGTTTCTGTTGTAATTACATTCAGTTTGGCCTTTTGAGTAACCAAGACACTCTTGAAAAGAAGTCGTCTGTTAGAAATGAGCATTTGTAGATTTGCAAAGACAAGTAATTCCTTAATCGCTTCAAATATTTGTGACATTCATTCCACTCCGCCTTCATCGTTTCAAGAAATGTAGTGACTCCAAACGCCCAAGGGGTTAAAAGAAAACTTCTGGACTTTTAGGTAAATATAGAGTCTTTTGAAAATCGAAAATCGAAAAAAACCCCCAAGAAACATCGTTTTGGACCCTTTCATTCATTCTTTCTTCTAACTGATACCAATACGTTTATGTATGTATGTGTATGTACATGGACACACATATAGACATACATATATACCTGCAAAGCATATAAATTATTCACTATTATTATTATTATTATTATTATGATTAATTAGGAATATAAATCTATTACTTGTGCAGCCCTTTATTGTTTAAAGCTTTGTATATACATACATGGTTCTTCTTCTTTACTAGAACGAAATTCTACATTAGTTACCTAAAGCAAAAAGAAAATCGGCACAATAGCCATATTTTCTAAGTATTTGTGGATTTATATTGGCTCTTTTGAATTGTATCCTGAACATGATTTATTATATAGATACATGTCAAAATTGAAAGTAAAGAAATAAAAACAAAAGATAGTTTTTTGAGTAATAGTAATAATGATAAGATAGGACAATACAATACTGTGAAGGTGTATGTCAGTGAGTGAAAGATAGAGATTCGACATGTGTGGTAATTTGGGCTTGTTACCTTGCGTGACTGCTATTCTTACATTCTCCCTCGAAATGCAAGACAAACACAGACACACTCGCACACATTACATACTTAAAAAAATATATACATATACATATACATATACATATACATATACATATATAATATAATATAATATAATATAATATAATATAATATAATAAATACATACATACATATATACATACAACCTCTCTGCATTGACAAGTATGATGTCCTCCATGTTCTCGCGCACTCCATTCACTCGTCGAATTGTCTCCACGCGACGTGCCTACTCTACCTCCTCATCGGGTGGTGCACGTGCATTCTATTACCAGTACGGCACTCCTCTAGTCAAATGTACAGTCCTGGCATCCGCTACAACTATGGGCTGGCAGTTGCTGTGGCAGCATCTCGAATATCAGGAATACAGAGACGCTGCAGAAAGTCAATTATCTACACTTGAGCAAAGAATCAAGACTTTAGAAGAAGAACGTTTGTCTTCTGCATAAAAAAAAGCAAAAAATAAGTAAATAAATAAATAAATTTATATACATATACATATACATATAAATATAAATATAAATAAATCCAAGACAAGACAAGATAAACATTGTCATATTGATTGCTGAATTCAATTAGATTAAATATAAAGAGGTAAAAAAGAAAAAGAAAATTGTAACAAAATACTTGGCAATGTCTTTAGGTTACTACTTTACTTGATACATAATAATAGTTAATGGATAAAATAAATAAAAAAAGATCATTTTGTAAAATAATAGTAATAATAATAATAATCCTATAAATGGAAATTGTACAAACTTGTTTAGCTATAAACAGTGTCCAGTGCACGTTCCTTTTTATAAAATCTATTAACTTTTCTTTTTTCTTTTTTCTTTCTACCTTTTCTTTTATCAGCCTTACTGTCTTGTTGGCTTGCTGGCTTGCTGGCTTACTGTCTGTATTTCTGTCTTTCTAACACGTTAATTAAACTTTCATTTCATTTTATATATTTTTATATATATATTTAAACAGCCTACACAATTATTCAAGTCCTATAATTTTCCCTTTATTCATCCCTAAAAAAAAACCATTGAATCGCCTTTCTTGGTCTTTTATATATCTATATCTATATCTATATCTATATCTATAAACACATTTATACATATATTATTACTATTGTTATTAGTAGTCAAAGAAAGAGAAAGAAAGAAAGCTAAAATTGTAAGACTTATATATATGTATATATATATATGTATATATAATTATGTGTATATAGGTACACATATTCACTATTCTTCTTTTACTTGTACACCAACACAATTGACTGCAGCACATTAAAAGCCATTGATTCAATCATTTAGATTTCCATTAATCTTCCTCATCATCCCCTTCTCCTGTAAACCCTTTATCATTACAAAGAAAGAAAGAAACCAAGAACCATGGCATCTCTCATTGACATTATGCGGAAACGTGAGCTTCAACTAAATAATAATAATAATAATAATAATAATAATAATAATAATAATAATAATATTCATACACACATACTCCAAGGCGCTTTTATATGCTTTGTGGACTTACGGTTATTTAAATACACGCCTTTATATATGTATATATACATATATTCTCTTTTTCTTTCATTCTTTCATTCCAGGCCTCTTGGACACCATTCGATCCATTCAACCTCCAGGAAAATGGAAGATTGTGGTTGTAGATTCCAGAAGTTATCAAATTCTCAGTGCAGCTTGCAACATAGACGATATTCTAGAAATGAACGTAAGGCCAATTGTTTATATTTATTGTTTTTGGATTGCCTTTTGAGAGAAAAGATAATAATGATAATAAGAGACTTGTTAAACGCATTGATATACTCAATATAATGATATGGTTTATGTAGGTTATGAGTAAGTCAATAAATACACAAGTTAGCTTTACATCAATTATACATTATCCACACGGCAAAATACAAGTATAATTTACAGCTCATCCTTGCTTATTATTCGTTTAAATGAAAAGCATTAAACAATATTAATAACAACATATAACATATAATCATAGCCGTGGAAAACATTGAGAAATCCAGAACCCACTATGCAACAAACGAAGCAATTTATTTCCTCACGCCATGCCAAGAATCTATACTTCGCCTGGTGGATGATTTTAGAGATCACAGAAATCCTCAATACAAGGCTGCTCATGTTCATTTCACAAGTGGTATGTAATATATATATGTATATATGTATATATGTATGTCAATAAATAAACAATGAGCTTCTTTAATATATAGGCCTGGATGACATGATGTTTAGAGACCTCAATCAACGCCTAAAGTCAACCGGTGCTTCCGAGTACATTCTTTGTCTAAAGGAAATGTATGTTGATTTTATGGGTAAGGTTCATTCATTTTTAATCGTTGTTTGTGTTTGTCTTAGTTTGGTTTGTTCTTACGCACAAGCCAAATGTTTGTTGTTGTTGTTGTCTTTTGGTTCATTTGTTTGTTGAAAACTAGTGGTTGAATCTGCCGTATTTACGGTCGAACCTGTCACGAGCTTCTTCTCGATCTTTGGCACCGACCCACGCTCACACCCCGAAGATTCTATTCGAGTCACAGCCAAGCAGCTTTTGTCAGTCTGTGCCACACTCGGAGAAGATCCCATCATTCGGTATCAAACACCACCACCACCACCACCACCATCACAATCACCAACCGATGGCCTTTTACCGCAACAAGGATCAGCCACACGCTCACTTGCGACTATCCTTCAAAAAGAAATGGATGATTTTTGTCGTATCAGTCCAAATTTCCCTGTAAGTAAACATTTGTAATATCTTGTGTATATATATAAAGAGATGTGAAGGGAGGCTTTTCCCATAAGATACTAGTGCCAATTAAGAGGAATGCCTTTTATTTTGTTTTTATTTTTTGCTTGCTTATGTATTTATTTATGCATCTAATGTAATGCATGTATGTATGTATGTATTTGGGTGTTTATGTATGCACGGATGTATATTATGCGCTTGTTTGATTTCTGCTTTAGCCTGCTCGTAACCCTCCTCAACCACGCGCTACTTTGCTAATCCTTGATCGTTCTATCGACCCAATGGCTCCGTTGTTACACGAATTTACATATCAAGCAATGATTAATGATCTTTTGCCAGTCGAACCATCAGAATCTAAAAACGGTATCAAATACACCCATGAATATAACCAAGAAGATGGAACTATGGCTACTATGGACGTAATATTGAATGAGGAAGATGCTGTGTACCGCTCTGTACGTCACCAACATATTGCAGAGTGTACTGAGAATCTTGTCAGAGATTTCAAAAAGTTCTTAGAAGATCACAAAGCAACCTCTCAAGCCGGGTAAGACAAATGTCTTTTCTTTCTTTTTTTTTTTGAGTTTTTTTTTCTATGTTTTGACAAGTGGTTTGAAGAATATTTTCTAACCCATACACACATACATACATGCATATATTTAAAATAGGGATCGTCAAGATGCTCCAAGAGACACAACCAAAAACCTCAAGGATATGAAGGAAATGATTACCAACATCCCCAAATTTCAAGACATGAAGGCTAAAGTAAGATAATATAAATTAAACCTAGTTGATCCATAATATCAAATTTCAATAATAATAATAATAATAATAATAATCTTAACTTCTTATTTGTTCATTTTACTAGTACTCTGCTCATATTAGTATTGCTCAAGAGTGTATGTCTCGCTTTGAACAACAAAAGCTAAACTCTGTTGGAAATCTGGAGCAGGTAATAAGCGGTGTTTTCTTTATTTGATTATTTATTTGGGATTTTATATTATTGATCCATTATTTTTTTAATTATTTTCTGGATTATAACGACAGAACATGGCTACTGGAGAAACTCCTTCTGGAAACACGCCAAAAACAATAGTCTTGGATATGGTACCTCTTTTGGACGATCCTCATGTCAGGTATGTGTGTGTGTGTGTATGTGCTTCAAGATGCGTTCTTCTTAGTTTTTATATATTTAATCTGGGTTTTTATTAGCCCTGTGGATAAAGCACGTCTGTTGATGCTGTACATCCTTTACAAAGATGGAAACCTATATGATGATGACAAACGAAAGTTGCTCGAGCACGCTCGCCTTCCTATCGACTTGCGTGAAGCAGTAAACAACTTATCTCTTTTGGGTATCAAGGTGTCCAGAGATCGTAAATTGAAAGAGAAGGGACGAAAGAAAGAGAAGAGAAGACGTGATTCCCGCGACGCACCTTTTGAATTGTCGCGCTACATACCAAATGTGAAGAGAATTATGGATGTAAGTACTGGATTTGTGTACAAAGAAAATAATACTAATGGTTTATGTTGTTATTGTTGGTGTATTTAGTCACAGTTATCGAATACACTCGAGGCATCTCAGTTTGCATACACACGTCAGTCTGATATTGAACATACCGAAGAAGCCAATGGAGCCCCTCATTCTGCAATTCCTGCTAGTGGCATATCACTCCGCACTACCAAACCAACATGGAATAAAAAGGGAGGAAATGGAGCCGTATGTAACCTTCTTCTTTTTCTTCTTCATCTTCTTCTTTGCAGAACAAGTTTTCTATCCAACGCAACCCTAATCCTTATCTAATGCACCTTTATTTCAGGGACAGCCTTTTGGAGCTTCACGTGCAAAGTTAATTGTGGTTGTTTTGGGTGGCATGACACATTCAGAAATCAGATCGGCTTATGAGCTGGCTGAATTGCACGATCGCGATATTTATGTCGGTAAGAACTAAAACAAGAGAAGGAGATACAAATAAGATACAATAGCATGTAGATGCTGTATACAGACACACAGATTATATTCTATTCTACCTTATCCTATTAAAATACAATCTAAACAACCCAATATATCTATACTTTTGTGTGTAGGAACCACCGAGATTTTAAAGCCTTCCAAATTTGTGGAAAACCTTAGTAGGCTGCGTCAACCTATCCCTGCTGCCCGACCTATAATTGCACCTTATGTGGCCCCACCTCCCGTCCAGGAACCTCACAAAATCCCAAAAATTTCCAATCTCATACCTCATATCAACCACACCACAAGTTCTCTTTCCAGTGTCAGTCTGAATAGCCCAAGTATAAAAAGCGGAACTAGTGGCCAAAGCACACCAGATAAACCAGAAGAAAAGAAGAAGAAGAGAGGATTGAAGAAGCTGTTTGGTTAAGAAGTACAAGAAAATGGAAAGAAAAATAATAAAAAGGGTTTGTGTTTGATGTACATGAATACACATAAAAATATCTTACTCTAAACGTATATAACTTATTCGATTATACAAGACAAATGCAAAAGCTTTTTATTACAGAGTAACATGTGTTACTGGTACGCATCTAAAGTAATGGCACAATAGAATGGCTGGGACTATATAGTGCACTGTTGCGGCACGTTTGACTTTTGGATAAAAGCTGGTGCACCAAGGGAAAAAACAAGATGCAATACTTCCGTCATAGTGTAAATCTAATGACTTTTGATCTTGAAAACATAAAGCGTGAGGAGCTAGTACAACGGAATAGATAATTGAAGAAATATATATTTCAAATAAGTTACTGTCGACGGCACCTTTTCCAAACAGAGTGAGGTATACTGTAATAAGTTGGACTTAGTAAACTGCTCGTAACTTTGGTAGACTTGATGGTATCAAATTACTCGGCTGCTACTCAACACATAAGAAAATGACTGTCATTATTATCACATAGAAAATGCTTTTGAGAGATTGCTAAATGTGTTTAGTAATTATCTTTGTTTCTTGAATAGTGAAGTTATATATAGGAAGAATCTAACAAAGTGTGTAATCTAGCGACCACTGGCTCTTTATAAGCCCATAAAATTGACCTGCTTTTATTCTTCCGGGCTATATTGTGAACATATAAGTACACACTAATCCTGTCGACTTTACAGTTAAATAGGGACTGGATCATTTTAAAGCGTTCACCTACTGTTACTTTTGAGTTGCCTACTTCTTTATATACAGTAGCTTGCAGAGATAAGTGTCCTGTTATCTAGCATCCCAGCAAAAGTCTCTATAATATTAATTTGTAAAATAAGCCTCCTCGCTACTTTCTCTCTGTTTACCTTATAATTGCTTCTTTGGCCCTTCATATTTTATATTTCTTTACTATTATCCCCCTTTTTTTTATATTTTTCTTACAACTTATATTGGTGACTAACAATATCACAAGTCCACTTGGCTAAAGACATTCAGTAATCAAATTAATTTAACTTATCTACGATATTGTATAGGTTTATTTGTGTGTACATAGGGTAGCATAATCAGAGGGAAAAAAAACATATCTTTCAATTTGATCAACTACTTACAGCTTATAAAAATCTATAGTAATAAGTCTATATTTTTCATACCTGTCAAGTATTTGACATCTGTCTACCCTCATATAGTCTTTAAATGTTTGTCTTTTTCTAATCTTTGTATTAGATTATATTGATTTGTTTTAACTCCCCTCAACAGAAAACAATTTTGTAGAAAAGTATACCCCAAAGTTAAGTAGCTGTGTGAATTGTGTTTCTTTATGAAAATACTTACTATACTTTTTCTTTTTCTTTTTGCTCCATGACACTATCCAGAAAATCAATCAAAATTACTATCAGCATTGGTATCAAACATAACCTCTTGTATTTTTTGCTACAAACGGTATAGTGTATATAACTTAGTAGCGGATAGGATACTCTCTGCAAATTACGAAGATGCCTTTCTGTTGTTATGTTAGGCTATCGATTGATGAACTGATTATGCATGAAAATATTTTAGGAATCATACGGAATTTCCCTTTTTTGGGATAGTGCCATCTATTTTTTTCTTTTGAGTGGTAAAGAAAAAAAGATAAAAGTACCCCTTTTTTCAGGTTTTCGTTTTTTCTCTTTCTTTCTTTAATGCGGCTGTCGATTAGGAATTTCTAGCTATGAATGTAGTTATGAAAACCGATGACCACAGAACAGTGACGACAGCCGGTACTTTGCCCCAAAGTGGCGCCATCAGACATGGGTCACGGACGGGACGCCATTGCTGTGAAGCGCGGGTAAAGATGTGTTACATGTGCTTCATGCCGTGTAGTCCTTGGCCCCCTCTGCAGTTGTGCCGCTTGTAAAAGCGTGATGAGTTCAGTCTGAGATAATACTCTGCTGTCCGCCTCCCTCGCTGTCAAGCCAGGTTTTCGCCCTGGGGGAGATTGAGCCACCTTGTGTGGGGACTAAGAGCTTGACAACCCTTTGTATCCTTTTTATATGTATAGAAAAATAAAGTAGATAGTAATAGTAGTAATTAGTAAATACGTTAATAAATCAAATCTTCTTTCAAATAAAGTATTTAAAACCATGTCTGCAAAAAACGCCTGTCTTTTATTGTGCATTTAAGTTGAAGAAAAATAATAATGAGTAATTAATAAGTTTGACACGGTAATTACAAGATGTAATGTAGAAAGAACTTGATTATAAGTACCGCTCAAAACCAACTTTCCTTTGAATATTTGTGTTATTACACAACGTAGACTGATTTTAGAACTGAATAGCTCTCTTTTAATCTCACCATTCAAAATACAATTACGCGTAATACTTGTCTAATCTAATTCGCATTAAAAGACTTTGTGTGAAGATTGAAAACAAAAAACTCAATCTACATACATTGGTCACCATACTAATGATAGTAACAGGAAAGATTGCATGCTGTTCTATGTGAATTTACATTAACGCGCTTTTAATTTAGTCGACGTTGTTTCTGACACATTCAAGAAGATGACTGTTTCAAAAATTGAAACAAATTCAACAAACTCAAAGAAAAAAATAACACCGGGCGCTAGCTAATCGGCGCATAGAAACAAAAGGCTAATTACTGTGTAGTGGACGACGTAGAAATAATAAGGCCAACAATAATGGAATGTCACAATTGAACACATTCCAGATTAACAGTACTTAATATGGCCTTCTCTAGCTCACTGTCAAAGTGTTTAATGGCAAATACTTTTCAAAGTTTATAACCTTAATTACTCTAGCGCATAAGTATATAATTCTTCTTGTTAGTCAAAGGATTTAATAGAGACTAAAATATGTGCATATCAAGCCCGATAATCACAGTGGACTACTCTTATTTCAAGCAGTAGGAAAATGAGTGGGTGATCCTGTAATTAACACTTTTTTCATATTTTTAAGATATTTAAGAAGTTTTGAAGATATACACAAAGTTCAGAAAGAGTTTTCAAGAGAGATAAATAAAAAGCAGATCTTCTTTCCAACACACACAAGTACTAGGGAGATTTAAAGGATACTTTGCTAATAATTAGGATACTTTCGACAGCTACAAAAATCATCCAACAAACGATTATGTGGGGAAGCATTAAAAGCAATATTAAAACTCCTATTTTCAACTAAATGGAAGGTAGTTGACCAATATTGTAATATACTCGATCTTGCCAAAGTTTATAAAGCATATTTTCTGAATTGATTAGCAAGCGAAATATCCAATTTTATGTATACGGAGTCTTTAGATATCATAAAAGCTATAGCTAATTTGATATCGTGCAACTACAAAATATGTATGCCTTCTAAAATAAATATATATATAAAAAAAACCATGACACCTGTTACAGAATTTGAAATATAGTCATATGTATTCTTCCCCCTCCCTACCTTTTTCTCTTCACCTAAATCTACTATATTGATTCTTTAAAAAATATATATTTAATGACAAAAACCTAAGCATAGATGCTCAAACCTCTTGCTGCGTTAAAGATGTAATTGTCTGCAACTTGTCAATATATTTAAATACCGCTCACCGTGATGTCACGGAGACTGAAGGGCGGGTTCAGTGTCTAAAAACGTTTCATCGGGACCAAACCGTTCCTTTCTCTAGCAAAGCCAAGTTAACTTCCTCCCTTCACTTTTCTTTTTCTTTTGGAATCTTGTAATGGACACTGCTGTCTATTGCCCATCCTACGCACCTTTCTTCGGGTTCGCCGGTGTATTTGCCTCGGTAGGACCATCCGACATCTTTTATCCAGCAGACGCAAAATTGACTTGCTAACCAACACAATTAACTCTCTCTCTATACGCGCTTTTAACGTTTTCTACAGATGGCATTTAGCTGTAAGTTCCACTTCTTCATCCATAATTCGACTCATTCACACCACCTCTTAATTCCTCGGTCGAGCCACACAAAATTCGAAATAGCCATAAACATTCTAATTTTATTTTTATTTTTCTTATGACCCTTTTATTATTTCATTAACTATGCAGCCCTTGGAGCTGCTTATGGTACCTCGAGAGCAGGTATTGGAATTGCCGGTATTGGTCCATTCCGCCCTGAACTTGTGATGAAGGTCTGTGCAAACCTCTTCTAGACTATTATAATATATATATTTATATCTATGCTCGATCCTTAAATCTATCAAACTCCGTAGTCTTTGATTCCCGTAGTTATGAGTGGTATTATTGCCGTTTACGGTCTGGTTGTTGCTGTATTGTTGGCAGGTCAAAGTAAGTCTGAACATGGAGATAATGAGCTGTAGGGAAGGAATGTGTATGTGAGTATTTATATATATATATATCTCACCATCGATCTGAAACTCCCCTCCAGTGTCACCCACCGCCGGTTATTCTCTCTTCTCGTAAGTTCATATTCTCTGTGTTTAATAGCTGGAAATAATAATAATAATATTAACCTGTATCTAATAAATCTATATAAAACACATTAGTGGTTTCGTTGCATTGGGTGCAGGTCTCTCAGTTGGTGTGGGTGGTCTGGCTGCTGGCTATGCTATTGGTGTAGTTGGTGACTACGTAGGTTACATTACTTGTGATTATTATTATTCTACAGCAACAAGAATCTCATATTTTTTTTTTTACCTCTCGGTTTATTAGTGTGTTCGTGGTTATGCGAGAGAGAACAGAGTCTTTGTGACAATGGTTCTCATCCTTATTTTTGCCGAAGTTCTGGGTCTTTATGGTCTAATTGTAGCTCTTATTTTGAACGCAAAGGCAGACAACACCCTTTGTACTCTGTAAAAAACACACACAACCAAACAACAAGGAGTGAAAACAACGAGTCATTTTATATCCAATCCAGAAAATAAGAAAGAGGGGCTCTGCTATAGCCAAACATAACTCGAATATGACTGAGAATCTATGCTTGGGCTATATATTTTTATTTTATTTTTTGTTTGTGGTGTAAAAGAGATAGAGAGAAATATAGAGAGAACAAATGTCTTATGTGTTTTGTTCATCTGCGGGAAGTTTCTTGAGTTTAGATCCACAAGTCTCTATATGTGCAGCTACTTGATCCAAGGTGAAAGAAAAGGTATCACGACACACCTTGCAATTCCAGTACATCTTCATGCCCGCAGGAACCTTCTCATTTTGGGGTATACTAGAGGCACAAGATGGTACATTTAATGCATTGTAGTGAATACTGTACGTGATCTGAATTCCAGTCCGGATAACTATATTGAATAATATATGAGCTCTCCACGAAAAAAATACATTCATAATTTATTTATTCATTCTGTAAGCTACTTTACCATCTTTTGGATTCCAAGACCTTGGAAGGTCTAATTCGCTTTCTTGACGGGGCTTAAATTTTGAATACTAAAAGGGAGAGAGAGAATATGTCAATAATACAGCGCATATTTTTTGTTTGTTTGTTGGTTTTTAGCTGTATATAAAATGATATACCATCTTTAATAATTCTGATGCTTTAGCAACTGACAGCTCTGCTGAGATAGCAGTCTCCATAAATATTGCCAATTTATCTATAATACTGCTTGATTAGTTTATCTCTTTCTTTATAAAATGTCAGAAGAAGCGGTTGTTTTTTTCAATGATTTACCAGTCAAAAATTTGATCTTTCGTTGATACTCTTCTTCAACAGCAGGTGTCCACATATCGACTTGTTCTCCAGAGGGAGAAGTTTTGTCTTGGTCATCCAGAATACACTGAAGTCCCCAAGGTAACTCTTGGCGAACTGCTGGACTGATGATAAAGTTTTCTGGTGGATCTTCAACTGACTATAGACAAAAAATAATAACATTAAAATACTTTCATGTATACAAACCTGTGCATATATATATATATATATTTACCTTTCCTAAACCACGGCTAATTCTACTATTCAAAAGCTCATGCCACTGAGAACGCAGTAAATGGGTCATATAAAGTACATAATCTGCCACAGGTGCAGTGCGAAATCGAATAACATAAAATGAATCAATAACCAACACACTACAGTCAGAGTTGGTGTCGACTATAGAAATAAATAAATAAGTATTCAATTATGAAAAAAAAACACATCCTGAGATTATCCTTTAATGATCCTACTTGTTTTTGCAAACATTAATAAGGTATGTATTCCTACAATAAAACCATGTTTAGCCTGGTATACGAGATACAAAATATATGATAATATATATATATATATATATATATATTACCTGGAGTGCGTGTGATGTTAAGAAGATACGGTCTGTTTGTCTCCAAAATTTGAAGATAGCACAAAAGCTGATGATACATGGCTTGTTCTACAATAAGATCATCTAAAGTAATATTGTACAATGCTTAGTTGGTTTCGTTCTAGATTCTCTCAAAGAAAAATACGTATATATTTACTGACCTTTTCGGACATTATCACCAACACCTTGAACCCAATCAGGATGAGCTGAAAATACACTCGTTGGGTGAAGGCTCAAGAAGCTCTTTACTAAGGCAAATACATAAGTAGATACATATACATATTAGAATATTTACTCACTCGAAATCAATACGCATGTACAACTTGCCTGGTGTGTGGAATACAATTTCGTTGCTACTTCTATATGGGTTGTGTTCGTCTCCAATAGCCAATTGGGGATACAGGGATGAGCAGATAATCAACTTTATCATACCAATGTCCTTATTCGAAAGTGCAGCGGCGCGCGATTTAAGATTCTTAATGTTGTTGGTCATGGAGAACTCGAGGTCTCGAATATCCTCTTTTTCATTCTGACCTATTGACACAAACAAACAGAAAATGTTACTTTACAAACCACATTTTTTTTTGGAAATTGGAATTTACCATTAGAAGTTTGGCCTTCATGGTCCATTTCCAAGACACGTCTCCTCTTGCTTGATCGTTGATCATATCTTTCTCTTCTAAGCTGCTCGCGCTTTTCGTTTCTAGCTCGTTGCTCTTCGTCCTTCCAAAGATCGCCAAAGTATTAAAGATAACGCATACATATTTGGACAAGCATGTCTTCCTTACCTCATCTCCTGACTCATCTTTTCTATTTCTCAGTAAATCAAGCAACCCAGGCTGAAAATCGTTCAAAACTTTCTCAAACTGTCGCCGCATTTTTGCAATCTACAATCAATCGTCCCACCCCAGATATTTGTATCGTAAGTACCAAATCAATTCAATGTCTACAAAGGCTCACACCTACCTCATAAAGGCGCTGTTCTTCTAGACCATGTTGGCGACACCAGCTACGTGATGTACTCTAAAGAAATATAGAAAGATTGAGCACACGAATTATATATATATATATATATATATATATATATATACGTGGATTCTTTTGTAACTGTACCTTTTTATCCTCTTTTGAATCAAGCCATGCTTGCCAAATGTTTAACAAGGTAAATGGATCACCATGATGAGAGTCAAAAGTTTTTCTATTCTATGAACAAATATAAAACAAGACAAAACACTTTTGCGTTGAGTAGCGGGTTAATTGATTTCACACCTTTTCTTTCCTTACCTGTGCAATATCCGAGTTTGAATTAGGTGGTAAACGAGCAAAAGGAGACTGTACGCTCATGCTGGCAGCAATTGTGATAATAGGATCTACTATATTAAATACCTTTTGATATAGTATTTAAAGTTTTTAAGAAAAGTATTTTTTTATATTGTTATAATCATTATTACCGTTGCCATGATCAGCATCTTTCCAATGATGGTATCAACTGGAAGATCTGCAAGGATTTTTCCAAGAGCCATAATATTCTCAGAAACATCAATGGCTCCCAGATTTTGGAGAAATTCCATTGATGCATTTAAAGCATCTTCAGATGGAGCCTATATCGTTATTTTTTTTAAAAAAAAAAATAAATAAAAAAAATAAAGGGAAACTGTTAGCGGTACTTTGTATAAATCATTGTTTGTTTGTTTTTTTTTTGCGACTTACTTCTACATAGTCAAATGTACGCGGACAGCCAAGGTCCATTGCTTTGATTTGTAATAGGAGGGGTTCAAGAGGAGCTCTTTGGATCTCAGGTACAGGAAAGTCATTAAAGTGGTTAAACTCGTTTTCGGAATAAAGTCTAAAACATTCGCCTGGGCCTGTTCGTCCGGCACGTCCAGAACGTTGTGTAGCGCTTGCTTTGGAGATCCAAAATTCCGACAACTTGCTCATGTTAGAGGTAGGATCGTGACTGAGCTCCTTCACTTTGCCTATTTCAAGTGAAATTTAGTATGTTTTTTTTTGGTCGGCTATATGTATATATGTATGTATTTATGTATTTTATGCATGTATCTATGTGTATGTATGTCTGTTTTTTTACCAGAGTCTACAATAAATCGAATTCCGTCGATCGTGATACTTGTTTCAGCTCTAAAAATAATAAATAATATATTATCGTATCGTATGGTGAATAACATGTAAAGATGCATTAGATCTTAAAATAAGGTATTTACATATTGGAGCTAATGATACATTTTCGGATCCCTTCTGGAGCAATATCAAACACTTTTTCTTGATCATCCACAGCCAATGATGAATGAAGCATCAGCACAATCCATTTTCTATACCAACACCAAGTTAAGACTCTAAAATTAGTAACATGTTACTGCAAAAAAAACACATTCAAACAATAACTTGCTTTGTATGTTGAGCGTATTCTTTTAGCTCTTCACAGAGAGATGATATCTTTTTTTTCGGTTAATAAGGTTAGAACTTATTTTTTTCTTATTAATATTAAAAGAGAGAGAAAGACAACTTACTTCATTAATACCGGACATAAATATAAGCAAATCACCTCGTTCAGTAACAGGTACAGATTGGTCAATATACTCCATGACTTTCAGGTATGGTGCTGTAAATCCCTCGAATGTATTAGTTTGGTATCATATGTATGTAAAAAAAAAGAATCCTACCAGCATTGATTTTTTCGGACCGATTTGGTATAGATTCCTTAAGTACATAAAGTTGTAAGATATCAACGGAGCTCATACAAATTACATAATCATAATACTTACTTTAACTGTAGCCAATTGCCTTCTTTTGTGATTATCTTCATTTACAAGGTTTTTATCATCGTCTCCCTGGGGCCAGTATTGAATATTTACCGTATACATCTTTCCAGGAACCTATTTATCATTGGTTAATGGTGATTTTGATTTTGATTATTTTAGAGTATATATATATATATTAGAAATCTTACAATGAGAGCAGGTGCATCGAAATATTGAGCAAACATTTCTGCATTGATTGTGGCACTCATCAGTACAACATGTAAATCCTGGCGAACTTTTAATAGTCTTTTCAACAAGGCCAACAGAAAATCGCCTATTCAATTAATGATACTAAAGTATGAGTATGAGGATCCTAAGCTCTAATATTTGGAGAATAGAAAATAGTTACCCATCATATGTCTTTCGTGTACTTCATCCACCACAATTACATCGTACATAGATAATGTGTCATCCAATGCATACTGTCTAAGTAACAATCCCTAAAAAAAAAGAAGAAGAATAAAAACGTTTTTTTTTTATATTTGTGTGTCAGAAAACATATGGTTGTATATGTCTTGTCTGTTGGGTTTCTAGGGTACCTCTGTTAAAAAAAGCACGCGAGTTCGATTCGTCTTTGTCCCTTCAAAGCGAACTTGGTAAGCAATCTCGGATCCATATTCGTTGAGAGTTTCGTAGCTGATACATATTTATTGGATAAATTGATATATTTAAATAAGTGTGTGTGTGTTTGCATTGTTACTACTTTTTTTTTAATGTTTACCTAACACGCTTTGCAAGGGCTGAACAAGCGATACGTCTAGGCTGTGTACATGCAATCTTTCGAAATCCAGCTTTGAGAAGTATCTGAGGAACTGTAATATACATTCGCAATTGTAGTTCATATATAAATATATATATATATTAGTATTGAGATTCTATCCACTAATTGTGCAGCTTATCCTAGACTTTACTTCTTACCTTGTGTACTTTTTCCACAGCCTGTATCACCTGCAATCAACAATACTCGATGTTCTTTTAATGTTTGAACAATTGCATTTGCAAATGGTGTTATTGGGAGAGCGGCTCGATTCTAAGTCAATATATATTATTATTATTATTATCATTTTTGCATGATCTTTAGAACTTGTTTTTTCAATAAACCGTACATATATATATATATATATATATATATATAAATACCTTTTCCAATTTTTCCTTTAGAATCTTGTTTTTCTTTTGTCGAAAGTCTTGGAAAAGCACAAGTGCATGTCGAAGCATTTCACTTTCCCGTCCAACAGAAGACATTCTGCCTCGCTTATTTTCCGAGTCTTTGCCTTTCAGAGGCTCAGTCTGTTCCTGAAGACTTGACTTGAGTCGTTTGAAAAAAGCTATTTGTTTGAGCTTAGTCCACAAAAATAAAAAGGAGGAATCTACTCATAAAGAATGTATATATATATATATATATATAAAAGAACATACATTCAAAATCATAGTAAGCAGCTGATCCTGTAGGTATTAACCAGGACGCAAGTCCGCATTTTCGCCGAGAAAAGAATAGATCGTCTGTCTCTTGACTCCAGGGACGATTAGATGAATCATCCAGAGGATCTCGTTTTTGAGACTTTAGAAAAACTTGTGCATCTTTAAGTGCCTGTTGTCGTTTTTCAGGATTGTTTAACTGTTCAAGTGATCCAGATCTAAATCAGCTTACCAAACATTGCTAAAAAACAAAAAAAAAACAAAAAAACAAGAAAACCTACAATTTCTTTTAGATTCCATAGTTTTGGTCTGAATGCAGCTTCATTTCGAATAAGTGTGCCATCGACATCATATTTTTCTTCTGGAACGTATTCTTTTCGTCTTTTACGATCTCTTTGATAATTGCGATTACTCATGGCTCACTTTAAGATGCATAAATGAAATGTGCCTAGAATTTATTTGAGCCCGTAGTGTGACTTTTCTCACTTGTAAAAAAAAAGCAAAAAGCAAAAAGCAAAAAGCAAAGGGTAACATATGAGAGTAAGAAAAGCATGTAATGCTCATTTAGAAGACATTGCCTCTGTAATTGACAATTACAATCATTGAGTACCAAAGCCAAACAGAATTAGATACATATTAGGATTAACTTTAATAATAAATCTTGCGGGTTTCTTTGGCCCAGTTTTTAGCCTTTTTTTTTTTGTTAGCAACCAGGTTTGGAAGGATTTAGACCTATTTAATACTACATCTTACAGTAATGGATCTTATGAAAGAAATGTTACATGTCATTATTCTTATTACTTAGTTCTACTCTTTAACATACCATTATGCTTATATTGATACACCAGGAATCCATATCAATCAAACAATAATGCCTCCTGAGTTAATACCAATTAAATCCAAGGATTTAGTTCACTTTTTTTTTTGCTTCCCTTCCCCTTGCCGTCAAGTCGATACCGAATATTCTTGTGGGCTAGTTTACTTCTTGTGAAAACCAGGGCAGGCGGTTCTTTGAGCACAACTGGGCTGTCCTTGACTAGATAGATCCTAGCCCAGTTTCTTTTTTTTTCTTTTGTTTTTATTTCTTTCTCCTGACAATTGGAATTGAAGCCATTGTTTTTTTTTCTAAAAAAGAATAATAATGCTTGATGTCTCTTCTTATATATATATCTCCCAATGCCACGTGGGAAACCATGTCAGCATTATTGTCTATACAAATATGGCAAGCCAAAAAAAAAACATTTTTGATCAACTTTTGTCTTTTTATTATTGTTGTTGCTGTTATCTAATTCAAAGGTAAATCAAGTAAAATACTTGCTCTTTACATACTAATAGCAGCTTCCACTAGAAGACAAGTATTCTTGAGCCACTAGAGACAGAGAGGTATTTATAGGTAAGTGAATTAGAAATATTTGAATGCTCTTTTGAGGGATTCGATTCCACAAAGAATCCTGTTAATTTATGTTTATTGTTGTATTCCTCTTCTTCTTCTTTATGGTAGGTACACTTAATATATATATATATATATATATATACAAATCCATTTGTGATATGATGTGATGCAGGTTTAAGCTAAAGTTTCTTGTGGTTTCAAAATATTATATTCATAGAATCAATTGTATAACTATTATGTGCTTCATTCTTATTAATGCTACGAAGAAAAGAAAAAATAAAGTATAAAATATTTGTACGAATGATTTTCTACCAAATATATATACATAAAATATTCAAGGGTCACAGTAACGTATCCACCCTTTTTTTTAAATATATATATATATATAAATTATTGAGCTCCTTTGAAGTATTTTGATATGTAGCTTAATTCTTATACCACGCTAAATTCATTGGGACTACATTTTTATATATATATATATATAAAGACAAAGGACTGAAAGGCTACACCTTGGCATTTACTAAACTTGATCGTCCTTAATGAACTATTATAGATATAAATTAGGTTGTACTATTTTGGCTTTTCAAGTCTGTTCTTTTGTGTGTATTTTTTTTGACATATTGTGCATAGCCGAAATATCATCTAGATTAAAACCTGATCGTCGTTTCTACCCACGAACCCATACATTATATATATATATACATCCGAATGACCAAAAGTATCTAAGCCTTTAAAACTTGGCGTAAGAAACCAAAAAAAAAAACCAAAACCAAAAATGATCAATATATTATGTATCTATGTATGTCTTTATCTTTATTTTAAAAAATGCGCAGAAAAGCAAGATTGTACACATGATTGATGCTTGTACTCTAAAGTACTTTTACTCTCTCTCTCTCTAGAATCCCATTAAACCACAACAACAACAGCAATATAACTCATCCTTACAATTCCTAAGTTCTAGATTACAAATACATTAAATACGTAGCTATCTAAGATGAGTGTGGCTTAATATTATTTTTATGAACATACGCCAAAAAAAAAAGAAAAAAAAAGAAAAAGAAAGAGAAAGAGTAAAAATAAGCCTTTTCACCAAAACTGGCTATTAAAGAAGTCAAAATAAGAACAGGTTGGCCGCAAGAAGTCCTTGGCGTTTTTTTTTTTAAAAAAAAAAAGAAAAAGAAAAAGAGATGAGATTGAATATAGATGACGAAGGTGGATTGTTGGAGAAAGAAGGGGAGGGAAAGGGAGAGGGGAGGACGAAATGAGAGCCAAGACGGCTGATTATGTTTTAGCTTGGTACACCTACACACAAGCAAAATATGCTGTGTCCTGTTGTATTTCAACTTTAGCGTAACCGTAGTATATACCAAGTAAGATTTGGGAAAGGACGAGTAAGGCCCGGTTCCTCAACAAAAACAAAAACAACAACAACAACAACAAAATAAAGCTTTATTTTTTTTATTTTATTTTTTTGTTTGAAAATAAGCTGCTCAGCCGTAAAAGTAACCAGAAATTATTTTTAGACGGTGTGTTTCTGAAGAGCAAATAAACACAAGAAAGAAATGCCGGTTGAGTCCTACTTTGAAAAAGAAAAAGGTAGTTGTGAGTATTGAAATGAGCTCTTTGTTTTGAAAGAAAGTAAAAGACGTGCGTTGTCTAAGTGTATTTGTGTTTAATGCACCTCTGTTCTAGTCTTTATGTTTATAAGGAAAGGAAAGTGGGGATTGAGTGAGAACAAGAAACTCAGCTAAACGATATCAACATTCGTAGCGTTTGATCCATTCGTTACCATAACAACAGGTTTTATTTTTATTTTTATTTTTTATTTTTCTTTCTTCTGTTCTGTGTCTTGGACAAAGTCACAGCATAAACAGTCGTGTCTACAGCAAAATGATTGACAAGATACATATTCTTTGCTTTGTGAGCATCTTTTCTCCAAAAAAGGTCAATTAGATCTAAAGTTCTCTTCTGACGAATGCAAGTAACTGCATTGTCAGAACTAATTGAGCATAGCCAATACACTAATCCATGAATTCATGATTCGTAAACCACAAAGCCAATGGTAATAATAATAAAAATATATGTATATTATAACTGCGCTAACAGATGGAGGCTTCAAATATAATTTAGTTTGATACAAATGCTCTCTTAACATATATATGTGTGTGTGTGTATTACCAATATATCTTAAAGATCGACAAACCATACAAACTTTTAGATAAGCTATTAATTTTTTTGTTTTTTTTTTATTGGATCGATCATGTATCTATAAAACACCTTGAATATTTTAGATAATTTAGATACTTTTTTATTATTACCATTTTCAATAATAAAATAAAATAAAATAAAATATAGTATAGTATAGTATAGTATAGTATAGTATAGTATAGTATAGTACAGTACAGTGTAGTGTGGTGTGGTGGAGTATTGAATACAATGGGGATCTTCACTTAACCTCAAGATCTTCTTGAAATGATTGTTATTCTTATTTTCTGTACAGAGCATAAGCACAAAGGCAAACAAAACATCAAGAGACAAATGCATAGTACAGGAATCAATGAACGGAAATAATTGTAATAGCTGGTGATTCTGATATGCCATAAAAAATAATATTGTTATTATTATTATCAGTATTGAACACTTTCTCCTGACATTAACTTATTTGTTTAAGAAACATGCAGAAGAACCGGGCATTGAAGCCGGCAAGAAAAAAAAAGCAAAAAGAAAAGCAAGAAGAAAAAAAAAGCTATATGATAATAATAATAATGAAGTGAAGTATTAAAGCAAAGTAAGACTTTCTTTTTTGTGTGTGTATGTGTGTATGTGTGTGTGCATTTTGCAGGATTTTAGACTGGTAAAGAATTAACTGATAACCGGTTTGAATATTTATATATATACTTTTTTTTTTAAAAAAAAAAAAAATAGGAATGTATTTGTGATCGAATAGATATAAAAAAAAGCAATGTGATGATGACTATAGTAACAGTCAGTGTACCATTGTACCAAAGTATTAGAGTGGCAGTGTATCAATGTATCAGATACTATACCACTCTGACATACTACTTTGGGAGTAAAGGAAAGGAAAAGGGGGAGGAGGAGGGGGAGGGGTAGAAGGAGACCCTGTTGCACTGAATGTTAGACTTCTTGGCTAAATATAGCAAGTACACACTCTTTGTGATGTCTCCAATAGGTTGGACAAGTGAAATAGAAGGACCGCCATGCAAGTTGTTCCAAAAGACCGCCTCCCCTTCTTACCCATCTCTTGTGTTCTCTTTTGATGTTCTTGTTCAAGTAATCTTTAATCCATTCATTCATTGATTCATTATCTTTACTTGCCGTTACTATAGTTACTTGGTTATATATATATTTTATTTTATAATTACCTATCTATCTATCTATCTGTCTGCCTGCCTGCCTGTCTGCCTGTCTGCCTGTCTGCCTGTCTGCCTGCCTGTCTGCCTGTCTGTTTCTTTGCTTTGATTTACTGCCTTGATGATATGATCATTCTTTTACCCCCTTTGTCTATTGAACCTCCAAAAAAAGAAATGACTGGGACCCCCTTGGCAGCATCATTTTGTCCTGTTCCAACATTTACATGTACTTTATATACATCTATATAAACCCCTCCCTCCCCTTTTGATTTGACTTGACTTGTACACACTCTATAAATTATATATCTTTCTCATTTATTTCACTCTTTGTTCTTTCACCCTTTATCCCCATCTTCTTACTTTTTTATTTTTTTTATTTTTTTTTCTTTATTTATTAACTTAATAACTTATATATATATAGATATATAATTTCTTTAATTCCTAAAAGAAAAAGAAAAAACCATAGCAACAACAGCAACAACAACAACAACAACAACAACAACAACAAAAACAACAAAAACAACAACTATAATATTATCATAATGAAGTTTACTGCCACACTGACCACTACCATTGTTGCCGCCCTCGCTCTCGGACAAACCGTGTCAGCTCAAAATGTAACCGAGTGTGCTGTTGCCGGGATGTAAGTATTCATTTTAATAATAATACGATTTTTGAGAATGAACTAATATGAATTCTATATAGTTTTAACCAATGTCTCCAAAACGAAGATACTTATATCAAGACCTGTATTGTCACAGGTAAACTAAAGAAAAAAAAAGAAATGCAATTAAAAATTAGAGAGTACACTACTTAATTATGTGAACTCAAACATTATTTCTAATCAATTCGTGTTACATTCTACTTTAATTGTTCTTTCCAGATTATGCATGCTTGTGTCGAGTAAGTCAATTACAAAGCAATAACAGAGAATAGCACATTATGTCCATCAGCTAATATATAAATCGGCTTGCCTGTGTACTCTTTTAGTGGCATACAGTAAAACTCTCTTGCTGGAACAACTGTCCTAACGAACCTGGAAGAGCCACACAGCAAAGTTTGACTACCAGTCATTGTGCTATGCCTGGTGCCAATGCGTAAGTTAACCCAAGCTTCTTTGTTTTCTTTTGGAAATGGTTGCTTTATATTATAATCAAAATCAAAATCAAATGCTGATCTTGACCTCTGTTGCTGTTTTGTTTTCTTTTTTCAATAAACTTTTTTTTTATAGTACATCTATCTGGAGCAGCTGGACGCCCCCCACTTCTGCAGTCACCATAATTCCCAGTACCACTGCTTCCCCATCTGCCTCTGCATCAGCTACCCCTACTGTCGCAAAGTCGGCCGCCAGTACCTTGACAGTCCAACAGGGCCTTTTTGCTATCGGTGCCTTGGCTGCCTACATGGTCCTCTAACCAGCCCAAAAATAATAATAATAATAATAATAATAATAATAATAATAATAATAATAATAATAATACTTTTTCTTATATATATATATAAAAAAAAAAAAAAAAAAAAAAAAAACTCCCCAAAAAGAAGAAGAAAAATTAGATGGAGAAATATTTTCTTTATTTTACTCTTACTTTACCTTATTTTTCCTTTTTTTTTTCTTTTTTAATATCGTCTTGTTTAACTTTGCTATTGACCTTTCTTCTTCTTCTTCTTCTTTTTGGGATAACTAATCCAAACACTTACTATCTAAATTGCCTTGTCTTTCTATAGCCATCCCAGGTCATATTGATCTATTCCTACAATCCCCCTTCACACACTCTATACTTCTGTCTTCTTATTCTCTCCAACCATGTAACACTGTTTTTATTATTTTTTTTAATACAAACTTTTTCTTTGAAAAAGTCGAGATATGAACCAAAAAACAATAATCAAATAATGATAAGTGATAATAGTGATAATCAAAAAAAAAATAAGCCAACAACAATAGCAATAACAATAACAATAACAAGATATAAAGTAGAAAAATAAAGCACTATTTCTATAAATGTAAAATTGTTTACAGAGCATATATCATCCAATCTACACAAATTAAGTGCTACGTATATAGAAATATGTTTTGTCTATCAAAATGTGTATATATATTTATATTTATATAACCAATAATAATAATAATAAACCTTACTTGCTTTTGATATTCTTTAAAGTATATGGATATATAAATACACGCAGGGCTGAGGTGCTACATTTGGATAGTCACAAACGTCCACACACACACATTCTCTCTGTCTCTTGTTTTCTGTTACTGATTGGTCATAATTGAGCTTGTTGGTAGGTAGCCCAATATCACCAAGAGGTTCAAATTTATTTTTAAAAAGAAATCTACTGTAATGTGCTGAGTTGTTTTTTTTTGTCAAGGTAAAAGATAAATAATAAATTACTCAGAAGACCATGTTAAACAGAATGCCGGTAGTTTGTACTTTATACTTTATACTTTGGATACGTTGTACGCGAAGCCTCTTTTCCTTCTTCTTCTTCTTCTTTAAAATATATATATTATTATTATTTTTTACATGGTAATTGTATCAAAAAAAAAAAAAAAAAAAAAAAGAAACCTTTTTGAGCAAACTATGATATTTTTATATTTATTTTTATATAAAAAAAGGTTTATACTTCAAGTGGACCAGTTATGCCAAAATAGATCTAATCGAAGCCTTTTGTATAGAAAAGGAAAGATGTACGAAAGACATAAAAATAGAATATGTCGGCCCCATTCAAGGCCATCCGAAATTTTGGACGTCTTAACGATGTTACACATCGGTTGAAATTATCCTATAAAGACCACATTTTTATTTTTGCTTGCTTTTATTATTTTATTTTATTTTTCATATATTTCTCATCCCTTCATCCTTGCTTTGCTTTCTTTTTTACTTATCCCAACTACCATAACTCATTTAATATTCTAAAGAAATATGCATCTTAAAGCCCTTATCATCTCTGCTGCCATTGCCTCTGTTGCATGTGCTGATTCCATTAGCTTCTCTGTCAAGAGAAAGTGGAACAAGAGAGGCGACTCTATCCACACCCAATCCTTGCTCTCTGATAATGGTTTGGTAAGATATTTGGACACCTTGATCTTTAATGCAATAACAACAAAAACTCACTCACTCACAATCAATCAATCGATTATTCCCTATAATCATTAGTTTGCCGGTACTCTAGAGATCGGTATGTTTCCTCAAATATGATCCCAATAAATCATTGTTGATTAGTTAGTGAACCTAATACTTTTTTTTTTTTTTATAACAGGAACCCCTCCCAAGGAATTCACGGTCTTGTTTGACTACAGTTCGCCACTCACCTGGGTCCCTTCCTCAAAGGTACCAAGAATGTTCTCTTTTATATACAGGGCTACAAAGATAACAAACCTAGAGAGAGAGATGTCAAAAACCCTAAATATAAATAAATTTTTTTCTTTTTCATGGTGTTTTAGTGTCACAGCACCGAATGTACCTCTTACGACCGCCCGGTTTACGATCCCAGCTCATCTAGCAGCTCACTAGACCTCCACCAGAAACACTCTGTAAAATACAATGATGGAAAATGCGTAGATATTGAGCTGTACCAGGTAAATCCCCAATAACCAAGAACATCAAAATCCAGCCCCTCTTTTTTCTTCTTCTTTATATATTTTAATTTTTGCACACAAAATTTAAAAAAAAAAAAAAAAAAAAAGACAGACAGACATACAAAGAGGCGTAATAAACTCATCAAGTCCTTATTTTTTTTTTTATTTTCTCCTTAAAAAAAATTCTTTTTATAAAATAATCAGGATACTCTCGCCATTGCTGGTGTCCCTTTCAAAGATTTCGACATTGGGTCTGCCTACAGTGTCTCGAACATTGGAACTGACATCTACAGTAAGTAGCATACTGCTGCTTTGAAATGTAAACTAACACAATCTCATCGATTGATAGGTGGTTACATCGGCCTTGGTGGTTACAATGATGACGGAGGAATTGACTGGAATACCTTTGGAAAGCCACGTAAGTTCTTCTGTTCTTTGTTCTATTATAATTCAAAACTCTAAATTCTTTCTTTCTTTCTTTGTATCAATCTACAGAATCCGATGCTCCTTCCGCCTATAGTAAGCTCTTGTTGTTGTTTTTTCTTTTTTTCTTTTTGGTCAAGATTTTCATGTATATTGACTTTTTTTTTTTTTGTTTAATAGACCAAACCCAATCTTCTCTCAAGAAACGTCTTAATGGCTTTGCTTCTAATATTCCAAACGGCCGAGTTGTGAAAAGAAGCAGTGGATCCAAAAAGAGATGGAATGATGACTACGCCCTGTTTATTTTTGGTGGCATCAAACAAAATCTGTATACCGGCAAGATGGTATTTTTGGATCTCCCGACCTGCGATTTCGGTGATTCTCGTTACTGGAAGTTGGAAGTCAGTTGCCTTAAGATTGGAAACACATTCGACCTCAAGTTCAAGCCCAAGACTCTAGCAAAGATCGATTCCAGTAGTCTCTTTATTAGTGGTCCTTCATCTGATGTCGCTGCCCTCCATGCTGCGTTGGGTGCTGAGTACCAGGAATCCAGCGGTGCATACACCATTGACTGCGCTACCGTATCTAGTCTCTCTGGCCTGACCTTCAGCTTTGACGGGGCTGACATCACAGTACCTCTGGACTCATGGACACATAAATCCCAGGACGGTGTCTGCTCAACCCTCATTCGTTCCAACCAAGGTGGTGCCGACTGGGGACTTGGCGAGGCATTCCTCAGCAACTTCTATGCAAACTTTGACTATCAAAAGAGACAGGTCGGTCTGGCAATTCCTGACATCAGCCCCAATTCTGCAACCATTGTCGAGACCAAGAAGAGCTCTTAAAAAATATATATATTATTATTACTACTTCTTTTCTTCAAATCCCTAAAATAACACCCACACCTACACAAACTACACCAGCACACCAATACTGCCCTGCACTCTTTTATATATATATATAATACATATATACTCTCTTTTGTTTTTTGTTTAATCAATACAATACAATACAATACATTTTCTGCTTTTCCTTTTTCTATTTTTTTATACACATATAAGATGTACACTAAATCAAGTGTTGTCATGGTTATTTTTGAAGAAAGTGTATTGTATCTACCAACCCCCCCTTTTTTTTTGTTCATCTATTTTAAACACATATATAAATTTATATACGAATAAATAAAAATAATTATACTCTCACAAGGGTGGGACAACTCCACTTCGTCAGACTACATTTCCAAGAGAAAGAAAAAAAAAAGTGACCTCATTCCCATGTATACATATAAAAAGGGATTATACCAATCAATAGATAGATAGATAGATAAGCAGTCATCATAGTTTTTTATTTTATTTCTATTTTATATATATATATATATATATTGGTTTATCCACGGAATAAGTGAAGAAATAACCCCCCCTCCCAAAGTGAGAAAGAAAGAAAGAGATCTGTGTGTGTGTGTTGTGTGTGTGTGTATATCTCGTCTCCGCCTCTCTTGGTTTATTCCGATTGCCATTATGAAATCCTCTTTAGCATTGTATAACCCTACAAGTTAAATATATAAAACAGACTCTTCTGGCCCCTACAAAAAGGACATGAAACTTTAAGATAAATATATTTACTTGTTTACAGTAACCCATACAGAGCAAAAAAAATAAAATAAAAAAAAAAGCTATTATTACCAAGCCTTTTCTCTCATTCTCTCTTTGTGATTAAAGATCTGCTGTCTAAACCCTAAGCCCTAAATAAAAGAAAGAAAAAAAAAACAAATTTTTGGACAGGATATAGATATAGATAAAAATGTAAATTGGATAAGATTCATGCCAGTATGTAGCTGTGATACCAGTTCTTTCTTTTTCTCTTGGCTATTTATGATTTCTTGTGTGTGTGTGTGTGTGTGTGAAACTCTCGCTCTTAAAAGAAATATATGTAAAATATATATATATATAGTGATTGTACTTGTAAGAGAACTAAAGTTTACACAAAATAAGAATCTAGATTCAACCGAAATCAAAGAATATCTCTTTCTTTCTTGTTTGTGCTTAGCAGCTATTTTTATAATATAGTTATAAGAAGGGAACCAAAAGACAATACATATAATATATATTTTTGTACCTTTTTTTTTTTTCTAGTAACAAAATAAAATGTACTTGACGCACTTGACAGCTTTTTTTTTTAGGACAAAAACCGCATAAATTATATAAAATAAAAAATCTGATAATTTAAAACAATTCTTCTAATCTGAATAGAGTAAAATAGTATCAATTACTCAATCTCTCTCTCTCTCTACAAACGTCAAATTTATATTTCTTTTAACAAGATTATTTTATGAATCAATATGCACCAAACTCATTACCATTTTCCTTCAATTAACTTCATTACACATCACATCATTTAACTTCATTTCACTTTTGATGGTCAAACAAGAGCATTTCCAAAAAAAAGAAAAAAAAAAGAAAGCCGTTTAATTATATTATATGCTTTTTGTAATTATCGTATTTATTTTGATTTTCTTCTTCTTCTTCTTCTTCTTCTTGATGATGTTGCTGTTGTTGCTGTTTTACTCGCGACGACCACGGCCTACATTATTATCAACATTATTATTATCATTATTATCATTATTATTTTTTAAAAGAAAGTTTTTATTATTATTATTTTTTCATACAAGAATAATCTCTGTCATAATTCTTTAATTACTCGTAAAACTTACCCATACCACCACGGAATTCGGGCTTAAAGTCACCAGAGGCTCCTTCCTTGCGTCTGTAATCATCACGGTCACCACGGGGACCACGGGGACCCTCACGACCCTCACCGAAAGCACGACGGGGAGCAGCGGGGCGGGCAGCCTTCTTCATGGTGGCGGGGACGATCTCCTGGGGCAAGTGGAGGTACTCGCGGAGGTAGTTGATACCCTCATCAGTGAGAGTGTAGTAGTAGAACTGCCACGAGAACTGGGTCTTGACAAGACCCTTGGAGGTCAAGGACTGCATAGCCTTGATGACCTCAAGGTTGGGAACCTCAAGCTCGGAGTGCTTAGGAGCGTTGAAGTCCTTGGCAGCAACCAAAGCACCGTCTAATAAATGTACAATTTGGTTTTTTTTTTTAATTTTTAAAGAATCAATAATCAATAATCCAAATTAAGCATTTCGTTTCAACAATTCCTATATTCTTTATCTTTTTTTTCATTTTCTTTGCTTTGATTTACCCTTGAAAAGAGCCTCGTAGATGGTCTTTCTGTTTTCCTTGGAAATAAGCATGGTGGTTCTGTCGGAGTGATGGTATTGGGTCAGACTTTATTTCGTTATTGTTATGATTGTGTGTGTGTGTGTGTGTGTTTTTTGGTTGGATTTTTAATGGTATCCATATGAAAAAAAAAAGACGGCATAATTGTAGATTGTAGATTGTAGATTGGATTGAGGATGGATGTTGGATGGATTGAAGTGTGCATTTTTTGTGTATGTGTGTTTTCTTTTTTTTTTCTGGGGGGGGTGTCGCTGCTTACCGATACGGTGAAAGAGGAGGCCTTGATGAAGCAGGCCGGCCACTCGAAAACGCGGTACACGATTGCGGCGATTCAAAGCCAAATTCGCTTCTCCAAGCCACTCACTCACTCGCTCACTCGCTTGTTCACTTGGATTTCTTTTTTTTTTTTTTATTCTATCATCTCTTCGAGGTTGGATTTTCTTTTTGATTTACAAACCACGCTAAATCACACACACAGACATATAAAATAAAGAGCGCCAAAGATCAAATCAAATCAAATTAAATTAAATTAAATTGAATTGAATTAAATTAAGACAAGAAGTTGTATTCGTTTTATAAAAGTTAAATGAATAAATAAAACAATTGTACTCTCAACAAAACAAACCAAAAATCAAAGAATTAAAAATAAACAAACACACAAACAAATAAACAAACAAACAAGCAAACAAAGGACACGGATTCTGAAAGGTATATAAAAGGTTTAAGGAAGTGGGGAAGAGGAGGAAAAGAAGCTGGCCTGCAGCAGAATACAACAAGGATATAAAGACGACGAAGAAGAAATATATATATAATAATAATTATACACCCAACTTCTTCTTCATACCCCTCCAGAAGGCAGGACTCTCTTTGCTGCTAATAGTCATCGTGCTGTGTCTTCGTGGATCATTAATTCTGCTTTCTGGATCGTCCTTCCACCTGGACGAGACCTGCTTCTGGAGGGCCTCGAGGTCACTGGACTGCCAGACCCGCAATTCGTCAATTTCCTTTGAGATACCGAACCGTGCCTGAAGCTGTTCTGTAAACTCTCGATAGGTGTCTATAGGCTCATCGCGGGCATAATTATCAACTGATACTGGACGTGGGAGCACCGAACGGCTGACCGTAATAGTCTCGGCGGGAATTGGCGGAAGAGGGTCAGTCGGTGGAGGTGCTGGAGGGGGTATCATCGAGCCATTGACACTGCCACCTCCGGCCCATCGTGCGATATACGACCGCCTGTTGTTATCCTGGGCACTGCTGCGTCGTCTGCCCTGCTGAATCGGGCCATCAGGGGGACGAGGGATGCCCGAGCCCGAAAGACTGATTGATGAATACGAAGATTGCTCGGTCTGTATTGTGCAACCATCGTCGTCTTCGAGATCTTCCTTTTCGGTTGGGACCAGAGAAATTCGACGATCTTGTTCTCGTTTCTGAGCTCGCACAAAGTGAGGTGCACTGTTGCGGCGGGGTGGCCAGCTATTGCTATTCTCTATGAAAGCCCGGGTCTGGTAATTCTTGATAAGCTGGTCCCGGTCAGCAAGCTGTCGCATCAGAGAGATGAGTTTGTCGTCAAGATCGTGCCGCTGGGCACCACACTCTTGGCTCAAGATCTCGGAGCGCTTTAGATCACATTCAGTTCTCTCTTGGCTCGTGCCAAGAGCGGCCTGTAGATTGGCCAACTGGTCTGTGTGGTCCTGGGTAGCCAATGAAAGGCCATCAACACCCAGAGCCAATTCTGCCATCGACGCACGAGCTTCTTCTAGACGTCGGAGGCCATCTTCACCTGCAACAAGCTGGAGCTGGGCATTCTCGAGTCGCATAGTGTCAAGATTAGACTCGAGTTGTCGGATGAGCTGTTCCTGCTTCAACACAAGCTCCGACAGGGTTCGCACCTTTACTGATTCTAACTCCTTCTGTTCAAGACATGCGGTCAGTGTCCTTTGGGTGGTTTGATCACGTTGCACCTGTTGTCTTTCCTGGGAAGCCTGTTGTTTGCTTGCGATCTCCAGGCGTTCGGTTGATGCTGAATAGAGATTTTCCAAAACTCGATACCGCTCCGCTAGCTCGTTCTCTGCTGTTGATATTGTTGATATTGATGATAATGGTGATGATGGTGATGGTGATGATGGTGGTGGTTGGTCCTTTTTATTGCTTGACTTGCACATCGCATGAGCCTCGGCTTCCCGTAATACAATCGCAAACATCTCAAGGAGGTCGGCTTCTATCCTATCCAGCTCTTCCTGCTTTAGTTTTCTTGTGAAATTCAAGGTCTGTGAACGTGGCCTGGAACGTGGAGGATCTTCGAGACGTAGGCTGGTAGTACTGCTTTGGCTCCGTAACATCCTGAACTCCATCTTATCAATACTAGAGGATGATTGTTGACGGGCTATTGGCGGTGGAGATGGGCTTTCTTGGCCCTCTTGATGAAAGGCTTTGTTGAGCACCGAGACAACCGCCAGGCTTTTGATACGCTGGAGTTCAAGGTCAACCTTGCGTGGTTTTGTAGACGTAGGTCGTTTAACCCATCTTTTGCTCTGTGGTCTTGGCGAGTCTATTGGACTGGTATCAATGGGCTCCATGAATTAAATGCGATACAAATGTTTACTATGTACAGATGTGATAGATATGTGTGGGTATGTGAATTGTTATTATTATTACTATTGCTATAGAATGAGAGTAGTATGAGAACAAAAAAGGAAGACAAAAAAAAAGGAAAGTGCAAAATTAAAGAATCAAATATATATATATGTAGAGAGAGAGAGAAAGAGAGAGAGAGAGAGAGGAACTTAGGACAAGTTGAAATTATGTTGAAGAGTTGAAGCGGCACACTAAAAAACAATAATTGCCATGGGAATCGTTCTTAAGTTTTTATTTTATTTTTATATAATAGTCAGGGTCGATCCAAGCTTTTTAATGACGTTTTCCATTCCTTTAAACATACCAATATGTATATCTATATCTATATGTATGTGCAATGTATATGTAGATGGCGGCGAACTAAAGTCGCCATGTGGAAAAGCTTGTTGGTAAGGAGTAAGGAGTGAGTACTTCTTTGGACGTATTTCTTGTGGTTGTAGCACATGGCTAGTCTCCCAACAAGCACAAGGAATATTGATTGATTTATATTTATTTATTTATTAATTTATTAGTTTTATTTTTTCTATATATGTATGCAGCAATTTTACAGGCATTTCAAATATATATATATATATATGTGTGTGTGTGTGTGTGTGTGTGCGTGTGCGTGGTTTTAAAGAAGAAGAAGACGAAGAAGAAAGAAAGCTTGATATGGGTTAAAAATCATTCCATTCAATATTTACAGTGTCCCTTTAAGTGCCAATTGACGCTTATTTAAAAAAAAACATCTTATATGCTTTTGTGGGTGGAAAAAAATACTTACCCTCCCCATATATATAAGTAACGAGTCGCTGTACTCAATATCACTCATATTATGATATAAGCAGCCCTTTCATTTAGCGTATACCCTCTTGGAATTGTTCTTAATTATCTAGAGCCTATTGAATTGTTAACTATTTTATATGATGATGGAGTAGCGAAAAAGACATCTCAATTGGGCTCATCATCAATCATAGAAGTTTTGCATCTGTGTCTTTTGCGGAATGCTACAATGTTAAAAAGCTGCTTTTCTGATGATCAAGGAAGACGAGACAGTATCAAAGTCCACGCAAAGAATCCAATTAGTCAATGATGAGAATGTCATCCACGGAAGGCGTATTGACATTTGACTGGCCTGTCATGTTCCAAACAACGATGGAGGGTGTGGAATTAGCTTAAATTGTATTCAAAAAGTAAAATTTCAGAACAATTACTCTATAGTACCAGCAAAGAAAGAACCTCTGAATCAATTCCTGTATCCTCAACTATATACAGTTCTTCTTTGATACCACCAACAGTCAAGCAATAAACTTTGAAAGTTCCAAAAAGTCGTCATATATATTTATGTTATATCCGACGAGATAGAATAATTAATCTCAGCAGCGAGGCTGCTTTAGTACATGCCAATAATCTCTACAAGCATGATCTTATCAAAGTCAATGTCTTTGGATCAAGAAGTCTTGTTGGATCACCAAAACGTAAAATGAGCCCTGTCAGCGTGTTCCTCTCTCCCAGCAATAGAGAAGAGGGGCAAACTTGTAGCAATCTCAGGATTGCTAAAAATGGAAAGAATTTTAAGACCAACGTCGGGATAAATGGCTCCGAGTAAAATCAAGGCACTTGAGACTTTATATAAATTGTGTTGGTAACCTTTCTTTGTTCTTCCTTCATAGTATTTAACAAACACACACACATATATATAATGGCTCTTATCACTCCTACTCTACATAAATATCATTTTTAATTCTTCTTCAAAGTAGTCGATCTAATATCTCTAACAAGAGAATCACTTACAAGAGTCTTGATCTGATAATTCTATCTGAGGTTATATATTCCATTAAAACCAACAATTTATTAAAAACAGCGTTTATTACAGATGGATTTTTATCTTGTATAGAGCCTAAATTAAATGCAGTATATGTCCTTGTACGAAGCACGAATTTACTTTTTGGATTGGTACACTATATCCCACTAAACATACCCTTGACTCAATTTTACTTATACTCAATTGCGACATACAAGATATTCTATAATGTGTGTCTATGTTGCTAGCTCCAATAACTTGGTGATATTTGGAGGAAGAAGGATTATATACATTATATTATTTTCCAGAACAAATTCCTACACTAAAGTCATTGTGGTTGAAATTAACATATATATATATTATGAACAATCTAGCAAGAATTGCTTTGAAAATGTGCTAGATAAAAAAAAAAAGGCAAAAGTTTGGGTAATTGAAACACAGTAAAGTCCGTAGAGTTTATGTTTTTTTTTTTTTTTTAATAAAAAGATCGCATTGACTCCTTCTACTATCTACAATTTGAAAGGTACTTTACAAATAATACAAAGAATATGTTGTTAATACCAATGGGTGTATTTAACTATAATAATAATAATAATAATAATAATAATAATAATAATGACTATTGATATACTGGTCATTTGGTACAAAAAATAAAGAGATATCATTTTGTCCTCCCCTCTCATTATTGCCGATTAGCTTTATTTTATCTTATTGGGTACCTTTAATTATGTTTGATTGAATGTCATTCGATTATAAATTGCTTATTGAATCTTTTCAATATATGGGCTGCTTACCCGTGATAACCAAAATAAATAAATAAATAAAAAACAGAGGTGTTTCGGTTAAGCTAGAAAATAAATAAATTTTGGTGAAATTTGTCAAGATAGTAAATGTCGATATCTATCTTATCAACCTATAATCTTCTTTTACTTTCTCTCTTGTTAAAATTTCTCTGTACAACATACAAATTGTTTAATTTCTGGTTTACACTTTTAATTAATTATTTCTATAGTGATTTTCTTTGCCTTAACTTTACTTTTGATAAGAAAACTTCTCAATGGAATTAAACTCAGGAGGAATACAAAAAAAGAGGTACATAGAACTAATATGCTTTCATACATGAAGTCAAGAGCTGTGTTATAGGGCCACTAATCTATGCCATGACAATGACTTTGCCTCTTTCATTAAAAAAAAGTAACCTTTTGAAAAAAAAAAAATATTAGGGTTATGAACATGGTACGGTTCATATGATATAAGCATTAGTTATATATTCAAGTCAGCGGTAAATATGGTCTTAAGACCAAATGGTCTGTTTGATTTAGGTACAAGTATTATAATTATCCCAGTAGTTCCTTGTTTTTTTTTCTTCTTTTTCTGCAGGCATTTGCTTTAAAGAGGAAATTGTATGAAAATACATTGGCTTGATGGCAAACAACTAGTTGATAAACAAGATATCGTTAATTATAGAAAGTATATACTTATTTTAACTGTCCGTAAAGAAAGAAGAAGAGAAGGTATCCTGCTGTATAATAATAGTGAAAAAGAAATTTATGATATTTATTAATAGATAAAAAATTAAAGGAAATTAAAAAACAAGACTTGCTTTTAGGATCAAAGGGCAACATTTTTTTATTTTATTTATTTTTTATAAAGAAAGGTTTTCTAAAGACATCATATTATATTATAAATTATATATATACTTTAAAAACTATAATTTACTTATTTATTTAATCATTAATTAATAATTAATATGTATATATATATATATATATATATATATATCATATATACGTGTGTGTGTGTGTATTAACAGTGCCAAGTTATTAATTAAAACCAACAACTTTTACTTCTAATTTTTTAGACAACGATATGTACTTCCAAATCTAGCACTTTAAAGTCTCTGATCATTATTATTATTATTATTTGTACCCAGTAATCTCTGCTGGGATCCCGGTGTTAATCCTGTACCAGTCGATCCATCAGTAAAAGCGTTACTAATCGGAGGGCGACTATGATGTGGCTGGACAGATGACGACAGCGATGATTGTGGTCCTTGTGCCTGGAATTCTTCGGGCATTATTGGAGAAGAGGGCCGTCTGTTTCGCATGGCCATCGGCATACGGTCGGAGTCGGTGGGGGTCAAATCGTTTTTACTCGGAATACTGATATTATTATCTTCTTGCTTGATTGCCAAATCGAGTTCTTTAAAGATTTCATCGTTGATGTAGTATGACTTAAACAACAACTCCATCAACTGCATACGCTCTTCCATCCTTCCTAACCGGTAGTCTTGGTCTAATTCATCCTGGTCAAGGTATAGTGGATCGTCATTTGGATTATGGTAATTTGGAAGGTTGAAGGTTGAGAATCGGCGATGGACAGGGTTGATGAGAGGAATGGGAGTGTGCAGAGAACTGAACTGAGTACGAAGTCTTCTCTTGATCGACTGTTTCATTGAGCCAACAGACCATCGGTGGATTACACCCCAGGGAGAGTTTGGACGGAAGCCAAAGAGCCATGCTTGGACAGCGATCAGAAGACTGAAGACACCACCAACAAAGCCAAGAGCGTTAAGTAAGCTGTAGACCTTTTGTTCCTTAAGTACCACTTCATCAAAGTCATTTGGAAACACTACAATACGACCAATCATAGAAGGCGTTTGGGTTGTGAATGCTAGGTTGTGGACACCAGAGCGGTATATGGTAGTAATCTCGGGTGTATCGTTCAATACTGGCAAAAAGCCTACGTTGTTCCAGCCATTATTTTGGAGGTATCGGTGATTCTGGAGATTGTATCCTATGGTCGAATATGTAGATGGCTCTATATCATATACATTTTCAGCCTTCTTGTCATCCATGTCAGCCCTCTGCCACTCTGCCAGGTCGGCCGGTGAATAGAGCTGTGCAACATTTGTAGTGTTGATATTATAGGTTGCTACGTTGGGATCCATTCCTGGAGGGTATATATTGGCATGGATAGCACCCTGAACAGTTCCGTCGCCAAACAGTGAAAAGGTCAATTGGGTTCCGTTTGTAGATCCATCGAGTGTTTTGACTAGCCTGAAGCTGTCAGGGGGCGCATATAGAAAACAAGTTACGTTGCCAATACTATCCGAGAATCGAGGCTCAGAAATTGACATATCGAGAAGAGTCACGTAATCATTACAGACATCTCCGGTGTCAGTGTTGCATCGAACTGCTACGCCATTTTCGTCGGCTGCATAGGCACCTTCTGCGTTATTCCAACCTTCAAAGCATATACGAATATCTAATATAAACATGTTAATTACACAAAAGATCCATACTTTTCGTGTGTATCAAGTAATTTACCTGGTGTTTGTACAGCAGCAGCTGCGGTACGAATGGTAATTGTTGAAATTGGACTCCGGACTACTTGCCAGATCGTGAAAGAAAAGAAGGCAAAGAATATCAGCAAGATAATAAAGCGACAGACGAGACGGCATGTTTCTGTCCAAAGAGGCTCTCCTGATCTATATGCCATGACGTATACAGTGTTAGGCACAAAATATATGTAAATAAATTTATATGACTGCGATTCTTACCGAGGTCTCCAGACAATATCACTGTGTATATAGGAAATGAAAGATAGTACAGGCCTCCATAGTTTGAAGACAATCATCAGAACAACGATAACAAACACGAGAACACCAATGACAATTCCTGCAATAGCTCCTCCGCTCAACCCGGTAAAGACATTTTCTTCGCCGTCTTTTATGCTTGGATCGTTGTACTGTGCCTTATTAGCCACCCAGACAAAATCGGTCATGGTCTGACTATTGAATCTGAGTACATCAATATTACTACTAAAATCGTTCAGTTCTCCTCCTATAATCATTTTAGATTAAATATGTACATAGTTTTAGTAACGTGATAGACTGATTCATATCGCAGTCTCTGACAGTTGGGATAGTAAGTCTTACCATAAGCCATTATTACAACGTTGTCACTCACAAGCCCAATCGATCCACGACTGCGGCGAATAGAAGCTGGGCCAGCAACTTCAGGTATAGTCCAGATCCATGTAGTTGTATCCAAAACAAGAACATCATTATAAGATTGAACAGTCAAAAGATTTTTGCCGTTATTTCCTAAATACATCAAAAGTTTATTAGCGGTGTGCTTTTTATGATACAAGATCTATAGATAGATATATAGATATGACTGTGACCTTACCTGCATATACGATGATTGACTTCTTATCGGCAGCTATTAATTGTATAGAGTAAGTCTTAAATGTTGATACATGAGTTAACCTAAAGGGAAACTCACCGAGTATTGCACTAGCAGCAATTCGATCACTGATAGGTGGACCAGTAGCCGTGATGTTTGACCATGAATTAGTTTTGGTATCGAATATTGTGATATCTTTAGATGATACTGCGATAGTCTCTGAAATGTTCGTTTCAGATACTCCACCAAAAAGAAATACAATTCTTCCATCTCTGTAGCAACAACAAAAATAAAATTAAAATTTTGGTTGTGTAATTATTAGTTTACGTATACGTAGATAGAAATAATTTAGTATTTGTGAATATTTGACTTACGGGAGGGCAATGGCCGAATGCCCAAAGACATATCGTGCGTCGGGAGTGGTAAGGTCAGTGTAGACGCCAGTGGAAGGCTCAAAAGACCATATATCATTATAGCTAGCATCTAAAATTAATGTAGTTCCTCCATAAATATAAATCTTTCCGTTTGGAGCCAATGTTGCCGAGAAATCAGTGCGTAGCATTGGTCCAGTAGCGTTTGATGGAGCTGGAAATCTAACCCAGGATGCATTGGGGCTGTTGAAATTGTAGATGTAGGAATATATTGTTTCGTTGTACTCTAGCTGTGCATCATCACTTCCAGTAAAGACAATGGCTCTATTTCCGTCAGGTAAGAGTGTTGCCCGTGAGAAAGAATTCTTAGAGCCAGGCAGTGCTTGAGGGACAGTTTCAAGTTCCATCGTTCCTTTTATGTTCGGATCGTCTGACTGTGACAGTGACAGAGAGGTGAAGATGTCTGAAGTATAGTTTGTGGGGACTTGGCCTCCATAGTTGTATAGTTTATTGTTGCGTACAAAGTACGCTAGATTTGCGCGGGGTGATATTCCACTGTAGTAACTTGCTGGAACAGCATATGATGCTTTGACATGATCAAAAAACGAGAGCCATATAAATAGGACTGATATTACTGAATATGCCAGTCTCATTTTAGCAGATGGCATAATAGAAATATATAAAGAAAAGGAAAAGGAAAAGGAAAGAAAGAAAGAAGAGAGAATGGTAAAGAAGAAGAAGAAATGAAAAAAAAATTGTATGAAAGGCTTATGAATGAATCGAAAGGGGGCTATGTGACAGGATGGTCTAATCAAAGAAAGAGCAAGATATTGGTGATACAGCCGATTGAGGAAAGACACAAAAGTCAACTATTTTTTTTTGGAAGTATATTGGTGAATTATTGTGACATAGTTACGATGGTCCAAAGTCTAGGTCTCTCATTATTATTATTATTATTATTATTATTTTGAATCAGCTGTATGTGCCGAAATGAGATACAAGTCCCAAGAAACTCGGGCGTAACCAAGGGCTGGTGTCTAGTATTCCATACTCAAAATGTCACTATTTTGAGCCAAGAAAATTGGGCCTTTCCATGCAAGAAAAAAGAAGAAGTTTGTCCTACAAAGACCGGTACTATAAGGCTTAGAAAAACAATATTTTTTTTTTGAATTTTTGATTTTTATAGAATACGTTGATCTATTTGGAAGTAAGATCAAAAGTTCGTTTGGTTATTCTTTTCCAGTCTCGGTAATGGCTTGTCTGCAAAAAAAAAGAATCGAGCTCTAGTAAATCAATTCCAGGGTTAAAGTTTTCTTCTTCTATGTATATATATATATATTCTGTCAAGTATAGGTTGAAATAGGAGAGTGATTATTATAAAAATCGAGTACAGCCATATTCAAGTAGTACTCGAATAGGAAAATCCGTCATTAACTCCTGTCTATATATTTTTTTAGTTAAAGAAAAAAAAAGAAACAATCGCAGTGTTATTAAAACAATTATAAAAGAACCATTAGAGATATTTGAGCGTAAAACTGAAATAATCAGACACAGTATAACCATAGTATCATTCTTATAATTCCAAGCATATAAAACTCCAATTGTCAGTACTTGAGAGTATCATGATTTGTCTGCAAGTCATCAAGTATGAATTCCAACATATTTTATTTTATTAATCTGTATTTTGATGCGACAGGTAATACACTAGTAAAGATATATATATATTTTAGTGGTGGAGAGGCTGATGTATATGGAAATAGCTCATGGAATTCAATGAGCGCGGCTCGGGTAACACGACAAGATGGGCTACGAGCATACAGTTCTACGAATATTGCGTTTTTCCTTGATAGGCAAAACTATATGATAGAAAAGGAGAGAATCTTTAATGACAATCAGGGATATTATGTCGAATTAAGGAATCTACTATGGCTATCATTTTGTTTCTTAGAAAAGTTAAATGATATTAAGCAAGACGTTTATTCGTTTGACGGTCTGTTTAAGTAATAAATATAAATTTTTATATATAAAAAGTAATAGACAGCTCTTCTTTTTGAAAGAAAGAGAGAGAGAAAAAAAAAGAAAGGGATCGATTGACCAATGGGATTTTGATTTATAGAGTTTAATTCTATTTATTCTCATGGATTGTGTGCTGTTGAAAAGTAGGACAGAGTGACAACCTCACCGCATTTCCTGTGTTTCAGGAATGGGACTTTTTGAACCTAGAACTAACGACTACTGGAGTAGTGTTTCACAACACTAAAGCCTGTCTTGATTCGATAATCTATTTTAACTACACCAGTTTTGGCTGTTAAAAATAACAACTTTAGCTTTTTTTTTCTCGGGACTAAAAAAAGTATAAATATAAATATTATATATAAAAAGAATTACAAAAGAAAAGGGTTTTTGTAGATTTGGCTACAGTTAAATATAATGCATGCTAAACCCACAAGAGTTTAGTGAACACATACTTCTTTTGATATCTTTATGATGTTGCTTAGCAACAATTATAGTTATTTTTCAAACATCGCAAGAATCTATAGGAATTACGTTTCTCAAATGGCCAAAGGAATCTTTGTATCTCACAACAACAAATCTTGTTTATGTTTATATTTATCTGTATCAATGCACTATCACAAGTATGACAAGAAGAGGAGAAGAGGAAGCTAAGCGTAAAAAAATAAATTATAATCCTGTATTCAAAAGGTAATATCCAGTGATCTTACTTATCATATAGTAAATTCAGCCATATATCTGCCAAAAAATACTAGCCTTGGATCAGTGTACAAGATCCAACTCTAGTCACAGAGAATAATAACTCTATTGTCATTCTTGCTTTGGTTTGAATCACAAGTACTTATCCATTGTTCTTTAGCGATCTTTTACCAGAATCCAATGATATCCTGTGTTAATATATATATAGTGTGTGTGTTAACAGAAATAACAACAACAAAAGAAAAAGACATCATCAAATGTCTGTGAGTACTGCACAAACAATCCTTTCTTTCTTTTTAATTTCTGAGTTTACTGATAGCTCTCAGACTGCTTGTTATTCCTTGAATTCCCCTTGATAATACACCTGATATCCAGTTCCGTATACTTTGGACAATATAATAGCATGCCATAAAGAATGTATATTTTTTTTATATATATTTTTTAAGCTCCAAAGACATTCACAATTGTCACGCACTAAAACAATTCTTCAAAGCCAAAACCTTAATATTTATACACATTGTTGAAACTCATGACACTTTGTATTACTAAAAGAAGAAGAGGAAAAGAAAAGACGTTAACGTGGCGTAGTATGTACTCCCTTGCAGCTGGTACATTATCAAATATTTGGCTTTGTCCTTGGTATAACAGCATTGTATATTCTCTCACTTGTATGTGCTTATTTATTCTTTTTTTTTTTAAAAAAAAAAAAGGGAAAAAAGAAAGAGTTCCAATTACCCACGTTATTTTTGTATACTATCCATTCAATCAACCTCTGGTGACTTTTTTTTTTCTTTTTGATAATTATAGTCATTTTACTATTAAAAATAATTGATCATACCGGAATAATATGGATAACGTTATAGGCATATTAAATGTTAAAGATATTATTATTACAAGGAAAAGTTAAAATACATTTATAGATTTTAAAAGCACATTATTACTATTACTATTATTATTCTTATTATCCAAAAAAAGAAAAACAAAACAAAATATCTAACGACTGGGCTGAAGAGATACACTTTTAATCTGTTTTAAATGGTTTGAAATCTATGGATATCGAGTCTCAAACTTATGAGTATGCGAGCTGTATAATTACGTTGGCAAAATAGCTTGAGAAGCTTATTAATAAAACGAGCATACTTTGTTCTGTAAATAACTCAACTTTTAGATAACATGATAAGCTTATGTTTTGGCTTTGGTTTTTATTTTGTTATCTAGCCTCAAATAGAGAGCCACAGTGCTAACAGGACCAACATAAGCCATACACTTGCCTTTACCCGAAATGTAAGGTTCATATACAGAGAGCTAAATTTTTCTTGTGAATGAGTAAAAGTACTTGCACATGGAAGCCTTACTAAACATATATATATATATATATATATATATATATATGTATAAGATAATTTACAATAATTCCAATCGCAATACATTTTTACTTTAATTTAAATAAAAGGCTTGTCAAAATATACAAAGGTGTATAGTTTTGACTCCTAAATGTTTAAGTTCAAGGGTTTGTTTAAAGTACACTATAGAATCGAAGCACAATAGCTCGTTTATTTTGTCCCCAAAAGCTGAGGGCTGTTCATATATTATATTGTTATTATTTTTTGTAAATAATATGTTCTTTCTAAGAAATAAAATATCAACAAACAAAGTTCAGCTATTATTCAGGCCTGACGCTTTACCTCTCGGACACGACGTTTCTATAGAGTACTAAATATATATATATATTCTAAACACCGCTTTTCATTGTGTACCGGACTCCTGGAAAGTGACTATGGTCCGGCCTTCAATAGTAACAGAGTACCTAAAAGCGAAAAAATAAAAAAAAGTTATACCCTGAAGAAATTAGTGAAAGGCCTGTTATAAAACCTTCTTTTCTTTTATATGCTCATCTTGTAAGAATTAAACATCTTTTACATAATATAATGTTTTGCTTTGAAGACACAAGAGTGCTCCTTCTACCATTACAAATTAGTATTTGTAAAAACGATGTTAACAATCGCTCAATAGAAATCACTTCAACATGAATACTATCAATAAAAAATCATTTCTTATCGACGGAAACGAATACTATCCCATTCAGCAAGACTTTCCCACTACACCAACCAATGACTATGCCAACATTACTGTGGCGATTTCTAAGATGCATGAGTATACACTTGCTAACAACTTCACTCTCGCAACCAAAGACCGTAAACCAACTCGGGGTTACTTAAAGTGCACCAGGGGTGGTCACTGTAGAAACACCCATAAACTTGAAGACTGCGATCGTGTAAAAATCCGCCCTAGTTCGAAAACCGGATGTCCTTACATGATAAAGCTATCTTACAAGAAAGGAATCAAAGGATATCTTCCCTTGAAAGCTTCTAGTGAAATGGAGAGCTATCACAATCATCCTCTTGATGACAAATGCTTGGAATCGACTCTGAAAGGCAGATTGTCAAGAGTTACTGCCGAAGACGCCAAGCAGATATCTAAACTTGTTGAGACAAAGGCCAAGACTCATGAGATCCAAAGGACTATCACAGACGAAAAAGACGATGGTCATAAGCTGTATGTTAGCGATATCAACAATATTAAGGCTGCCTTTGCTCGAGTTTCTGCCCATGTTGCCCAGAATGCGGGTACTGGACTTGTTAAGATGATGGAAGCAAAAGGTTACCAGGTGCATTATGGTGTAAACGGGAATAATTCGCTGGAGAGAGTGTTTTTTACCAATCAGAAGATGATGGAGAGAGCTCGTCGCTTCTCAGAAGTTATGGTGGTAGATGCTACATATTCTACCAATAACTTGTCAATGCCACTGATTTGCGTGGAAGGTATCCACAACCTCGGAGGAGAAACCCTCAAATCGTTTCCCATTGCCTTTGCCTGGGTCTCTAACGAGCAGCAAGGCACGTATCTTTGGTTCCTCCAGCAACTCAAGGCACTTGTTTTTGAAGACAAGGCTCTTAGCACAGTTTTTGTGACAGAAAAGTGTGCTGCACTTATGAACGCTCTCGATGTCGTGTTTGTGAACAACAGCAAACTGCTTTGTTACTGGCACATGCTGAATAGTGTGGAAAAGGCTTTTTCGGAAAAAGTTGGCTCGGTAAAAAAAAAGGAAGAGCTGACGGGATATATATCCAATATGATCCATAGCAAAAGTAAGAAGAAGTTTGACTGGGCTCTGAATAAGTTCAACACTGTATCCGCTGGTTCCGAAGTAGAAAATGGCAATGTGAAAGCGCCAGTCTCGGTATATTTTCATGACAGGTGGATTACATGCCAAGAGAAGTGGACAGGTTATCTTACTCAGAAGATAATGCATTTTGGATGCACAACATCGCAAAGAGTGGAAAGTGCTCATCAAACCTTAAAGAGAGGCATATCTGCAATAGCTTCCCTGGATCTCGCCTTTGAAAATATTTCAAGATATATCGAGAGGCTTGAGAGAGACTTCCGGAATGTGGAGATCAGGGAATCTACCACGGTTGACCCTCTTGTTGGACGAAACAAGCTTTTGTCTAGACTGCTCATGAAGGTCTCAAAGTGAGCTTTACTGGTAATAGACCAAGAGGTTCGACTGAAATGTGAAAGCAGTATTGTTTGTGAATGTATGAACAAGCTCCAGTATGGTCTACCTTGTCGCCATTCTTTGCCTACTGGAAGGGATATCTATATTTCTGATATCCCCAAAAGGTGGGTTATTGATCCTCGTAATGTAAAGTCAAGGGAAAACACTTGTCGGGAAAACTTCCAGCTTGAGGAAAGACCAGAGGTGTGGATGGAGGAAGTGATTAAACTCGAGGCACTGTTTCGGTCCTGTGAGGGCAGCCAGCAAGTGGCCAATCTTCTGAATAAAATCAAGAAGGTCACTTCTGAATTCGAAGGCAAAACTGGGCACCCTTCGATTAACTTTCAAACCCCAGAAAAAATCAAGTACCCTGGCAGACGGAAAAGTAGTGCACGTCGAAAGTACCTCCCCAAAGACTTTGGTCGAGCAAACTGGAGGAAGATCAGTGTTTCGCCTGGTCATGTAAGATAAAAAAAATATAGCATAACAAATTATTAATATGTATCTTGAAATAATAGGCTGGCTTTAAGGCAATGGTTAGGTTGAGAGCTAGAATGGGGGAGGGAAAGTCTGCAGCTACACAAAAACCAGAAAACAACAAAAAACAAAACAAAAGCAAACAAGAGCCTCTCGACCCAGGTAAGATGTGTTCTTGTTTTACAGTATAATTGAGTTTATGTGGAGGGATATCGGCTTATACGAATATGTTTTTTAGTCGATGCCACCAAAAATAAAACAAAAGATAAATAAAACAAGAGCCTCTCGACCCAGGTAATATACTTTCTTATTTTACAGTGTAATTGAATCCATAAAGAGAAATATCGTCTTATACTAATATGCTTTTTAGTCGATGCCACAAAAGAAATAGGGTTTAAAAGACCTGCCACCGCTCTAGAAGATTACCAGTATGATCATCGCACCTCTGTTGGCAAGAGGGTTAAATTCCAGCCTGATTTTCCTGTCTCTCATGAGATAGTTGATGACGTTAAGGGTGGGTTTAACCCTACTGCTGATGGGTGGTGTGGTTTTCGGGTACTTGCCCACTTGATCTATAAAGATTAAAACAAATTCCCTCTTGTAAAAAGGGACAGGCTTTCTGCCTTGCCAAAATACAAGGAGATATACCCAAACACCTTTGGTACTGACACCAGCCAACTGGAAAGAATTATTCGACATGGTTCTCAACTCGATTGCAACAACACCAACTTCAACACCAACTTCATCCCAGCATGTTCAGATGCCAGTATGTGGTTTAACACACCCGACTGTGCTCAACTAGCTGCGGACACATATACACGACCAGTCTGCGTCTACTCAGACAACCCCAACACCCCCTCAACAACCTTTCTTCCATTCGCCCTTCCCAACAACAAAACAAAACAACGACAACCTCTGATTTTTAATCATGTTAACAATAACCACTGGACAACAGTAAACCTTTCCCGCAATGTCTCAAGGAAATGGCCAACTATTCCTGAGTTATTCTTTTTGGGCTGTGTCAGAAACCAGATTCCCGACAACTTTGATACTTACTGGAACAAGTTCAAAGAATTTAATAAGCATGACCGCAGAAATGCCATGCTCTCTTTTCTTTCCGATCAAGAGGAACCTATTGATCTCAGTATAAAATAATCTTTTTTTATTATATTTTTCTTTATACTTCATTAGCTAGACAATTTATTGTTTATTTACTCATTTACTCTTATATTTTATTAGCTAGACGATCTTTTTTTTTTTACCTTTATAAATCTTATCAATCTGTTTCTTTGCGTCAAAATAAGCTAACTATCACTCGCGGGTTAAATGACTCTCCGCTCTGTTTTTTCATGGAAATCATTCGTGGGAAGTACTTTACCCTACAAGTTACACCTATGCCCAGCGAATTAAAAAACATAAATGTCGGATAGCGTTACACATATCGAGCCAAACTATCTTCAGATATGTTATATTATGCATTTTTATATATCTATTTCATCAATTCAAGATTCGACTCTTTAAAACTTTGGATCCATATAATATAGAGGTATAAGAGTGTGTATTAGGTTTTAATCGAATTTAAAACCTTGATCATGAGAAAACTAACATATTAGAGAACCCATTGTTGACTGAAAATTCTAAATTTTCACTCACTTTTATTTTACACGGCGATTTAATTTCCAATAAAAAATATAAACTTTTACTGAGGGAGGTCATTTCATCACTAAGTCTTAAAAGATTGTGCTTGTTTTGTCACATTCAAACCTGAACATAAGATAGCCAAGAGTCATCTCTATATGTTTACTTTAGAGAATAAGTCTTGAAAAGCAAAGTTTATTAAGATGTATCTCTCTTATGTTTGTCGCAGTACTTATGTTTTCATCAACTGTTGTTGAGTTTTTTCTTTTTAACTTGATTTCACTAATAGTTCTTTTTTAGCAGTCTTTGAAAATATCACATCCCAACGGGTTCTCTAATAATTCTTTTTTAGCAGTCTTGCAAAATATCACATCTCAATGGGTTCTCTAGTAAGTAAAATATTGCATCAACAATTTTCTTGAACACATTAGAGAGGGTGTCGAGTTATGATAATTTCAAGATGACTAAAAAATAATTATTTGTAAAACCCAATCAAAGATAAGAATAAAACTCAGATACAGTTATGAATATTATAAGTTGAAAACATTGATACTAAGAAATTTAGAGGAAATAGACCTTAATAAACTTGACTTTCCAAGGCTTATTTTCTTAAGTATAAAAAATAGGCTACTGGCTATCATACATTTTGTTTTGAAGTAAAAAATCAGGGATTACCTAACTTTTGGCTTCAAATGCTCACTAAATGGCCTCCACCATGAAATTTGCAAAACAAATATTGGAATTTAATTCGCCGCGTAAAATAAAAATTTACAAACGTTGCAATTCAGACTCGAAGACACCCTCTATTTATTTTATCGTCACGTTTAGGACACGACGTTTTGCCTCTCAAACACAGCGTTTACAAATTGTATATCTTGTATATATTGCATGTAAAATATGAACCTTTTAACATAGTTGCTACTTGATTACGTTTATAAATTCCAATATATTAAACAAAAAACTACTTTGTTCATGAATCAAGTTATTTGTCTTTTAATAAATTGATTTTACTCATACAAACTACTTTGAATAGTTAGGGACCAGATAGAATTACTGGATGCTGGGCCGCAAGTCACTTTTTATGAGACCGGTAGATCACTGTAGAAAAAAATCTATGAGTATTTGAAACAAGCTGCCTTATTTTGGAAAGAAATGGCAGATTTTTGAACACCATCTAGCACTTACCAAGTTTAGAACATCTCTATCCTATTTTGGCTCTAGAGAAATATTTTGAAGATGAAAGTCTCGTCGTCAACCCAGGAAACCATCTTGATTTCCGAATAGAGAGAACTACTTGCTTGATTAAAGAAAAATCAACTAGAGGGTCAAACAAGCTCTATGAACTTTGTACCTTGGATCTGAGCTTATACCAGAAACAGTCATACCTACTGATATTTTTTTTAATGCGAACTTGTGTTTTATTTCGTAAAGTATTTTTCTTTCTATTTCTTCTCACTATTACTATTGTTGACAAGTATTTCAGGCTTTACAAAGTACTAACCAATAACCTATAGCTTTTAGGCGATAACAATATTAAGCAAGAGATCTATAACAAGACCCTATAACACAAAACATTTTATCAAAGCCTTACAAGATAAGCACACATACACATATTTTATAGATAGAATGATATATAGCTATAGCTCTTTTAATGTTAAACGAAACTCCCTTTTTTATTTCTGGCCAAAGCGATATCTAGTAGTTTATAAAGGCATTGATCTTACAATTTAAATTAAACTTTTACTATACTTATTATTTAATTTAAAATTATCATAGTCTTCTTCTTTACATACTTATTCTATCATTCGTCTACTATTTTTTTAGTACCCTTTGTTAGAGGCAATGCTATAGATATGAGAAGGCTAAAGAAGAGCCTTATTTTATTACTTTTACTATTAATAAAGTCAAAAAATAAAAATATTTTGCTATAAAACATTAAGTTTGTTGGACCAATTATAAGAAAATTTAAAGTACCTAAAAAGGTATAAATTTACCATATTTAGAGCAATTGATTGGATTAGATGCAAAAACAATCTGAAATCCCACAAATCATATTTGCTAAAGAATCTACGAGCTCGTAGGTGCATACGAGCTCGTAGAAACCTACGAGTCTGAAGTTATAATTTCTTCTATTTTCAGTAATTCTATTGGTTAAAAAATCTTCCCCGACATTTCTACGAGCTCGTAGAAATCTACGAGTACGGAGTTATAAATGCTGCCATTTACCACAGTGGATGGTAAAATCGGAGATTAAATAAACGTAGTGGTCCAGAAAAACGTCGTGCCCGAGTGGAAAAGTGTCTGGCCCGAATAATTAGCGATTTTCAAGCAAAAAGCGAATTCAAGCTAACATACAAGTATGGTATTTCTCTGTGTAAAATATAAGTTCTGACGGAGTTTTGCATCACCTGCCTGTAGGAAACATTATCAATACAATATTAGCTGTATATCTCAATTAAGCGTCAAGTTTTGCTATTGTATAATAGGGGGTTTCACCAGCTTTAAATGTTGACTGTTGGATATAGCGGTAGTTTAATTCGGAAAATGATTGGCTGTGACGAATCTTCAAAAAGTGAAAAACGAGCATCCAAGCATCTAAAAAAATAGTTCGATACTCTAGATGTCGTGACTTAGCCGAAATTTTGTAAATTTTGTACTTTATGTACGATTGATGGCGAAGTTCATATAGAAGCAAAGTCAAAAATAAAACATAATTAATCTATATAAAAGTAGTTATCTTGATACCAAATTATAGAAGTCTAACTTACTTGTGAGGAATTTGGGCATAGGCACTATATTTATGGGTACTCTAATCAAGCGTATTGTACATATGAATTTTGACGTATATGAGAGAAAACATATCAGCCAAGGGTCATTAGGGGGTTTCACCAGTCTTTTTTCGATACTTATTATTATTGGCTGGTGCTTAAACTACCGCTATATCCAACAGTCAACATCCAAAGCTGGTGAAACCCCCTAATATGTAATCGTCTCTGTCAATTAATTAACCTTGTTAACAACCAAGTCGGCATTGGTCTTGAGTAAGCTGAAGGTGCAGTTAGACTCTTCTCTTGCCAAGATGTTAACATAACCCACAGTATTTCATTTCTTTTATCTATTAAAGATATCAACTCTCTTTATATATGCCTCACTCTTGGTTTTTTCCTCTCTGGCCAGAAAATAAAACGAATTAAAATATTAGCAATTGACTCTGCTACCTGCATATATTTAAAAGCAAAAGAGTATACCTAAAAACTTTGTGCTTTACGAGCAAATTTAGTATATGTTTTATTTTTCTTAGGACAGATTTAATTTATACTACATAATCTTGAATAGCTGGTTTATTGGTGCCAATTACACCTCCTAATAAAAGGATAAATTTCGATCTCTTCAGTAGTATTCCTTTGCTTATTACTTTCATTTTTGTTCCTATATGCTTACTATTAGTATCCAAAGCTCTTAAAAAACTCGGTTTAGAAATGCCTGTTATGCTCTACACCATACATCCCAAAAATCTTATGAAGATAACTCACATTCCCTAAAAAAAAACATCTTGATACTTTCAATTATCGGTATAATCTCATTTCAATAGAACTTAATATGTAATTCAAAATCCCGTTCCTTAGCGTATTATGATGAGATCCAGACAATATATACATATTTTGTACTTTTTACTTATTGCTTAATACCACTTTGGAATATATTTGGGTTTTTCCGTAGTAATTTTTGGGCACCTTTTGTGCCTAATTGTACAGGAAAAAGAAAAAAATAATTTCATCTTGTGTCCTTTGAACAAAAAATGCACAGACCACTTTAGAGTAACCTACAAATCGCCGTTATAGAAACTTGTACTCCACTTTGAGAGTCATTGTTACACCGATCAATACCGAACCTTTCCTTACTTCTTTGCTTCTTTGCCTTACTTTGCTTCACTTTGAAAAGGTTGTATTATGTGGTAATTTGATTGAATATTATTAACTGTCTACTCTGCCTTAAAACATTTACACGAACCCAGTAAAAAGAATATATAGCTATGTCATGTTTGCTCTGACGTGGACATCTAAGACTGACAAAAGGCGCAGTCCTAAACTTTAATCGCAGATGAAAACTTTTCTGTTACATATAGACCTCCTCCAACGCGCGTCGTTTGTTTTCTCCTTGAGCAACAACAGTCCCGGTTTCATAGTGAGGCGTCTCTTGCGACCGTTGCAGGGAGATTCTTCCATGCTACAAGCATCGGAAAGTGAAAGTTGTTACTCGCCAGCTCAGTTTATTCTGAGAAGTCGTGGGGCATGGTCTCTTCATTTTTGGAAGGACTACTGTGTACATCGCATCGCCAATGTGGAATCATGATGCTGGGGGGAGGGAGGTCTAACCTGTGGTGAGATGTGCTGGCTCTTCACTGCTAACCTGACTGAACTCTTTAACGGCTGACGGTGAAGCTACTGGTAGTCGAATGAGCTGGACCTTATCACCTAGTGGTAAGTTCTCTGGCAAGTTCGCACCCACATTACTCGGTGACGAGATGTGGGGCTGGATGAACGGGTGCTTTCCGTTGGTTTGCCACCATTCCAGCACCTCCTTCGCTACCAAGTCAGGTTTACGTCCTGAAGGAGATTGAGCCGCGTAATGCGGGGACAAAGAACTTGGTGTCATGCTTTTTATTCTTTTATGTAAAAGAACATTAAGTGAAATTAATTCAAATAAAATAGTTTCTTTATGTATATATTTAAATAAATAAATAAAGTCTTTCTTAGCTATTGTCAACTTTAACAAAAAAACACGCTTTTAACAATTATTTTTTACTTGATTGAAGAGGTTAATGTTGTAATTAGGAAGCCTCATTTATAGGAAAAAATTAATCTAGTCGAATAAACATGAAAAGAATTATAATATAATAAAGCAACATAATATGTATGCTCTTATAATTGTGTTGATTACCATGTCTAATTGTATAGGATGTTTCGTCTATAAAGTCTATAAGAAAAACTAGGAATAATTTTTGAGAATGGTAATGGCGTGAAATATATAGCTGAATCTGGCTAATCCAGATAGACATTGTAAAGAAGACGCATTGGAATGAGAGAAAGATAAAGAAGAAGAAAAGTAAAAACACGCAAAAATGCGAAAGATGATAAAAAATGAACAAAAATGTGTGTTTGAAAGAAAGACGGAAAAGGCGTAGTGAGTTGAATACACAGGTAAAGTTCTCATTGTATTTACACAGACTGTGCACAAAAAAAAGTTTAATTTGCATATCGGCTTTTTGTTTAGTTAGGCACACAGTGCTTAAAAAATATTGTAATCTTGCCACTTCAATGTCGCCAAGTTTCTTTAAACCACAACCAAAGAAATACCCTGCTTAGCCTTAGAAGAAATCGAAAAAGATATTTTTTTTATTAATAAAGGACAAATCATTAGCCTAGATTAAGGGGGAAAGCTTCTTGTACATTTTGTTATATTCGTTTCATTTTATATTGCTTATTGAGGCAACGAATATTTGAATTATTGAATAAAATCAATTTTCAAGAGTGCTCAACCCACTTAAAAATCTTTTGTTATTTTAAGTGAGGTATTGAATAGTATAAAAAGTGTATTGAATAAGGGGTACGAATGCTTTTAGTAAGCTGCTTTTTATAAAGCTATCTTGATAACCTGGATGATAGACATTGAGTTAGCAAAGCAACTATAAAATATTCGGAAGCTTAAACGGTGTCCTCCTTGCAAAGTATATCACGTCCTTTATTATATAAATAGAAAAAAAAAAGACCCTCATATAAGATCATTTTAAGCGAATATTCGACACTATTGGCTAGATATCTTTTAACCTCTTCAAATAAACATTTCTTGTTTACTTTATTGTTTTATTTAATACACTAATTCTTTTTTATTCAAAAAGGTATACATACATATACACACATATATATATATTGGTTTAATTTGTCTTCTTTTCGGAAACATCAAGGTTTCTTCCTCCCCATGTTGACAGCCAGACAGCACTAAATACCAAGAATCCAACAATCATACTACCCACAGAGGCATAGTAAGGGTATGCAGCAGTCAAGAAACGAGGGTATTCGTTGTGTCTAAAGGGTCTAATGGCAACTACATCTTCGGCAGACAGGTAAGTGAGACCGGCTCTTTTGTAGTTGACTCGGAAAGTGAATACACCATAGACATCAGGCAGTTGAACATGAGCCTTAAATCGTCCGTAGTGGTGTTCAGGAGCAACAGGGACTTGCTTCAGAGTGGTACGGATGTAAGGATCAAGCATAATAATTTCCAACTGAACATCATTTGCCTTGAAAGGAACCCAGTGGTCATTCTCATACTCGGAAATTTCCAAAGTGTACACCTAAAAAAGTAAATCCCATGGAATTAAGAAGGAACCAACAAAAAGGTTTTTTCTAAACGTTAATATAAAATTGAACGAATCTAGATTTTATGAACTTTTTTTTTTTGGTTTACCATATCATCCTTTACACGGTAAAATTCAGGTTGTTCGGTGTGATTTTCTTTATGGTGGTAGTGAGAAATGACCTTAAGGACACTCTTTTCTTGGAAAGTCCATTTTGTCAATTCAGAGACAAATTCCTCATTACCAGACTTCTCAAACCTAATTTTAAGCATAAGTATATTATATGCATATATTAAAAATAATGTATTATAGACCAACATAGATTACTACTTACTTTACAACATCACCATCCTTTTGAACCTTCTCAACAGGTGAAGAAAATAAGCTACGAAGAAGAGAAGTGTTAGATTCACTATATATACCTTTTTCTTTTTCTTTCCCCCTACGAGCCATTTCCATTTCCATTTCCTATAATCCAAATTCCCAACTTCCAACTTCAAATTACAACCCCAATTCCAATTACAACTTACGCATCCGAGAAAATATCAAGAGAACCCACAAATGTAGCTCTGGCAGAGTTTCTAGTCTGCATAGCTCCAATAAGATCCACAGGATTCTTACTAGGCTTATTCTTACCAAACCTCTCTGCCACAAATGCAGTATCTTCTGCGCTCAGAACACGGTTGACCAAAGGTAAAGATCCAACTGTGAGGCCGACTCCACTGTAGACAATTGGTGCCGAGCTAAAGTCCTTGGGAATGATTGATTGTGGAGCAACAACCTGAGATGTGGTGATCGAGTCCTTGTCGTTGGCATTGGAATTGGTGCTGCTGGCATCAAATACACGTGTGCCCGCAGGCTCAAACTCGATGTCGAATTCACTTGCCAGCTCCCGCACGCCATTGGAAGCATCGCTTGACACACCAACTAAGAGATTACCACCACCATTGACAAACTTTACAAGCTCGACGTTACCCAGGTTTTTGTGTTTGCTCAATGCTGATACAATGTGTTAGAAGTCTCAATTAATACAACCACACAAAGTTTACAAGTGTGTGTGTGTGTGTGTGTGTGTGTGTTGACTTACATGCAGTGGTGGGCGCAAAATGGATAATGTGCTGATAGAGGGGTCGACCAAAGTAATAAAGACTTGTCTCTCCGTCAACTGCACTCTTGAAGTCTAGTTTAAAGTCGCGATCTTGATTGTACAATAAAAATAACATAACAATAAATCTCGAAAATCAATACATAATTTTTAATTATTTTTTTCGCATTCAATAATAAAAGGTAATAAGGAAGTCGAGTTTTTTTTGTAAATGTTTACATGTATATTAATGCATGTGTATGTGTATTTGTACCTTGAAGTGTTTCCCAAAGACGCGAATAAGAATCTTTTTGGGCAAGGTTATCGAGAAGAACAAGAACCTGATCTCCAGTCACCGACTTTGCCTCTGCAACCGAGCACAGGGCCGCTAATGATGAGATTACGAAGAGTGAGATGAAGCTCTTCATTCGTAGACAGTTTGTGCTGGGAACTGATGAGTGATGAACAAAATGAAGGTTAATCGACCCTTTTGCAGGTGATTTCGGTGTCCGACGATATCCCAATGCAAGACTTTGCCACGTCACAGCAATTGTAGCCCGTCCAGTCAATCAATCAGTCAGCCAGTTAGTCAGTTAGTTAGTAATGTAATAGCCAGTCGATCAGTAGGTCAAACAACCGCTTATTTCTTTGCTTTTTTTATAGAAAAAAATTCGATTATTTTTTAATGAAACATAAGGATTAAACAAATTAATAAGATATGTAAAGTTGATTGGCTTATGTTTTCAATAAAAAAGAGAAAAAACATGGTTAGACAGATTATTGATATTATTATTATTATTATTATATAATAGTACACTGTATTGTAGTTTATTAGTTGAATAATATAAAGAAGTAGGTAGGGAAAGAGAGAGATTATTATCTACAGTATATAGGGACAGTATATGATGAATATGCAACGGTTGAAAAAGATAAACAAAGAAGTGGAGGTAAAGAAAGAGAAAATATGATGAAGTTGAGAGGATTAATGATACGGATAGGATAGAAAAGGATAGAAGAGTATAGGATAGGATAGGATAGGATAAGATAGGATAAATTAATGGCTGGAGTTAATTGATTGGTATGATGTATCTTGGATCGTGTCCTCAATATCGTTAAAGACAGTTTCTTCTTCTACTTCTCGAAGAGCATCCATATTTACCGCAAAGAAGCCTACTCCAACTAGTACAGCACCAAGCGCGTATTGGAATCCAGGTTCAAAATGTTTAAAGACAATATCGCCTATCAGAGCAAGGGGAATCTATAGATTTATCCAATGAGTACACTGTAACACCAATAATACGCCATAAAGGCAGATCATCTATTTTTTTTTGTTTTTTTTTGTTTTACCGTCAGTGAGATTCCTAGTGTCACCACCAATGGAGAGGTCATCAACATAGCCAGTAACCACAAGTAATCAGATCTAGGGGATGAGGGATTTGTTAAAGAAATAACATGAATTAGTATTTTTGGATATTATGTTATGTTGTGTTGGATTTGGATTTGGTTGTAATGCATAAATTTGTAAACAGATAGAGTATTGGCTACATTTGTAGCACGCCATCTTGAAAATAATAGAGAGATTGGGTTTTGTCCAATAGATAGATGATCTAGTGTATACACACACACGCACCATATATATCTATATATATTACTTACAAGAATGTTCCTATGAAAGCATTCAATAAAACCATAAACCACAGAGTTGAAGTAGGCGGTAATTCGAATGTTTCCAAGCCAAGCCAGTGCAGAAGAGGAAATACTGGCCACAAAAGGACAACATTGAAGGCCCCAACAAAGCCAAAGAACAGAGGCATGTTGATGCGAGACTCATCTCCAATCCGCAGCTTAAGCATAGTTGTGTAACAGCCATAGAATACCGCACCAGAAAGAGCCAACATGTCCCCGATAAGAGGTGCAGGGAGATTGAATCTGGTAAGAGATGAAAGGTCTGAAGGGACAGGGTTGCTACTGAGCTGGTCTGAGTATGACACTAGGATAACACCCATCAGACTTTAACAATAAGGATGAGTTTAATACACAAAAAAAAATAAGATAAAAATGCATATATGCGTGTGTATGTGTTTGTAAGATTTGTTACCTTATGCACACAGATACTACTTTGGTTGTGTTGAGTTTCTCGACACCAAACACAGAGCCGATACCGAGCGTGAATAGACCTATTGCGATTAGTACAATCAGATGCACAATTGTACCCGATTTAGTTGGTTAGAGATAAGGCAAATAATAACAATAATACTAAAAATTATTATAGATAATAAAAATAATAATAATAAAACATGCGTGAGAAAGAATTGATTGCGTACCTGACATGGAGGCTAAGATTGTACTACTTCCTACACTGGTGTAGGCAAGGCTGGCATTGGTCGTATAATTTGCAAAGAACCAGAGTATACAGAAGGCAAAACTAAGCCTGACAGTCTCTATGGTGCTAAGCTTTGTATCCATCTGATTAGGGGTTTCTTGGATGGTTTGGTTATCGGCAACTGCTAGTTCGGCAGCATTTTCTGAATTAGTAATAGTCTAAGAAAGAAAAAATTAAACACGACGTTTACAAAACCAAATGCAATCATATAGCCTACTATTTTATTCTTGAGTGATATATAGTGATAACTTACTGTTTCGCTGTATCTACTGCTCTCGGGGGTCAGCAGTCTATCAGTTATTGCAGACATGTGGTTAGGAACAGGATCGGTCACAAGAGAAGGTATTATATAATGTACTTTACTTTGTAGACTCTTCAGTTGTATATTTTGGTGGAGGTCGCTTGAAAAGAAGAGGTATCAAGTAGAATGAAAAGGTCGCTGTATTGAGATATGTAACCAAGAAGGGTTTATTGTAATTTTGTTCTCCAAATATACTCTATAGAAAAGTAATGATTATTAATGATTTGTCTTTTAAATTTATTTGGAACAAAAAATTGATATAAAGGTGTTGCAATTCTCTTTTATGTAGAATAATAAAAATCATAATAAAACAAAAACAAAAAAGTACACTTACGTTCATTGCGAATGAAGATCCCACCCAAATAAACACTACACCTAACAGGGCAGCAATTCCTCCAAGATAACGCCTCCGTGGCTGGTCATATACTGGCATAATGTATTTTGAATTTTTAAGGGTGTATAGTTTTAGAGTGAAGAAGAAGGGGAGGAGGAGGAAAGGTTTGTATAAAGTTGACAAAAAGTCAACTAGGGAAGGAAATAGCGGTGAAAAGAAGAGGAGGTTTGTGACTCTGATGTCGCAATTCAACCACTTAATTCATTTGAAGCTCAAAATTTTGTGTTCTGGAAAAGGCAATTTTTTCTGTCCCTTTTTTATCAATTTAAAATTTGAACATTTGAAGTACAGAAATTGCACAGTAGAGTACTGTATTTTCTCTATTTTTACGGACACAATATACCTATATTTTATCTTACAATATTTATTTCTGCGTATTTGTATATGTGTTTATTAAGATAGCTTTTCTTACTACTTTATTGTTCTCTTTTTAATGAAGTATAGTTGGTTACATATATAAACACATAAAAGCTAGATAAAAGTCTTCATTTTATAATCAACCATATGTCTTTAGGCAGATGTTCATTATTTGCCTTATAGCCAGCAGTCATTTTAATTATAATGCGTATATTCCTTTTTACTTTTATTTTTAGGTAGGCATACAATATACTATACACCGAAAATAAACAACTTTATAAACTCTTATGAAAGGATTAGATAAAAACACATTTACAATTCTATCTAGTACCTATATGGTTTATTATATCAAGACTGGCAGCCACATCAGATTGGAGAAGTAGAACCGTGGTACTTGCTATTTAACATGCCAGTTTTTCTGAATAACTTGGAATAACTTTCCTTTTGTCCCTTTCTCTATCCCTCTCTCTCTCTTGTTTGCTGACAAACCAGAAATTCAAGGCCTGTGTGCTCCGATTCTACAAGCTTCAAACCTAATAGCATTATTCACTATGAACGAGTTATACAGAGCATTGGAAAATGTGCATTCAGAGTTTTTTTCGGCAAGTTTTTTTTTGGAAAGACTTTTACCATGTATCCTACTTTATTTTAGCATGATATATAAGCTGCTCAGTAAAGCTAGCCCTTGCCCATTTTAGCTGGTGCTCCTTCCCTATTAAACAAGAAAAGTATACATTATTTCTGTCTTATAATAATACCTTTAATACCAATGAACTACCATTGTCTTCCAATCGTATACGTTATATATTAATTCACGTTACAACAGAGAATGTCAAGAATTGAGGCTTTCTTGATTAATGGTTTCTAATTTTCCTGGCCTCAACCTTTCTTTTGCCGAGTTTCTTCATTTTATTGAACAAGTTTATATGCACCATTCTCGTGAAATATTCGAGTTTAATATCGAAGCTAATATTTTTACCAGGCTTGATTTGATCTTTAAACTCGCAATTGTAGTCAACTAGAGTGGTTATTACATAGGGTACTTCTACTCTACTTACAATTGAAAATCTAATCGGTCTGAACGTTCCATCTCTCAACACGCCTACTAGCTATGGATTTTATGGCTTTCAAACTATCCGTAATCGACTCATAAAAACTAGCGAGTCATAAGTATAGCCATTAATACAGTCAATAACCCTATTTCTGTATGTATATCACTCTTAACTCTAAAGTCAAATTTGTAGTTCCAGAAAACACTGCTGTTAACAAACAATATTCTTTCCCATTTTCTGAAAAATCTTAGTTAGCAGGCAACATGATAGATGTTGCTAAACAAAACAGTTTATACAATAGCCCCATTCTGTTTATAAATAAGCGTGATGAAGATACACATTAAACAAACCCCGTCAGAGTTACAAGGGGATGTCTCCAATTAAAAGTATGTCTTTCACTTTTTGGGTAGTTCGATTAATGTAGCTTCTACACATATTATATAGTAACTATCCAATGTTTGTATTCATTTAACAAAATATTAAAGGATTTCAATTTATTTTATATAAAACAAACAAAAGTTTCTTAGACATCAGGCGTTATTTCTTTCTCTCTCTCTCTCTTTATCAAAAGATAAATATCTATAGTCCTTTTTTTGAGATACTTGTTATATTATTCTCCTATCAACTTTCCTTCATCTGATATTGTTTTGTTTTTAGTGCCGATTTTACCAATTTCAGCAGCAGCAAGATCCATTTTGTTGCCATCAATAAGACATTGTTCAATATCGTTTATTTTGTCCTGCTTATGGGTTTCTAGAGCCTTTCTTTTTATTAAGGCCCCCAAAGATAAGTTCAGTCTGCGAAAAAAAATACTTCGTCATGCTCTACTCTTTCATCATAGTTATCATCATTCACATTCGTCACGGTATTTGAACCACCGGTGTTTTCATTTCTCCTGTTATAATTACTTAATGACAGATCACGCTTTTATGATTGACTCCCAAGGTAGTCTCTATCGGCTACTCTATTACGACGCCTGAGATGTCAGAAATTCCCTTCTCACATTCTTTTTCTGTCTCGATGAGGCTAAAGGACTATTTTGGTCTTGGATCATCACTCTCTTTCTCTCCGCTCTACTGGATTAGCCTCGTCTAGTGTAAGACTTCCTCTCTCTCTCTCTCTCTCTCTCATATATATTTCATTTAGATCAATTGCCTTTCTCTACGTAAAGCTTAGACCAGCTGTTTTCGACAATAGTTTCTCACTTCCTCATGCTGACATCTCTTGGAGATTATTCTGGTGGGGGTCCATCTCTGATGTTGTCTGGCTTCTTACCCACACTCGCTTTTCTCCTTAGTTTTTACCAGCTCTTCAGATTGTAATTGCGTCCATCACGGTCTACTTCATCTGGTGCGCACATTAAGGAGGAAGAGGGGGTAATGTAGTCGCAGCCAAGAAGTGACTCCCGTACGTAAAACATATGACTTCACCATGTCAGGACCAGACGGAAATTTACACTCAGGGTTACTACTATCCAATCATAAGGCATTGCTTTATTAAGAGTGTTGATAGGCAATGAATACTAAATTAAACAATGACAAAGATATTGTTAGTAATTTGCTACTTATTAGTGAAAACTTACTAGATAGGGATATTTAGTAGCATGTCTCAAAACATATAAATCTTCCAAACATTCAATTAAATAAAGGTTACAACTCTACCTTCATATGCGTCCCATTTTTATTCTATAGCAGTAGGACTTCTCGTACATTACAACCATTAGTTTAGGACTTATACCTCCCTTCTTTTTGGTGTTCTATAAATGGATTTTACGGAGTTGAAAAGCCAAAGAAAAAACAAGGCGAAATCGGTAATAATTTTAAGCAGCAAGATGTTGTAACAGCTTTACTGGTAGAGAAAAAAGAATGTAAGTAGCTTATAAAGTATATTGCTTTTTATAATATGTAAAGCCTTTAATAACCTAGATTAAAGTCTGCGATAATTCGTTTTTATTGTATACATTCCCTTTCCATAATTTCATCACATTCAAAAACCGACATTTGTATATGCGTCGGCAGTGCCAATAAATATACAAAAAAAAAGAATAAAAAAAACTTGGATTTTATAAAGGCGCAATGAATTTTTTCTTTTTTTTTTCTAGTGCACAAGTTTGGCACTGTGAGCACTACTAAAAAACTTTACTATCATTGTTGCATCATCACACCAGCGTTTCTAAGCCCATCTAATGGAAATCACACCTGAAAACCAAAATGACATTACTTGGGAAAAGAACAGACGCTATGGTGTAATTATTGATGCAGGTTCATCTGGATCGAGAATCTATATATACTCCTGGAAAGATCACGAACACATCAAATCGACTGTTGACCTCAATGAACTCAAAGGAAAGATGCCAATTGTAGAGCGGGGAGATCAACATGGTCTCAAATGGACTCGCAGAGAAGAGCCAGGTAATATACGACTACCGTCTGAAATTTATTAAGACAACCTATATACCGCTTCATCATTTAGTTTTAAAAAGAAAAACAAGAAAAGGACAATTATCTTTATCTATATGTATATATATATATATACACACATTTACAAATTAAGAATATAGAAGAAGAAAACTGGCTTTGAGTTATGTATTTTTATGATCCTTCTCCTTCTTTTATGTTATATCATATATATCATATATATTATGTATTGCATTTGGCTAGGTATCTCAACCTATGGCAGTAAACCCACCGAGATCAAAGAACATCTTGGATCATTACTTAGTTTTGCGACCGAAGTCGTCCCAGAAGAAATGCGACCAAGCACTCCCATATTTGTCATGGCAACAGCTGGTATGCGTTTATTACCCGAGAGTGAGCAAGAGGCTGTGCTTGGCGCAACTTGTGGCTTTATCCGTGAATCCAATACATTTTTTATGAGCGATTGTGACTCCCACATCCAAATTATCCCGGGAGAACTAGAAGGAGTTTATGGTTGGATGGCTGTAAACTATCTGATGGGCGGATTCGATGCTAGTTTTCAGGACCCTCTTATTAAGCAATCCAAAAAAGAGCAGCACCATACTTTTGGATTTTTGGACATGGGGGGTGCTAGTGCACAAATTGCATTTGAGCCAGAGCACCATCAAAAAGAAGAACATATGGATGATCTCACCCAGATTTTTCTGAGGACTCTTGACGGCACAGAGATGGAGTACGATGTATTTGTAACCACTTTTTTAGGCTATGGCAGTAATGAAGCTCGTCGAAGATACTTGGAAGAACGTGTCAAATCTGCATACGAGGCAGCAGATGGAAAGAATCTACTAGACGAACACCACGCACTTCACATTGAAGATCCCTGTCTACCACTCAATCTCAACGTGTCTGACTCTCACTCTACCAGTGTATCTCTGAGCTTACACGGTACAGGCTCATTTGACAAGTGTATGGAGTACACTATGCCACTGCTCAACAAGGACGCCGCATGTCCCACAAAACCTTGTCTGTTCAATGGTGTACACACTCCTCATATCGACTGGTCTGTAAACAAATTTGTTGGAATATCAGAATATTGGTACTCGTCCCATGATATTCTTGGACTTGGAGGAGTTTATGATTTCGTTGAGTACGAGAAAAAAGCTACGGACTATTGTGCAAGAGACTGGAGTGAGTTTACAAAGGAACACAAGGAGATCGATATTCTTGAATTACATCGCTATGAATTACAATGCTTCAAATCTGCTTGGATCGTTAATGTACTCCATGACGGCATCGAGATCCCTCGCATTGTGGATCCCGGAGGACACGGACCGGGTACCGACAAGGCGCTTCTAGAACAATCAATCGAGAGCGTTTCTGCTAAGAACTGGAACCCACCTTTCCAAAGTATTGATACGATTAATGATATCCAGGTCTCCTGGACTCTTGGTGCTATGCTTCTCCACGTCGCCAACCAGATCCCTCTCTCAGACTCTCCTAATCAGCTCCAGGGTCACAATACAGATGACGAGGGAGCCCACGAAATTGCGGACGGCGTAAAGATGCCCAAACCACGTCCTCTACCAGAGGACAACACTATTCCCGGATATGATTCTATTTCGAGAAAGCCACCCTCGATTGTGGAGAATATTATGAATAATGTTTCGCCGTTTGGATGGCTCGCGATCTTACTTATGATTCTCTGTGCTATATTTATTCTCTATCTATTCAAGAATGTACGACGCAAGAAGCGGTTTGACATGGAATACCGCCGGCCTGACACAAGTGGGCCAAACGGGGGTTTGCTTGGCACCAGTACACCTAATCCTCAACCGTGGTCACCACTTCCATACTTGCAAGCCATGGAAAACAGGATCACTCAGTCACTTCGCAGCCTTCGATTTTGGGCTTCACGTGTTATTCGATTTCGATCGTCATATTCTTCGGTTCTTCCTATGGTAGAGATCGAAACTCTACCAGATACTACTCTTGATGGAGAGAGTGTGTCGATCAATATGCCAACTAATCAATCATCGGGTGGCCGTGCCACTCTTGGGCCTTCTTCAATGTCGCCAAGTGTGCTGTCTGCAAAATACTGGAACAAGAAGCGGTACAGTGGAGACAGTCACAATCTCAATGCCCTGATTCATGGACAACAGGTCGAAGGATCAAGTGTATTACCTTTTAGGACACCTTCTACTCTTGGTCTGGCAAACCGTAACGGAAGCTCACCTAACCTTGCCCGTAATGGTAGTTCATCTAACCTCAACGGATTTCCTCCGTCCCCTGAATCAATGGCAAACGGTGGTCCAAGTCGCTCGCCTCTTCAGGGTGATGGTGTTTTGGGAATCTCAAGGTCGCGTGTTGGCTTTGTGATCCACGAGCTGTCTGACGAAGATGAGTACATGAGTGACAATCAGGCGCCTGACACGACTGTTCAGGTTCCAGTAGTGCCTGCAACTCAAGTGCCTGGTACTGGTTGGCTATCCAGTAGTGCCAGTCCGCGAGCAAGTCCTAGAGGAAGTCTGGATGAACGAAGGTCAGGATGGACAACAGTAAGGCGTGAGATGGACTGAAACCATAGATTCTTGGCAAAATTGTATAGCATTCCATTTTATTATTACTATTACTATTACTATTACTATTACTACTATATATCTCCTTATTATATTCTCTTTATATCATTCTACTTTCTCTACAACCACTTTATTTGCTTTTTTTTACATTATAGTTATACTTTCTTCTATTTTCTCCTCTTTTACTCTTTATTTTATTCTTCTTATGCCTCTTGTGGCTATATTGGAAAACACACACACATACACATACACACACATATATACACAGTAGCGCGCACACCCAGGATATTAAATTGAAATACAGTGTTTCTACTTGAGATTGAGACAAATTAAGAAATGTTTTAGACAAATCAAAATGTAATTTTAGACAAAGTAAACATTTATTCAGATATTTTACCTGTAATTGTCTAAATGCCTCAAAGAGACAAACTGTTTACGTTACAGTTAATGGATTGCTGTTTTTGCTGTTGTTGCTGTGTTGATCAGTGCTTGTTTACTTGCTTTTATCAGAACTTTGGAAAGCGACCAGACTTTTGAATTTTGAATTTTTATTTCTGCACAAGTACTCAGGTTCATTAAGAATATCTTTAGGGGTTTGATTTTGGAAAACATTATATAGTGTATATTAGCCACACCGAGAATTAAATACAGGTCGAAAAAAGATATTAAAGCTGTGCTTATTTTATAAAAGAACATTTAAACTCTTTGACAATCTAAAGTTTCCTTTTATTTACTGGTCTACAAAACCTGTAATACACTGTGGGAGCGAGATATTAATGCTGCAAAAATATGATGACAATTGCTTTGTCAACTTGGAGAGGAACTCATCGACTAGCCGCTTTCCAAGGATCTAATAAAGGCAAGCAAGCAAGCAGCAGTCAGCAGTCAGCAGCAGCAGCAACAGCAACAGCAACAGCAACAGCAACAGCAACAGCAACAACAACAACAACAACAGAAACAACAACCAATTAACTGTAACGTAAACAGGTTGTCCCTTTGAGACATTTAGAAAATTACAGGTAAAATATCTGAATAAATGTTTACTTTGTCTAAAATTACATTTTGATTTGTCTCAATCTCAAGTAGAAACACTGTAGAATCCAATATTATAATCGTGTTTGAAATTTAAATTATACGTAAAAACTTGTTGAGTACCCCTATCGTAATAAACCATGATGTGAACCATGTTCAGCAAAATATTAAAACTCGTTAATAACCGGGCTCATCAGCCTGCTGTTAACCCGGTTCAACAATAATTTACTCTTTTACTTATTCTCTGAAAAAAAAACATGCCACAAATATCGTTTTTTCCCTTCCTTTTAAGAAAAATAATTACAGTTTTAAATAAGTGTTTAGCGGTTACAAATTTTACCTTGATCAATTGGTAATAAGAGACGAAATTAATTTTATTGCCTGATCCCATTTTGATAATTCTTTTTCGATCGTTTTTATGTGTCTAGACCAATTAAGTCATCACTTCAGAATTTAAATAGCACGTGACTGGCTGCATCAATCTTGCTTGCGCAAGCCAACATACGTTTGGACCAATATATTAGGGAAGCGTCAGTTGTAATAGTCTTACAATAACTTTCAAATGAACATTTACGTTGTAAAATGGTTTGTATTTTAAAAGAAGCCATGTAATGTGCGTAACTAATCAAATTAACTGTTCTTGTTTTAAATGTATATAAAATCAACGCGTCATGTCATAGCTGAGAGGCATTAAGACCTGTAAGAGGCAATCTAGGCTAGTGCACGCACGTCAAGATTCCATGGTGTACTAGCAGCTCTTGTCTGTATTTCACGTCAAGATTCCGTGAGATGCAGTTAACCTTGTTATGATACGATACGATAAATTCTAAAGGCCATTACCTGAAGTAAGTTTTATATTTATATACATGCTTCTTTTTTTAATTGGAAATTCGCCAATGCCTAATATTTTAATCTGATTTTTTCTTAATGGCACAAAAAGGTTCCGTAATTTACAGCTGTATTTACTGAAATGAAAGGTGTGGTGAGTATTGTGTCATAGCTCAGGGGCGTCACTTCCTCTAGTGGCAGTCTAGGTTAGTATTATCGCGTCAAGGTTCCGTGGTATACTAGCAGCTCTTGTCTGTATTGCACGTCAAGATCCCGTGCAGTATAGTTGACCTATCTATGGCACAATACAATAAATGGGCAAACGTCCTTACTTAAAGTAAGTTTTTATCTTTATATACAAGTTTTGTTAAATACATCAAGATGCTAATTTTAATCTTTTTTTTTAGAATATGTTTTCAATAAAAAGTACTGTTATTTGCTCATAAGAATGTAAGGTTTATTATAATAAGCACTTATCGAAAATCGTATAGTTTTTGAGCAATTAGAACATTATAACTTATAATTTACTGTAAATAGTTTAAGACCATCAAGCCAATCATAATAACAACCATTTTGTTAATACTAATAATAAATAAATAGGAGAGCCCAGATCAAATTTGAAAAATATGGCCTCTATAGACGTTCCTAAGTTTAAAATATCCAAAACTCCTACTTTTTATAGTTATATTCATGCTATATTGCCCATAATAATTTGTGCTAATACCAGACACAATGATTCTGTTGAATGGTTCTCTTTTCTAGTGAGCAATTTACTTTCTTCTTCAAATTAAACTAGATTATCAGAGCTAACAATATACCCACATAGTATTATACACCTCAACAAAATAAAACAGCCTCACTTCTCCAAAAATGCATTTTTTTTACTATACATCTTCTTTAAATTTTCTTACAGCTCAATTACTCATGCTTTGAGAAAATGAAAAGAACAAAAAGAGGTGAACATGAAACCATGTTTGCATTCTAAAAAATATGACACTAACTACTATATTAAGTCCTATTCACGGTATGATAGAATAAGAAAACTGTTGAGGAGATCCGGGGAATTGATTAATGAGTAGAGAGGGTGACTACTTGTTCATTTTTGAATATGTTTATGAAAATCATCCAAATGGGGTTTTAATTCTTAATATTCCGCACATCCTATTTTGGATTGCTTCAAATTTACTCGATTGTTATTCATAAATGAGCTCGATTTTGAAGGAAAAGATGTAATTTTCAACCCAATTTTGAATAGACCAAAAATGGTACTGTATATTTAAGCACTATTTATATTATAAAATAGCACTCCATATTTGTACGTTTTTCATAATTCAAATTTGAATAGGGGTTTCTGTGATTCAATTCTTGCAGTTAAAACTCAGATATTCGATAAAAATGGTAATCTTCAAAAATGAATAGGTAGTCACCCTCTCTAGTATCTCAAAGTTCCAGCTTGAATCAAATTCAGCATGTTCAGGATGCTCTGAAAGTTAAAGTCCAGGAAAGAAAATGCTCCATAAGTAATGTTCAAGAATGGAAGTAGTTTGTCCCAGAAGGTCCCTATATTTATTGTAACAATTATGCATAATAGGATCCAAGCGGCAACCAAACCTCGAAGTATTTACATCGTATATTAGACATTATGTTTTATTTTTCTTTAATACATATATATATATTATCTATAGAAGAAAGAAAGGTTTGTCTTGCTCAGTAGCTCTCTTTAAAGGATGTAGCGTAAAGAAGTTGAAGAGTAGCTTATTTTTGATTGGAAATCAAGAAATCTGACGGTAATCTCTCTGGTGGGATTGTATAAAAGCGACAATTTTCCAATAAAATTGGCTGACTCATTCAAGCATTAAGATTATATCCAACTTCTATCCCAGACATACAGGGTTCTTTTGAGCTGTTAATCCCGCAAAAAGAGCAAAGAAAATGATCTATGAATTTAATTAATAGGACCAAAGTTTCTCTATCTTATTTTTTACCATTGAGCTAATGAATACTAGAACAAGCTTCAGAAATCCGATTTTGCGTTTTGCGTTTTGGCTGTTTAACTTGAAATAATGAAGATTTATCCTGCTAACTACTGTATTAGACAACCAGCACCAAGCACACCTCTGGGACAAAAATACAGACAGTTCCAATATCAAGAAGAAAAAGAAGAAGAAAAATATTTATTAGTTTGATAGTGAGACTCTGGCACAGAACATTATAGACTGACTTTAACTAGGAGAATATCTAGCTTATTCTCCCTTATTTCTATATATCTTTATATCTTTCCTTTTAATACATACATACACATACATACACACACACATATATATATATATTGTTACCACACCAATATTATTATAGAGACCAATATGAATGTTAATACCAACAATCCAGTCTTATACTTGTCTCTGTCAATGAAAAAACAAACAAACCCCCCATTTAAACTAAGATAGGAAATTGATCGACGGACCAGCCGGTAACCTGTTCTATTCGTCGATATCGATTTATTTATTTTTATTAAAGGATTTTAAAATACAAAAAACACGCACACAAACACCAATTTGGGTAAATATTAATTAAACAAAACAAAAAGCGTATATATATATATAAAGAACAAGTATTCCTTCAGTCAAGTAAGGTGTGATTAAATTACAATATTATTAACCAACTAAATCAACGCTTATATTACGGATGAAAGTTCTACTCCGGGATCCAAATTTGACAAGTTTCGATGGGAACAACATCAAATAAATAAATTGTATGGTACAGCGGATATATCCTTTTATGTAAAGTTTCCCAATTTACAAATTATTTAGGATTATGGGTCAATCGAAGATTATCGGATACGAGATTGGTTAACCTGTATGTATGGGCTTCGTACAAGAGTACAAGGCTGATATATATGCGGTATTACTTCAATTGACATTTTTGCTAGAAGTAAAAAGAGAACCGGACAAAATACAAGTAAATTGGTGCTTGTAGAATACATATTAACTATTATTTTTTCTCGAAACTTTGGTAGTTGAGTGTATTTCTGTATAATTCTACGTATACACAAAAAATACAAAGAAAAAGACAGGAAAGTAGAGATCCACAAATACAAATATGATTATCCATTTTCCAAGAGATATATGAACACATCCATGATATAATCAACGTTCAGCAAATATTGTCGTGGACCGAACTCTCGAAAAGCATAGAAATTTGGTAAAGATATTGGTTAATATCTTTGATGGGAGTTGCTTACATATGTCAACTCAGAAAAGACTTATGACTCAAGTGAACTATGGAATTTATAATAAATTGATTCTAAGCTTATAGTAAAGACAAGTGTAAGTTTTAATATTTAGGAATTAGTAAGATAATAAGCAAACGAACTGGTCGTTAATGGACTATTATGAAAAAAGGTAAGGAGAATATCTGTAAAGCAGAATATATGTGAAATTTAAACCAAAAGAATATATGTATGTGCGTGTGTGAGTGCATACATATTAGAAATAGTTTTCATGGGGTGTATTATACAGGGTGTCGTTTTCTAGATCCTTTTCTTTTTCAAAGAAAAACTGCTGGCCAGTAATAAACGTGTACTCTTGAGACAGGCTATGCTAAGGTTTTAGCTAGCTTGTATTTGTTGGAGTTTCCAGAATACTTGTGAAATTCCTGTTTCTTTTTTCTACCTTCTTATTTTATACGTTTCCTATTCAGATACATATCTCTCTCTCTCTCTCTCTAAACTACGACCAGTGTTATATTCTGAAATAAAGCAGGGCTATTCTAATTTACGATTACAAAGAAGTATTTCTTATTTTTTCCAATAGACATCAAGTAATACACATTTATATAAAGAAGAAGGAAGGCTTCATTTAAATTCGAAACATTTGGATTTCCAAGCGCAATTAAAAAAAATACTAATAATAATAATAGTGAAATCAATCGATCCATCGATTCTTTAAAAATAAATAAACAAGAGGATAAACATGTTTAGATTTTACCACAGTAATTGTTTTAAAGACACTATCTTGTTACATAAAAAAATGAACATATACCTCAAGCTCATTTTCATCTTCTTCTTCTTCTTCTTCTTCTTGGAGGTTCAGATAGAATGAACCTTTTATTACTCTTTCTCGTCGCCTTTCATATTTTATATATTTATTTATTTATTCGAATATATAAGAGGGATTTTACTTATAATGTCGCCTCCTCAAAATAAAAATAAATAATAAAGTAAAAATCGGGTACTAAAAAATCTTAATGATTTTGACTTGGTTCCTTACATATGTAACTTACACCGCGACACTTATAGAAGAGAACTTCAATATCTCATAGAATGGTACGAGCAAAATAAATAGAAATATTGATTAAATACTCCTTTCAAAATAAAAAGATAAAGAAAAGAGGAAGAAAAAAAAAGTTTTTAATTACACAACTTGAGAAGACTATACAAAGAAAGAAGGAAGAAGGTCGCCTCATCTGATTCCAAAAATGGAAAGCAGAAATGAGTTGACTGGATCGTTATAGGATAATATGACTAAATACTCTGTCCAGAAAACTGGAATATGGGTATAAAATATACCACAGCTGCTTATTGTATAGTGTAAAGTGTGAAGTGTGAAATGGGCTATTATTACAAGTATTATAATTATTATTTTTTTTTCGGGTATTATTCGTACATTATCTCCTACAGATTGTTACTTGTCAAAAAATAATTCATTTTATACAATATATCTAAAGAATCGGGATCGTATCAATATAATGACCAATGAGCAAGGATTTTATTTCCGTGTTTCGTATTATCTGTACAATTAAAAGTAAATATAATATCTCGATTAACTCAAGAAAGAGCCTGATCCGGACTGACCCGGAAGAAGAACAAGAAGACCAGGAACATGAACAGGATTAAGAACTAAAAACAAAGGTAGAGTCAGAAGCAGGAGCAAGAGTAAGAATAAAAATCAGAATTAAGATAAGTAAAGTGTATGTAGAGTCAGAATATGAAAAGTATGTGTAGGTTTAAGAATAAGGTAAAGGAATAGAAAAATTACGAGAATTTTCTTATTATTATTATTTTGTAGAAACGGTAATTTGCTGCTTGGTTGTCATTTGCGATTTATTATATACTTAAGGCAATATTAAACAGCCTTAACTTTATATATATATTACAAACATCGCTTGAGATCTTTTATTGCTAAGATAAGCTTATACAAACTAGTAATAAAACCAGGAAGATTAATTAACCATTTCTATCGGCTTGAGAAATATATATAATAAAAGACGACGACAATTTATTGATAAATGTATATAATAAAATCAAATATTTATTTTGAGTTCAAACATTGTCTATATTTTTTTCTTTCTCTCTCCTTTTCTTTTACTATATTATAATCCTCGCGTTTCTCCTTTGTCCCTTTCGAACGACTTTGATATGTTGGGCTGTATCAAGAATATAATTAATGAATGAATATATATTTGTAAGTATGCGTGTGCTCGAGTGAGTATGTATATGTTTACATTATGATATAATATACTTTAGTTGGACCAATGAGAAACTTGGTAGTTATCCCTTGGGTGGTAAGTGAAGGCAATTAGACAGTTTTAAAGGGTAAAGCTCGTGCAGAAACTTATTGAATGGTCAAATACAACTGTCGAAAGTGTAAATCGCACATGCTATATACTGTATAATATAATATATATAAAACCAATATTATTAATAATTTCCGTTTTGCTTCGTTTCTTTCTTTATTTTTTGCATGTACATGCCTTTTGTAAGAAATAAATCGAATTAAACATCGATCATATTTACTAATGACATATTAAACTTTTAGACGTGGTGGAACTACTCCCTAAAGCCCTCTTTTTCTTCTTTCATTCTTTTCTTAAAGATGTAAGAAGAAAATAACAGGAGAAAGGTATATAGATATGTAAGTATGTAGGTATGTACGCACACACACACACACATATATATATATATACAAATATTATATTACGTTTAACAGAAAGGAAGAGGAAAGAGAAATAAGATGTAGCTCACAGAAAAACATGAAAGATAACCTACTCCTGTACATAAGTAAGTAAATAAATAAATAAAGAAGAAAATATTGGATTTGATCCCTTTTGATTTGATTTTATCTTGGTTCATCTTATTTACTTTGCTCCTTAATATTGGACACGGGAAAATAACTAAAATATTCTGTTTGGAAAATGCAGGGAATGTTTGAAAAACGAATATAATGTACATTTTGATCTAACAGTATGCCAATAATACGAGAACACGAGAACATTATTAACACGCGCTATACAAGTAGATATGTAAGTATGTATCTTGATTAATTGATTAATTGGTAACGAGCAAAAGAACGGAAGAACAGAAGAACAGAAGAACAGGAGGACGGGAGAACGGGAAAATAAGAGCATTAAATAAGAAGGAACGATGAAGAAAGTTGGCTGTACAACATGGTTAAACTTAAAGTGTGGTAGAAAATAATACAAATATCCTTTTTCATTAATAGAAACTTATTAATTTTTTTATTTTATTTTTATTATGCATATAAAATATTCATAGTCAATACTCATAGTAGCTCCCCAAAATCAATGAACCTTCTTGTGTGCGTTTCCTTTTAGCATTTGGCAAGACTCTGAAAGTCTTGATATTATGCATTTATTTTGTCATGTTTTATAAGCGCAAAATGTCATTTATTAATCCCAGCTTGTGGGTGGGTATTTAATATAAAATATATACAGTACATAAAATTATAGAAAGTAGTAGAAATACCAAAGTCCTCCCCTCAAACCATTAATAAAAGCTTGGTGATATTCAAATACAAATTTTGACAAAGTAATATAGAAATAAAATCCAGGCGATTCTCAAAATGTACACAACTGCTTATTATATCTTCGGAAATCAGGAATTCAACAGTCTTATTTTGCGTGTTATGATTTAACGCGCCCTACAAGAATATATCTATGATATAAAAGTAAGTATATAATATACACATATAAATGTATATAGATATAGACATATAGACATATAGACATATAGACATATCAAAGTACGTGATAATGTGCTATTAAGAATTGGCTTTTTCTGTTTTTTTTTTTTTTTTTAAAAAAAGATATCATAAACATAATTTACAGTAGAAACAAGGAAGTAGAATTCTTTCCTTCTTATATTCTTGAAAGATTTGGCTTTACTGTCGTTGCTCATATCACTTTTTTTTAAAGATATACATATCTAAGCCTGTCTAAATATCAAGTAGAATACAAGAACCTCCAATATTATATAAAAGATTACAGTGAAACCTGGCTAATTTTACATTATCAGTGAATTAATAGATACTTGTATGTATGTATTATGCATATACATCTTTAACTCCTGTGGTAATTTGGAAGGCTTGTGTCGACAGCATGGTATCACATCATGAGTTCTTAAGAGGCCAAAAATAATAGATCCGATAACGCTTAACTAAACAAAGGAAAATATCAAAAAGCTAAAATAAAACGATGTGACCACATATGTAAATTTAAGCGTACAAGCTTATTTGTATTTCAATTCTATCTATCTTTGATTATCTTTGCAGCTGTAGTTGTCGATACCGTCGTCTTTGATACTGATACTGATACTGATACTGGTATTGATGCAGATATTTTATTTTATTTTATATTATTTTATTTATTTATTGTGTATATATACATATACATATACATATACATGACTTTGATATATTTTTTTGGACTTGTAATTAATAATAATGGCAATGATAGTTGAAAATAAGGTCATAATATAGCAAGACACCAAGAGGTTGTATTTTTTTTTTTAAAAAAAAAGAGTCAAAAAAGTATGTATATAAAAAAAAAGAGATAGAGAGAACAAAGCAAAAAAGTTACTGACAGCCTAATATAGTCAGCTATTACTCCTACATCTGACAAAATATTCACACACAAATAAATATATTATATTATATTATATTATATTATATAATTATATAATTATATAATTATATATGTGTATATGTACGATGCTTATCAAACGATGCATAAATGATGATAAAGAAGAAGACAAAGAAGATAAAGAGAACGAATAATGAAAAGAAGAAGAGCTAGATAACAAATAAATCACAGAATAGAAATAGTAAAATAGTAAAATAGTGGTAATAATATTAGTAATGAATAAATAAATAAATAAATAAAATCACAATAGCAATTTGGCATAAAGAAAAAAAAAGAAAGGTAATGGACCAAGAGAATGTTACTAATGAGAATTATAGCAGCAATAGGAGCAGTGGGAGCAAAAATAGCAGCGAAAGAGAGAGAAGCAGAGACAGCGGCAGAGACAGCGGCAGAGACAGCGGCAGAGACAGCAACGGAAGAAGCAGAGACAGCGGTAGCAAATGTAATGAAAGTGAGAGATATTGAAAGGTGGGTTGATGAGTAGGTGAGTGAGCTAGATAACTGTAAGTACTCTCAAATTATGCCAATATATAACGAAAGAGGTAGGGAGATAGTAAATGCAAGGAAAGAAAGAAAGACAGAAATAAAGAAAAATGAAATAAGCCGGTATAGTCGAAACAAAGCAAAACAGAAAAGGGGAGAATAAGAATATATGAATGACTCTGTCTAGATATAGCCAAGGTAACAAGAGAACAGAGATGTATAGATTAAATGAAGAAAATAAAGAAGTGGCCATAGAATAATAAGAAGAGGAAGATAGATAAAAAGATAGATAGATAGACAGATAGAGTAGAGAAAGTAAAGTCAAGTAAGAGAGACAGAGAGAGTAAAGAAAGTAAAAAGATTTCTTGCTTGAACCGAGATCAGTAATAGTAGCAATGCAATACTTCTGGGCTTGATTGGGCAGATGAGAATTGTGGTGGTATTGTATGCAAGGGGAGAGAAACACGGAGAGGAGGAAGCGAAATCTGTTCTGATTTTGTGGTCGTAAAGAGGGACGATGGGTGAGGCAAGTTAGTCGATGAAGAGCGTGGATAGGAGGAGTACAAAGGATAATTTAGCGTTGGTGGGGACATTGGTGGGGAAAGTGGCGGAGGTGGAAAAGGCATTTCTTCAAGTTTCTGGATGTTCTTCTTGTGGTGTGATCTGTCACGCATACGAGCCGACTGTCGCTTGTTTTGAAACCAAATTTGAACAGTTCTTGGGCTCATGCCGAGCTGTTTTCCTAGCTCGATACGAAGTTCTGTGGACGGAAAGTAGGTCTGGTTAAACACACGATTTAGAACAGAAAGTTGAGAAGGCGAGGCTCTTTTGCGTTTGACTTTGAGTGACCGAGTTGGTGCGGGTGGGGTGTTTGATTGAGAGTGAGTCGAACCGTAGGTATTAACAGATGTCGGATAACATGATTTTGGACTTGGGATTGGGCTTGGGCTTGGGCTTGTGCTTGGGCTTGTGCTTGTACGAATATTGTTTGGTTTTTCGGTCAAAAATGAAGGTGTGGACAACTTGCCAGGATACAGCAAGTCTGAGAGTGGAGGTAAGGTATTGTTCCATCTAAACATTATTACTATTACTATTGTTGTTGTTGTTTTTTGTTATTTTGTTTTATTGTATTCAAAGAGAGGTGCGAGATCTTGTATGGTTAGAGCGCTGCAATGGTCAAATATAACTGCTTAAATAAGTGCTTCAATAAGACAGTAGATTTATACAAGTTTTTTTTAAAAGAAAAATTATATATATTATATTTATATATAAAAGCGTGGATCTTATCGACCAATTAACTAACTAAAAGGTATAAAAAAAAGAATCCCTGTTTTCCCTTGGAGCTGTTGTAGTTTTCTTAGTATAACTAATGCAAACTCCCTTGCATTATACAGACTATTGACAATCCCCTTTTTATTATATAACTTTTATTTAAGAAAAGCTGTGATACTTCTCCTGGATTTAATATCCATAAATAGAAAAAGTAGCATGTATATAATATGAAATAAATCTTTGAAAGTTGAGATGAGAGCTTATTGTTTCATCAAATTATATTGAATTGGTCGACCTGATCTATGATACCAACATTTTAGGGACAATATGTATATATTACATTTACATTTACATTCATATCTAAATTCACACTCACATTCATATATACATTCACATTAACATTCATATTCAATCTTGGCACATCTTGATCATTCTCCATACTCAAGTTAACAATGACAATGTAAATAATTTATAATCCATGATCCATGATCCATGATCCATGATTCTCGAAAAGCTACTATACATACATATATACATATAACTTACAGACCACATAGACACATGTTACAGGCCAGCTTGGACTCATGTACGGACTGTACAGATAAAACGACTGTGTTACATCGAAAGCACACCATAAAAGGGTTGTGCGCTCTAAAAAAATACCCTGAATGTAAAGTATATTGTGCCATTGTTGTTTTTGCTGCTGCTGCTGCTGCTGTTGCTGTTGTTGCTGCTGCTGTTGCTGCAGTTTAAAGTTTGTTATCGGCCGCCGTAATTCCCCTTTCTCGATGAAAATTTCCCATCCTTTTTTTTGTTATTTTATATATTTATATCTGATGAGCGATAGTTATTGCACTCCCTTTTAGCTTTTTGGGCAGATCGCCTACATAGCTCCTTAATCTCTCTCTCTCTCTCTCTCTCTCTCTCTCTCTCTCTCTCTCTCTCTACCTAATTCCAATTTATCATCCCCATATATATGTATTGCTGTATGTATTAATGTATGTGTATGTGCCTATGAATCAATTCAATTCAATTTAATTCGATCAATTGTGGATCTATGTTAAATCCAGCCCAATCCAGCTAAATAAGCATTGAATTAAGACCGATAAATATTTGCGTTTGGTACAAGGTGCATCGGTCAAACTAATCTATAATCGATATAGTCTGTTAATAAACTGTAATGTTGACGATGACGATGATGATTATGATGATTATGATTATGACTGTTATTATAGTTATAATTATGCTTATTATTTAATTATTATAAGCATTAATGATCGTTTATAGTATAAGCTTCTTGTCAAGTATAATCCAATATATATATATATATATGTGATATAGTATAAGAAAGTGCGCCATAAATGAGTTCCATAATAATAATATTAATAATAAAGTGATTTAGATCTAGCCCCATGTACTCCGGCTTATTTATTACAGAAATGTAGTTTATTACGGGCAACCCTAGTAGATCCTAGCAAATCTTAGCTTATGGAACTTTTTCCCTCCCCCACTCCCAAAAGGATAATATAAAAACTTAATTCGATTATTAATATTAGTATTAATATTATTATACATACACACATACACACACACACACACACACGTATATATATATATTACTCCTTGTCAGAAATTGTTGCTTTGAGAAATGTACTGCATCAAAGGGATTTGACAGATTTTATGACTAGAAAATATTAAATATTAAAAATACCAAATAAAAAATAAAATAAAATAAAATCGAGGACATATTATACACTCACTCACTCACACACACACACACACACATATATATATATATATGGGTGTGTATGAGTATATGTATGTGTGTAAGGAGGGATTGAGGGAGAAAGAGAGAGAGAGAGAGAGAGAGATAATAATAATAATAATAATAATAAGGGTCTAAAGGAGGTGGATAAGAAGGAGATCATGAACAGTAATAGTAGTAGTGATATTATTGTTATTATTATTAATAATGATAATGATAATGATAATGATAATACAAAGGAAAGAAGAAAAATGATAATGAATATGCAAGACGATGATTGTCTGTGGTAAAATAGCAAACGCATTTTTTGGCAGTTGTCAATTAAACCATAAAATCATTTAGATATTTATATAATCATATACTTTAATTACCAATAGTTGAATAACTGAATAATTGAATTAGATTAATAAATTTTACCAGAAGCAAAATCTAAAATTACTGATTGGCCTAATTGATAGGGTGTTTGAGGTTATAAATGGAACTTTCTCGAAATGTCTAATCAGAAGGAAAACTAGTGTTATTATTATTAGTATTATTCAAGGTTTTTTGTGTATTAACCTTGGGCTTGTAATACGTACACAATGACAATAAGCTTGGTAAACCTTCTGTTTCTTACATCGGACTATAGAAATATATATAGCAAAAAGTGCATGTATAAGTTGGAATTTCAAGCATGTAATTCCTTTGACTAGATTGAAAGCACATTCTATACACTGATCCGAATTGCCTTTGCATTTCTTTCTTTACAGTAAACTACGATAAATAACAAAGTTAATATTCATATTCATAATACTATGAATAAGATATTTAATGTTTCAAAATGCAATTAATATAACTATATCTAAATTCTATAAGCTTAAATTATCACAGATTACATTATAAATCATTTGGTCATATTGAAACAAAAGAAAGTTCGAGGATACCCCAAGAGAATTATGTACATCAAAGGTAGTATTTAATGAACTTATAACCCTTTAAATGCTTAAAAATTATATATTTATTAGTTGTACATTCTCATCTTGATGATCCTCATCTTCAATATATATATATATATTTAAGGTGGTTTTCATATAAGTTTTTTTTTTAATGTATGATAAATGAATACACATCTATTTTATTAGGACCCTGTCTTAATAGAATTGTAGTACATATCAATCAATATTCTGTTGTTGAATTCTTTTTTAAAGTTTACTATGCTCACCTTCTTTCTCAGACACTATTAAAAATACCAGGCAGCTTAGAAATCATATCTCTTTCTCTTTCTCTTTCTTTCTTACTTACTTATTTACTTACTTACTTGCTCTCTCTCTCTATATATATCTTCTGAAGCAGCCCTTTGTCAATTAAGGATAATATGTGTAGCAATTATATATATATAAATATATATTAGATCTAAAGCTTTATTACATTTTATATTTTCTTGTTAATGTTTTTCATTCTTGTACAATGTCAAACAAGAAAGGAATAAAGAGAGTTTGGGTTTGGGGTTGGGTTTGTGTTTGATTTGTAGATTATTATTTTTTTGTGCGTGTATTTTAGCTGTTGTATAAAGTATATATAAGAAAGGAAATCAAAAAATAAAAATAAATAAGGCTTTGCGCGGTAAAAACTATCAACATATCCGGTTTTTATTCTTTACTTAATTGATAGATTAGATACATACGGTAAGAAATAACAATACTTAAAATTGTCCCTGGAATTGGAACCATCAGTATTTAGTTCCTACCTCTTGGTTTTTATTTTAGTGCGTAAAAATAAAGATACTAATAATTGAGGAGTAGTAAGCCATGTAGATTTCCCGAGAAAATATATGCTCAATTCAGTACAATTAAATAAACAAAGGGGCAGAAAATAATAAGAAAAAACGATGGGTTTACTTTACAGCAACAGTTGGAAATTCCAGTATATATAAAATACCATCAAATTAAATGCAATAAAACTTTTTCTACTGTTAAAACCTTTTTTTGTTCTTCTTCTCCTACTTCTCCCACTCCTACTCCTACTCTTCGCACCCCTCCTCATACCCTCCTTTGTATCCCTCCTCATCCCTTACTACTAATATTACTATCCTTAATTATAATACTAATAATTATAATATTCTAAAATTTCTGTACATAGCGTTTCAATTTTTGCTTTAGTGTCATATTAAATGTAGAATACAAACTTTTTTTTTTTGATTTTTGGCTTACGGCTTCTGGTTTTGAAACAAAGATTTCCCTCTTACTCTGTCTTCTTATCTCCCCTCTATTTTTTTTCCAGAAGTTATATACATGTGTGCACATGTATAGATGCATACATGTACATCCTTTAAGAATATTATTCTTTGCGGATGTCCTAGTCATGACAGTCGAGATAGAAATTAAACTGAAAAAAAGCCAAGGTACATCAAGAAAGAATGCTTGATATCTCATCTATTCGATTCGATACATTTTCAATAAAACCTTGTCAAATGAAATACAGATCTGTCATGGATTTTATTTAAAATTTTGATTATATACATACACATGTATGCGTGCACCTATCAATGTATATATTGACTCCTTTAAGAATAAGACGACGAAAAGGAAGGAAAATAAACCCGCCATTTTGATTACAGCATTAAACGAACATAAATATCTAAATGCATCAAGGTCTGTCAATATCTACACCTGCATATTCTTTCCACAGACCTTGAGAAGCACATGTATCATAGAATCTAATCGTGTCATTTAGTTTTCTTTATTTATTTGCGTTTATTAAAGTAACGAATATTCTCAAAAGATGTACAGGAATATATACATTTATACTTCTTTACAAGGTGTACTTCTTTCTTTTTCTTCTTCTTCTTTAGAATATTGTTAATTTTATTTTTATTTTCAATGATTTTATATATAGTTTTGTAACTTCCTTTTTTTTTCTTTTAAATTATAGATAGGGAATAATTCTAACCTAACGTTCAATATAATATCAGTTGATTGCAAAAATTAAGCCTTACTTTGTTTGCTCTTAGACAAAGAAAATATTGAAAAAGTTACTCTTTTATTTTAATAGCATTTTGTAATGCACTTCTCCTTGTACCTTTATTTCTTTACAAGACAGGACAAGATGTAAAGATGATGATACTGATCAAAATGTCCAGAATGCACGATAAAGTTCAATTAAAATTAGGTAATTTGTGTATATCTATCTGTACGAAGGTGTGTGTTTTATTAGTTGTGTGTAACTTATTTGAGAATGAGTGAGTTAGAAGATTGTACTCAGAATATGCATAAAACTGTTCACCCTACTTCCCAGGCCATTACGAACTCTGATATTTTTGTTGTTGTTGGTGTAATCACACAGACTTACGCCCAGATCTGATTATCTAAAAAACAAAAACAAAAGCAAATATTTCTGTATATATAACACTTTGGGCAATTAACTTTTCTCTTCTTTTAAACAATAAATATTTACAATTATTTACATCTTGATTGCCTTTACATCATATATATATATATATTGTTTTATCGTGTACGCATACGAGGTGAATTGAACAGCATGTTATTAAACAATATAGTATACAAACTATTAATTGCATTACAAGACATACGATACGAATCACAAAAATGAAAGGATCGAATGAAAAAAAAATGAACCTGCAGCAACCAACCCGGTTGACGAGCCTAGAATCCTACACACGCACACAAAGAGAGAGAGAGAGAGAGAGAACAGACTGTACTCAATTTGAGGGATTTAGTCTTCTTCTTCTTCTTATTTTTTTTAACGCACAATTACATTTGCATTACAATTATCATTTAAATTACAATCGCACCCTCATCTGCTAGCCCCTTTACCCCTCTAAATTCAAAACTTTCCGTACACTTTGTTAATCATTAACATCATAGTATAGACATCATATAATCAATAAGCTCTTCAATTTCATGCCAGTCAATTAATTAATTAATTAATTAATTAATTAATTAATCAATAGATTAATTTACTGACTTTACTCATTAACTCACATGTTTCAATTTTTTTGACACAAAGCAATAATCTATCATCATTTCTTGCATTTTCATGTCACACGCGCATATGTACATATGTATATATCACACAAACGTTAATCATACACTTCTTTGACATCCACTTCTTCTTAGCGCTTTATATAAACAAACAAGATGTATACATTTAATCTAGATAGTTTGTCATTTGTACAGAGAAAAAATATATATTTTGATAACTTGATCGGAATTATACAGAAATGCAGATTGAAACAAAAAGAAATAAAGAAAATACTAGTAGATATGCATGAAAGCACTAGAAAAAGCTTATTCTTTTTTTTTTGGGTTTTGAGTTTTGAGTTTTCGGTTTGGGTTATTGTTGCGTGTTCGTGTGGAATCGTGGGATTGTGTGTAGTATACAACACTTTTTTTTAACGACGCTGGGAGTAGACGTGAGCGAAAGCACGGGTGGCAGCACGCTTGAGCTTAGACTGGGCACCCTTGAACTCATCAGCGGAACCATCCTCAGCAGAGATATCCATCATCTCCATGGCCTCGGCGAGAGCAGTCTCGATGGCCTCACGGTCACCACGACGGATCTTCATGTTGACGTTGGGGTCAGAGACCTGGTTCTCGACCTGGTAGACGTAGGACTCAAGATCCTGCTTGGCCTGGACAACAGCCTCACGGGCCTTATCGGTCTCGGCGTTCTTCTCGGCATCGTTGACCATGCGCTCGATATCGGCAGCGGACAAACGGGTAGAGTTGGAGATGGTGACATCAGCCTTGCGACCGGTGGTCTTGTCCTGGGCAGTGACCTTCAAGATACCGTTGGCATCGAGATCAAAGGTGCAGAGAAGCTCGGGGGTACCGCGGGGGGCGGGGATCAAGCCAGTGAGAGAGAACTCACCCAAAAGGTTGTTCTCCTTGGTCAAAAGACGCTCACCCTCGTAGACGGGGAAGGTGACGGTGGTCTGGTTGTCAGAGGCGGTGGTGAAGACCTTGGACTTCTGGCAAGGGATGGGGCTGTTACGGGGAACAACTACGGCCATGATACCACCCTGCATTTCAACACCGAGGGAAAGAGGAACGACATCCAACAACAACAAGTCCTGGGTCTTCTCGTTACCAGCCTGGTTGGTGAGGACGGCAGCCTGGACGGCGGCACCGTAGGCAACAGCCTCATCGGGGTTGATGGACTTGTTGAGCTCCTTACCGTTGAAGAGGTCCTGGAGGAGGGACTGGATCTTGGGGATACGGGTAGAACCACCGACGAGAACGATCTCGTCAACGTTCTTCTTGTCAATCTTGGCATCCTTGAGGACACGCTCGACGGGCTCAACGGTACCGTTGAAGCTGGTGGAGTTGATCTCCTCGAACTTGGCACGGGTGATGTTGGACTGGAAGTCAACACCCTCGAAGAGAGAGTCAACCTCGACAGTGGTCTGGGTCAAGGAAGACAAGGTACGCTTTGCGCGCTCGGAAGCGGAACGGAGACGACGGAGAGCACGAGCATCATCAGAGATGTCCTTCTTGTGCTTGCGCTTGATCTCCTGGACGAAGTGGTTGACGAGGGTGTTATCGAAATCCTCACCACCCAAATGGGTGTTACCAGCGGTGGCCTTGACAGCGAAGACACCACCGGAGATGGTCAAGAGGGAAACATCGAAGGTTCCACCTCCGAGATCGAAGATGAGAACGTTGCGCTCCTTCTTGTCGTTGGCATCAAGACCGTAGGCGATGGCAGCGGCAGTGGGCTCGTTGATGATACGGAGGACCTCGAGACCGGCAATGACACCAGCATCCTTGGTAGCCTGACGCTGACCTATATAATTAAAATATATAAGAAAAGATCCTCTTTACCAAATATATACAATGTACTTACTGTCGTTGAAGTAAGCGGGGACAGTGACAACGGCCTTGGAGACCTTCTTGCCAAGCTTGGCCTCAGCGATCTCCTTCATCTTGATCAAAACCATGGAAGAGATTTCTATAATTATCATAGTCACATAAGCATTCTATTCCCAGAAAAAAAAACTTTTTTGTTTTTGTTTTTGTTTTTTTTGTTTGACTAAAGATAGCTATACAGATATTTACCCTGGGGAGAGTAAGTCTTGGTCTCGCCCTCGAACTGAACCTGGATGAAGGGGTTCTCGTTCTGGTCGACGACAGTGAAAGGCCAGTTCTTCATGTCAGCCTTGACATCAGCATCATCGAAACGACGACCGATAAGACGCTTGGCATCGAAGACAGTGTTCTTGGGGTTCATGGCAGCCTGGTTCTTGGCAGCATCACCAACAAGACGCTCGCTGTCAGAGAAAGCGACGTAAGAGGGGGTGGTACGGTTACCCTGCTCGTTGGCAATGATCTCAACGCGCTCGGACTCCCAGACACCAACGCAGGAGTAGCTACATAGATGTTTCAAAAGAAGTTAGGAATTGATCGTCGTCGTTTATTATCATAGTTTAAGACTCTTTTGTCTCTTAATTTATATATCATATCTTCTCTTGGTATATTACTCTCTCTCTAGAGCTCAATCTTTGTTTCCTTTCATTCTTTTGATTGATCGCTTTATTGAAGATAACTTTTGTTGTCCATGTATCCATTTCATCTATCATCTTCTCTTCTGTTCTCTACTAGCACTAGTTCTAATACATTAAAAGAATTCTACTTACGTAGTTCCCAAATCAATACCAATGGCACCTTCGTATTCAGCAGACATCTTATTGTTTATTTGTTCAAGAAGAAAAGGAAGGAAACAATGGTGGGTAGCCGGGGCTCGAAATATAAATCGTTGAAAAAAAATTGATCCAAGAAACAGATGTCCCGGTCTAAGCCTCTTCAATTCTCAGGTCTCACTTTTCTTCCCCTCCTCCCCCTTTTTTCTTCTTCCGTTCTTTTGTTCCGATTCAAAAGTGACAAAGAAGAAGAACATTTTTTTTTAAAAAAAAATGTTTCAATATTAATGATTCTGATGATTGGTTAAAAAGTAATAATAAAAGCATATATACACATTTATTCATTAATTCATTGATTATTGGACTTTAACCATTTGATATTTCTGTAGCTTATTATTACTATCATTACTAGCATGATTTTGTGTGTATATGCTGGATCTTATTACTTTATTCAAGCCAATTAAAAAGGCTGAATAAATGTATAGTTAACATATAGTTTATTTAAAAGAAAGTCCATTATGATTTAAATCCCTTTCTTTTTTGTGGTTTTTGGTTTTGAGATTCAGAGTGATCTAGTGAAAGACTAAACTTAAATGAAACAAGCGGAAAGAGCCGATGCTGTAATTCAAAAAAAAAATCAAAAATACAGGACAAATCTCAGGACTTTTAGAATGCTATTGCTTAGATCCTATTGAAAATTCATTTTATGTATACATATTGTTGTTGTATGTATGTGTCTTTTTTTTTGACAGATCATTGTTTTTCTTTGTAATAATTATTTTAGCTTTTTGTGATCAGTACGAAGCTGATTGACTTGTCTTTCGAGTCTTTCTACAATCTCAGACCACCTTCGTCGCTCTACAGCCCGGACCTGCCGTAGCATCTCTTCAACTTCAGTAGCCGTCAATAGTCCACACTCTTTTTTCTCAGTTTCAGTTTCGGTTTCGGTTTTGATTTTTTCTTCAGAAGCAGCAGAAACAGTAGCGGCTGTGACTGCTTCTAACTCTAATTCGGTCTGAGCTAAAGTCTCTGCCAAACGTATGGTGCAACTTCTCTCATCGTCTAATGCCTTTTGAAGACGCTGGTTTTCTGTCGACAATCGACTGTTCTGTTGCATCCAAACCATGGCTTCATCAAACTTGTGTAAAGGTTCAAGAATACGGGTTTGTGAACATGCCCAAGTATTAGGGAATTGGGTTGAGTAATCAATGACACTTTGCGATCTTTCATGACGCAAAGGTTTTGAATGCTTATGAGTGAATGGAAAAGGTTGAAATGATGGCTTTGCTGCTGTGGACTAAAATATGTATATACATATTAAACAGAGAGAGAGAAAGAATCAAAGTCTGTAAGCATAAAAAAGAACAAGCAAATATTCTATACAAGTCTATAGGTGTATGTGTGTGTATTGTAATAACTTTATATTTATTATTTCATTTTACTTTAATTTAAATTTTTATTTACCGTCAATTCAGTAGCCTTCTTTTCAAGAGGTGGCGAGGAGGGGTATTCGGTAGAATCTCTACAAGACGGGTAATAAGTCTAGATATTTCTCGATCAAAAAAGTAAAAATAAAATAAAGTAAAATAAAAATAAAAATAAAAATCCAATACGAAATATATGAATATATATGAATATATATATATATATATACTGTTTCTTTACTTTACAAAATCTCTACAACAAGGTGAAGTTGGTGTAGGGAGACCAATAGAAGAAAAAGAGTCCATTGATTGCAACGACGACAACGACGGAAGCGATTTGTCAAGAAGCAAAGAAGACGGACGTTGCTTTCTTGTAGTTGGATCAGTTTTGAGGTTATTCATACTTTGCCGGCGTAGCTGGTAGTTCTTGAGCTTTAGAACAGTTCAATAAAATAAAAATAAATAACAAAACGTTAGGAACCACTCTATATCTTTGTTTTGTTTGCTTAAAGAGACGGTGAAATATATATTTTGATGTGCTTTTTTACTTTCTTCTTGCCAGCTAGCAAGAGCTCTTCTCTGGGTATAAGTGGCATCTCTGAGTGTATGGGTGTATGGGTGTATATTTATTCGCTTTACTAGTTATTCATCGAAAAGAGAAAGAGGTAGTAGACAAAGTGGTTTGTTCTCGGTGATGCCGTCTATTTTTCAAGTCCGCCACCCCCTCTCTTTGGGCGGGACGTCATTAAACCTCAGTTTGCAGGATACACAAGGTACGTTTACTTTTTAGAGCATCAGTCAAGTGAGTGTATATATATATATATTTGTGCAAAAGCAAAAGCTATTATTCGTAAGCTACATGTATCGGCAATTTGAAAAAATAATAATCTTGTTTATTAATGACCAAGTGTCCAATTGTAAAAATGTAAACACAAAAAACAATGTGTTATAAGCAATGTATATGTGTATGTGTTTATGTGTACAGGTTTGTGTGCAGTGTATGGATCAAGGAGTGTAATGGATCAAAAAAGTCCAAAAGAAAGAAGAACTTAAAGAAAAATAAGATAAAATATTTGCGCCTACAGAAATACACCCACACATATAGATATTTGATTAAGGCTCAACTCTAGGAATCTTCAGTACCAGCAGTGGTAGTAGCTGGGTCTTGTCTTGGTTTTTGTTCATCCATTTGTTTGACTACGTCTGACAAGGTCTGCTCAAGACTATCGATGCGATTGCTCATGTCTTCCACTAATCAAATCACATCAATTTACATTGCTTTTTGTTTTTGTTTCAAGATTTCAATATAGAAATTTTCACTCACACTTTTCATTCATCTGACCAGAAACACCATCCATCTTGGTTTGCTACTTCCAAGAAAAAAATAATACCATGTATTTGTGCAATTAGTGAAAAAGAACAGTAAATATTTTTACAATACACTTTTTTCAATAAAAAAAAAAGAATAATAGAGAAGTAATTACCAATGTTTCGACAACTGAATCAATCTAATTAAAGCAAAAATAATAAAAAGAAATACAAATAAATAATGTTACATTTGTATGTAGATTCCCTCATCCTAATTGTTGTATAGATTGTTTTGAAAAAAGTTCACTATATATATATATATGTGTGTGTGTGTGTGTTATAGTTGTAGCGTACATAGGCTGCAAATTCAGTGGCGGTCATGGATGGTTGGCTTTCTAGGGTTGACATTATGTGTGTATAGTGATTTGGAACAAAGTAATAATAATAATAATAAAACCTCCAAAATTAGATTCTTTTGATTCTGTGCCTAATCAATTTCACTACCTATTGGTATCCAGGAATGTCGACGCTAAATACACCACAATCACATTTGGATTTGGATTTGGTTTTCATTATTATTTATTTTAAAAAAAATATTTAGTTATATTTTCTCAAGGGGAACTGGTTTATGATATATTATTATTATTATTATTAATATTGTTTTTAATATTACTACTGTACACACACCTATCACTAGTTTCATTTGACAATGTATGGTGACAAAGTCATTAAAGACAAAAAAGACTATTGTAATTCTTGTGATTAATAAATAATAAATCATTGTCCCCCTTTCAAGCCTTGCATTGCAGGAGGAAACCTGTTAATATCTTGAAATTACATTAATATGCCCTGTGCAAAATGATGTTTTCTTTTTTATTGCTATTATTTTTTGATAAAGAAAAAGTAGCATATTCTGGTGCTATGGAATAGTTCTTGGAAAAATATATTCCTTTTAATCCAGACAACTTATCTTGAGTGTATAATTGGTGATAGGCTGTTTGTTTGGTTACAAAAATTAAATAAAAAGTAAAACACCTAATGAAATCTCCATACATCTTCAATATGGACTTATATACGCCTTTGACACCAAACACAGACATATCTTCTAATTCTTTCTTCTTCTTTAATGTAAAGTATGTCCTCTGTTCTACAAAAGACTTTTTTTTGTTCTCTTTTTCTATTAAGTAGTTGCTTATACATAGTTTATGTTTTCTTTTGAGGATAATTACTACCGATCTCCATAAATTCTGTTGAGTAACTTACATTATATTGTATATACATATCACTATGTAAGGGCACAAGTAATTTTATAGATAAAAGTATATTCACTAAAATATAAGAAGGAATTAGTAATTCTACAACTTCCATTCGCTAATAAAGTAAGATTAATAGGTTAACGGTTGAATTCCTATTGGCTAAATATATGTATGTATGTAAAAGAAGGCTAGAATAGCAGGTTTTCTGCCTAGCCTAGCGTTTTAAATCCTGCCATTTCCTACAGTAGGAGAATAGCGAATCTCCTTCCAAACATCCCTTGGAATATTATATTCTTTAGGATCTCCCTCTAAATCTCCCCCTTTTTCTTTTACCGTAGTTTACAGTTAAAATATGGTTTTTTGATTTTATGCAAAATAAAATAAGATAAAATAAACAAATGCATAAACATACAATGTAATATATTGTATGTGCATGAATGAAAGAAAGACATTATAATAATAAAAGAGAAACCTCTCCTTGTAATTTATTTCTTAAAAGAAAATCCCTCAAGAAAGGGTCTGTTATACTTCCAAGGGATTTAAAAAAAAACTCACTTTTTTTTAAACCAGGTAATTAATTAAATGTATGGATAGATGGTTAGATTCATAAGAAGAAAAGAAGAAAAAAGAAGGCGTACATGAAGTTTATCCATTTGAAAAAAAAAACGCCAAAGTTTGTAAAGATGGTACTAAATCTTAAAGGCACTGCATTAAATATAATCCCTGCAAACCATCTCTCTCTCTTTCTTATTATTTATTTATTATTCCCCTCCCTTGTTATCCTTGGAATTGACAAGGAGAATCAAAAAACAATAACAGTTTATTTCTTTATATAAATGGACCCACATATTAAATAAATACACAAATGCATATATATATACACATTATGCTATTATCAATGATAAAGGGTGTTAATCCAATATATATGTATATATATATAAGCGACACTAGTTGAGTATTTTTGCAAAATCTTCCAGGTTTTAAGAGTTGTTTTAAGGTTGTATTTTAATTAAATATTATTTTTTCTCTCCTCTCCTTTTTAATATATATATACTTCAATTTTATTTTTTCATCTTTGGTTCTGCTATTATTGTAAATCAAAGCCAAGGACATCTTCCCAGTATAAAGATTAAGAGAAGTAGGTTATTATATGAATAAAATATCAACTATAAAAGAGAAAAGGTACTCGAACATTATTTAAACAAAAAAATGTTAAAAAGGGAGAAAATAGACCAAAATACACCTCTACTTACAACCCTGGGCTGATAAAGAGAGAATACACCCCTAGACACAAATTTTTATTCGTGTAGTGTACTAGAAAAATATATAATTCATCCATCATATCGGAGAAGTTCTTAACTTGGAACAGTAAAATCTCACTAGAATTTTCATCCTTATAAAACTGTCAAACATCTTACCTCTTGTGTCTTTTCTCTGGAGCTTGCAAATTTATTTTTCAGAAAAAAAAACATGTGATAAGCAAGATAGCGGCAATATGCTAAAATTTAATATATAAGCTTATAAAGTATTTACGATTTATACTCTTCAGCTTAAAGCAAATGTTAACTGGCGTATTGGAAAATCGAAGCTTTAAAAGTAATAGTCATATAGTACTCTCCCTTTCTGTGAAAAGGTCAATTGGTCCATACATTACAGAAAATTCTCTGGTATGGTATACCCGAAAATAGTTGAAAACAGTGTAAATTTTTAGATTTGAAGTATGGGTAGTAGTAAAGCTAATAATTCTGATGGTGAAGCCGCTGTTTCATGATAACCGTTTATGGTGTTTTCTTTAAATAAATCTTTTTGGATAAAAAAAGCCATGCCTTTGATGATTGATATTTTATATATATATTGACATTTTTAAATAATATGTGATTGTGAGCATACTATTATATATTCAATATTGATTCATATTTTCATAGCTATTCTATCTGATCTGGAGAATATTTCTATTAGTTGTAAGTCAAGTGCTTGCCGATATATTAAAATAAAAATCTTTCATGGTATTTTAGCTATAAATCTACTGCAAAGTCTATGGATCAAAATCGTTTTTTTTAGGGACACGGTCTAGAAAGTTGAAATAACCTGAAAATAAAAAACAAATAATCCAATAAAGTTAAACAACTCTCATTATGTTTTCAATGCTCCAATAACAATTATTCAAAGACAAATTATAGTACTAAATACATTATACATTTCGTATCAATGGTTACACTCGAGTAATAGTTTGTGTACCATTTCTCTTGGTGTGACTGCGTGGAGTAAAGAAGGTCCACCTCATCACTTTGCAGGAAATCTATATTAGTTTATACTCCACTTCTTCTCATTAATAAGAGAAAGGAAAAAGAATCAACCATGTCGACGGAACAAGAGCCTGAACTTACTGATGAACAAATTCTTATCTTCGAGCAACAAATAAAGGATCAAGAAGCGCAAAAGGTAATGCATACTCAACGCGACGTTTCCATCTAAAACTTCTCTTACTTTAGATTCCTCTTGTATGTCAAGAGGAACCAATTGCGCAACTAGTACAAGAATTCAGTAACAATCAACCATTCTTGCGTAAAATAAATGTGAGTCATTATGGCAAGCAATGATACTCTAGATATTAATGACCTTTATTATTAAAGAACCTCAGCAAAAAATATGGACGTATACGCCGCTGTCGTGGTGATGGTAATACCTTTTGCTTTTGCTCTCAACGTAAATTTCATTGCTAACATAATATTGATATGTAGGCAATTGTTTCTTTAGAGGTGAGAATACAGAGAAAAAATAATAATACAGGAAAAGAAATAGGGACAGGAACATGATATTAATATGAATATATAATGGGAAAAAATGAATAAGCCTTTGCCTTTGCTTGGTTTGAGAGCATATTGTCTAATATAGAGAGATATGAGGCTGGACTCGCAAAGTTAAAGACAACTCCTGATTTGCTGGAACTTGGTGGATTCCAAAAGTTAGCTTATGAGGACTTTTATGATGTAACCCTAGAGCAGTATGAGCTGCTTCCTCAGCGTGTATCAGACCCTGATATGCTTCTGGTCAACTTCCAGTCTGAAGAGATCAGTAATGCAATTGTAATGCACCTACGATTTGTTGCATCTGCATATCTGCGTATCCATTCAGCAGAATATGAACCATTTTTAGTAACCGAAATGATTTCGATTGACGAATTTTGTGCAATGCATGTTGAAGCGTTTGGACGAGAATCAGACCACTTGCAAATTATTGCTCTTACAAGAGCCTTGGATATTCCAGTGGAAGTAATTTATCTAGATGGTGGTGCTGGAGACAACGCAGCAGTTCATGAGTTTTGGCCTGACGAGACGAAAAAAGATGAAAATAAGCCTTTACGTTTGATCTACAGACCAGGTAAAAAATATCATGTAGCCTTGTTAATAAAATTCAAAGGGAAAGAAAAACAAATTCTAATATTGTTGATTGATCTTATATAATACAATATAATACGTGTATAGGCCATTATGACATCCTTTATGAACGACCTTAAGGGTTATATTTTATACCACTATATATATACATGCATACATCAATAAAATTGACTAGTTGTTCAACATGGTGTGAATATCCAAGCCACAGCATAAACCAAGTGCGCTAGAAAGGGTTTATGATCATTATTTGTTAATCTAAAAGAAATGGAATCTATAAATCAACATTCAATACAGCCAGAATCATCTAACAGTACTTCCAATGTTGACGACAAAATTTCTTCCAGTAAAAATACCACATTGGAAGAAGATGATGATGAATCTATGGCCTGCGCAATCTGCTCAGAAAATTGGACTGGTCAAGGTTCACATTGTCTTGCATCTCTTGAATGTGGACATTTATTTGGACAAAGGTAAGTAGTTCTCCAAAAAATATGACTAAGAACAAACCGCTGTCAAAAGAACCTTGTTGTAATTACTACTATTATACTTATACTTGCCATATCTTAGCTGTATTTTTCAATGGATAGTTTCACAGAGATTGAGACGTGGAGATGGAAAAAGCACATGTCCTATCTGCATGTAAATACAAGAATTCCTGATATTGTTCTTTTCTTTTTTTAACTGGATCTCTATAGGAACCCTTTCCGAAAGTCTTCTGTGCGAGTTATTCGCCCAACTCGCATCGCAGTACACGACGAGACAGATATCCTTGAGCTTAAACGAGAATTACAAGCTGCTCAGCAAAAAAGCTTTGAGCTTGCCAGAGATTTAGAAAAATCTGTATTAGCTATCAATATGTGCAAGAGAGAATTCACAAAAAGAAATATATCTCACACAATTCTTGAGTACGTTAAATATATATAGCGGCAAAATACACAAGCCCACATGTTATCTTATTGTTTTTAACACAAATAGCACCACCTATGACACAGATACTGTAGAAGAAACCCTGAATTACCCTACAAACGAGACTACGCCCGTAAAACTGGATACTACACTTGATACAGTGCCAGATGTCCAAAATGTTATACCAGCTGAACCTTTGGACAATGAGTTAGATACTGAGTCTGTGACAGAATCTGAAGTTTCGGTAGTTATATCTGATGATTTGGAAATCATTGACTTGGACGAATCATCGGTCATAGTGGTAGACGATTATTCAACTTTCGAAGCAGACGAGCACGATGGACTTGGATCACATTTAAGCGATGGTCTAGAATATAGAAGCTTGGAAGAATATTCAAATATAATCTTAACTGGGCCTGAAGAGGTAGTAAGATCATACAGGCCTATTTGTACTCTCAGGTTACCACAAGAGGTACGTTTTTTTTTAATTTATTTTTACGGAAAATGTATAGAAAACAAAATAAACTGATACTGATGAGTAGATCCAGTCAGCACGAACAATGGCACTCATGCCCTGCGCTTCATTGGCAGTAGTGGGAATGAAGCATAATATGCATGGACATGGAATACAAAAGGTCAATTTAGCAGACGGTTCTTTAACAGAATTCATTCCCAACCACACCAATAGCATACGTGATATAAAATGTTCTTCTTATGGGCGCGCATTTATCCTCTCAACTGGCCTCGATAAAACTCTTGTGTTGAGTTCAATATATGATAATACTGTAGTGGAAAGGTACATTTGTGAACTATATATATATATATATATGTGTATGTATGCAAAACCAAATAAATATACTCATCCAACTAAAGATTCCAACTAGAAGCTCCTGGATGGTCATGTAATTTTGACGATTCCAGATTCAATATAATTTATTGTGGATTATCGAATGGTGTAATCGTAGTTTATGACATTCTCAATCCACAACAGCTTCTTTATCGCCTAAGACAGGATCAGAACATTGGCCCTATACATTCATTATATACTGTATCGATCGAGAATCAATACAGGATAATGTGTAGTAGTGTATCAGGCTCAGTCGGATGGTCTATCGATAAAGCGAATGAACAACCCCCAGTTTGCAGACCTTTGATAGATACAGATATAAGTGAGTTAATTACCCTGAAATCTTTTAAATACTTATTGATTTATTATGTATAGTTCGAGGATATCGCCCATATTCTTTATTTTATCAACCTTATGGGGGCATTTGTCTTCTTTCATCACGAAACCGACATGAAACATATCACATTGTTGGTACAATAACTAATGAATTAGAAATAGAACCACAATGGAGTTTCATTAGTACTTTCCCACAACACAATATGGCGCGAACAACTATTATTTCAGAAGGCCACCGGTGGCCAATAGTAGCTTTTGCAAACGAAACAAATAAACAGGTAAACTTCCAAGGACGTAAAAAAAATTATTGTAACTGACATCTATCTAGATAGTTTTGCGTAACCGCGAAGGACTAGTTCAAGTGCTGGAACCTTGGAGTCCTGTTATGGATATTAAACACTGTTTATTCCGAGGAAATCCGCTTCTGGCTGCATTGACACTAGACACCTTCGAATTGTACAGTTATTATTAATTAATAGAAAATATTCGTGTTCGATGTTTTAAATCCCAAACTAATTTATACACAGACTATTTTCTCGCTCTCTCTATCTCTTTATTATGTCTACTTGTAATTATACTTGTACACACACATACACACATACGTATTCAAAAAAAAATCCTTTATAAAAATGAGTAATTAAGATCCAATACAAGATTAGAAGCGTATTACATATGTCTTATTCTTTTAAGAAGAAGAAGAGCAGAATAAATAGAACATCACAAACAGCACTTCTCAGCCCAATCTGGACTTGAAGAAGCCTGTGTGACAGTGATTGAAAGCCAAGGTGCCTTTCCATTGAGCCTATTCTCAGTTTCACACTTGCTCATTTCACTGCAGATCTAATGGTAGACACAGAATTAGACACAACAAAGACTCTACCTTCCGTACCATCATCCGATGAAGAACCTGGAGAAAATAAAAACAGAAAAGAAAGCCCACCCGAGGGTCAATCTCTTGCCCTGAAGGAACTAGATTCCTTACTTGCAGAAACACCCATTGAGAAAACTGAACAGAATGACCCTGTATGTCAAAAAAAAAAACAGAAGAAGAAAGAAAAAAGTTAAATAAGAAGCGGATACCCTTGGTTCTTACATTCGTATACCCAGTCAAGTGTCATTCCTTCCCACACCGATTCTGAAGAAAAATCAAGTGAAGCCGATGACGATGACTTTGATTTCTACCAGATTTCATTCGATGAGGTTGATGGTAATTTCAACCAGAGAATCAAATGAAAAAGACTATTTACATCTCTTTTAAACAAACTATCATACATTTTATTCTATTTTGTATATTTATGCACCAGACAGAATATCAGCATTTCAGGAAGACGCGTTTGTGAGCCAGGCACTTGAGAGTGGAATGGATTTGCGTGAATATGCTCGACAAGTAAATCAACAAAAGGAAAATGTTCAAAGAGACCTCGAAAACGATTGTGAGTTTAGTTAAAAGCATATGGCATATATGCTTTGAGAGAATTAATCAAAGGTGGTAGATGCTCAGCAGGTTCAATCCTTTGTCGACCTTCATTTTGAAATTGAAGTAAGATTCCTTTGTGATACTACTTCATCTTAATTATATTATTATTACTTAAAGAAAATAACTTTTATAATTGCTGACATTTTTTGTTTAGTCTTGTGATGGAGTGTTGGGTAGGATGGAAGAGTTGATGAATGCATTCCAAAGTGATTTGGGCAATATCAGTGGAGAAATAAAGAATCTGCAGGAACAATCCTCTTTTATGAGTGTCAAGCTAAAGAATCGAAAAGTGGGTCGAAATCTAAAGATAAATTAATGTTACCGCTACACAAATATCAACAGTTACTCATCAAAAGTTATATAGGCAGTTGAGACACGATTAGGACGGGCGTTGAAAGGAATGGTTATTCCACCTTATGTGATAAAGTAAAGTATCTTAGTAAAACAAAGACAAAAAAACAGCTAATAATATCGAAGAAACCAGAGTTTTAATGGATTTCAATTATTTTCTTGTTTATAGGAAGATTACAGAAGGAGAAATTGATGAAATGTGGTTAAGCTACCTGCTCGGAATTAACAAACAAATGAGATTTGTGAAAGCAAACCAACATAGACCTATCAAAGCTTTACGAGACGTAGGACCAGAGCTGGAGAAACTACGGCTCAAAGCATCGGCCTCTATTCGTGATTTTTTTGTCAGCAGGATACATTCGCTATGCGTACCAAACACAAACATCCAAATTATGCAGCAATCTGTGTTTCTGAAATACAAAGGTCTTCACATGTTTGTATTGGAAAGGCACCATGATGCTGCAGCAGAGATCCAACAAACCTACGTGAACTCACTTCGATGGTATTTTCATAATCATTTCGAAAGATATAGTAAAGGTCTATTAAAATTGCAGGTAAGAGCAATAAGTAATAAAAGAATGCCCAGAAGTTATTCTTAATCTACCTGATTATATGGAATTTACATTTCTACAAAAGACTGTAGTGACAGACAAGACTGACTTGATTGGTGTTGAAGAAAACGCACGGAAAGGTATTTCGGATTCATTTCTTCAAACTCAAGCATTGAGATGTTAATCTATTATGTAGGTGGTCTATTTGGAGGTGGAAAACAAGCGTTCAAGGACAAAACGAATGTGTTTGCTTTGGGCGACCGTATTGATGTTTTAAGGCTACAAGATCCTGGTGTGATTCTTGTTCATGTAGCTGAAGACAAGGAACAAGTAAGGAAAGAGGAAATAGTATTCAAACAGACCATACTTATAACCTTGTTTACTTTTTTAAAATAGAAATATCAATTCGAACAGCTATTCCGAAGTTTCAATTTGACATTGATCGACAACGCAAGTTCTGAATACTTGTTTATATACGAGTTTTTTTCAAGAGACCCAGCTGCTGCCGCAGATATCGCAAAAAATATATTCCAACAAATTTATGAACCTACTGAGCGTGTAGGAAAGGTAATTCGCGCATGGTGCTTAAAAAACAAGTTACTTATGCATATTTTCTGCGCTATTAGGCATTCTCAAAGGCATGCATTGATAACTCATACGACGCTGTTGGTATCTTATTGTGTATTCGTATCAATACCCAGCTTGCACTTGAGCTTCAGAGAAGACGTGTACCGGCTTTGGAGGGATATACAAACTCAATTAATATGCTACTCTGGCCAAGGTTTCAACATGTTATGACACTTCATATCGATAGTATGAAAAAAATGGCTAACAATAAGTCTGTGTTGAGCGCAGTCAAGGAGATACATCCACACTATGTAAGTGTATACAAAGAAGAAATGCTAGAATAATAAAAGCTAGTGTAAATATAAACTTGGAAAATTTATTTTAGATCACCCGACGCTATGCAGAGTTCTCTACTTCTCTCCTGGTCTTGAACGACGGCTATGACGACGCTATCCTGACCAATAGGTAAATGCCAGTATGAGGAATAAAAATGCGATTAAATTAGGTACTGAAGAATTTATCTTTAAGTGTCCAGAGGCTGAGAAATGAACTGGAAGGATTATTGGCACGAATGTCAAATGAATTTCCAGAGGTTGCACGCAAGATTGTGTTTCTGATCAATAATTATGATTTAATTGTTTCTGTGTTTCAGGTGAGCTGATTATCCAGTATAGTTAACTGATACTTTTACTGATTTATTTGTTCGTCAATAGGAAGCAAATAATCGTGCAGTCGAAGCCGAATTGGATCATGTCAAACAAATCCTCTCTCTTCAGATCGGCGCTTTTGTAGACGAGCAATTGAAGCCTTATTTTGGAGCCCTTATAGATTGTGTTAAGCGCGTAGAGAAAATGAAGAGTGCTGAGGTGGTGGAAAAAGGCAAGTAACTTAACCTAAAGCACTTTATCTTCCTCTCTTACACACACACATCTATATTCATATCTAGGTGAACTTGATCGGATAGCTTATCAGTTCTCACAGACATGGAGGTCTTCTCTTACTGGTATCAATGCCTCTGTAATTCAATATTTCTCTAATTTCAAAAATGGTACTACTGTGCTGCATGCTGTGCTGGGTCAACTTATTGTCTACTACACGCAATTCCTCGATATCCTCGAACAGAGGGGTGTTAGTAAAGTGCAGCCAGTAGGTATCCAGACAGTGATGGTTGAAATTAAGAAATTTAGGAGTAGTTTCTAAACGAATCTTTTCTCCAAACGGACTCATAAACGTGGCTCCTCCAATACATATATCCTAAAATACACGTGCAAATAATATTGATTAAAGCGGCAGAATACAAGACTGGCACGCTTATATAATAGCTTAAAGGGTCTCCTTCTATCAAAAAGGCATGAGTTTCCTATTAAATCCCAAGCCACCTTTTTAATGCTCAAGTAAAGCATCTAACATTGTGTATGATTTGTGGAACAGCCAGGAGTTTGCATTCCAAATTGCACTTGCACTGCATTTCATTCTCCTCCCCTTTCTCTCCTTTCTCTCCCTTGACCTTTTTTTGCCACCAATGCCTGGAGAATCACCCATCACTCAAGTGTCAAACCAAAATGACTTGATCTATCAGCAGAGATCCGCAAATGACGAAGAATATGATGACTACGATGACTATGATGACTATGAAGATGACCTCACAAGTACCGGTGATCCCAATCCCATCCCTCAAATCCTTCATTTAGACCTGCGTGGCACCCGCGTTGATCTTGATCGCGAGACATTAGTCAGTCTACCCGAAAGTCTTTTAATTGCCATGTTTCCTCATGGATTGGCTCTAAACAAGCAAGACACATATTCTGAAAATGATGATGACCCGTCAAGTGTTGAAAATGACTCGACAATGTGGACATTTGTTGATTTCGATCCTGCCTGTCTAGATTACGTCTTGGAGTTCTACCGACAGGCCCTCACACATCCTCTGCCGACCCAGCTTAATACAGCCGCTTACTCTCCCCTAACCGACAAGCATCCCATCATCGTACTGCGAGAGGAGCTCGAATATTTTGGTTTGCCGAATATCAAAGGTGACATGGCTGCCTTAAAGGTTGCCTGTGGACAACACCTTGTTCAGCATGACAGCATCTTCTCTGCCCTCCAAAAGAATATTAATCGTCAGAAGAATGTGGCAGAGCAACATTTGATTGAGATGCTATGTGATGCTGGCTTTGAATCCACTGACAAATGGGGATTCAGAGCATTGGAGCCAATGCGTACTTGCATCACCAGCATGGGTATGGTCATGCTCAAGACAAGTGGATCAGAGCATGCCATGGCTACAGCACAGAAGCTACTACTTTTCTGGAGAAAACCAGCTGTAAGTCAATTGGTTGAATGTGTTTATATATTTTAAGTTTTAAGTGACTTATGGGTTTACTGGTTTTCTTTCACTTGACAGCGTAAATGCTGGTGGGATGGTACTTCATTCGAGACACAAGGACAGGCGGTGCGGTTATGGGCACGAAGAACATGGACGTTGGAGCTGGCATTGGTATAATCCAAGATTTACCGATTTTCAGACTTCTCTAGATCAAAAACAACAAGACCACCTTTCTTCCTTGATTTTTCGTCTATATTCTCGTTTATTTTCTTTCTTTCTTTCATCTTTATTCTTTTTTTTTATATCTTTAATCCTTTTCTGTTTGATTTGTTTATTTCTCTTACAACGATGACCAAAGTCAGATATCATTTATTGGTCAGTCTCCATCGCATCAACTTCTACGTCCTCCTGCATAACATTTTCTTGTTCTGCGCGCAGAGTTTCTAATTGTTCCTGGCTTAACTTGAATACAATCTTGCCCATCTCTTCGACATTCTCAATCTCGGTTTTATCAACCGATTGATCAATCTATATGTCAACATCATTAAATTTCGTTTTTTTAGTTTTAGTTTTAATTATATAAAAACATATAATAAAAGCAACAAAATAATATGATTGTCAAAAATAATAGTACTTATAATAAAGCATTAACTTACATTGCGTTTTGCAGGATAACTCTCTCTTGGTTCAAGACATAATTTAGTTGGCCGGTTCAATAGTTGTTCAAATACAGGACGAAGTTCATAACAGTTCTCGAAAAGTTCTTTACGGCAGAACACATAAAGACCAAGTCTTGCACGCGATACAGCTACAATCAAACGTCGGACATCACGAATATGGCCGACAGCCTTTGTGCGAACCAAAGACAGCAGGACATCTACAAATACCAAAAGAGATATATATGTTACATTTATGATACACAATACGCCAAGCCCAAATATTTTACTTACAGTCGTTTTGTTGACCCTGGTATTGATCCACGGTAGTAACTGCAGCAGGTTTTCCAAAGAATGGGTTCCATGCGCAACGGCGTTGAAGAACATCATTAATAAGAGCTTTTTGACCGTTGTACGTTGTCAAGATAGATATCTTGTCTGCAGGGTAACTTTTGTATTATTATTGTTACAGTTAGTATTTTGTAAAAAAAAAGTTAGACTTTTTATCGGTTTATTTTTATTTGGACTTACCCATTCAAGCGCATGTACTGGTAAGCAGCCACCACATACTCAGCCTCTCCCAAGTTTTGGTAGAAGTAAGGTACGGGTTCTGTTTCTCCGTGGCCCTGGAATTTTCCAACATTCACCAGCTGGTAGTCATATGTAAATCCTGCGTTTGCTCTTGCGTATTCTTCTGCTTGGCTGATCTTTGGAAGGTCGCCAAGGTGGTTGTAACGCCAGCTGTACAACTTGGCAATAGAGGATCTTGCACGGCCCTTTAATGCACATGTCAGTTCTACAATCCCGTGCTAGTAATATTTTAGAGTCTTACCTGTGCATCCAATTGAAGTGTGGGAACACCCAGTCGGACAAAGCGTGTGAACAAACTCTGTTCCATATTACCATATTGCTGGAAAGCCAAATTCTTTACAACAGGGGGAAGTTGGTTGTGGTCACCAATCATAATGACACGCTTTAGGCGGTTGACTCCATCTTCAGGTTCTTGGAGCAATAAAGGAATAAATGTTTCCACTTCTAGGATCTGTCCTGCCTCTTCCATTACTACGTTGTCATACTTGAAATTCAAGCCAACCAGTTCACGTCTCTTGAGAGCGGCATGTGTACATGTCATGGCAATGATCTTTGCTTCCTTGGTCAACAAGTAGTTTGCTCTGTCATAGCCAGATCGCAAAAGCTCAAACGCACGAATTTCTTCCAATTCAGCAAACATCTTTTCCAAATGTCTAAAGCAACCCTTCGAAACCTCCAATGCTTCATCAGCTGACATGTCGTCAGTGAACAAAGGGTTTGGTGCGTTAGCAAAGAAATATGCAAATGGGAACTGGTCACGAATCTCTTCGAAAGTGCCATTTTCTATGCGGGTAATATAAGGCTCCCAGTAAGCCAAAACGTGGAAGCGGTAAAAGTATCCTGCTGTCTCACAAGTTGACCCATGTTCACCTGGAATACCCAAAGAGAGTGCTAAGCGGTTTACTTCAGCGAGAAGCTCAATGCGTCTTTCCAAGAAAGAAGTAACGCGGCCGTATTTACTGAAGCTCAAATTGGTGTTTAACTCCTCCTCACCGTGACCCAGACGCACCAAATGACGAGAGTCAATATCTACAGATAAATTTGGTATTATAAGTGATAAGCATGAAACTTATTATTAAGAAATATTATAGCTTACCAAGTTCCATAATCTTTTCAAAGATTTGGTTCAATGCCTGGTTACTGTGAGTAACAACAAGTGTGTGCTGGTTCGGATAATTGTGATAGAGATTTGCAATGGTCTGGACAGCAACATCTGTCTTACCGGTACCAGGAGGACCAACAACCATTGTAAGACCGTGACTCATACCAGAGCGGATAGATTCCACTAATAAATACAATATATGAGTACAAAGCTTTTTTTTATAAAGCCAAACGTCAAAATACCTTGAACAGGAGTGAAAGGAACTGTATTCTTTTTAGGGATATCTTGAGGGTAAGGACCCATATTTGGAACCTTGTAGGTCGAAACTTCTAAAACCTCGGGCTGTTCGTCTTGAACCATATCTGATTTTTTAGACTTCTTCTTTTTCTTTTGTGGTGCCTGTTCTCCTTCAGTTGACTCTACAGAATAAATAACAAAAGGTGGCTCAAGGGTCTCTTCGCTATTATCTACTGGCTTAACGATTTTTCCGGGGAAACTCTCTTTGAGATGATCCCAGTTTAAGAATGTATCACGGAAGTTGAGTTCACGAATTCTGTTAGGAAGCTTAGTGTAGTTTGCACTGCTTGGGTCGCCATAGCCCAAGAACACCTTCTGGAGCCATTCTGGAACAACCAAATCACTTTGCATCAAATCACGAATGGTCTCAAGAACAGCCTTGAAGTTGTTTTCCTATTTGTTTGATTGTATATTGAGTTTGTGCCCTCTGTAGGATTGCATTTAGTATAATTTTGTATATTACCTGTGGCCGTCTTCGAACAAGGATATTAAAGGTCTCGTGTACATCCTCGCGCCTCTTTTTATTAAATGCCTGCATATCTTCCTATTATACCGATATTATATCAATATCTGTTTTTTTAAAAAGTTCGTATAATGTTTCTTACCTTGTACTGATTGGGGTCCAGCTCGACTCTGAGTGTACGTGTTGATCCACTCCATCTTCTTTGCTTATCCTCGATGTTTGGTTTGTTCACCTCATCAATGGGACGGCCTTAACACAGTTATATAATCAATTAAGTATTCCTCTTCCAATACAAGCTGGTTTTTTCTTACCATCACTTCCAACAATATCCATGATTTCACAACCACGAACATATTTGATACCATAATGAGACTTAAAGTCAGAGCTGTCATCGTAACGGTGACTAGACTCTTCATTAGCCTGAATAGTAAGCAGGAACAAGACATCATGTTTGCGCAAATTGTCCCATTCTCTTCTGATTGAATCTGTGAATTTTCCGACATCGTATGTTATCTAAAATGTCGTTAGTTTCAGCCGATCCGCCTATTTTTTGTTTCTATTATAATAAAGGTTCACTTACATCTGCTTTGACATGTGCTGGTTTATCTTCTCCAAGATTAGGTCTGGCCACATCAACAATACTACATAAATTCCATCCGAAAATGAGCTATATTTCTTCACGCATAATAATTCTGCTCATAGGAACAAGAGAAACAAAAACCCACTTGAAATTTTCAATATTAACAGCCATTCTTGCCCATCCAGCAAACTCTGTTGTTCTGTCGGGGTAGGTGAGTCGAGGGTTTAAGCGCTTAACTACATCTTCGATATCTTGTCTGATTTCGTATGAGCTTTCAAGACGGAAGAGAGTGAAGTTACGCAAAAGATAATCGTGGATCGTCAAGAATTGAAGGTTAAGTTTAGGAAGTGACAAAGGTCTATCACTGGTGTAGAATTGTGTTTGTACTAGGCCGTCACTGAATAAAGTCTCCTAAATAACCAGAAAAAAAAAGAGTAAATACCACTTATTCTAATATAATAATAATAGTAAGATTGCTTAATAATAAATAACCATCTCGCACTTACTTCATCTGGATACAAAGGAAGACCATTGATTTTCTCGATCTGACTCAATCTTTTTTCGTATTTAGATACCAATCCCTCCAGAAGGAGCTTCTTACGATCCACAAAAGGAGTAACGCCCTCTACAAGGAACTCACTTCGGACATCGACAGCTTTACACAATCTAGTTAATACATCCACAGAAAGGGGTTCGAAATGCCACAACAGATCGGTACGTGTTTCTATAGAGGCCAGGTTGGCAAGGGGAAGTTCAGTGATTTCCTCTCTGAATTGACGGAATACAATGTGCTGAAATAAAAGCATTCAAATCCAAGCAAATCCAAGTATAAAGTTTTAAAAATAAATGTTAGTTTAGCTTGAATTCACCTGCTTTCGTCTGATTGTTTTTTTTTTGGCAAATCTCATTTTCTTTTCTTTTCTCTTTACCTGTAGCTGAATAAGCTGTGCACAATGAGCATCTGTCATCTCTATATCTGTCAAAGCAAGGCCTGTTTGATCATTGATCTCAAACTTGGCATAGAATGACAAGGTCTCCAACAATTGCTTGATCAGCTCAACATCTTTATCCTTGCGCTCCATAAAAGGAGCCAACTTGCACAGTACAACTACTTGATGATCATCCAAAAGAGTGCTGAAAAAGCGGCGTGTGGGCAACTGTGCCTCAAGATCAATTAAGAACTCAAGGAATCGCTCAGCGTACTTAATTAGGTCTTCACCGACTAAAGTAAACCATATTATATGTTAGAATCCCCAGTATTCTAGTTATTTCTTTTCCGTTGTTTTTTCTTCCGTCCTCATTATACTTGCCATTTCCCTCTTTTGGTATCCGGTAAACGATTTCGATAAAATCCTTCATCAGGTTGCTCAGGCATTCTCTCTCAAAAACAAGCTTTTCCTTTGTACTTTCATCTTTTTTTTTTCGCAAAACATTTTGGTTAGTCTAGCTCATTCATACACAAATTATTATAATAGCAAAAAAGAAAATTACCAGAAGCATCCAATTTCTTTTGACTGGTGTTCCACAACTTTCTCAGAGGTGCAAACTCTGTCAATATGCTTTCCCGGCGAGAGTCGTAAGCCAGGTTTGACCAAATGGAAATTGAGACCAGCCTGAAGAAAGATAACAAATGGTAATAATAATTAATTAATAGTTAAATCCTCTTGCCTTTTCCGTCTTTTGTTTTTTTTATTCAACTTACTTTAAGCATTCGGGACGTACAAGTGGGTTTTCCAAGCTCTGGAAAGAATGGATTAGGAAAAGCAAGAGAGAGCGTCTGATATTCAGTGTAAGTTTTTTGTCAGCAGAAGAGACGGCGAGTCTAGTGACACGTCCAAAGAAGGAAGCGAATTTGGCTGCATCGGATGAGAACGCGTCTGCATCAAGATTAAACACGATTAATAAAAAAAAAAAGAATAAAGGTAAATAGATTAAGCCTAGTAATGTTTATTAAATTATGCAAATTACCCCAAGGTGACACTCTCTGACGAAATTTCTCATTTACGACAAGGCAGATCGACAAGATGTGATTCAATGATGCGGTTTCACTGTCAAAATAAGGCCAAAGGTACTGATGGATGAAATTTTGCATTGATTAGATTATTGGACGAATAAACGCAAATTTTCATTCAAGATCAGATCCAGATTCTTGCCTTTTCCAAGTATTGTGCAAACTCTAAAAGCATCAGCTTCTTTGGATCATAGTTGCTGGGCACCAACTCTGTCTCCATGATGGTTTCTACAACACTAGGATCCCACTCTGTCTTTCCACTCTTTCCAAAGTGCTTCTCCGCCAACTTTGATATCGAATCCGACTGAATGTCGGTCAAAGTCAGGTTTCGTAATTTGTTCGATGGAGCACCATGAGCTACAACCTCACTGGGTGCGGCGTGGAGGGGCAATGTCGTTTTTTGGTACATTGCGCAAAAGAACAAGGGATTCTCAAAGCGTTCAATTTCGATCACTTCTCGATGGAAGCAAGTCACGTGGATATCCGCAGGTTTTCAAGTGAAAGACAGAGAAAAAAGAAAAGAAAAAAAAAGATTGACACTCCGTGACTGATTTACTTGCAATGGTATCTGCGATAAATAAGGATTCTTTTTTACATATTGTAGAAAGCATAGGGGTTAATTAATTATATTTCTTGTGTATATATCAACAAAAAAAAACAAATACATACCAGGTTAATTTCCTAAATGCTTATATAAAAGTACTTTGTGCAAAATAAGTAAATTAGCGACCTTAACATAAATATCTAAGATACTATGGACACAAGAATCAAAGTAGTCTTATGCTAATCTCACATTTGGATTTATGCCCAGGTAAAGTATATAGAATATATTATATTAGAAACAATCGTCGCCCAATTGGCTTTGTAATTGGACATACTATTTCTTAATTTCAAATAAACACTCGAATTTAACAAGGCTATTCTGACTAGTCTAATGTTGGTCTGTGAATTAATGTTATTAAAATAATCTTTAACAATAAAGAGAAAGAGGTGACAAATATTTAAAATTAGTTGTTTTCCAGTCCAATTGTGTACATCGTCTTTAAAGCTTATATAAATTTTCGGTATATTCCAAGAGTTTTCGGTTTTGAATAAATAAATAAATGTAAATACTGGGTTGACATAAGTGGTGAATGAGTACTATAAATACAATAGCTTGTTTACACAAATATAGCACAATTAGTAAAGCATCTACAGTTAGTAACAGTTCTTTTTTTTTGGAATTTTAAGGACATTCTCAGAGCTTCTGGAGGAACAGCTATTAAGTAGGGATCCAATTGATTTTAGTAGACTTTGGTTGTAAAGCATTAATTCTGGGAGTATAAGGCTATCGGACGAAGACATGTTGTTTAAGCTTAATTAGACACCTCAACTGCAACTTTATTCCTAGACCTCAAATAAACAAATATCTGGTCCCTAACGATCATGAATCTCTTTATATTAATTAAAAAAATTAACAAGACAGGATGAAGCCTTTAACCCAATAGAACTTATATATTTTCGACCTTCTTGCTTGCTAGTTATTAACAAAGGGAATGATGGAGCATGGATTTTTTCCCCTTTTTATAGAAAAATGAACAATATATAAATATGATACTGGGAGATGGAAAAGGGGTGGAAAGGGATGAAAATGCAAAAAAAAATGGTCAAATAATAATAATGACGAGATTAATCAGTGTCTGGAATCATCATCACAGAAGTCTATTGTACACCACCAAAGAGCTTTGCTGCTACAACGCCGGCCACGAATGAAGAGACTCTTTCCAAAAAGATGAAAATGCTAGTTATCATGTCATATTGTATAGGTAGTTATAAGTCCACCAATACAGCTTGTCGGATTAGACGTACCTGATCCTTTTGCAAAAAAAAAGTATACATAGTCTTCCATCAAAAGTTCCGACGCTAATGTAGAATAGATTGTCGACAGAACCTCTTCCCTATAGTGAAAGCTAATTGTGGTGTATCAACCAAAGGTGCAATATTACGACAAAAAACATCAATAGTCACTTATCCTAAACATTAAAATGCTCTCTTACCTGTAAGGACAACGAGGAATTGTTATATATATATTATAGTGGAATATATAAAATATCACCAAGAAAAGAAACCCTCTATAAACCCTTCTATCTTTTATTCAAAGTTTGTTTATCAAAGCTACCTTTCTCATATAAATTACAAATCCCGGATCATTTTAATAATTTTCTAAAAGAAAGGCTATTGCTATTATAATTTTTTAAAAGTTATATGTCGATTAACCTGTCATTTTGCAGCATTCACCACTATATTTTAAGTCATTTTTTTAAAAGAAAATGGGCCCACCATACAGTGAGCTATGAGATATAAATGCACATTTATGTAAATATCTTATCATAGCCTAACTTACGGTTATCGCTCTTAGTAAGAAGAAAAAGACTATTACAAGCTATCTATTATGTAAATATATAGATATATAGATATTTGATTATGTAATATAATGGTTGAAAATGCATTAATTGAGAGCACAGATAAATTATAGAGACAGGACTATTTGATGATGGGCATGAGGATTTCTTTTAAACGGATAAATAAACAAATGAATAAAATGTCGTGGCCGTAATAATATTATTCATAAGGAGATCTGACTTAAAATGAACAAAGATATATCATTAAACTTCAATATTTTTCTGATTTTTTCATAAGATAGATAGCTAGTCGCTGTGTGACTATCGATACAGCGAAGCTTATTCTCGTTCATTATATAACATACTCCCAGAGTGTCAAACACTTTGAAATGGCTTGGACGATAATTATATACTACTTTGTTTGATCTCTAAAAAAAATTAAAAACAATAATCCTTCAGACCAAATTTATATATAGTTTATAGTGGAATTTGAAAAAATAAATAAATAAATCGTATTCAAGGTTGTACGTCTTCATTGAAAACGAACCGCTGCGGACCTTTTCGATAGTAGTTCCAGACTTCTTTATTATTATTGTTGGATTTCAACTCTCATTCTGAGGAATGGCATCACTAAAGTCTCTTTCGCGAAAGTTTACATCAGCAGCATCGGCAACCCCATTCCGCCTTGCTGTAGTTGGAAGTGGACCTGCTGGATTCTACACCTCGCACAGACTACTGAAAGAATGGCCAAACACTCAAGTTGACATGTATGACAGCCTACCAGTGCCTCATGGTCTTGTTCGTTTTGGAGTTGCACCTGATCACCCAGAAGTAAAGGTATAAAAAAAAACATATATTAAGAAAATAAAAATAAAAGAGAGAGAAGACAATAGACAAACATATAATTTAATTATATACTGGATTGAATGTACAGATATATTAACATATGTATTTGTACATGTTTAAACAATAGAATGTTATGACTACTTTTGACAAGGTTGCTGAAGATTCTCGCTTCCACTTCCTTGGAAATGTGACAATCGGAAAGACTGAAGGTGGACTGACAGTCGAGGAGCTCAAGTCTCAATATGACGCTGTCCTTTTCTCATATGGAGCGAGTGAAGATCGAAAGCTCGGAATACCCAATGAGGATGTTTGGGGTGTGGAGGCAGCAAGCGCCTTTGTTGGTTGGTACAATGGCTTGCCGGCCTACCGAGACCTTGCACTTCCACTGGAGGATACAGACACTGCAGTAGTGATTGGCCAAGGTAATGTCGCGCTTGATGTTGCGCGTATTTTGTTGAGCCCTATCGATGTGCTTCGTAAAACGGACATTACCGAGTATGCTTTGGAGGCTCTATCCAAGAGCAGAATAAAGCACGTTCATGTAGTAGGACGTAGAGGTCCTCTTCAGGTATAATTAACATAAATGCATTGGGTTCAGTAAGCCTTGACCAAGTATCGTATCTTTTATTTATCCATTTTATTCTGCATCTTTGTAGGCTGCATTTACTTCAAAAGAATTACGTGAACAAATGGCTTTACCAAATGTAGCATTCAAAGCGGACCACGAGTTTATCAAAAACGAGATCACTGAATCTCAGGCAATTCTTAGCAAGAACCGCCCTCTCAAGCGTCTCATGGGAATTCTTGAAAAAGGCTCACCTATTCAGAACGCTGAGAAATCTTGGAGTCTTGAATTTTTAAAGAGTCCAAAGGAGATCTTGACAAACCAAGATCGTACAGCTATTCATGGTATTGAGTATGAACTCAATCGATTGGAGGGTCCGTTGGATCAGGCACGCAAGGCAGTAGGCACGGGCATCTTTAAGCGACAGGAGTGCGGAATGGTACTGAGAAGTATTGGATATAAGAGTGTACCCATCAAAGGAATTCCGTTTGATGCACGTCAGGGGCGTGTTCCAAATCGGTTTGGAAAAGTATTGGAGAGTGAAACCGAAGTAAGCAAAACGAAACGAAACGAAACGAAACGAAAAAATAAACTTGGTATCTAATCTAAGCGAACTCTCCAAACATAAAAAGGTTCCTGGGCTTTATACCGCAGGTTGGTTGAAGAGAGGCCCGACAGGTGTTATTGTGTCCACTATGCAGGATGCTTATGAAACAGCGGATACAATTGTGGATGATCTCAAGAATGGAAAACAAATGCTCGATGGAGCCAACAAAGAAGGTGCAGCAGGACTTGAGCCTTTGTTAAAGGAAAGAGGTGTAAGAGTCGTGAGCTTTGATGATTGGAAAAAGATCGAGGCTGCAGAATTTGCCGCAGGAGCCAAACTTGGCAAACCTCGTGAAAAGTTTAGTCGAGTGAAAGATATGCTTGCTGTCCTAGACTCATAAACTCTGACTGATTTTATTCTTTTGTAAACACACACACACACACACACAATTCACAAACACTATACTACACTATACTATACTACACTACACTACACTACACTACACTACACTACACTTTATGCACAAGATTTTAAAAAGACTAAAAAATATATAGATTAAAAATAGAACTCTTTTTTTTTTGCTTACAGATAATATATATGTGTGTATTGCCTTTTTGTGCTTATGCCCGTTCAAAGAAAATAAGAATACAAATGCACTTGTGCTGCTGTAACTAAGGATAGAAATAGGTGGATTTTGTTTTGTTATTGTAAAACTCACGATTCCAAAATATGGTACTTTTGTGGATAACGATTATTAATACTAGACTAAGGTGCTGCTGTTGCTTTTATTGGCAGTACAATAGAGAGAAAGAGGGGTGATAAGAAAGTGTTACTATGAGAGATTATTACATTAAGATAAAATAAGAAGGAAGGCATCAATATATTATTATTACTAACTACAAAAGAGAGGGTGTTTGGGAATGTGCGGAAGACTAGAAAGAAAGTGAGAGTGAGAGTGAGAGTGATGGTGATAGTATGTGGGTGTGGGTGAGAAGGTGAGAAGGTGATAGTGTATAGCCATTCTGGAGCCAGCCAGAGTAGCAAAGCTTTTACGACATTTAGCTATGCACACAGATCTGCTGGCGCACCTCGTGAATATAGTTTAGCTGGGTCAGGATTACAGTAGACATGCGAAGGAATTCCCAGGGAATCAAAATCAATCTTTGCTCGATCTGTCCAATCGATTCTATCGGCAGGTGTAAAAGCATACTTGCCAAGATTGGCCCAATAAAAGGCCTTGAGGAATCTGATTTCTTGAATGAAATGCATTTCAAATACACCATGACGCAAAACCTAGATTAGAGAACAAGGGGGGGTTGGATTATTACATACACACACATACAGAGAAGTTGTTTTTTCTTTTTTATACGAAAGAAAAAGAGAGAGAAAGAGAAAGAAAGAAAGAAAAGTACTCACCATGTATCCTTCAACTGTTCTTCCGGTACTGATATATGGTAAGGCTCTGGCAAGATATAAACAAGGTTGTGTGAATTCCCAAAACTTGACTTGTTGGAAAGCATGATTTATTCTGGAGACACCCAAGATAAACCGGTCGTAGTTTTTTGTGTCTCCTGCAGACACCAGATCAACTTGTTCATCTTCAACCATCGAGTACAAGCCCATGGTTGCAAATACAAGTCCAAAAATTGGAAATATATTTGCTGTAAAATAATACAAAAGTATAATCATAAGTACAATAATACTAACCCTAAGAAAATACTATGTTTACTTACGTGTTACTGTCAAGGCAGGAAGTATCTGTACCAAGTACTTTGTGTGTCTCCGGGCATTCTCATAATTTCGGTATCGTGCATAGAAATATAGCAGAACTCCATGAATGGCAATACGATTGTAGTCTGCTGCATGTTTGAGGTGTGCTTCCAAAAGTGCTGCAAAGGGTTCTGAATCCTTGAGTCGGTTTTTGATGAGTAGATTGGCAATATTGTAGACACCCAGCCAGATTTCTGCTTCATAATCTCCATTACTATGGGCCGTGTCTGACATTTGCTTGAGTAAGATGAGATCATCGGGAGATTTATCAAGAGTGCCTTCAAAGATACGCATCGTTATGACAAGTCCAGCCGATCGATAAAATGACTGGCAGTCGGTGATCACACCAAGTGTCTTGACAGCTTCGATGGACTGATAAAGAAGTTCGCGTGCGTTCTTGAATTTTCCGGCCGCAAAGCACAAGAAGGCGCAAATGGTGAGTGTTCCGGCATCGTCCTTGTCATCCATGTACCGAAGTGCTTGTGTGATGTAATATATACTGTGTTCTTTCTGGTCGTTTAGCCAACAAAGCAAAGAGTTTCGAGCCAGGAACATTGTGTAGACCTGACCAACCTCTCCAAGCTTTTCGCAGATGTTTATTCCAACCAGACAAGAATACACAAACGATCGTCCCTTTCCGGTGTAAAAGTAGATGTTGGACAATTGTCCCATGATTTGTAGGATGCGTCTTGCGAGCTCTTTTTGATGTTCCTTTTTGTACTTCATCAATACTCCCCATCTTCGGTGTTGAGATTGTATGATACGATTTACATAGAATTTGTAGACAAACTCGGCCTCACTTTGGGGCCAGGGTTCTCCTAAGCACTTTAGGGCCATGAATAGGTACTGTTCTCCTTCAGTGAGCTTTGTTCGCATTGTGTAGCACATTCCAAGTTTACGGTATATATTGCTTCGACGAAGAAATCCATACTGCTCGGCCAGGTCTTTGTTTTTATCGAGAATTTCGACTATCCTTTGAAGGCTTGTGGTCGCTTCTGATAATAGATAAGATTTCATGTTGACATCCACAAGTTGTTCCAGGTACCACAATTGCTTTGTGAGCTGGTCTGTCTGGAGATAATGTCGTGTCACTTTTCCTAATAATTCAGGATAGTTTTCTCGCGATAGCTGTCCTTCGTAATATCGTGCAAGGGCCAGGTGGAGTGATATACGTGTTTCGTATGATACCATGTAGTAAATACTTTGCGGAATAGTAATGTGTGCGAATGAATAGACTTCTCCACTGTTCTCCAGCGGGTTCTCGACCATTTGATTAAGAAAATGGTAGGTGTCATAATGCTCGATTATATCGCGAATTCTTTGAGGGTCAGTTTCGTGAAATATGATGTTGTTTGGATTAATTACAGCTTGGATTTCGTATATTGTAAAGTATTGATCCAAGCAACTTGCCACCTAATTATATATATATATATATACATTTTTTTAAAAAAAATAATAATTATGATAATAATGATAATATAAAGTAATTATAAATTAAATTATCATTCTCTTAAATATGTATATATCAAGATGAGTTAGTTTAGACTTACGGTGAGAAACTCTTGGAATCCGCTGTCCAAACGATCGTACTGCATTTTGATGATTCGCTTGTAATCAAAGTTTCCCATCAAATCTTCGAGGTCAAATTTATTGCTGCTAGGAACCAATTCTCCATCCACGACAGTAACATGATTAAAGTCTTTTAGAATTATGGCCATATTTCTAGATTGCACAATTATAAATATACATATACATATATATATAAAAGGATTGTTTAGTCTACAAGTTTTGATATTAGATGATATTGCCAATGGGCTTACTTTACGTAAAGTGGGTTCCCTCCTGTACGTTTCTACAAAGTGTTTATATTTGTGTTTGTGTGTGTGTTTTAGGAAAATAATGATAATATCAATAGCAATACTAATTATAATTATAATAATCACATATTATTACTATTACTATTACTATTATTTGATTTATTTTTTGCTTACCTGAATAACCTTTACAATTTCAGGACTGACCTTGACCACACCAGTGTGAAATGTTTGCAATATTATGTCCCCGATTTCATCTGCACCCAGGCCATTCAACACAATTTGTTCACAAGTTCCAGTAGCGCAAAGATTGGTTATAAAAGTAACCTTGTAATCCCTAATAGGTCGTGTCGCCAATACTAGCATAACACGCTGGCAATGTTCATGAATATGTTGTAGTATTTGAATAGACGCAGAGTCGGCCCCTAATAGTTATTTTATTTTATATAGAACATTTAGGTTAGTACAAAAAGATAAGAGGAGAGAGAGAAAAAAAGGAATATTCGGTTTGTCTATCCAATGGAATACTAAAAAAGAAACAACAACAACGACAACGACAACGACACTGTAGAATATATTGAAAACAAACACACGATTTGTTTTTTTTTGGTTTGGTTTGGTTTGGTTTGTTTGTTTTTGTTTTGTTTTGTTTTGTTTTTACTTACACTGCACATCGTCACAGATGAACACAAGGCTAACATGCTCAGACACATACCGAATCATACGTGTGACAACGCCAGCCAAAAGAATATCTCTTGCGCGACCGTCAAGCTTACTAATGTACTTGTTGTCGTCGATATCTGAAAGGGTTGCAAAGACTGATCGAAACAAGGGCAAGAATCCATCGTCTTCGCCGCATTTACGAAGACAACGTGCGATCAATTCTGATACTTCGTTTGTGAGTTCAAAATGAATACCACTGGTCCCAGTTTGGGTTGACCGTGATTGGGAAGAATACACAGTCAGTCGACGGAAACGGTCTTTGTGAGATTGTGTTTGAGGCACAAGCGATGAAGAAGAAGATCCGATAGATTCTTCCATGCTGTAAGGTGAGAGTCTTGGCGAATTGCTAAGGTATGTTGTTTGGCGTTTGGTGTTCTGAGGTACGCTTTCGGAGTCTATGAGTTCAAACAATGAGAGCAGTATACTCTTTATCAGGTAGTACTTTGAGCTCTTTTCCACTATTTTTTTAATAGTAATAAAGAAATATAAGTATATATAGGTAACGAATTTCATGGGTTACAAGCTATACTAAATATCTACCTTCTGTAGAAGAAGACCAACTATAATAATAACAGTATAAATATCAATATCAATATCAATAATAAGGTGTAAATATTCTCAAGTTAGACTTTTTAAAGAAAATCTCTGATTCTTTCTCTATATTTTTTCTTACCAGCATGATGCACCGTATGAATTGATTCTCTTGTTCAAGGCATGACAAAAGTAACTTTTACCGACACCCGAGGCTCCGGATATTATCAGCAGATGATCATTACTTTCTTCATTCCAGTTATTCACAAACTCTACTGCCTTTCTCATCTCGATTTTATATCCAATGAAATCCGTGTTCTTTTCAAGGTTGTGGAGTGAGACCCGCTTGGCTTTTCCGGTTATAAATTTGTTGATCCCATAAATCGGTAAGGGCTTCACTTTTCCTTTGACTGTGTTCTCTCCGTAATCAACAAAGTCGCAAATGCCGCCAATCTGTTGTTTTGTCGCGAGATCGCAAACGACATTGCGCTTAGAAAAGTCAAGTTTCAGCATACGCACAGCCATAATAATCGCATCTCCCGCAATTCCGGGGTCACGTCTGTAAGGGTTCCCTTGAGGGACGACAGCATTGAAGATTATCCCGGTGGACAGGGCAATGGAAAACCCGGGTAACTCAATCGCTCGATATGCGTCACGTATCTCAAGTGCGGCTTTGGCAGCAAACACAGCTTCTCGTTCATGTGAAAGAGGCGGTAATCCAAACACAGCCAGCAATGTTGCACCTAATGCAAAACCCAAAAATAAAATAATATATATATAATAATAAAAAAGGGTATCAGTAAGATAAAAATGGTTTATAATTTTATGTTGTTTTAAACAAGACATTAAGTTAGTTGTTTCATTACCTTTATCGTCTACTGCAAATTGTTGAAGCATTCCTAAATAATAATCATAGCATTAGTATTAGTATTATTGTCAAAAGAATAAAATAAATAAATAAAATAAAAACTACCTTCATATTTAATCAATGATCGCATTCCAATCTTCAGGGCTCTTTGTCCCATCTCTAAACCTTCTGGAGTAGAGACCTGCAATTTGCCAAGACTGACAAACATAATCGTTACATCTCGAAACTGTGCAGGATAATTATTATCAGGGCTGTGCTGCAGTCGATAGAGCGCACTTCGATTAATGTATTTAGAGTAATTTTCGTTGGTTTCTTCGTTCGGTTGTTCCATGTAGTCATTGTTTCGTCTGCGGGCCACAAGGGGTTCTATATTAAGTTTTGAGGCTTGCTTCATTAGCCCGGGCCGCTCGGCCAGATAACTGGCGTTTGGTCCAACGGTGGATATCTTGCTTCCGTGCTGTGCGTGGTGGTTGCGCATGGCCGTATTCATTTTGGAGCGCATCGGAGGCATTGTGTCTGCGTTCTTGATAACAAAAAAATTGTCTCGTTTCTCGTATGTGAAGTCCAGCGATTGTTTCTGGATGATATCGTATGCTTCTTTGGTTATGCTCATTTCGCCTGCTTGTGCGACTGACAAGGCTTCTTCTAGGGATTCTACGGCAGGTCCACAGATTGCGTACTCGAGTCGACCGGTATATCTCAGACTTGGGTTGTCGGCGTTCATCAAGGGATCCAGCTCAGGTATGTCACCGGGTGCTTTGGTGGGGAACTGGGATACTGGCATGTCACTGCCATCAAAATCGCCCAGGATGATGTTCGTAAGGTCGCCGCATGACAGGGCGATATGGAGTTCGAGATCAACGGTGTTGGTGTTACTGCCCGGCAGGTCCACACTGGACATACTTGACCGACGGGCGTACATCATTTCTCTGCGCTTTCTGCCTATAAAAGGAAAACAGTTCCAGATATTGAATGCGATTGTGTATTCTTCTTGGAATGGCAGGTCGTCCTGTCGAAAAAAGCTCATGTTAGTGTTCGCGGACACGGATGCGGATGAGGAGCAGGATGAAGTTGATATTGGATGTAGGGAATTGTCGACTCCGCTGGTGCTCCCATCGAACAAAAAGAACCGTTCTTTCTTGCTCTTCCGTATCCGTCGGTCAATTTCGCCTGTTGGTGTCCGATGTTTCGTTCGTTCTTCGGCAGTGAGATAGACTCTATAGTGTGACTGGCGAGCCAATAATTGCAGTCCACACTCGACAGCTCTTCTAACCAACACATGTTTCTGTCGTTCAGAGGTTTCTTTTATAGAATCCAGGCTAGGGTCTGCTCCGGGCTGTACGGTTGTCTGTCGTGCGTCAAGGCTCTGTTGAAAGCTTACCAGAACAGCATCTCCGAGAAACTATTTTCAAATAAATATTTATATACGCATATATGAAAGATATTAATAAGCATTAAATACTAATATTTTTTGTTGTTGTTGTTGTTTTTTTTTAACAGAAAAAAAATTCTTATTTTTATTTTTTTGTGTACCTTTACTACGTCTCCGCCAAAATGCTCAATGATTTCAATGCACTAATTGATTGAATATATAAAGATAAGTAAAAAAAAAAGAGAAAGCGAAAGAAAGTAGAGGGAATGTGGAGGGATATTTAGTATGCAATTATTAATTTATTAAGAACCTACCTCTCCCATGTAAGCACCGATTTCAAGAGCAATTGCTTCTGCACCAGAATCACCTTTTTCTGTAGCCATGGCCGTCAGCTGTAATATACAGATAATTAAATGAATAATAATTCTAACGATAATTATTATATGAAAAAATACGTACAGAGCTGAAACCTGTAATAATCAAACAAAACGTTCAAGACGCATGATAAATTAATTTTTCATAGAAAATAAGTGAACGGAATAATAATTGATAAGATGTCAAGTAAAAGTAAGCAAGTAAGCAAGAAATTTATAAAAGACTGGTGATAATTTTCAAGCAAAAATATATTTATTTATATAATAAGATAAAATAAAATAAGAAAATAGAGAGAGGGAGAGAGGGAGAGAGAAAGAAAGAAAAAAAATTATATCGTTTGCCTACCAACAACATCGACCATTAACACAACACCAAACTGTGTGTGGCTGTAGGGTATCTCCAAATCGGCGTGATGGGCATGTAATGTTCGTACGTACTTGTAAATAAAAATCAAGGTGTATGTATAATGTCGTTAATGCGAGTCGATTGCTGGTTTGATTCCAAATTCTTACTTTAGCAATGAATGGAGAAATGTTCACCATCACGAAGCATGCTTTCGCTCAGAATCGATTACTAGGCTGAGTTATCGTTTAGCGCTTCTTGTTATTACAACCTTGTTACACCAGCAAAGAAGCCCACAAATATATAATATATTTATATTTATATTTATATGTAATAATTACAATTATATATAAAATATATATAAAATATATGTATTTATGTATCTATCCTTGATATATATATATATATTTAAATTTTATAACAGTGTAGTCTAAAGTAAACAAGTAAGCTAGCTAGTTATAATGTAACCAACCAACCAACCAACCAACCAACCATACATATATCTATATATCTATAGTGTATATACTCTTTCTAATACACCCAAGGAAATAAGGTAAAGAAATAAGCAGGTAAGAAAAAAATAGGGCCTTTTTTTTGTTACTTTAAAAGCACACGCACATACACGCACACACTGTACAAGATGGACTTTGGAGAAGAGAGAAGAGAAAGGAATAATAAGAATCATAATAAAACAGAGAAAATTATAGAAATCCGACCGGGAAAAGAAAAAATTCATGCGCTGGGCCGGACCTCTGACTTTCTGTCGCTCAATCTCTATCTCTTTCTCTCTTTGGTCCATGTCTTTTAGGTGTAATGTATATCTTATTATATAAAAAAATGTTCTTTTTTTTTATGTACCTATCTGTACACCATTTCCAGAAATTATTCACACGCACACTCTTTCACAATTCTGACACATTCTTCTGGAACTTTATAATACAAAATATACATAGATGCGTGTAGAAATATCAAGTAAAATGAACCGTGCAACAATTATTTGGATTGCTGTTGTTGTTGTTATTTGAAAAATAGTGTGTAAATAAATTTTATTCATACAAGATATTCTTCTTTGCAGAGTTTATAGAACAAGATTAAAGCTCCATTAAAGAATGTCAACAGTATTCTCATCAGTATCTTTATCAAGTCTTAACAACTAAACAAAGCCTTTTTGTTTTTGCCTTGAAAGAATATACTCTTAAAAAAAAAGAAAATGAATTAGAATTAAAGACTAATTATGGGTAATGCTCATTAGGATTCAAACTGTCATTTCATAGAAACAACATTCACACCAAAGACAACAAGTGCATAAAAACACCACAAATATGGAAGCAGATAAACCAAAAAAAAAGAGAGAGAGAGAGAGAGAGAGAGAGAGAGAAGAAGTTTAACTATCCTTGATGAGCACGATTTACGTCATTCCAAAAAGAATGATAATAAACGTAATAATCATCGAACTACACCTCAGGATCTGACAAACATCGTGACAGACATGATTGGTAATTACATTTCCAAGTCTACTGTTCGGTCGAAGCAATTCATAAAAGCAAGTTGTTCTAACACGGTCATTCCAAGCATAACTATGGAATCAACTAATCTGTAGTGATGAGTCATAATACATGCTTCTATTTTATTATCATTATTATTATTATTAAAACACTAGAATTATGACATCCTAGTGCATCTCTAGAAAGAGAAAGAAAAAGCGTGTTAATAATATTTTTGCCCACCAAATAGTCCAATTCTCGGTCCTATTGAGAATTAATGAGCTTATTTGAGTTGTGGGGCAAGGACAATATGATCGACTCTGAAAACCGAAAGAAATTTACCACAAATAGTAAAAGAGTATTCCGGTTGAAACAGTGTTTTTTTTTAAAGAAACGGTTATGTGTCAGTGGAAATTTGGTGTGATAGAACCATGCAATATTAAAGTATTTGTAAGACATAGGCTTTTCATTTCATTTTTTTTTTAAAAAAAAAAAGGTTTAAATATATATATATATATATATATATATGTGTGTGTGTGTGTGTTGTGATAATAAATTTGTATCATATATAGTGTGTTGCTTAAATGAAGAAATTACCCAAACCAAAGATGAGAAGTCTAAAGAAGTTGATATACTCTATAATCATTGTGAAAGGTCTGTATGAATGTGTTTGTGTGTAAGTGAGTGAGTGAATGAATGACATTTGTTTGCAAGACAATACTGTACGACTTGGGTACAACTTTATACCACATTTGGCAGTTTTTCCTTTTTCATTCATACTCATACTCATGCTCATGCTCGTCCTCGGATATTGGACTGTACAAGACACCCTGGAGGTCTACACTAGTTACAAGGCCTAACCAACCTATACATTTATTTATTTTTACTTTCTTTTTTCTTTTTCCTTTTATTGACTTACTCATTTTTACACTCTGGTTGTTTTGCTTGGGTATAGATTACACCAATCGTAATTAATAATAATAAACAAAAATGTTCCGCATATAATGAGGTAGAAATTACAAGAAGATTCTTTTATGGTTATTTTTCTGTGGGTCTGTCCTCGGATTGCGGAGTGTCAATAACATAGAGATGAGTTTTGTTTGAAGATTATGTGTTTAGTAAGATGATGGAATTTTGTCGATATAGTGATAGTTTAATTCTCTAACTGTACTCTCCAAATATATATCTTTTTTGTTCTTCTTTCACAAAGTGGAACCATATCACAGACCAAAAACAAACTTTCTTAAAATGTAAAATAAGCAAGATATTTTTTTTTCTGGTGTACAGCAATTACGATGTGTTAACTCATCCTTCCCTTCCAAAAGAACATTACACATTTATATACAGCTTTAGTTACAGTTACATGATCCTGCTTACTTTCCTTTATTTTGTTCTTTTGTTTTTATAAGTAGATATATGATATGATATTATATTTATATTATAGGTATGTATGTATGTATTTTTTATTAAACATTAAATAAATATGTAGATGGATACTAATTATGCAAGATATATACTTTAAAATATGCGTGTACATGAGTGAATGCAGGTACATATATAAAAATAAAGGGAGATGGAGAATATTTGATTTTTAGATGTGTTGTTATGTGTTTGTGTTTGTGTTTGTGTTGTGAATGTTCAACTAAGTAAGGATGGCAATCAACTTTCGGATAAAGCTGCGCTTCTTTGAACTCTCGTCTTTTTCCTGTTGGAGATCTTCAGGGGAATAGTATCTTACGCCAGTGTCAAGGTCAACCTCCAAAAGAGGGACCAGTTTTGACTTTGTCCAGAATCTGAGGAAGATGAAAGCAAACACAAAGATTATCACACCCAAATAACTTCCGAGTAAACCAGTAGCACTTGCAGGTACAAAGTATGACCATCCTGAAATCAAGACAATGACCGGGCACGCGATCATAACAAGTATATTCATGTACGGGTGACCAGGCGAAACGAAGGGAAGGTCACTGAGGTTGCGTCCTTGAGCAATGTAGGCCTTTCTGAATCGATAATGGGATACCGCAATACCAAACCATGTAAGCTAAAGAGAGAGATAGAGTAAGAATACAATACAATAAAAGTCGGAATACAAAATGAGCTTACCAAACCACAGATGCCTCCAAGATCACAGAGCACAAGAAAGAGGGCTTCACCAGGGATAAAGGAGGTGAGGAAGCAAACTAGCGAAACAGAGCTTGTGCAAATGAGGGCATAGATTGGTACACCACGGCTATTCACATATGCTATTCAGATATATAAGTATCAATTAGCTGTGTGTTTGATCGAAAGCAAGACTCTTGGTCTTTTGTCATATGATTTACTTACCAAGTCTCTTCCAAGCGATACCTTCAGTTGCCAAGGCACACAGAGTACGAGTGGTGACGTACATTCCACTGTTGCCACAAGAAATAAGCTATAGTGATTTTACATGATTAGAACACATCAAAGAATACACAATACCGAAAATATCATACTTACAGTGATAAGGATGACAGCATTTACGATGTGAGCAGCCCAAGAAAGACCGGCTTTCTGGAATACCATAGTAAATGGAGAAACACTGACATCGCGACCACCGGTACGCATATTCTGAGGATCGTTCCAAGGAATAATCATACCCATGACAAATACTATATGATTATTATTATGATTATGATTATAATGATTAATAATCAGGTGTTTCTTTCTTCTTTAACTATACATAGTTATATATATACATATGTATGCAAATATATTAAGTACCTGAGAATACATAGATAAACATGATACGATAGAATACATTCTTGACAGCCACTGGAATAGCCTATCATTGTAATCGTCATTAGAAGGTGAATAAATAAGAATACCAAGATTCTATTCAAAGTCTTGATTTATTTATTTTTATCTATTGTTGATTTGCTATTGATACATTACCTTTCTGGGGTTGGCAGATTCTCCGGCAGACACACCAACAATATCAGTTCCGGTCATACTGAGGGCAGCCAGGACAAGAGCATTAATGACACCGAGAATACCATTCGAAAAGGCTCCGGGATCTTTCCAGTACTTGAAGCCATAAGTAGTACCACTACCAATAACAATAAAAGTGATATTTTGAGTAAAATGTTTCAATTGAATTACAATCATTCTACTTGGATTTTATTTTTATTTTTCTTCTTTACCCAATCAATCCTCCAGAAGTAAAGCAACCGACAATTACAAACACAATAACAGCAAGAATTTTTATCTAAAGTAGATATTAATGTGGGTTAACAAAATATTCACATATATTCATATTCATACACATTTTGTTACCGATTTGGATTACACTTTACCACACTGAACCAGTATTCTGCTTCACCCCAGCCACGGGCACCATAAAGATTGAGAGCAAACATCAAGACCAAAAAAATTGCCGACCCTTTTTGAACATAAAATAAATAAGAGTACAAATGAGTAAATTGATCACATTGTACAACCCTAATATTAAGGTAATGCTTGATGGTAGTGATTTATGTATCGTACTTACAGGCCCAATCGGGAACAACATCTGTCCAGAATCTCATAACCAATGGGATGGCTGTAATGCAAATGTCAGAAATATGGAACACAAAGTAGTTCAAAAAGAGAGAGAGAGAGAGAGAGTTTCTCTATCTACCTGTCAGTTCTATATAAAATCAAAACAAAAGAACAAGAAGAAAATTAGTAAATGCCTTATACTTTTGTCTGTATATATCTTACCTGCTGCAACAATAATAGACCAACATGCCTAATAAGGATCAAATAATTAAAAAAGAGTTTAGTTGTATTGTTAAAGTAAATCCCCCTGCCAATCTCCATCTCCATCTCCTACTTCTTCTTGTTTCTCTGATCAAGTCCCATACCCAATAATTGTATCCAATAACCGATCCAAAAGATCTATCAACAAATCTTCGGCAATATACTGTAAACGATCCAGAAATCTAAAATTCATCCAGAACATAAATATATGGTACCAATAGCATGATGTTACTGAATCTTACTGGTATGTATGCGGCCATTTCACCCAGCTGATATGCGATCCAGAATACGATAAATCCAATAATAGCATATGCAATCAATAGACCTGCAGGACCTACATAAGTTGTTGTTGTGTGAGTTTGGATTGGACAAGATCTCTCTTTTGTTTCTTTCGTTATTTCTTACCTGCTTTTGCCAGATTTGCTCCTGAAGAAAGGAAAAGACCTATACCAAAGCGTAAAATAGATAGATGAATATAAAACTGGGATCAAAAACCACATTCTCTTTTTAGATATATATATATACATATATATATATCTGCAACACACACCTTGTCCAATTACACCACCAATGGATATCATCTAAAGATGATGATATAAGTTTATAAACTGTCAGTGTGTGAATGTTTTGTAGTTGGATTTTCTTTAAGGAACTTACGGCCAGATGGCGTGACTTGAGTTCTCTCTTCAATTGAGGTTCGGATCCCTTTTCGATATCTTCAATATTTTCTGAGGTGCTCGATATTCTGCTACCATCTTCCATATCAATCTGGATCTTTTTGTTGATCTGTGGCTGTACATAGCTGTTCTCTAGTACGCCCACATCCACCGTCTCTTTTAGTTGGGACATTATATTGAATGTGATACTTTTTTTACAAGTAAGAAAATAGAGAGAGAGAGAGTAAAATTAAATAATTAAATAATTAATTAAAAGTAAAGCAGTCTAAAGAAGGAGGCTATTTAAATAAATTTTCAAGAATAATAAATAAATAAATAAATAAATAAATAAATAAAGCTAAACAAACAGACACAGACAGGCAGGCAGATGTTTAACATCCGACTGATAGCCAGCACTTGGACCGTGTTGCCTCACATCTCAGGTAACGTTGTACCAGAAAAAAAAAAGGAAAATTAGAGGAGAGAGAGAGAGAGAGAAAAGGTACAGTTGGCGTCATTTTCGATTACTTGACGCGATTAAGCAATAGAAATCATACAATTAAATAAATCATATTAAAAAAAAATGAAAACTACTACAGCACAGAGAATTATAGTATGTGCTTTTATTTTTTGATTACTTCATGATACACAAGCCAATCCTATACACTACAAAATGATCCTTTACTATTCGTTAATCTCCTTATCTTCAAAGATGTACCATAGTAATCATGGCGCCAAATGAATAAATAAAATATATAGCGAACACATTTATGTTGAAGGCATCAAGCAAGCCATTAACAACCTTGGAGTTTCATGGAACCTTGATCTGACATGAGATCAAGACCAAGTAAGAACATCCCACCTCGGGAGTAAAGGTGAGCGTTGGTATTGATTTTTATTCATTTCATTGCAAGTTTAAATAAAAAACCTTATTATATTCTATTCTATCAAGTACTTGTCTGTTCGACTTTTTTCTTTTTATTAATAAAGATCAAGATATGGCGTCAACATTTACACATATCAGGCTCCATTTCAACCTACACATTGGTTTGTAATGTCTATATAGGTTTTCCAGGTAATCCAATCCTGACCAATCCCATCAAATTTCTATTAACCGACTAAATCTCCAAAAAAGAATCAATGCTCTTGATCTAAACACATCAATCTGTGCCTGTATCTGCAGTGGGTGTGTGGGTATTTGTGAGCGCATTTAACCCATCAGCCGGGAATTTCTGGAAAGATTGTTTGGTCTGAACATGGAGTACATGGTATCTCTCCGTATGTCTGTCTGTAAACCAATACTGTGTAAGATATTCTATCAAAAAAGAAAATGATAGTGAATCTAAAAATCTTTATATGTATGCTTTTGACTGATTGTCCCCTTGTTTTCTTTTAGTTAGTTAGTTAGTTAGTTAGTTATCAACTGTCAGACAGAGTCTTATCATTTCAGTATATAGAAACAGCCAAGGGAAGAGGAATTAACCGTGGTTTGATAGATAGTAAAAAATCATAGTCATAGTTTTGTCCATCAAATGCTTATCACAATGGTTTGTATCTAGCAATAAATTCCCTTTAGAGTATTTCAAATGAATACATAGCCATCTTGTAAAAAGACCAAAAGACATATGTTTCAATATTTTTGAATATTGTATAGTATAAACAAAACAAAAAAATATATGTCGATTCAATCTTCATTTATTTAAAAGATTAAAGCAAAAGAGATATATTTTAAGACGCCATATTGCGTCATATAAGATTGCTACAAGACTACGTCTAAACATGCACTTGCTGATAGCTAGGGCGGGATTCAAGACAAACTATAATCTCTTTATATATTTATCCAAACATATCCTTTTTATCAATAAAAAGTGATAGTAAAAAAAAAGAAAACCTTGTATTCAAAGACGCAATCGTGTGGCGTCACTTTGGCTCTGTTACGCAATACCATTATCTTTCTTATTTCTTGTAAGGATTGTAGAGCTTATCGGCTTCCTTAAACTTCAAGACTAGGAAGAGTAAGTAATACATACCTACTGAAATCTCATACCCAAGATTCTCTGTCTGTCTATCTTTTACTTTTTGGTTGAAAATAGTAATGCAAGTAGGACAGAGATTTGAGGCTTGTTATTGATTATCAAACCAATATAAATACTTGTATAAAGATTTTGTACTTAATTTTCCGGTCTATGAAATAAAGAGAGAAACAGGGTAAATACATTTTTGTATATATATGCTTTCTCATAAGGTGAGTAGTTCATAATATCTTGGCAACAATTTTTAGCACAAGCTTTAAAAATCGTAAAAATAAAATCATGATGTATAAAGTCAATTATTAGCTATTGTTTCGATGGCGCAATCTTAGCACTGAGTTTGGTGCTTGATGTGATTTTTTCATATATTCTTGTGTTCAACTCGTTCCATGGCATTAATGTACAAATGTTCTCGGATCAAGGTTTGGCTCATTCTCGATAGATATTATCATCATATACATACATGGCTATATGCCTACATGCATACTTGGTAGAAATCAGCGAACGTTGTTAGTTTTTTTTTATTGGTATTGGTTTACAAAGCGACCTTCTGAACCATTATAATACTTTAGATATTAGCGTGTATGAATTTTGTAGTGTTACAAGTACTAAAATTCCATTGTCCCACTTTGACTTCAAAATCCTCGGGTTTGATTTGGTTTGGTTTGGTTTGGTTTGGTTTGGTTTGGTTTGGTTTGATTTGGTCGGGTATCGTATTGTATCGTATCGCATCGTATCGTATTTTATTTATATGTATTTTACTCTTCTTCTTCTTTTTTCTTTTTTAGTTACAGGACTTGACCAAACAGTTTAATAACATATCTTACGTGTAATATATTGTGTATTACAGAGTACATAAATAATCGAAAATAATAAACCCTCTTCCGTATTTATTTATGTTTAAACGTGTGCAATATTTTCTAAAAAACAATCTACAGCCTTTTTTCTAAAGATGATAATTAAAAAGTAATTTTGACATATATATATTTTGAAAAACAAAAAGGGGAGTTCAAGTCTATAGTTTTTAAACTTAAAAGTTTGAGTTTAAATTTCAGAAAATGATTGGTTAAAATTAATCTATAGTTATTAAGAAAAGAAAAAGAAAAAAAAAGCTCATTAAAAACTCTGAAAAAAGATCTTGAGAGTTTTTAAAGTTTAATAAAATCTTGATGCAATAACCTTTTTTTTTCTTCTTCTTCTTATTAATTAACCTTTGAAATTTTATTTACAAACCCCTTTACAAATTATACTATTACTTTACATATTTTTTCTTTAATATATATATATATATATATATTTACGAAATTATACTTTAATAAAAGATGTTTTTAACATTTATTACTGTAGTGGATGTACGAAAGCTTAAAAATTAGGGTACTCATAGACTGTCAACAATTCTTAAATATTATTGGCCATTATTTAAACTCATTCGTAAGTTAAGAAACTTTAAAAGACTGTTGAACTCCCCTAATATTCCGTTATTATCAAATATATACAGCTTTTACTTATTACATTAATAAAGTACCAAACATATCATTGATATTCTTTATTTTAAGCAACCTAAAAATTACAAAAGAAGCGTATTTGATTTCATAAATATTTGAGCTCAATTTTTATTGTAGGTTTCTTGTCAGTAAGAGCATCCACAGCGGTTTGTGTAATTAAAATATTGAAGTCAAACCAAAAACACACATTTAAATGGGATAATTTAGACCATCCACAGCGGTTTATATAAATCTGAAGTCGCATCTTTTTTTTATTGCTCGAATGTTTTAGTGAAGCGTCAAATTTAGATATCTGTTAAATAACTGTTAGAAATTTCTCGTTAAAACATTTATCTGGACAAACCACTGGAGATGAAAAAATGTAAATGTTTGGCCAATTTACACAAACCGCTGTGGATGCTCTCAGTAGTTACCTGCGCATTTGTGGAGAAGAAGAACCGCACTAGGTAATCTACGAGGATATCAAATAAAAAAAATGGTTTGCTGAAACTCTAAGAGCAACTGAGGTAAAGATAAAACATTAAGAAGTTACATGGGTAACTGAGAAGCGAAATCAAATGAGAGTATTTCTGCGGAAAAAATAGTAATAGCAAGAGTGATAGTAAGTGTGAGAATAATATAAAGATGAAAGTAGAGAGGAAGGTTGATGGTTTATATTGGCCATATTTATAGATTAATTTTTTGCTCGAGTTTAATAAGAAAAAAAAATCGACTATTTACTTGAATAAACGACCTTAGCGTAAATAATATAACAAGGCAGAATAAACATTGTATTTTACCATAGTGATATTTATTAGGCCAAATCAATCAGAGGCTTTAGAATACTGGTAATAATCGAGAGAAAATGTATGTGATAAAAAAGAGTCCCGTGAGAATTAATACAGCTTATCACAAAGCAAAAGTCAAATCCTTGATAAAGACTTGCTATCTTTGAATTCACCAAGTCTCAAGTCTAGATATGTACTAGATCATTACTGCGTATTTCCCACTATTATGCGCCTAAAGAAAACAAGATTCTGATTGAATTAATAGCACAAGAAACCACTTGTATTATATTAAGCAGCACACACACACACACGCACACACACAACTCCAAAAACTAAGTCTAGTGTCGATTCAATTCTCTCAAGTATGTCTGAGCAGATTATTATCATTCTTAGACTGTAATACCAAAAATGACGCTCGTGATGTTCACAAAGATTTATATTATTTTATCATTCTATTAAATACTCAGCTTCCCGGTTGCCAGCCAGTTAACTTCTTGACCTATATACTGAACCTTCATTGTGGGCTCTATTTCTTTTAAAGATGCCAAACATTTGAGCTAGAAAATCACCTTTTGTGTAATAAAGGGGACAAGGTAGGGAACTTTCATGACTGCTAAAAATGGAAAAGATTTAAAACCAGCATTGTAATGCACGTCTCTGGTTAAAATAAGGGACGCTTTTGGGGATATCATAGAAATCATATTTATACTTCTTTCCTCTTTCTTTATCTCATTTAACAGAAAAACACCATGTTTACTATCACGCCTGCTATATACGACTACTATTTTGGTCCTAAGAGCACTCAATACACTACTCCTAAGAAGAGAGATACCTACAAGTACCTTCATCTGACAGCTTTTTCTGATGATACATGCAAGGAAGAGTTCCGGTTTACTCTTTGTGAGGTTGCTATTTTATTAAGCCATTGATCGATTCATTAGAGAAAAAAGTATATTACATATGGAATTTTATCTCCATATAAGCTAGATTATGTCAACTAATATTATTCTGTTGGAATGGTAAAGTATAGAGCTTGACAAGATCAGTTTTTTTTTATTTAAGAGCCTTGATTTTTTAATGGATCAAGACTCCTTGACAGATGATTAGTTTATAGCTTGTATATGCTGTTAGCTTTGATAGTTTAGTGATTAATTGAGAAAAAATATATGTTATCCTATTTATCGGATCACTTTCAGGCGCTAAGGACATTGTTTTTGTGCTAGGGATATTCTGGCTGAATTTTCCCTAATTTACGGTCATTTCAGCCAGGATATCCCTAGAAGTGTCCCGGGGTAAAAGTAAAAATGGTAAAAATCTGGGTGACATAAACCCAGGACAGTCTCTAAGGACAATATTTTCAAATTTTCCCTGAGTTGTCCCCTTCTCTATTATGGGCATTTGTTACTTTTGCGAAGGCAGAGCAGACCAAGAGTAATAAACCAGTAGCAAATTAAAACTGATATAAAATTGAGATTACTGAGTCTCCCCTCTTTTATATCTTTTTCTTATTCCTGTATATTTTAATTCTATTCATATTATTCTCAGCCAATAAGTTTACAGACTTAATACCCGCGCCCTGAATCTGTATCCGCAAAGATGCTGAAACCCCTCTATTATATAGAAGGTAAGAGGAAATTTAATTAAAAATAAAAAGTCGTTTTTATAAAACTTGTGATTCAAATATGGTTGGATACAAAAAAACCGAAAAGACAAACATCTTCATAATGGTAATCAAACAACAAAGTTTATATTCAATATGGGAAGCTCACTTCCAATATATATTCAGCAACGTCCCTTTTGTCACCAACCGAGTTGCTGCCATCCAAGTTTTACATATTAGAAGACTAGAACTAGAAGAACCACTTTCAAACACTACTTGATTTCTTAACTTCCTCGCCTTCAAGTGGATATGCCATTCAATAAACAATACAAAAAAAAACAAGTATATATATCAAAACATTCAAGAGCTTGAATTTTTAACTAGTTTATTATATTATATGAAAGTTTTTGTTTTTGTTTTTGCTTTCTCTATCTCGCTATCTTTTCTTTGCTCTCACACACTTGTCGACTTTTGGTTTCTACATGAACTATTTACCATAATTCACTTTTTATTAATGCGTTTTCTACAGTATGTACGTGCGTGCGCATCATTATTCGATGACCTTATTTATTTTCCTTTGACACCTTTTGTTTTAACCATTGAATATACGATGGAGGATGCCCGATGGCATATCGATGCAAATCAGATAATCCACCAGTGGCCAGACCAAATGCTGCACCAAACAAAACAGAGTATCTGAAGCTGCCACGAGTAAGTCTGGCTATTTTTAAAACAATAAAAAATAAATAAATAGATAAATAAATATATTTAACAAAATATAACTTTTATTATCGTTGTTGTTGTTCTTATAATAAAACTTACTTATAGCCGAGAATATAGTTCCTGCAGTAACACCCGCAATAACCGAGTTGGCTACGTCTGCTTCTCCTCTAATGTCATCAAGACCTGCTTCAATCGCGCCATACATCAAGCACAGGCCACCTGTTCGTCCAGCAAACTTTGCACCTCGTTTGATTCCGCCTAGTGCCATACGATAATTCTTTGTTTTGTGGTAAAAGTACCAGCCCTGAACAGTAGTGGGCAGACGATGGGCATTCTCGGCCAGGTACTGCAAACCTGCCTGCTGACCTCCCAAAAAGGAACCGATCGCAAATCCCCAAAGAGTGCCGACGGATGTCAAGAGGATCAAACGTGGTTTAGTTTCGAGACCTGCACGGCCCAAAGGTCCTCCAGGGTATTCATGAGTTGTGACTGGAGGAAGCTC